ACACCCTCCCACTCTCAATCCCAGAGGGCTTGCCATGTTCGGAGGAGAGGGCACGAGACGGGCAGGTGTGTGTAATGTAAGGTAATTGTCGCACCGCAACGGAAGTGGTAAACGAACTAAGCTGATGACTGTGTCCCGAAATTGATGTCGACAAGCCCAGAGTGAGTGGGATTGGGGCGATGAACTGGACAAAACGAGGCGGTGGTACTACCTGCTGAAACTCGGACTGCCACAAGGAGCGAACGATTATCTGTCTAAGGGTCTTCTTCATGACTAGCAATGGGCAGCTATGAGGGTACCGCCATGCCGAGTCAAGGCTCTTCTGTCCGGGGAAGATCAACGGGCTGTGTACGGCTCCAGAGTGTGAGTAGGCATTCTGCCCACATCGGCGGGCGCGCGACACACACGCACACCATAACGGACGGCCTAGGTGATCACCACTCTGGTCAGTTAGGGTTGAACCGCACTAACGGTACACATTGTTTGACTTGTGGTTTCAACCCGATGGCCTTGGCGTTACCAATTCTGGAGTCTTGGTCCGCTAGCGATGGGATCCATCTCCACTTTAAGCTGTATTTTGGAGCGAGCTGTCGACTCATATTTCGCGATATAGATGAGACAAACAACCCATGTCCCGGGGCATTCACAAAAGATATCCACCGACCTCCGTATCCCGGCAGATCGTTTCCCTCATACCCACCAGACCCCGTACGGCTTCTAAACTGGTTAACGGGATTGGGCTTTGGTGCTGTGTTGTGGGTGCGTGACTAACCTTGCAGCGCGTTGTACGGCTTGCTTCCGCGGAACACACACACACACACACACACGAGAGAAGAAGCCTGGGCTTTGCTCCATCAGGGGGAGTTCATCATCTGTATCACCTTGTTGGTGTGTGTTCCCTAGATGCACGTAAGTGCATTTGTGATTTGTACCCTAGTCATGGGATTAAAGAGGGGAAGGGGAAGAGGGGCGAAAAGAGAGCGAGATACGATAAGACATGGGTTATGCCATACTTTTTCACGATTTTGGAGACAAGGGGGGGAAACCGTTCATTCAAATCGTGGCGTAGGATGCCACCTTTGCGTTACACCTGGCTCTATTTACTCTTATAGCACAGCATTTTTCTCATTGCAACCCCGGCATTAGGGGCTCAGCGATGTCTCCTATACGTGGTACAATTTTCCCACATCCCGGATCTAACCTCAATCCGTGCGGCCACGTGGAATGGCGGAAATGCAGTGGCTGCGAACCACGAATATGTTCTGGCTCTTCCAGAAAGGTGCCTCGGCCTTTTGGTATGCTAACTTGTCAACTGTGGTACCGACCTGCAATGTCGCAGTTGTCAGAGCCGCGCGAGGCATCGCATCGCCGGTATTGTCTCCTTCGTCTATCGCTACTACGTACATGGCTTCCTCGCCGCCGTCCCCGTGTGCCACCATTTTACGCTTTCTTTTTTTTGACATGTCCGATGTGGCATGTTGGAAGCAGGGGGGGCAGGGGTTCCGATGAATCCGAAGCAATTGAGAACCAATTAGAAAACATACCTCTGCAGGCTCTTCTTCCTTTTTTCCATCAAGTTATCGCGCAAAGGCGGCCGTCCGTTTGGTTTGACGTGTGACACCCTGAATCAGACAGCTATTCCTGGATCGCTGCGCGTGTGCGAGCAGTTCTTGATTCGGCCGAATGCTCCAACAATCCAACTCTGAAGCGGGGTCGGACAATATTTTAGTTACATATTTTGTTGTGGACCGAGTATCAGGACGCTGGGAACTAGAAGAGGGAGAAAAAAAAAAGGAGAGGAGTGATCGGGATATTTTGCCCTACTTTGTTTTCTTTTGTGGTTTCTGCCTATTCCCCTTTCGCCCCTTCGCTTGCTGACTCTTTTACTAATCCTCCGGCCCCTTGACGACGGCATACCGGTAGAGCTTAGAGTGCCGACCGGAGACCTTTGAGAGCCGCGCGGTACTCCATATAAATGAAATATTTCATATAAACTTCATATGATCACCAGCCGTCGAAAGCGGGTCGCCCAAGAGGATGCGGGAGGACTCGGCCGGTTCCAGGTGATCTTGGTAATCTTGCATTCTTGGTAGCTCATTCAATGATTCATAAGAGGGGGCTACGTTGCAAAAACCGGACGGAGTATTTCCCAGAGCAGAAGGCAAAGGTTGCAACGCGAATGGGTCGAGCTGTTAACAACAAACGTGGGAAGAGGCCGAGACCTACCATGCTGTCCTCCGAATGGCAAAACTTACCGATGGTTGTTTGCCGTCAAGAAGATCGAGGAGGGAGCACAACCAAAGAACAGAAAACGATTCCCGCGTGAAGGGGGAAAACCCACCCAACACACACGCAGTAAGCGGAGTGCGAAGTGGAGAATCTTGGCTCGAAAATTTGGTCGGCGAGGTTTCGGTTTCGCGAGATTCCAGGAATGTGGATGTCGGAACGGAAATGATGGGAACTGCGGGAGGCTCCAAAAAGTGGCACCGTCTGACGCCACGCGAAAGAGGAGGACTGCCTACGACGCAAATTGCCCTATAATTGCCATATATCAGAGTGTTGTTCCCCCCTCCCCTCTCTGATTTCCTTCGGCACATGGAGACCGAGGTTGTACGTGTAGGGCCTAGCCAGGTTATTACGAACGATAGGCGAAGCATGGCTCGTCACCTTGTGACGCAACAAGAGCGACTTATACAAGGTACTCGGGGATACTGCCCAAAAGATGCGCATTTTCCGGATAACCGCAATTCTGCTTGTATGTGTGTGTGTGTGCCTGCCCAGCCTCGCGGTGTGTGTGAGGTGCTTCTTAGTGCAACTTTGACAAGTCATGGCAAATCCGTCTTGGCTCCCAACAATCACACTAATCAACCCGGCTTGGGCCTGGGGAATGAGCTTATGCTTCCTAGCGTGTGCTCGTCGTTCTTCCCAGGGGGAGGCACTAACGGCGTACTCACCGGTCAAGGAAAGGTACGCCGTGCTATCCAGCCACTGTGGCTTCATCGCAGATAACCGTCTCACCGAACGGAATTGCCAAGCTTCCATGTCCGAGGCCTCCTGGGTATAAGCAGTCGCGTGCAAGGAAGTGGCGCGGTTGACCAGCTTTCTCTCTCTCTCTCTTCCACTCCACCTCTTCTCCTGGACGCGGAGACCTTCATGGCGAGAAATGCTTGTTAAGGAAGTCGAACTTTCGGCACTTAATCTAGCAACTTAATGCTGAGACGTACAAGGCGAAGACTGTGTTCCACTGACCAACTATGCAGCACTGCTCATATGCATAGTCCCGATAGTGAAAATTTAGTGAACCTGGGGCCGTTGATGCAATTGTCACGCGCCTCAGTGAGCATGCAGGCAAGCATGGTGGGACTGGACCGTGGTCTTTGGAGGGAAGACCAACGAGAAACTCTTCCGCCAATAGGGGGAACGATCCGCGTAGAAGAGCGGAGACAAAATTCCGCCTCGTTATCGAGCAATCTGACGACCAGGGGGTCTAGATGTGATGGTGTGACGGAACGGCGAAGCCCGTGGAGCGGGGTTATGAGAATGAAGAGTGGGTTGAGAGGTCGGAATGCTGAAGACGACGTGTAGATCGTGGCGATTGTTGGCTGTTGAATTTGCTCATGAGACCAGCTCATGTGAGCTTTTCTCCCTCAATCATCAAGAAACACATATGGCATAATTCATCGATTTATGGGGCAATGGAGAAGGTCAGCGTCCAAAAAGAGCCATGTTAGTGAGGGCCTCGAGGCTTGACGCGGTTGTTGACAGTTAATTTTGTTCCCGTTCAAGAACTACATTTGCCGGGTTTAATAATCGGGTTCGTCTCTCTATCATTTTGGGGCTACAAACCAGACATTAGATGCGTACTGCGCACTCCTTGACTTTCTTGAAGCATGCAGCTACAACAGGCCTGTAATTCATGCCATGAAGATACAAGGCACTCTCCTAGCTGTATAGCCAGGCTCATGAATGATACGAGATCTTCGTTGTTCACCTCAATGGGACCATAGATATTAGTAAACCAATGCTGAAATATGGGAGAAACTGTGCGTCACCCTGCAGCTGAGCTTTGCTGCTTCGGAAAAGGACATGATATAAATCTGTAACATCTGATAGATACATCAGGCACCGAAAAGGAGCCACGGCAACACCATCGCAAGCTTTTAAACTCAGGCACTTTGATCTGGTCTCTTGTATTGTGGCCAAGTTCATATCACTTCTATGATAGCATCCCAGAATGGCACCAAATGTCAGAAGCGTTTAACATTGTCAGACAACAATCAACGAACTAGCCTGTTGAGCAGTTCCTGGTACAAGGCAATGTATCATTAAGTAAGTAGAGGCGTCCAGCTCTCTTAGCCCATGAAGGAGCTATTCTGATAAAGCAATTGCTGTGAAAAAGTGGTTCGCGAACATAGAAAGTTAGCTCAATACGATTCAATTATTATTGCAGCTGCTATGTACTAGTGTATGCCACTCTTATAAATCCAGTATGATTGTTTCTACCTGATACATCATCTTAAGTAGAATCGTTGAGGCTGCGCATGGAGATCTACGGCAGTGGCGCCTTGTTTCTAGTCAAAGCTGTTTAAGGCCGTTAGAACACGCAAGTGTTATTTTGGGTCACGCATTGTCTGCAGGTGAATTTGACGTTAGTAAAAGTCATCTAACTTGGCCATCAGTCAAAAGGCTTGAATAAATGTATGTCAGTGTAGTTATGGCCTCAGATGTTGATTAGGTACCTAGTAGGTAACTGAAACGTCCATGGCTTTGAAAACTAAGACAACCTACCTGGTATTGAAGTATGCACCGCAGATGCCCAATAATAACTTTAGAAATATGGATCAGTAACGCACAACGCTGAACAGCGCTACTTTAGATGCATTCCAGCTGCGATCCTCTTAGTTCATGCCCTTTCATTTCCAACTCTGCCATTTGAGAATCCATTGCTCTGAATCAATCAGCAATACTCGTTTGTAGCGGGGGCTACCGGGACATTTCTTCTGTTAGCATCACCCTGATGCTGGCTCCTGACCTCGCTGATGATAACGCCTCGGTCACTCTGATCCTGCAGCACTTCTCAACCTCTTCGGTATGCAACAGATATACTGGCCTGTCGGTAGCTGAAAGCTGCCGGGGCTGCTAGTTGCTCGCTTAGCGTGGTCATGTGTTACCGCATGGATCAACACATAAGCCTTGCGGATAACTTCTATTTCACAACGTCTGGCTATTCGCTGGAGAGCTGCCTAGGATTGACGTCCCGGTTCCGGTGCTCCCGGGCCAAGAATGATTGCTAAGCCATCTGGAATGTTGTTTATTTAAAGATCGAGCCCGATTTGGCCGAGCTGGCTTTTGCACCATGTTTATGGAAATTATAGATCCTGGAGTCAGGCCAGGGTTGACCATGCGTCAAATCTTGGCCAAATTACACTAGGGTGGGAACTCTGGAATGCCGCCAGGATCTTCCAATCCCTGGTTGGGCTGGACGTGATCTGTAAGGTATCTGGACCTGTTAGCCTATTGGTCATCTTGAGTCATGGAGTGAGTGAGATAGGAAGTGGGAGATGTCGTTGTGCACAACTTCAGTTGCTCAGCGAGGAAATATAGTATGTCTACTCAGGGGCATCTTCGAAGTCGGCTTGAGATTTTTGCCCATGCTGCACATCTAGCTTGCCGTGGTTGCTATTAGGGTCAACTTTTTTTGACTTGAGACAATGTTTTGCACGTTTGCAAATGGTACTTAACACAAAATAGGGTTATTCAGGCCAAGCCTTTATGATCAAGGACTGCTGGGGCCTATGAATAGTTGTACACTTGAAGAGAATTGGGTAATGATCTCCAAAGTTTCAACAATAATGAATGTGGATGAAAAGAGACGAAGCAGTGGTTCAGTAAGATTTGTTTTACAGAGCATATCATCTTGAAATTGCCGTACGCAAGGCTACTATTCTTCCTACCAGACGTGCCATCGGCAACGACGGTCAAATCAAACTCGTAAGTAAACCAATGATATCCTTATGAACGGCCATTGGAGCCGAGCATATTGTGTTGAACCCATGTATATGACCTTCTTGAGGGGCAGCACAATCATTCTCTACACAGTGTTGCGCACAGGCGACATTGCAGATCCATAGACCCAGACTATCCCTCAGTACGTTAAATGAATAAGGATGTTTCCTTGTAGGAAGTTGTCTAAGATTGTCAGTAAGTCAGAATAAAGTATTTCGGACCTAAACGGGTCATGTTGCTAGATATTTAGCCTAGATTAAAGAGGTTAGGTAGGTAGAGGGGAAGTGTATCAACCTCTATCTCTGACCTCTTCAGCTCCCTTAGCTTAGTAACTTTTATTTATACTAGACCTCGCCCGCAGTTAGGTAATAGTACCTGTATCATCGTATGATCTTCATCTAATATCCTAAAAACTCATTTCGTACTGTTCCATTCCACAACCCTTTCTCCACCCTGTAATACGTTTCAATAATTTGAGGTTTCATTCCATAACATCCAAAGTGAGAATCGCCTTTGAAGTATCACCTAATATACCTAAGATCCCCGAACTCTAATTTGAACTTTCTACTGCAGAAGCTATTGGGAGGTGGTGCAGCAATCAATCTTGCCGAAGGCATGATGCTGTCTAAGAGCAGCAAACCCCAGGCGAGGATGGATGGTGGCCTGTTTCAGTCCCCAAGAGCATGGAACTTGCCTTCTGTGATATCTTAGAGTTTTGCCCATTTGGTCTCAGAATGCTCCATCTTTCTTTCTATTACGAGGGCGGATAATATAAAAACTAGATAGTTGTAAAGATGACAACTGGACTTAGTGTCGCTTACAGTAACTTTGGCAATGTCAAGGTGAATGCCATTGCTCCCTCTTTGGTTAAGCAGTGGCATACCAAATATCAAGAGTTGACCTAGGTCGCACGGTATCACTCACAAGTGATAGTAGTTTACTAGGCACGGACAACTATTGAGGAAGCAAAGGTCAATAGTGGTAGCTACCAGCAGCAGCATGGAAAGCCGAGACCAAAATCTTGCACTAATTCTCGGGGGCGGTATGGCACAAAGTGACGGGGCCAGTGGAAGAGGCTAGGAAAGTGGTATGAAGGGATTGTACTTATCTCTTGCCACTTCAATCCCCTTTGGGATTGGACCTGCCTTTATATGTGGTAAAACAGTAGGTTCCGTTGCTAGTGTGTATTTTGCTCCTTGCGTACTGCTTAAATCCCCCTTACATGGCCACCTCTAGTCACTTGGTCTCGTAACAGTTTGGGCCCGGTGCAAGGAAGATGTCTTATCATGAGTGCAGAATCAATCAAAGTCCATGCTAAGGCAGTTTCGAGCAAGCTTAGGGTCATGTCAACCGTATTGAACAAACCCACAAGAGAACTATTTACTTCGGAAAATTGGAATACAGTCAAAGGGTGGGGGCTAGGCACTCATGCTAAGACTGGGAAAATGAACCGTTATATTAGATTATAGTAGTGGAGTGTTTAAGTATGTTGATAATGTAGGCAGAGTACCAAAAGCGTCTAAGTAGCGTTTACCATCAAAGTAATAGCCAAAGCAACTAGAAAAAGCTTAAAATGATTGATTTGCAGCGTATATCACTAGCCTAGGGGGTTTTCCAGGCGATTCAGTATATTTTGTAGAGGAGTGTACATGTCCCGGGTTCGGCTTCCACAATCAACAATAGATGGGAGTGTGAATTATCCGATCACGGCTGCGGCTAGATAGTTTAAAACGCCACGGGCACCATCCTGGGGTAACATAATCCATGTTTGCTGCGCCTGAGCCGCCTAAGTGGGCTTGATAGACATAACCTAGCGCCCCGGCACCAGGGCGGTTATGTGCTAAGGTCGGTTTTTGAGATAAAGCTAGTAAGGCGTGCAATCATGAATATTAGAAAACAAGCACACGAACTCGAGTCTAGCGTAAAGTTAAGTCTTTGAGGAAGAAATCATAGCCTTACTAGAGCAATTGCCGATTCTTGCATGGCTGCTGTAGGCATCGATGATGGCGTTGGCTCGGCCTGAACGAATACTTTCGGGATATTCACAGAAGGTTTACAGAAGTGGAGGGCAATGCCAGGGGTCCCGAGAATGTTGTATATGTGGGTTAACATTTTTGTCTATCTCTGCCGGTGAGTTAGCTTGGCTGGGTTGGGCCATGTATCTCTGTCCTTCATGGGTGTTTCGTGGGTATTTCGCCAGTATATACCCTGGCCTATCTATCTGTTTGTTCAATGCAAGAGAGAAGTCAGACAGGAGCCAGAAGTCATGTTATACCCATACAACGCTTTTAAAGTAAGAGCGTAAATCTTGGGATTTTGACGAACCTGAGCGCCAGAACCAATAATTTAAGTAAGATAACATTGAGGCAGCACTCGAACCTCCCGAAACAAGGCAATCGGACTACTGTTGCTACAAAAGAGTGCAACTTTATTCCCCCCCAAGTCGGTCCTTGTGTATGAGGAACAATAGACTTGGGTCTGCTTGCAAGATTGGCAGGAACTGCCAGTACACTTCCAAGTTGCTTAATATCGATGTTAGGATAGGAAGCCACGAGGCAAAATTGCACTACCGTTGAGGACTTCTTTAACCACGAGCTTAAGTATCAATTATTGAAGAACCGGGTCTATTAGGTAAATTGAAGGCGGAAAAAGTAAATTCTTCCAATGCTAGTCAGTCATCATGTTTTTTTCATTAAGAGACCTGAGAGTTAAAAATCATTGATTTTGGAAAAACAGGGATTTGTTTTACTATTGTGCCTAGGTGGTATGGTGCGTCGTCAGATTCAGATCGACGAATGTCATCCATACCCACCGTTTCCCGTCTGATCAGCATGCAGATTCTTCAATGGCTGCTGACCCGCACATTACTCGCTGGTTGACGAAACTTAGCATTTGTGCCTGTGAACCATCGAAAATCTACCAAAAAGAAGATCGTGAAATGCGGAGTTCTCAGTTCAAAGTCCAGGAGTTTCTTAAAAATGTCAGCCAGGTACGTGTAGCTCGTCAGCACATCGGAAACTCTTCCGCTAGAGCCTACTATAGGCAATTGCCTACTCGAGAGATAAGTTTTGTTATTGCATGAAGATCATACTACGGCAAGTGGACTAAGGCGGTGGCGGAGGCGTCTGCTGCTCCGTGCCCTTCCGCAGCTCAGTTATCGACCTCATCCCGGACGTGAAAATCGATTACGTGCATCTCGAAGGTAATTAACGATTGCCGTGCCAAGCATTTTCGGCACCAATAACAAGATCGCTATACGTCGGTGGAGACATGGTCAACGTGGACTGCCAGGATAAAAAGTTGAACATTGTAACAGAAGGGCTGACGCACCTTTCGCTTCTTCTAGTTTCAAGGAAATTGAGGAGCTCTTGTTCCCATACTTTTTTTGAACGGGTCTCAGGGGGGGAACAGAAAAGGATTTGCAGAAACAAATCAGGGCGCTCTCCTCGTCTTGCAACAACGCCAATCGTTTCGACTTGTCGCCGAATGAATCTATTCCGTCACGGTTTAATTAACGCCCGACTACCGGCTGGGTTCAGGGCCAATCACTTCGTCACGATGACGACAACCTCGACGGGATCGAAATTGCCCTAGTAATCACGCAAAAAAAGAAAAACAATATAGTGGACTCAGAACATTTCGAATTGATGCAGCTAAGCCTGGTATTCCTATATACTGACGATGCTCTTTGAAACGGGTTGCCTCCAGCCGAAGCTCATTTCCACGGTCAAAAGCGCCGCGGAAAGATCGTCGAGGCTAACGGATGTACAGTGAATAAGAAAAAAAAAATGGCCCGAATAATCTTGCAGATCATAAGGACGTGAAAGCATTCCCTCCATGGGGCTCAAGACCCTTTCAATGGCACAATTCGACAGGCCTGCCGTCTGTCTTTGCACTGGAAGTTCAACTTCACATAACGCACCCAGGCGTTCTTGTTCTTGTTATGGAAACCACTTAGTTGATGATGTTGAGGTCGCGGGCGTGGCTGCGGCGCTTCGCGGAAACGACAGCAGGTCCGGGGATGGGGTAGGAGGTAGGGTTGTTGTAGATGTCGAAGATGACACCCTTGTCCTTGGCGGTGTACAGGCTGGTGCCAGCAACACCGGTAGGGTTGGAGGAGCCGCCGCCAGTGACCTGGATGTTGATGCACTGGGGGTAGAACTGGGCGCCGTTCTCAGAGCCGGCGGAGTGCAGGGCGAGGATCTCGTGGCGCAGGACGTAGTTGCCGGCGGCGAGACCGCTGGGGATGGTGATGTCCCAGCTGAGGTTGTTCTCGCGGAGCTCGTCGGCAGCCCACTTGCCGCTGGTCAGGCCCTTCTCGGCGATCTTGAAGAACTTGAGGTCGGTCTTGGTGGCCTTGGTGCAGTCGCCAGAGCACTTGGCGAGGTAGTCCATGACGGGACCCTTGTGAGACTCGGGCCAGGTGTTCCACTGATCATGATGTTAGTTTGGGTGTGAAGAAAAAGGAGTATCTTGAGAGTGGTTGCTCTTACCTTGACGGTGACCTTCTGGCCGGCGGCGACCGAGATGGAAGAGGTACCGGGGGTGGCACCTCTGTGGCAGATGATGTCGGCGTTGCCAGTGGCGTCGGGGGCGACGAAGCCAAGGTCAGTGTTGGTAGCAGCCCAGCCAGGGGTCACGGGCTTGTCGTTCTGGTAGGGGTAGCTGGAGGGGTTGAGGCCGTCGACGGTCTTGCCGCCAGCGGTGATCTTCTCAACGAAGCCGTGGGCAGAGACGGCGCTGGCGCCGAGGATAGCGGTAAGGAAGGCCTTGGTGTACATTTTGATGGGTTGTTTGTGGTTTTGATGTAAAACGGATGTGTGTTTTTGTGGGTGCTGAAGGAACGTGTGGGAAAAAAGCTCACAGAGCAAAGAATGAATTGGGTCAAAGAAGGGTATGAGCTGGAGAGCAATGCAGGTGAAGTGAAGGACGAAGTGAGATGCTTGGGAGAGAGATCATCTGAAAATCGGCGGACTGGACGAGGTCTCTTATACTCTTGTTCATCCCTTTCCTTTTCCCATGTACTACCTAGTTCAGACAACGGGCTACCCGCATCGTGGAGTTGTGGACCGCAATCCCGTCCCCGTTTCTCCTGAGCCCCAAGGACTTGGACCTATCTCGCCCAAACAGGCCATATCCCGTAAAAGGAAATCAACATCTTGGCGTACTCAAGTCGGAGTGTCCCCGTCCGCAGGCGTTTACCTAGGTCACGGCAGGCGACTGCCATGAATTGGATCGTCGACGGGAGCAGAACATCGGACCTGGCCACATGGGCCACATAACAATCTATTTCGCACGAGGGCGGTGGAGAAACGAGGTCTAGGCGGGATCGGCGGTTGCAACGGGGCCGGGGGTTGTGGTTGGACCAGTCACCGGAAACACTCTATTAGACGGCACGTTTGGCGGGAGTAAAACCAACCAAGGACCAAATCACGGCCAGGGACTCGGCCGTTCTGACAGACCAGGATATATCCCGAATCTCAGAAGAATGAGACCAAGACGGCAGTCGGGTTGACGTACCGGGCGTCCGCAGCTAGAGGAGCCAATTGCAATTGCATCCCTTTCCGACCCGCTGCTTCAGAACAACAACCCATCATTATACGTCTCTTTGGGGGGCCCGTACCCCATCAACCACTTTCACCCACATGGTTAGCCCCTCGACGACTCAAGTTGAACGTTGGTTGGCGCAAAGTTCTACCGACGGACTCGACTAGCGGCAATCGAAACCCCAGGGAGGCGCCGCATGTAAAACTCATGAACCTTGACTAGTTCATCTATTGTCTTTGTATAACATTATGCCCTTGCGTTGGCATAGAGTTGGCGTGAGGCTGACGGTAGTTCTCTTTTCGCTACCATTGATTACGATTTAAAAAAATAAAATAAAAAAAATCACAGGTAAGAACAGATAAAGAACCCGACCGCAATATCCAGCAATCTGGCAATCGGTATGTCAGCATACAACCGGCAACGGAAATCCGGGGAGAACCGAAATGATCGGCACTCAGAACTGCACGGCTCTCCGACGAGACCAGGGCGGGATGACGAATCGAGTCATCACACCGGGCATACTATTCCGTCTGCCCCCTTTTGGTGAAGAACGTGAGGAACCAGGGCAAAAACCGACGATACGATGGAGTCGGATCTGTGGACACTGCAATCTTCCATAACCAGGTTACCAAACCAGGCTCCTATTTACGGCCGTGGCGCCCACAAGACGGACGTCGCTGACAGCTGGCAGTGACAACAACGTGGACCACCAGAAGCAGGGTGCCTGAAACAGGATGGTCACAGGCATATCCCGGGCTAGATTGAGTCGAGGCGAGTAACGGGAGAGCAGAACTTTAATTAGTGTTAGTCTTAAGACGGCCACATAACGCCCCAAATGCCCCCTGTGCCACCACCCTCTTGATCCCTGCTCGAACCCACGTCTTGCAATCAATTCGGATGCAAGCGAGTGACTGGCCACAGCTCCAGCCCCAATTCAGATGAAAGGGATGAAACAAAAGCGGCGAAAAGCAAAGCAAACTGGAGCCCCCCCCCCGTCAGCGTCAGCGTCAGCGTCAGCGTAATGACGCAAGAACAGAGTTCATTCCAACCGTTATGCTTAAAATTTTTATCGTGGAGATTTTATACATTGCAATGAAATTTGATTCCTCTGCTTTGTTATTTTCCCCCTCCAGAGACTTCGCCGCCACCGCTTTGCGTTGCAACGTCAACTGCCGTGGCTTGTCGGAGCTTTTGGACCGTTCTCATGGATTCATGTACACAGCATTCAAGTCACAGCCGTGACAAGTATGATGGCAAGGCGCCGCTTTTAGATTGAAGCGAGTCCGTTAACGAGAAATCGTTCGATGTAAAGATTCAATTCAGCCCTAGTAGAAGTCATGCCATTCGTTGCGGAAACTCCGGGCAAGCCTTGGGGACAAATGGGCGGAGCGACTGTAACGGTATCGCTGGATGTGGATGATGGGATTCGCTTGCCGTTCCTACGGCATTTGATGGCCGCTTTCGAATGTCGGCTTTTGGACGTCGTTGGTGCTGTTTTCATACTCGATTAAGGGGGCACCATGCAACTCTAAAGACGCGATGCGACTTCAGATGCCGGTCTATACTTGGTGCAGGCAAGAACCTTCTTCCATTCTTCATGGCTGATTTTTTGTACCTAATCAACCACTCTAGCTTCATTGTCACCGCAAGGCCAAGCCAATGCTAAGGCTGGATGAAGTAGCTTCCCCATAGGGCTTAGAATGTAACGATGGATATGGGTTTCTGAGCAGACGAGTCAGTTACAAAGTGCCAAGCGCAAGGTTAATGTCTAATACGATGGCCTAGATTTCTTCAACAGCTCAAAAGGTGAAAGATGGGTAATTAAATGGTTATGTCTGAAGCAGTTTACCGGTCACACCTGTGCCCCTTGAAAACGTGACTATTGTGAACGACATGGTTGATGAGTAGCCTCAAAAGCCGACGCTTCGTGATCACGGTTTTCGACATAATATGTAGCGGAGACCCAAGACAGTAGGTTACATTGCTGCAACAGAGAGAACATCCAGATCGCTTAGCAAAGGCGTAAACATTTCCATGCCGTGACGGCATGTTCTGTTTAACTTCCTTCGTCTTGTTGATGTCCATCACGTGCAATGGTCACTAACAAGCATGTCCAATGCACAACCCATCAGGCCTTCTCCAAAGATTTGCTTCGCCGAGACACAGCCGACTCTCCAGATTTGACTTTTGCAGAATCCTACCACCATCGTTTCATTGAGATCATTGGCAAACGCCACCTTCCTTTTTGTTTACTGCTACCATATGATCCTTGGCTGGTGCGCATCCTGGCAAGAAGCCTCCAACCTGACACACAGAGCACGTGTTCACAAAGAACATTACAAGATTTGAAGAAGACATAACCAGCTGTTCGAGCTGCAGTATCTCTCGCATGCGGTAAGAGCTTAAGCGGTAACACCATGAGTCTTCTTAACCGAGACTGTATGGTGGAACTTGAAGCTTTGCTGACATTGAATAAACCACGCATTGAAGCCTGGTGCTAATGCTCAAGAAGGTCTTACAAAGCTCCTGTGTTGATTGTCGTTTTTGGATTGATAGACACATAGAAGCCCAGTTTCTACGAGAGCTGGGCCAAGTATGAAGCGTAGTAGTCGAATCAGATTACGTGCCTCGTATCAGTGCCTCCTCTCCATACAGAAATGCCGTAGTAATCGACGTCTAGAACCTAGAGCTATGCGAATGCCTGAGTTTCTTCCACGCCCGGTGTCAATGTCTTCATAATCCAATGACTCTTTGAGCTCTCCTGTTCATGATGTGTTATTGTTCATTCGTCTGAAGCTAGTGCTATTTGCGAATCCGCAAACTTTTCTCAGTCTGACCATTCCGAAAGTAACACTTTGATATGAATCAGTATGCTTTGCGCGAATCGCTACTGTCGACCGATCAGGCAAGCGTTGTTGCCAGGGATGATGGACTGATAAGCATTCATACTACCTTATCATTGTATAAGGTCCAGAATCTGACGCTTCAGGCACATTTTCGCGCTTTTTTTCTGCCTGGATCAAAAGGCGACTAACGTAAAACATGATGTCGTTGCCGGCTTGGTGCTGATTTGTAGCTGGTCACTCAATAATTAGCCGCAGCGTGTCTCAGCCACTGGGTTGGATCTTTCTTTCCGCCGCAAAACACGTAGAGACGTACTGCGATAGACCGGACTGCCTACTTCGCGGATTGGTGTGAATGGCTTTGCATAGCAGGTTTGTAGTAACGCATGATATCGCTAAACTGGCTGCCGGTGACTTTTTTGTTTTCTCGATCGATACTTTTGGTTAAGCATCAAGCTTTTCAGGACCTCTCTAGATCAGCATGTGATGTTTGTTAGTATCACAAGAAATTTTAACATGCATAAACATAAATGAAAAGATTTATGAATCCCAGTGCTGAGCCTGATGCATTTGAAGTACAGGCAAGTACGAATTCCAGACGAACAAGAGAGATAAAGAAGTCCAGGCCGGTCATACAAGCCCCTGCGTTAACTATTGCAACCGAGGTTCAACTAGTTCAATTATTCCACCTGGAATAGTACACATATTCACGGTTTTACCATCCACAAACCACTGTTGACTACCTTAAAGTCGATGACATCGACCCCCATACAGGCTGAAAGGGTCAACATGGAAGGAACCGCATATGAAAGTGGCTCTACCTTCACTTTCACAGCAGCAGAGAAATCAACACGCCAAAAAAAAAAAAGAAAAAGAAAAAAAAAAAAAAAAAAGCCCCTCCGCCTTCTCGCGCGCCGGCTTGAAAAGTGGTCATTGGCCATTTATCAAGGCCTTCGGCGCTGGTCCAGACGGTAAACCAACTAGAAACTGTGCACGCTTGTTATATGAGCCCATCCTGCAGGATCATTTCAAAAAAGTGTGCCACCTATGCTGTTCAGAAACTTGAAGGCAACATCGCGAACGAGATACGATTGTTGTGGACTGAGAATGCTTGCATGATACTCGTCTGATATTTCAAGCGCAATCTGGGAGATAACGCCAACCGCTGACGAACGGCCAAGCAGATCTAGATTCGGTATAGACCCTCAGAATCTCTCCCGCCGAAGCGGATCGATCAAGGCATTCGGCTTATGTTATCACTCCCATCAAACAAAGAAGCAACTTCCGGAGCAAGAACTACTCGTGCTAAACATACATGAGCACTCGTGGATAGCAACATTTAAGAATGAAGAAGTGAAAATGTGGGTACAGGAATCGACAGGAATGGCTCTGCATGCCGGTAATCAGTTTCAATACAAGAAAGAATGAAGAGAAACCACAATTCACTCCAGATTCGGGCTGCTTTCCACTTGTGGATTCCCAAAACCACCTTACCTTACTAGGTAGGTAGATTCGATACGTATTCTTATGCAACTTGCTTACGCGGACTATCTATGCAGACCAAAAGGTTCAATGATCACGATAGGAAAGCAGTGGGAAGACTATGTTCGGCACCTGCTTATCTCAGTAGTCAGTTCATAAAGTATGCGTCTCGATTCATATATCGTATCACATTGCAGCACGCTACGAGAGAAGTGTAGGCCAGTGGTTCCACAAGACAAAGCTTAAGAGGAGTTGCTTCTTTCAATAGCTTGTTCCGATGCACGGACGCAAGCCGCAACGTCATGAAAGGCATGGCGATGCAACAATCAGTACCGGAAAAACAATAAGCATCCAAAGGACTTGGCATTGTTGAGCTTGGCGGTCTAGGTAAAACCAACTGCCTGCGGGGTGAAGAGGAGTATTTGGTGCGGAGGTATTAACTGCCAAGCGACTAAATGAAATGAGGTCCAGCATCTATGCGTAGACGTATCTCTATGCCCAGCGACTAGATTACTCTGGTTGCTGTGCCTCTTCACCCTGTCACAGCTCAGCAGCCCGGGCCGAAGAGGGAAGGTCTTTGCACATTCAGTACCAGTGGCGGAAAAATAGTCTTATGAGTTTCTACGCCGTCAAAACTTTGGTATTTGTTGATGTGGGTTGTAGAGGTAAGAGGGGACCCATGGAAATTGTTGGTTCTGACGATCCTCAAATAACGACTTCAGGCTTCTAACAGATCATTTTACTGTATCGATTTTAATATTAAAAAAAAAAAAAAAAATTCCGAATCCGGCTAATTCGTTATTCTCAATAGCCGTACCACTTACAACTCCTACTCTAGCCAATGGTATTCATTGTCGATGCAACGCTGATGCGATATCGTAGCAGTAATGCGTTCCAAAGATATAACACAAACCTCCTATCTTTTAACGACATGCCATATTCCCCATATCTAGTCGCCCGGGCCACTTCGCAAGCCATGGCTCCCGAACTTACCAACCACTAGAGCTGCCCACTCTTGAAGCTCACTCAAAAACGGCAATGTAGCGCTGACAAAAGGTAAATACGTTTCATCCTTATTTCTCTCCTTCCTCCCTTGAGCTAGTCTCCGGCTTGTGTACTTGGCGTATACTTGGCACTCAATGTTGGGGATTGTCTCATTGGCAGTCGATGTGTTGTGCCGACCCCCGTCCATCGACGATCTCCACCTTCGGCTGCATGATTTGGAAAACCCCACCGGCTGTCGCAACTGACCGGAGTGCCTTTGTGTGATTAAGTTCTGTTTCCTCAGCGGGCTGGATTGATCCCAAATGCCAAATGGCCGTCTACGGCTGCACCCGTTCGGGGTCTTGACCAGTGCCGCCTGATGACCCCAGATTGTGGCGAGATGGACAGCTTCAGGACTGCTCTTTAGTGAAAGCTCTTTTGCTTTCACGGTAAGCTTCAATTGAATAAGCATTCTGAATTGCGCTAGCTGGAATCTCTGTCCTCGGCCCGCTGTCTGTGCCACGAATTACCACCTGAATTGCGTGTTTAGCTATCCGCACCAAAAGCACACATGGCTATTGCAGCCGACTCGGCGCTAGATCGGAGGATATTCCATTAAGGGTTGTAATCAGCATTTGCGACGGAAGCATATGTGAGGGCGAGTGGCCTGCCTACCTTATCACGTTGCCGGTTTTAGTGAGCCTTAACGACCATCCGTGTTGATATTAGCTAACTTGGCACCCACTCTGGCCTGTTCTGGGGATCTCATATGTTACACTCCAAGGATGCCTAAGCCGGCTGGGCAGTTTTCCATCTTCCTTTTTCTCCTTAGCTTGAGTATTACAGAATATCGGCATGCATGTACAACACATGTACTGGCGGTAAAGATATTTTGACATGATAGGGACCAAATATTCACTAAATCGACTATAAAAGAAGACGCAATAAACCTTCGATGTCTATCTTCTCTTCTGCCTCGCCACCACGATTCACAAACATTCTCGCCCGCCCCTGATCTTGCCTCTCGGTTACTGTTTTCATAATGAAGTTCTCCATCGGAGTCTCCCTTCTGGCTGCGCTTGCCAACGCCGTGTCTGTTGACATGGCCAAGCGTGACACTTCTCCCCTTGACGTCAAGCTGGAGGCCGTTGGCAACTCTGGCGTTAAGGCCGTCCTCACCAACACTGGTGACTCTGACCTCAAGCTTTTCAAGACCGGTACCATTCTTGACGCAGCTCCCGTCGAGAAGGTTGAGGTTTTCGCCGCGGGTAATGACTTTCTTCACTCTTGAACTTGAACAAACCATTGACTTAGGTTAGGCAACAAGGTTGATTTCGATGGTGTCCGCCTCCTGATGGCCACTTCTGGCTTGACCGAGGAAGCCTTCCAGATCATTGGCGCTGGTCAGTCTGTCGAGGTCGAGTTCGATGCTGCTGAGCTCCACGACCTCAGCACCGCTGGCGAGATCGATATTGTCACCCAGGGTGCCTTCTCTTATGCCGAGGCTGACTCTACCGAGCTGGCTGGCACCATCCCCTTCTCCAGCAACAGTGTCCACACCACTGTCAACGGAGAGGAGGCTGCTGCCGTTCGTGCCCGCTTCCTTGCTAAGCGCACGGTCGTTCAGTCCGACTGCACCGGCACTCGCCGCACCGCTACTGTGGGTCCCATCTCGGCACTGCCCCGGAAATCTGCCACCACACATCTACCCCCCTTGTGCCTCCCGTTATGGACTGTCTCTATGAGTTATTTAAAATTTCTTGGGAAACTTATAGACGACGTAAATGTTCAAGATTAACTTGACGCTGACCTTGACTTCTACCTTAGGTCAACGCTATCAGCCGTTGCCGCTCTCTGGCTGTTGCTGCTTCCCAGGCTGCCGCCTCCGGCCCTGCCGCTAGAATGACTGAATACTTCAAGTCCTCTTCGTAAGTTATCTCAATATTTCCCAAGTATCCTCTCGCTTATTAATAACTCCAGGACCTCCACCCGTAACACCGTGGCCACTGTCTTCTCCAGAATCGCCAGCGAGTGCGGAAGCACTACCTCTGGTGTTTCCCGTCAATTCTGCACTGATGTCTACCCTGCCTGCTCTTCTGGCGTCATTGCATACACTGTAAGATATTCTTCCCAAAAAACGCTAGAGCCAAAGACTGACCTGCTTCAAGCTTCCCAGCCAGAGCTACATGGTCAACTGCCCTCTCTTCTTCACCATGACTGCTGCTTCTGGCACTTGCCATGCTCAGGACCAACAGACGACTATGTTAGTACCTTTATTTCTATGTTTAAAGACAGTGCAAAGTGGATATGACGACGTTGGGCTTGATTGAAACTTGACAATGCACAAAGCCAAAACACTAACTTTAAGACAGTCTTCACGAGATGACACACTTGACCCAGATTGCGGGTACTTCTGACTGTAAGTGTTCTGTGTTATTCATTTCTTTCTCCGTTTCTGCTTCGTCGGCTGGTCAAATGTAATCTTGACACCACCTTCGACCACCATCCCACCTGTTACAGATATGAAGCTAACTGAACTAGACGGCGGCTATGGATACAACTTCGTTCGCTCTCTCACCGCTGCCCAGAATATCAGACATGCTGACACTTTCACCGTATTCAACCCTTTTCTGCGTTATTGAAGCTATCACTAACTTAATATCACAGCTTTTCGCCCAGTGTAAACTCTTCCGCCTCCTGCTCGTCTCCCAAGACATGACACTGACATATGGCTCTAGCTATCTACGCCGGCTGCTAAATAAACTTCTAGGCTTTCATAAATTTACAAAGGAAAGACTTTTAGCTTGGGAGCATTGGTGGCGATCCCACCCACCGGAGTATGAACATCAAGGTGGAATGTTGTATGCATGTAACAATGTTGAAGGATTCAGAGGGAATTGTGGCATTGAAAAAAAGGTAGCGAGATATCGCAATATATCACTTCCAGAAACTGCTATTCGGACAAGGCGCAATATGTGTCTGCGTGTATAGGAATGTGCAATGTTGCTTGGGTATTATCTCGGTGTCATCGGAGGGATATGCCAAGATACAATCCACGTTTAATTCGACCCCGGCTAACCAGGGTCGAGTCATTCCCAAACTTCGAGTAACAAAGGTCCGAAGTTTATACGAATTCAGCCATTACAGAAACAGTACTCTGAAGGAAAAGGATAGGAGTCCGTGATTTACAAATGCAACTGTTATATTACCTCAATACTTATAACAAATGGTCTACTCAGTTCAAATACAGCCGTCAAAGGCTGTCAAAAAAGGTTTCCTTCGTTGGATTCCTCCTCAAAAGCAAAGTCTGATGAGCTACCAGAGAAATAACAAAGATGAAATGTGCAAAACCACTATTGGAACCTTTTTATTTGAGGCTTTCGGTGTATAGACTGAAGACACCAAGTTTTTCTTGGAATGCCTATGCCTTACAAGAATGAGCCTCTCTCGTAACATCATGGGTATTGTGGGCTTACAGAACGCTCGGTTCACGACTATTTGGCCTTTGTCTGGACAAGAAGTGACTGCATTAGCCTACCAAGCTCCCCGTTTGGGCTTCTGAGTTCATCAAGGACGCTCATGCTGTCAGTCTACTTGTAGAAAGACCAACAAGACGGTCTACCCTCTCAGCACTTCATTACCGCCTCTATCGCCAAATGCCTGAATCCAACCCATGGGGCAAACTTTTGCACAAGCTTTGATTCGGTTCTGATTGGCCCTAGTGATCAATATTACTTCTTTTCAGTTTTACCTGTAATTCTTAACTCGCTAGTTGACTCCCTAATTTGTACTACGTGGGTAGTTGTAATAGAACCTTCTAAATCGTTGATCCTATTTGTAACATTTGATTGTCGACAAAGACCTCGCATTGACCAAACTGTTCAAACTAGAACTTGAATAAAAAGACGTCTTTCGGGCCTATGAGCAAGGAGGGTATTGGATCTCTGAGCTCGTTCATCAAGCCCCGGTCTATTGCGCAAGATGGACATCAAGATATTTATTTAGGAATTCGAAATGGATGTGCCTCCGTGTTAAACACATAGTCGTCTAAGCTGATGAGATCAGGGGGCGAGAAAATCAGATAGAAGTATTTCAGAGTCTCTGCAAGCCAGAAGCTCTTTTGTGAAGGTGTTAGTAATAGAACCAGATGCAAACTCGAAGTGGCAAATCAGTGCACTAGCTTCTTACCTCCATTTCATCCAACTTGTTTGTTTGAGTTGGGTTAGCTGTGACATCAGCAATAGCTGAGTGTGCATGTTTTGTCTGAGTTGATTTAACGATAGACTCAAACATCCGCCAGGCAATATCTTGAAGATCTTGTCGACCAGTCATTCTGTATAGCAGGAATATGCTTTCGATTGCTTCCGGCCGCAGGATGTATCGCGGGTCTCGTGCGTCTTTGAACCCTTTTGCCAGTCCTAGGTCACCCTCTCTCTTCCATCTTGTCTCGTCCCAAATACATTCGTCACCGTGCTTCTGCTCGCATGGTAAGAGACTAAAGATTTCTGGCATCACACCAGAGGGAAAGGCGTTGTATGCCCACGCGCACCCCCGAGCAAGGCGTTCACCTAGAGCAACGTGGTTTTCAATGGAAAACAGTTTGCCCCCAAGGCCAAACATGCCACCTGCAAAACAGGAAAGATGTTGGCCATCAGGTACAAACTCGACCTTGCCCGGGTAAACAATTGCATCGCCCGCGAATAGAATGTCGTCACGCTCTGGCGTCATTGGCCGGAAAAGAAGATGTTGCTCTGCAATGGCCATCGCTCCGATGTACATTTTCTCGTAGCTCGAGTCCTGTCCGCCTAGAAGGGCAAACATTTTTGGCAAATACTCATATAATGAATCCGCTAGGGCGCCTAGGGTAAAACTTGTGTCGTCCACTGTTTCCTCACGGAAATTTATCATTTTCGGCCACATTCCAGGAAGGCGGGACTTGAACTGAGATTTTTCGAGAAATCGTACAATGCGATCAACAGCATCGAAATACTTTGGGTCTCCAGTAAGTTGTGACAAACGCGTGAATTCCATAGATAAGGAGCCAGGCGAAGCAGATGGGTCATGGGTCCCCGCCAGTTGCGTACCCTTTTTCGCATCTTCGAAATTAACCCAGAATCCTGGTAGGCGGTTCGGTGTGTCAAAACCCAAGTAGAGCATATCCCCGAACTCCTTCGCCTTCTCAAGTAGTGCTGGCTCACCACTAAGGTCGTATGCACTTAACAAACCGCCTAAATGCCGAATGGTCGTCTCGAACAAGTTGATGCTACTGGATGTCGTGTTTGCCAAGTCGAGTTGTGCAACCGTGCTGGCGGCTATACGGAACTCTTCCTTGAATCCCATAATCCATAGAGTGTCCAGCGAATCCACAAGGGTTGCCGCCCATCCTCCAAAGGTGTCTCTACCCTTCGCGCTAACCGGTGTCAATTCGTCTTTCCCCCATGCAAATTTCTTATAGCTGTTGTAGCTTCGTATGAAGACATCGCGGACCGCTTTCTGTCGTTTCGGTGCTTCTGGATGTGGATTTGCCACGCCGAATTCGTGTTGAATCAGAGGGAGCTTCAATGGCTTGCTCGTTGGTAACGGTTTGAATGATGACACTGGATAATGCTGCCGTACTGTGTTCCAATCGAAAGAGCTGTTGCGAAAGCGAATTTCGTGGTTCGGATTGCTCGGAAGCAAAACGGCCGACCTCGAGCCATGGGGAGGGAGAAAGAAGAAAATCGTAATAAAGACGACGCCAATGAAAAATGCCAAACGGGCTGGGCGCCGAGGGACGGCAATTTTGCTCGCATGCGTCTTCATCCTATGAGCGGCGGACATACTTGGGCCTCATTCATGCTGGTCAAAAAGAGGCGACGAGGCTGATGTTGCTCGTCCAAAGTCACGGATCTCGGCTGCGTCAATGAAGGAGACCCCAAGAGGATGGACATGACTACATCAGCGCAGACACATGGGCATGAAGCTTTCATATACCTCTTTCTGATCTAATAGAGTTTCAGGGAGCTATTAGAGTATTTGCAACTGGGTGGATTGCGTGGATCAGCTCCATGGTCATTGGTGCCCCTGTAAGCCTCATTATCAATAGGGTTTGTTGCAGAAAAGTGGCATTTTCATGTTATAATGAAGCTTGCAAGCAAGGATTTCTCAGCTACTTGTTGGAGTAATGTACCTATCATACCCCATTAAACTGCGTTGGGCGATCCCGTTTCGTCTGAGTTACGACACAGACCTAGTTTCAATGCCACCTCCCTTCATGATCCTAGCTTCTTAATGGTTACCGGCGCAGAAGGTGGGGCAGCGAAGCAAAGCGCCGAGTATTTCTGTTTACAGCGATTGGTTCAGACCATAACCTGAACTGGCCCCAACCAAATACTCAGATGAACAACTCTTTGACTTAGTTGTCTGTTCTCACCTCGTTTAAGCCTTGCTTGCAACAAGGAAAACACGGCGACATGGGCATTGTTTCCCTAATAATTGTCATGAAAGCCATTAACATCAGCTACGGTTTGCATCAGGTAAATCAATGATTTTCTGCCAATCAATAGAGAACTCACTTCAAACTCAAATAAAACATCTTGCATTCCCAGGTGGTATTCGCTACCTTGCTGTATCATTCCCCACAGTTCTTCGCTTTTGCAATGCCGCATGAGAAGCTCTACTACGCGCTTAGACAGGCCGCTATTAAAAGTAATCAAAACCCACCGTTGTGTCTGACGGGCCCAGTCACGAAACAAATCCCTTGAACGCAGAATACATAAGCATAGACTTCTTTTAAGCATAGAGTTTCACTTCTTCCCAAAATCATACTGTCGCATAGGCTACCCGCTAGCTCCTACAATATGTTTTAAGAAGGCACTTATTTGACCTAAGCTTTAGGCCACGCACTAGACATTCTATGATCAGCGGAATATTGTTTCATAAACTCTTGCGTTCTTACCAGACCCTAAATTCAAGACCACTTTCGGCACAGACCAAGGTGTCCGATGTAGGCCACCTTTGAGCACATTATGGGATGGCCAACAGAAGAAAAAAACCTCCTCTCATTTTTCAAGTTGATCATTCTATCGATCACACAGGTAGCGTAGCTGCGGTTGCGGATGCAATGTCCAATAGGATTGTAAAACTCCTCTCCCGTTTATGTGCCTTTCGCATTCTCAAAACTATCAACTGTGTCAATTGCCTGTTTCCGCGCCCGTCCCGCTAAGAAGGGCAAGATTCTGAATACCAGCTAGACCGTAAAGTGCAGCTATATTTGTCGATATCCAAGGAGCCTCGTCAGTAGGCTCCAGAACGTGCAACTTATCCACCTCTGTACTTTGCCATGGTGACTCAGGGCCAAAGTCACGAAAACCGTCACCATTTTTGAACTCTTCAACGGCGCGCCGAACCAAATCAGGTCTCTTCAACTCGTTTGCTGCAAAAGCGGTCAGGCGTGAGTGACCCTGGCGAAGTTGAAGTCTTCCCCATCCGGGTTGGCCATACCGAGCCTCTTGCTCCTCCTTTACCGCATTGAAATACATGCAATAATCAAGCCAAGCCGCCCGAAAACCAGATGCCGTCGCTTTTTGGGGAAATGATTGTAATATTTCAGCAGCAACCTCAAAGAGCCCAAACATGGCCGAGAGGTGTGAAACCTTCACAATACCTTTGTTTTCGGTATCAGTTCTGGGGGGCGTGATGCGTCCAGTTGATGGATCGTAAGTCACATTGCCTGTCACGAAGCCGTTGGCAAGCGCCCCAATTCCTTCGATTGAGTTGAAAAGTTTTTCCTTTGCCTCGATCCATCGTGATCCGCGACGCTCATATTCAATGAGCCAAGACGATGCAAGTGCCGCCCAGTCAGTGCCGAGACTGATCTCAACAGCTCGAGGGTCTGGCTTGTAGGTTTCCCGGTCTCTGCGAACCTTCCGATAGGGGTCCAACGCGAGGAACTTTTGACCTACTTCCAGCGTCTCTTCTAGAAGCTCCGCAATACGCTCATCACCCCCTGAGAGGTAAAAGAAATAACGGCGATATAAAGCGTTGGAAATTCGAGCTTGCTTGCAGCTGTCACTCCAGTGCTGCACACCATGTCGGGTTCCGAGACCTTTGTATAACCCTAGGTGATACACGTCAACCTCCCCTGTGTGCCGGGTAAGTGCCTCGGCCATTTGGAAGACTTCCGAGCGTCCAGTTCGGAGGAAAAACAGCCATAACCAAAGGTCTGGTGACAACTCTGAGTTATCCCATGCATATCCCCCGACATCATAACGCCAGGTATGCCGGTCTGAGTCAAACGTGTGCATGATGTCACCATGATCCCAAAAGCCGTACCATCTTCTCTGCTCTACTTGTCTTTTATAGAAGTTGAAGAGGAAATCTAGATGGTCATCAACATCTCCTAATTGCGCAGATTGGAGTTGGGATCTTGGAGACCAGTAAGTTCCAAAAACTCCACTTTCGTGAATGCTTTCGGGGCAGGACATCAATTTCGGAGGATCTCGAATGTGCCCAACTAAGTCTGAGAGGGTTTCCGCCTTGGGTGTCGACTCTGTAACGTAAATAAACAACTCGTTTGTACGGGATACTCCGTACGGTGATCCTAGTTGTGGCTCCCAGTCTTCGTATGTGACTTTTAGAGCGTCGAGCTGGTCGTCAAAGCTCTCCTGCCCAAGACCATCGTGGTAAGGACGTAGGTCCATCGGGCCAGCCTTTGCATCGTACAGCCAGAGCGTCAAATCAGTTCCCTCAGTGGCGGATTCAAGGCCGCGAATATCGACGCCAGTAGGGTATCGCTCCCAGAAGTACCTTGATCCAAGAGCGATGCCGCCCTGGTTTGCACCACCGACGTAGGCGACACCGCCTGCCTTTGTTCCGCTGGCTGTTTTGATCCAAGGGTGGCCTTCTTTAAGCCGTTTTTCAAGGGTGAAGCCGTCAGGTGAAAGTTGGTGTAAACTATAATCGTTCCATACAGGCACCCAACGAAGATTAGCTTGCTGCAACTCCGTATTCCACGTTTCCGGGCTACCAAGCGAACGACCTTGCACTTGAGCAAGTCTAACCTCTTGTCCAGGGTCTTTCCAAAGTCCCGTCACGCCTTGCGCACTTTCACCGAGAACTCCTCCCGAAGCCCCAGCAAAGCGTATGTGGCGGTCGAACGGCGCCTCCTCTGCCAATGGCAGTGTGATACGAAACCCAATGCCACGGACAAAGTCGTCATTATCCCCGTCATATGTTATGGTATGGACAATCTTGACATGTTCTGATCCAGCATATAGGTAGAACCTAAGTTTGAAAGGAAGCCAGGCACGATGTAGCGGCACCTTTAAGCTTACGTCCTGGGGGACGTGGGTATGGACACCACTCACAACGACCACAGCACGAACAGGCCCAGCCTGCTCAACTAAGACTCTTTCAACATCACCCACAAACTGGTGGTATTGGATAGAAGGGCTTGGTTCATCGGGATCAGAGATCCCGGTCTGCGAAAGGAGTACAAGAACGCCGTCTGTGCCTACAGTACTGCCCTTGTTGTTGATAATGGCCTGGATAATTTTATTACCGGCTTTTGAAAAGACGACATCGATCTTTCCAGTTGATACCTTAATGGTTTCAGTATCCTCTTGGACTCCGATCGAACTGGCATTGGCGGTCGTTGTCTTCTCACCACCGGCTCTGATAAAATAGCTGCTCTCTGCCCGAGTCGCCGACGGAATGGCATGGCTGGTCCACTTGATCGATCCATCAGGCCAGTAGGCGGTAGGCCATGTCTGCAGCGGTACATCTTTTCCTTCTTCCGTGACACACGAAAAAGCGGTATTCCCCTTGCCGCATGCTCCAGCTTTCCAAGGTACGGCAAATGTGACCCCAGGGTTTCTCGACGGCTTTTGTCCGAGCCATTGAACCCTCGTCGCTGGCGATGACGCCATTGTTTCGCCAAGCGAATCCAAAAGGTTCGTAGGTCTCGAGGTATGCAAATGGCCGTAAGGATTCTCTCAAGAAATTGCCCAATTAGACTGTTGGCAAAGCAATTGAGCAAAAGAGAAATATAAATGACTTGCTGCCACCGCCCTGGACTTAACCAAGGTATGTTCTCATGGGCGCACCGAATGGAAAGCAACAATCTTGTGCAGGAGACCGATAGAGCTTAACTTTGTCGTTTAGCAAATTCGGATGTTTCGTGAGGGGGTTCGTCGGCTAAAGTCGAGTCCGGAGGGAGCTGGAGTGGAATCGGAGCGGGGCCGAACCATGTGGGACATGTCGATAACTGCTTATCATGCCGGTCTGACCCCGGCCCCGGGGTCCGGAATGGTCGCTGACTGGTTGGAGCTCGTATGGCGTGCTATTGTGTCATCTACTCACTTATCCAAACGCACATCTTCAGGGTGTCATCGGTCTAAAAGATGAAAGTTTAAGGCCGATATCACTCATTTGGTCGGCTCTTTACTAATTTCGGAGCAAAGTATGCCGAGGCTTGCAGTGTAGATGGAGCATTTGGATCAACACTAACAAGATGCGACTCTAAAAGGTTTTTGTAGATCCTCTGCTGTGCCCTTCTTTGATTTTTCACACTAGTAAAGAACCAACATGACTGCCATTGATATTAGCACAGACAAAAGAGAGCCGGATGTCTTTTCGACAGACTTTCCTGATTCCAAAGTCTCTATAGACGATTTAGCGGAGCCGCCTGTGCAACAGCAAACCTACACTAGTTGGGGATTTGTACGCAACAAGCGTCAGAAAGTCGAACCGGAAGCCATTGCAACTGTTCGCAGTGTATTCGATAACCCCGATCTAGCTTGCTTCTATCACCCTCATCCTAAGTACGAGAATATCAATGCATTCGATCCAAAGGAGAGATGGACACATCGAGAAGAACGTTCGGTCCGCCGAAAGGTTAGTGGTTTGAGTTGAAGCTTTCAGCAATGTGCTTATAGTCCTAGGTTGACTTTCGAATCTTCATCTGGGTGCTGGTCATGTTCTTTGCCCTCAACATCGATCGTGGAAACTTAGGACTCGCAACAGCAGATGGACTGGTCAACGATCTTGGCATCGACACCAACGACTACAATAACGCTCAGAATATGTACCGCGTTGGGTTTCTTATTGCCGAGTTGCCCTCTCAAATGATCGGAAAGAAGATTGGCACGGACCGTTGGATTCCTACGCAGATTATCCTCTGGAGTGTAGCATCTGGTGGACAATTTTTCATGGCCAATCGCGCAACCTTTTTTGCATGCCGCTTCTTCATCGGCCTCTTCATGGGGGGCTTTATCCCCGATGCGGTATTATACCTCTCGTATTTCTATAAGAATAGCGAGATGCCCATGAGGTTGGCCATTTTCTGGTTTGTCAACTCAATGTCCTCCGTCATTGCGTCCTTCATCGCATATGGCGTTTTCCACCTCCGGGGGGTCCAGAACCGGGAAGGCTGGCGTTGGCTGTTCCTCATCGAAGCTTTAATCAGTGTTACCATTGGATTCCTGAGTTTTCTCTTTATGGTCCCTGGACCAACACAGACTAAGAGCTGGTGGAAACCGAATGGGTACTTCACTGAGCGTGAAGAGAAAATCATCGTCAACCGTGTGTTGAGAGACGATCCTTCAAAAGGTGATATGCATAACAGACAAGGCATTACCCCAGGTATGCTATGGAAGAGTTTTAAGGATTACGATTTATGGCCTATCTATGCCATTGGAATCTTGTTTCAGATGCCTGGAGACCCCCCAGGCCAGTATCTTAACCTTTCTCTTAGAGCGATTGGCTACGACAGGTTTACGACGACACTCCTCAACATCCCCGTAACTGTTGCAGCGAGCTGTACTATGCTGGTAAGCATGAAGCATATTATTGTTTTGCTGGAAGGCATGGCCAGCTGACCTTTTTTAACACTCCCTAGGGCATCACTTTTTTGACCGAATACTTCGTATGTATGAGCTCTTCTCTCCATCGAATATCTTGCTAAACAGAAGCAGCATCAAATATCATTCCTCGGCTTGATATCGCAGCTTTGGTCTCTTCCATTCCTGGTCATCATCTACACCTCAGCCCAACACCTGTCAAACTGGTCACTTTACGCAGTTCTGTTCCTCTTACTCGCATCGCCATCAGTTCATGCGGCCCAAGTTAGCTGGTGCTCGCGTATCAGTAACTCAGTACGCACGCGTGCTGTCAGTTCCGCTGTATACAACATTATGGTGCAACTTTCCGGCATTGCATCATCTAACATTTATCGCAAAGATGACAACCCACCTTGGTATCCTCGAGGCAATAGTAACCTTATTGCTATCAATGTTGCAGTAATTGTTCTATATGCTCTTACTAAGTGTTACTACGTGTGGCGCAACAAGCAAAAAGAGAGGCAATGGAGCGCTATGACAACAGAGGAACAACAGCAATACCTCATCAACAATGCGGATCTTGGAAACAAACGACTTGACTTCAGATTTGATTGTTAAAGGCCATTCGAATGAATATAAGTGCGACTGCAATGGTTACATATGCATAACATGGCTGGCTCAGTAAACACATTATTCAGAGAAGCAGGTCAAACGGAAATAAAGTATTCTGAACATCATTTAAATATAGTTTATCGCTATCATACAACGGTTTAAGAAGATGCTTAGTACTTCAGCTGAGATTGAGCCATCTTCAAAATTCTCTCAAAGCTCTCCAAGGCCCATGTCGGTTTTGTCAAGTAGAATCCAGCCGTCACAGCTCCAACTCCAAACACCCAAGGCAGCGCTTTGCGCAGACCAACGAAAATCGCGAGTTTGAAAAATCGGTTCTGCCTTGTTCTTACCCGATCAAGATGTTCTTTTCTCTTGTTAGCAACAGGAAAATCCACCGTCTCAGGCACGTCCTTTCCAAGGAACTCGCACAGAGGCTTCCAGCCGTCTTTAAGGTTGAACTCCAGCAACCTCTCTTTCGGTACAGCAGCTCGAATCTCCGCATAATGTCTCTTGTATCTCTCCTTCGCAACTTTCCTCATCTCATTGACGTTGCGAACTTCATAGAAGCCTAGAAGAATTTTCCTCAGAGTCTGACCTCCTGCCAAACCCCAACGAGGGCCAAGGTAATCAATGATAAGATCTGCGCGCCAACCCCACGTCGTCTTGAAGATGGCCTCGTCCATGCTCTGGAACCAGCTATCTATATCGCGCTCTACAAGAATGATTTTGGCATCAGGATAGGCCGCTATCAGCTGCAAAGCGAAAAAAGAGCCCATGTCTGTGACTGCCTCATAATTGCCGAAGAGCGACTTCCAACTTTCTTGTGTGAAGGGTGCGCCGGTGTAAGTTGGCAATGTAGGAAAGGTTGAGTCTGCAGCTGCAGAAAAGAGGGTCCACTCGCGAGGAGATGTAATGGCTTGGATGCCGTGATGAACGCCATCATAGCCAAGAATTGTGAGAGCTTGGGTTATGGAAGCAGACCCTATGAAATGGTGAGAATTGGACGAGGTTTGAAAATTGGCTTTACACTTACCTGTTCGAGTCATTCCTAGAGAAAGAACTTTCATCTCCTTCGACAGCGGAGCTGAAGATGCAATTTTATTTTCCATAGCTGAGGTAGGTTATGGCGGATGGTTGAAGCACTGATACAAAAAAGTGGCGTGGTAAAACGAATTAGAATACTGAAGCGTCGTGAGTGAATAGCCCAAATTTCAGTGGAGGCAGAAAAGAATCACCTCTAGTGGGAATTTGCGCATTTTGAATCGGATTCCACAACAAAGTCCAGAAACCGTTATCTGAGAGTATTATCTGTAGTCAAGCACGTGGACAAGTGAAAGGCGGTGGCTTCGACTTACAGCATAAATCAATTGCTAGGATCCCTTGTACTGGTTTTACGAGTCATGGGGATTACAGCCAACAACCCCCTAGACCCTTGTCACGGAGTAACATTGACAGGACGCGTACTGCATCTTCATCGATCCAGAAACCCTGCTCTCTAGTTATATGGAGAGACATGCTACTCAAGCAGTGGAGATAGTACACTGGACGAACAAACAAACACAAGATGAATTGAATGTATCGGAGAGGGGCCACAATTGGACAAGACGATCTAAATAGTTATTATACCAACTCATTTCAAAGGTAAAAGGAGCTTTTTCTTTTGTCTTCAAACTGACGGTAAGGTCTATTCAATACCCACTAGGAGTGATATCCTCTGGCAGTGAACACCAGTGAATGCAGTGGACGGAGTATGAATCCGGCTTCATCGCATTTGTATCTTAGTCCAGTTCATCATCATCTTTAGTTTTATTTAAGGCACAACAGTAGAGCCTTGTATGTGACCATTTACGGCACCAATCGACAATAATTATAGGTCTTTCAATTGCTCAAAACAAGATGCCAAAACAGACCAAAATGCTACAGAGACTAAAGAAAAGACAAGTGTAATTTCGAACCCCAACTCCTTTTTCTCATTGAAATCTTCATGCCGCTTCCTGAACCAACAGTTTGCTCTTACCTGCCAAATCGGCAGCAAGTTGTCTCATGGGAATAGTCGCCATGATATCAAACACACTGACCTCGACCGCAACCTCCTTTGCAATCCAATTGCGCACCTCAACAGCCACCAAACTGTCAACACCGTAAGCACTCAATGGCTTGCCTGCGTCAACATCATCTTCAGGCATCATCATCAGCTTTGCTAGACGCTGCACTAGAGCAGAGGTAATCAGGTGAACAGCCTCATCGTCCGCCTTTCCGCAACGGACCAGCTCGTCGCGAAGAGAGACTGAAGCCGAGCCGCCGGCTTGAGATCCAGCAGCTGTCTTCCGCAGACCAGCGAAACGCTGATCTTGAATCCAGTACCAGGCGTCATCGTGCTCATTGTACGGAAGACCGCACATGACCTGTGGCGGATGGGCATCGGTACCCTCAAGGGCAGTAGCCATGAGGCCGTGCAGGTCGCTCTTGTGCATGACCTTCAGGCCCATTGCCTTGACGTGGTCAACGTACTCATCGTGTTCGGCAACAAAACCTACACTGAGAAGGTAGCCAATATCAATGGTCATGGCACGCAGGCCCTGGCTGCGGCGGTAGGAGGCGAAGTAGTCCTGGAAGATGTTGCCGCAGCCGTAGTTGCCCTGTCCACGGTGGCCCATTACTCCTGCCAGGGAACTGAGCATGACGAAAAAGTCGAGATCCTTAGGCAAAAGTTCGTGGAGGTTCCAGGTTCCGTGTACCTTGGGGCCAACAGTGATTCGGACGTGGTCAGCCGTCATTTTATCAAAGAGAGTGTCCTGCAACAGATGGTTAGCGTTGAACTGATACAACAGATGTGGGCGAGAACCGGCACAGAACGCTCAGAATGGGAAAAGTGGTGTTGTTGGTTGGAAGAACTAACTAACTGGCTAGAGGGCTGTGGAGGCTGGCTAAGACCAGTGGTGGCGGCCGTCAGCCCACGTGACGGGCCGGCGAGGCCTGCCACCCACAACAGATACACTTTGACTTACCCGAAGAACCATGGCTCCGGTGACGCATCCTTTAACCTCGGGTACGTTCTTGGACCTCAAGTTGTCCAAGACATTTTGAAGAGCAGCTTTGTTACCAACGTCACAGTCGTAGGCGTAGGTGTTGACATTGTAGGTGCTCTGCAGCTCGCCTGCAAAGGCTTTGTTTTCCTCGCCACTGGCAGCAGAGCGCGACAACAAGACTAGATGCTTTGCGCCCTTCTCGGCCAGCCAGCGACCAATCTCTTTGCAGATTCCTCCAACACCGGCAACTACGTAAGTCGCATCAGGTTGGATGTCGACACGGGGCATGCGCGGCACGGCAGGAACCATGTCCGCGTCGTCAACCCGCACGACAACCTTGCCCATGTGCTTACCAGCCTGCATGTGGCGGAAGGCCTTCTCAACCTCAGACATGCTGAAAAGCTGAATAGGTGCAATAGGTTTGACCGAGCCATTATGGATAAGCTTGGCAGTGTCCTCCCAGAGAGCGACGGCGCGAGGCGTGGGGTTGTTTTCGAAGTCAAGGAGATTGACACCAATGTAGCTCTTGTTGTCAAGGAACGGCTTCATATCAAGGCCGGTGTTAGCGAAGAGATCGGCCTTACCAATCTCAAGGAAACGACCAAACTTGGCAAGGCAGTGCCAAGACAGTCGGAGGGCTTCACCTGCCAGGGAGTTGAGCACAACATCAACACCCTGCCCGTTAGTGGCGCGCATGATGGCCTTTGCGAAGCTGGTGTCACGACTGCTGAAAATGTGGTCCTCAGGGATGCCGTATTGCTGCATAATCAGCTCCTTCTTTTCGTCAGAACCGACAGTAGCGAAAATCTCTGCTCCCTTCTGCTGGGCGATCATAATTGCGGCTTGACCAACACCTCCAGCGGCGGCATGGATCAAGATCGTCTCGCCCTTGACCAATGCTCCGGCAGTGACCAGAGAGTAGTACGCTGTGAGGAAAATCAGAGGCATAGATGCGGCCTCCTCAAAGCTCATTCCCTCGGGTACAGGAATGGCTCCCTTGGCAGGGAATCGAACGAAAGAAGCAAAAGTGTCGCAAGAAGCAGTCATGACGCGATCGCCAGGCTTAAAGTCAGTGACAGCAGATCCTACGCGAGTAACAATACCAGAGGCATCGACACCGAGTTTGTTCTCCGCAAGATTGCCCAGTGCAACAAGAACATCCTTGAAATTGAGGCCAACGGCCTTGACCTCGATCTCAATCCAATCCTCGGGCATAGGCTTGTAATATGTCTCGTCCTCTTCCCACCTGAAAGTGTCTAGAAGACCAGGAGTCTTGATTGTGAGCTTGAGAGGACGCCCGCAAGCCTTGAATGGGACAAGCTCAGGCTGGCCCTTTGCCTCGTACTTGCGGAGGGAACTGTCGACGTTAAGGGTCCGCTCGACACGGGGCACGTAGACGGTGCGGTCGCGAGCGGCATATTCGCCGTCAAAACCGTCACTGCGAATATGACCTGATGCGACCTTGAGGATGTTCTTTGCAGCCATTTCAAAGTTAACGTTGCCAGGAGTCTCAATATCAAGAGTGGCAAGGCGGACGCCGGCGTCTTCATTGCGGATAGCTCTTGAAAGGCCGACCATTAGCGACTTCATCGGATCAGAGCACTCCATAGCGGCTCCTCCTGTTATCCATAGAGTACCAGCAGAGCTCAGGATAACTTGGCGTAGCTTTTCCCAGTTCTCATCGCTCAGTGTTGCAAGAACAGGTGTCTCCCACTCTGCCAAGCAGAGGCAATACTTGCCACTGACGGTGGCCTCGGAAACGTCTTTCCATTGCACGATAGAAGTCTGATGGGCAAGACCAGAGAATTGCCCCTGAATGGATTGGGCGAGTTTGTCGGAGCTTTCAGTACCAGTGGAGATGACAACGAATTCCGAGGGGCCGGGTACCTCTCTCGCAGGCTTGGTCGAGATGATGAGCGAGACGGGTTCCTTGGACGCTTCACGGTCTCCTCGGATATCCACATCAACACCAGAAAATCCGGCCAGATTCAGGGCGGCATTCCACTCATCGACATCCAGGAGAGGACCGCCCGTGCGGCCATCATCCTCGCCCAGCCACCATCCAGGCAGGGGACCCATGATGAAGCCACTGAAGATGCGCTTAATGGTAACCTCGGAAAGAACAAGGCGACCACCTGGCTTAAGAAGAGACTTGCAGTGAGTCAAAGTCTCCTGGATACTCTTCGTAGCGTGCAAGACGTTGGCACAGACAATCAGGTCGTAGCTCTCGGGCTCGAATCCCTGCTCGGTAGGCTCGTTCTCAATGTTCAAAGTCGTAAACTCCATGATGGAAGCATCGGTAGAGAAACGATCAGCAGCCTTGGAAAGGAAACCGGGGGAAATATCAGTGAAGCAGTACTTTGCCGCCTTAGAGGTACCGTCGGCGTTGCGGAGGCGCTCAAGGACATGGTAGGTAGTACCACCCGTACCAGCACCAATCTCCAGGATTTTGACTCCAGGGCTCTTGTCAGCAATCAAGCCAACGTACTCCGCGACGTTGGTGTTGAAGCTGGTACCGAAAGCGCCTCTGTAGAAGGTGTATAGGAGGTCACCCTCAGTCATAACCTGCAAAGGCTCAACCTCACGGGTGAAGATGCGGCCCAAGTTTTGACCGATACGATCAACCATATGAACTGTAATATCGCCACTGTCGGAGAGAACAATTCTCTGGCGACAGGCTTCCATTTCAGCCTCAATCTCAGCCTCGTTCTCAGGGAGTGGGGGGAACTGCTTGATAGTGTCGTGCATCCAGTCGACGTAAAGTTTCCAAAATCCATCCTGAGGCGCATGGGCCTTGCCTTCTTCGGTCTCGAGCCAAGCAAGGCAACGGTAGATGTAAACAAGACAAACATATTCAAGCTTGTCAAGGACGGAGTCGTCGTCCTTGCTCTTCAATGTGCGCTTGTAAACAAGCTCCTTGATCTGGGACGATTCGAGCAGGTCGGCATCCTCGTGCCAGGCTTGACCAAAGCAAGATGCTCGAGTCTCCTGAGCTTGCTGTGCTTCACCCTCTCCGACAGAAGCCAACGAAACGCCATCCATAATTATCATGAGCTCAGCAAGGTCCTCCGAAATTGTGATGGACGACTTCCATGTGGTATAGCTGGTCTTCTGGGCTGTGGAGCATCCGTGCAGCTTGGTTCCGGGAACCGAAGGAAGCTTTGCCGACACGAAGATGCGGTCAAAAGAGAATGGAACGACGGCCTCATTAAGTGACTGGTCCTCGCCGCTGATAGAAGGGAAAAGCAAGTGGAGGACGGAGTCGAGGGTGGCCGGATGAACCACGGAAGGATACTCAAAGCCCTTGGGCATGACGGCTTTCGTGTCTGGGACGCTGATGATTCCGTAACTGCAGTTCGGTCCAGCGAACAGCTCGGTCATGTTACGGAAAGTTGGACCATATTGCATGCCAATGGTCTCCACAGTGTCGTAGAGGAAGCTTCTGGCAGGCTTCTGGCACAGCTCCTTAGCGTTGGCAAATGACTTTGCGTAGGATTCGTTCTCCAGAACTAGCTCGCGCTGCATGGCCGGGGAAAGAGACGATTTGTATGTGACAGAAACAAGGCCACGGGCATGGGCTGTCCATTCCTTAGTCTCCTCCGACCAAGAAGAGACAGAGAACTCATTCAAAGTAGCAGAAGGCCCGGCCTTGGTGCCAGTGCGGCGAGGGTGCAACTGGATCATGACTTCAATACCCTTATCGGTATCTGGCACTCTCAGAGCAGTGTCAATGGCGACATCACGGAGCTCGTATCCGAAGACCTCCTCAGTCGCATTCTCTTCAGCAAGTTGGCGGGCTGCCTCGATAGCCATGACGATGATACCAGCACCGGGATAGAGAATGTCGCCCTGGACCTTGTGTTCGCGGATCCAAGGGTTTTCATTGCAGCGGAGGAAGTTGCGCCAAGTTGGATCCGGCGTACCGGGAATGCGGTAACCAAGCAGATCAGTACGAGGCTTCTCTCTCAGTCTGTACTCACGGCTGAGGTATGATTCATCCCAGAAAGTACGGGTGTGGTTCCAAGCATAAGGTGGTAGGTCAACAAGCATGTTAGGGCTGTCACCAATCTCGTTGACGCGGTTGACGTCAATGACACAACCCTTTGTCCAAAGTTGACCTGCAGCTTCCAGAGCAGTGTTGACGCCATTAAACTTGCGTCTGAGAACGGTCATATAAGAGAGGTCGGTAAAGCGGTCCTCAACGGCAAAGGTGTCGAGGAGGTAGCTTCTCAGGGCAGAGTGAGGGCCAAGCTCGACAAAAGCGCTGGCAAAGGCGGTTCGGTCATGAGAGCGAACTTTGCCTAGGGTATGGTTCAAAAGCGACCGGACCGCACCGACAAAGTTGACTGGAGAGACCAAGTTATCAACCCAGTAAGAGGGGTTCATCTGCTCAGGCTCAACTAACTTTCCGGTAACAGAAGAGAACATAGGGATGTCGGCAGATCCATGAGGAATACCCGCCAGGGCAGATTCGTAATGTTCTCTCGCAGTTTCCATGTGGAAGGAGTGGTAGGCGACGTCCATTGATAGGCGTGTGCAGGGGATCTGCGCTTCCTTGAGAACCTCCAGTAACTCATCTATCGCTGCGCTGTCACCAGAGACAGTGCATGCCTTGGGACTGTTGAAGCAGCCCACAATGGCCTTGCCGAGCTTGAGAGACTGGAGATGTTCTGTGATGCTGTCCGCACTAGCAGAGACAGCCAACATACCACCGTTTTTTGAAACAGTCTGGGAAACTTGGCCTCTGAGCCATGCAATCTTAACGGCGGCTTCGTGATCGATATATCCGGCAGCGTAGGCAGCGGCAATTTCACCGCTGGAATGGCCTACAACCGCAGAAGGCTGAACGGCCCATGACTTCATCAAATCAACAAGGGCAACCTGAAGTGCAGTACAAGCTGGCTGGCTGTATTCCGTGCGGCGCAGGTTGCACTCTGACTCGGAGCGGTCCAGTTCTTCAGTTAAGTTCCACGTGCAACCAAGAGTCTTCAAAATAGACTCTGAGCGGAGCATGCTGTCCCTGAAGGTCTTGTATGCGGAGAGATCCTTGCCCATTTTGAAGTATTGAGCACCTTGGCCAGTGAAGACGAATGCAACTCTCGGGATTGATGAGTTGGACGAACGTACGACAGCAGGAATTGAGTCCAAGCTAATTTCGAGACCAGCAACGTCAGATGCAATGGCGAAAGATTTCCAGGGCAGCGCAGTTCTCTTGGAGGACATGGTGTAAGCAAGGTCGCTCATGTAAGAGGATGAGGTCGATGTCTTAGTCTCCAGATAGGACTGCAGACGCTCCACATTGCGCTTGACGCCCTCCTGATCGTTGGAAGAAAGCACAATGAGCTTTGGAATTGGCTCGGTCTCACTGGCAGTGCTACCCGTGCCGTCTTCCGAGACGGTTGACTTGGGGAGAAGTGGACGAGACACAGTCGCATGGCGTCCAGGAAGACCATGGCGGAATAGGTAAGATGCTGCATCCTCGAGAATAACGTGGGCGTTTGCTCCTCCAAAGCCGAAGGAGTTAATGCTAGCTCGCCGGGGGCCGCTGTGTGGCCAAACCGTCAAAGTTTGAGGAATTCTGACATTCTCGGGAAGGTCAATTTGAGGGTTAAGTTCTTCGAACCTATTGCACGATTAAGTTAGCAAGAACAAAGAACCTTTAGTCAGTATGTTTTGACATACCAAAGGTTCTGGGGAATGAGGCCTCTCTCGACGGCGAGAGCGGCTTTAATTACACCAGCGACACCGGCAGCACCCTCCAGATGGCCAATGTTCGTCTTGACCGAACCAACATACAAATCAGACTTACGTCCGGGTTGGTCACCGATGGTTGTGAGAATAGCGCGTGCCTCCAACGGGTCACCAGCCTGGGTACCTGTGCCATGGGCCTCAACATAACCAGTCTCCGCCGGATCAACACCCGCATTGCGGTAGGCCGTTCGGATAAGAGCCTGTTGGGCTTCGCTGTTAGGCAGAGAGATACCGGGAGTTCTGCCATCCTCGTTGGCCGCCGAGGCCAGCACGACGGCACGTACGGTATCGCCATCACGGAGCGCTGCATCGAGAGGCTTCAAAATTGTAACTCCAAAGCCCTCTCCGCGAGAAAAGCCGTTGGCGTTTGCGTCCCACATCTTGGACTTGCCCTCGGGCGACAGAATCTTGGCGGCACCCAGGAGGATGGACATGTCAGGGCCAAACATGAGGTTGGCGCCAGCAACAACACTCTATTATTGCTGCGTTAGTATGATCCAGCGCAAACTTTGTCATCCTTGTACGGTAGTTTCAACTCACCATTTCTGCCTCTCCTGTGCGAATGCTTTGGCAAGCGAGGTGAAAAGCTGTCAAACTTGACGAGCACGCAGTGTCAATAGTCATAGAAGGACCTCTGAGGTTGTAAAACCATGACAGTCTATTTGAGGCCAAAGATGATGAAAGGCCGGTAGCGTCTGCGATACCATTAGTTTTTACTGAAGTGGTGAAACGTGTGGTTAACTGACGGTAGATGGAGGGTCCCTCGTTATCACGAGCTTGCAGGTTTGGGAAGTCGCCAGTAAAGGTACCAATATAGCATGAAGTTTGTGTTCCGGAGACATCTTCCAGTCTTAACCCAGCTTTGACAAAGTTAGTCCAAATACATCATGTAGGTGTTCGTCTCAGATGTACCGTTCTCAAAACCTTCGTAGGTAGCTTCCAACAGCATGCGATGTGTGGGGTCCATAGCCTTGGCTTCTTTTGGTGTGACGGAGAAGAAAGGGGCATCGAAGACCTTGAAGTCTTGCTTAAGAAAGTGTGCATGTCTGCAGTTCAGATTGGTTAGCTGCTGCTTAGTACAATTGAGCTTTGAGAAACTTGCCTAGGTTGAATGCTGCCCAGCCTTTCTGGGTCGGGATGGTAGAAACCATCAACGTTGTAACGATCCTTGGGGATTTCGGATCGCGCAGAGCGGGCATCCAGAAGCATCTGCCAAAACTTCTCTGGATCAGATGCATCTCCCGGTGCTCTTAGGCCAATGCCGATAATGGCAATTGGTTGGCTCGTGGCATCTGCACGAGCGGTGGATTCTTGGATGAAGGGCATGGTGGTGACTGAAAGAAAGAACTGTTACAATGAAATAATTATTGGGTATCTTGTGATGGTGGAAAGAGCAGTTCCTAACAACAATGTGGCTAGAGAAGAGTCAAAATCGAAAATAAAAAGATGGCAGCAAACTTGGGTATAATATCTTCTCTCCTCGACACCTTTGGCAGACTCAACCGGTGTCCTCCGTGCGGTAGTTGATAACGGTGCCTTGCACCGAACATCTCGGCCCCATAAGCTGATAACGGTTCAGTTTTCCTAAACTTGACAAGTACACGAGAGGTTCGGGTGAACATTCTCCATCAGAATCGAAGGGCTTATCCAATGTGAACGAATCTTCGAAGCACGTTGTTCTTTCTTGCTGTGCATTCCACTGGAACCTACCCCAGAGCGGTGACAGACTGACATGCCGGAGCGGTTTCCGGGCCCTCACCCATATCCTATCCACTACTCGACCGCCAAGGGAACTGCCAAGAGTAGATGAAATCCGGGGGACATTGAGCACGGATTGGCTCCATCGTGAACGAATTGACAAGTAAGAATGGATCCGTTCCGAAGGGACCGTCGTTTTCGTTATTGCTCGGCGGGGCTTTGGCAGAAACAATGACTCGGACCTTAACAGGCCCCTTTTAAAGGCCACTACGATTGGCGAAGACCCAAATCCATGGTAGCACGTTGTTTTTTGGGTATTATGCGCACGTGGGGGATTTCTATCGTTGCCAGGTAGTGGTGTTTTATGAAGTTGCAATGCCGCCGGCATTACTGCTAAGTTGTTACGCGTCTCTTGTCGGTGCTCGCCCGATGCAAGGATATCACCAGCTCGGGACTTATGATCCTGGTTATGGATGGAGAGCTCCCTTTCCGGCTTCGCAGTTGCAATTGTTTTCAATTGTGGCGCTTCATTGTTTTTGCTTATTGATAGTAGCTGTAAACTTTGTGTTCTTGGAAACTCGAAATGATTATATAGAAAAAACAACAGTCAATTAAGTGTTTAATGTATTTAGAGTTGTTGCTGCAAAACTTGATTACTAGTAAACTCTATCAAAGCCTAACAAATAAGAATCTATTCCATAAACGGCTGGTACCAGCGAAACACATTATTTGGGTCGTAAACTTTCTTCAGCGACCGGAGTTTTTCCAATCTCCATGGCTCATATCCATACAATGCCTCCGGCTGATCCCGCAGGGTAGACGTTGTATTTCCGTAGTTGACGTACTGTTGCAAGCGGCCATATCCAGAGGCGGCAATGAATTCCTTCTTCCATCGGTCGAGATGAGCTTCAAACGGCTCTCGGTTTTCCATTTTGATCGGAGTTGCCATCAACATCCTGTTTGTTTAAATTTAGATCATGATGTCTCAACTCATACTGACTGGGGTAGGCTCATGTCTTACAAGAAGTGATTTGACCCCCAGCGCCAAGGAAATGCTGTGGCGTCGTCTTGAAGTTCTCTGACTTTCTGATGCGGTAGACACTCGAACATGGCTCCAAAGAAGCCTTTTCCAGCCCACTCTTCGTTCATGGACTTCACGCTCTCAAAGAATGCCTTGGTGGTTTTGAGGTCGAACTTTTCGACGCAGGCAGCTCCCATCATCTTGTTCGGGGCTAAAGACCATACCTCTGGTTTACTGAGAATTTTGTTTTGTCCTTTGTATGTCGTCCAGGGAAGGTCGGCCCAGGTAGTCTTGACCTTCCCACTGCTGATGATGGGATCAAGGCTTTCGAAGCGAGCAACCCATGGGTCTGCCTCGGCTTCGGATCCGGACCAGACGAGGTTGACTAGAATGTGGTGCTGACAAGACAAAGTATCAGCTTGGTTTCGATAATATGGGAATAGATAACGGGACTGTACCTTTCTTCCGCCGTCAGATTGGCGAATCCAGAGGACAAAGATAGCCAAATCAGCCGGCATATTCTCATGCACACTGTTTAGCGTCTCAAAAACGGCATCACATTGGTCCAGAGTATACTCCAGATCCCAAGTGTAATGATTTCCACCGTTTGCCTGGGGAAAGACGCGAAACGTTGCCTCAAGTGCAATGCCGAAGTTATGTCCTGCGCCACGTATAGCCCAGAACAGGTCTGGATTCGATTCTTCCGAGACGGTCGTTACACTTCCATCCGCAAGGACTAGCTTGCAAGAAACCATGTTGTCGTGCAAAAAGCCATACTTGCCCTGAAGCCGACCGAGGCCGGCACCGAATGCAACACCTATAATTCCTGTTGTCGGGCAGGAACCGACGTCTTTGTATTGTAAGAAGAACCAAACGATGAAAATTCGAGTTAAAAGATAGCACTCACTAACTTCCATTCCTACAGACTGGAGAAACTTGACAAAATCATCTGTGATCACACCTCCTCCGACCGTTACTTGTCGCTTGTCAGGATCAAACCTCAGCTTGTTCAGCGATCGCATGTCGATGAGGATGCCATTCTTCAGATGTCGCATTGTTGTTGTCACGGCATGATGCCCTGATCGCGGGGCGAAGGGAACGTCTTTATCTCTCGCATACTTGACAATCTGGATGACATCTTCCTCGCAACCAGGTGAAATGGAAACTAGGTACGTCTTCAAGTGACTCGTTATTAGCCTTCTCCATTCTCTTTAATCAAGCACTGAACAGTTGGACGGTGTCTATCTCACAGGGCGCTCATATTCAGTGAACCTCAAATTCGACTTCTCAAAGCTGTCTGAGCCCGGAAAGTGAGTGACTGCCTTGTCGGACAGCTTGGGCAAGAGTTCTTGCTGGATGTCGTCTCTTTCTGCTACTGCCGTCATATCGAATGCTGTCATCGTTTGCTGAGGTATCGAGGCGTAATTGGTGACGATCGAGAACACGTTAGTTGCTCAACACAACATGCGAAAGGACCGAAGTCGGCGATGCCACATGCTTCCTCTACTAGGTTATCTTCCAGACATATCCTTTGATGGAGCTACTGTGGATAGCTTTCATAAGCTGTACACCCATCCCACAGACTCCAGCACGAAACACCTTCATCTGGGAATCAGGAAACCCTGGGTCCAAGGTTCAGCGGGTCTCAAGCTCCAACCATTTTCGGATTATGACCCCAAACAGTGCCATGAAGATATCAAGTCCCACGTGGCTCCATCTAAAGCCAATGAGCCATCGGTTCCTTGACAACGGGTCATCTTGGGGTTCGAAATGCCAATGGCCAAGCATGGGGTTGTTGAGCTTGTTTAACAACAAGCATTGACTCGTGCATGCAAGGCCGCGTAGCAGTGGGGTCACTCAGGGATCTGGAATAAACAAGCTTTTCGCCTGCAGCGGCGGCTCCATCCTTAAATCAGGCCAGATGGCCGGCATTTGTTAACGATCCGTACATTTTTCAGGGGTCCAGATTTGGCAGACAGGGGCCCCCGGCACTTAATCCGCATGCCCAGGAGCATGTTCATGAACTCCAAATAGTTGTCCTTCGGAGGCAAGTTGTGGAGCTTCATAAACGTGCCACGATTTCGTCATCTTATTGGCAGAAGTCAAGGTGAGTATTATCCCATTACTGATCATGGAACACTTTGTCGGTCAAGTTTGGCCCCACGTTGTTCACAGAAAATGGAATGCCGAATGTCACTCCGGAGTGAGCGCCGAACAGCTCCCCTGTCATTGAATGATGGGGAGTTGGACGTGCATGGCCATTCCGCCTTCTGGCTTTGCAATCGCCATCAAGTCTTCTGAATCTTGAAGTTCAACATCTCAGGGACCATCAGATCGTTTCGCAGAAAACTTATTGACGATGGCGAAAATAGAGATCCCGGAGAACCTTGGAGCTCATCTAACTAAGCTACCAGCTCCAACCGTCGGCAACGTAGTCGTTGGCTTCCTAGGCGCAGTAAGTTCAAACCCTGCATCTGCGCACTTCAATCTCACAACGTTTTCAGATTCTGTTCTACGTTGTCTGCCGAACAATCTATTACCTCTACCTCAGTCCCCTTCGTCATTACCCAGGCCCTAAGCTCTGGGCAATCTCTCGCCTGCCATGGAACTACGTCAACATGAAAGGCCGTATCACTTGGCGTGTTCGCGAGCTACACGAGCAGTACGGCCCTGTGGTGCGGATCGCGCCCGATGAGCTCTCCTTCACCTCTTCGGCGGCATGGAAGAAGATTTACGGACAGCGCAGTCCCGAGTTTCCCAAAGCTCTCGACGGCCGCGGTATTGCTCCTGCGCATCTCAACGGGCGCAGGACGCTGATGACCGAAAGCCAAGAGAAGCACTCCAAACTGAGACGTGCAATTAACCCTGCTTTCTCGGAGCGTGCGCTGCGCGAACAGGAAGACTATTTCCAAACCCATTCAGACAGTCTTGTGAAACAGCTCATGAAGAGGTGCAAAGAAGGGCCAGTGGACATGTCCACTTGGTTCAATCTCTTGGCCTTTGACATTGTTTCTGGTAAGAAGTTTATATAGCTCCCCTAAAAGTTGACAATCTGACACTATGTGGATAGACCTCGCCTTCGGTACACCAGCTGGCTGCCTCAACAACGCTGACCAGCCTTGGATCCGAGTCATCATGTCCCGTGCCACCTCGTACGTTTGGATTCAGCTGGCGGTACAGTACGGCGTCTTCGAATATCTCTCATGGATCACCCCGCGTCGCGTTACCGAGGCACGCAAGAAACACATGGCCATGACGGAAGCCAAGGTGCGTCAGCGCATCGAGGCCAAGAACCCCGGCAAGGACTTCATGTCCTACATTCTCGACAATAAAGAAGAGAAGCTCTCGAATCTAGAGTTGGTTATGCTTGCCGGCACGTTCATTGTTGCCGGCAGTGGTACAACGGCTGGAGGCATGTCAGGCTTGACTTATCTTTTGCTCCGCAGCCCCGAGAAGCTTGAGAAGCTCAAGACGGAGATAAGAGAGACGTTCAAGACCAGGGGAGAGATTTCGATGGTCGCCGCTCAGAACTGCAAGTACCTCCGAGCGTGCCTCAACGAGGCCATGCGCATGTACCCTCCCACGCCTGGCTCCCTGCCCCGTTGGGTGCCGGGTAAAGGCGAAATCATCGACGGCCACTGGGTACCTGGTGGCTATGCTGTTGCCGTGAACCAGTTCGCCGCGGGCCATTCCAAGCACAACTTCCACCGGGCTAGCGAGTTCATTCCAGAGAGGTGGCTTGAGCTCAGCCCTGATTCTGAGTTCGCCAACGACGACCTGGCTTCTGTTCAACCCTTCTCTTATGGGCAACGTATTTGTATCGGAAAGCCGTAAGTTTCCGGTCTTACATACCACTGAGTAAGACGACGTAGCTAACTACTAGCAGGATGGCCTATGCTGAGATGAGCCTCGCCTACGCAAAGTTTCTCTGGCACTTTGAACTCGAACTTGACGATCCGTCGGACGATTGGTGGATAAAGCAGGGAACATACATCATGTGGGAAAAGGCGCCATTGATGATCAAGTTGCGCCTGAGAGAGGGTTTGGAACAGATGGGGTAGACTTTGAAGATGCCTCGGCAACACTATGTAGATCCAGTCTTGAAAAATGTAGTCATACTCAAAAACGTTGTGAGGTTGTATTTAGGTCCTTAACTCAACTGTTCTAACTGATCATCAGCGGGAGGACGGGAAGTCAACTCTTTTTCCCAAAGTCAAAGCTGGATAGACTCTGTCTCTGCTGTGATCCTTTCGATGCTCCGCAAACTTGCCGTTATCACTGTGCGCCTGCAACCATCACCTTGACAAAGATGATGACGATCTTCTGGATCCATTTTCAAATCCAGCAGTAATGATTGGGTGACATCTACTCTTCAATTGTTTGGTAAAGAACGATTCAATGCCTCGGTCCAGGCTTCCTTCGAACCCCTAACCCTGTCGAGCTCCATCATTCAACTCTCCGAGTCATGGACTCAACGCCAGGGGTCACCCATCTCCAGATCTCGGGGTCCAGCGCCCGCACAGGGACAGGGTTCAAGATCTGCTGTTGCTCTAGTAGCTCGTTTCTTTGGCCAATGCCAAGTGCGATTGATTGCACGTTTCTGGGGCCGAGATAAGAGGAGTGACGTAGGCCCGTCGACCAATCGCCAGCTGGGAAGAGAGTTAGGGGACCTGAGTGTGCATCCCGGAACTTGTACCGAAGGTGTTGAGGCGCTGAAGGCAGAATCCGGTGATGATTTGGTGATCCAACATAGTCCCCAGCGACAACAAACAAGCTTGAGCCAACGCCAGACCAAGCATCGTCACTGGTTGCAAGATGGCATCGCCAACAATCTTCACCGAGGCGCTGACTTCAGTCTCAGCATATACTCAAACCCCTCTCTACATCCTCGTCCCCGGCTTTCTGTTGATTCTCATCCTCCTCAAAAGGGTATTCCACAAGTTAAACACTTCCCGCAAAGCCCGTCAACTCTCCTGCAAGCCACCACCCCTCGAACCGTCATCTCTCCCCTTCGGAATCGACACAGTCCTCACTTCCCTCCGCGCAGACCGCGAACAGCGCACACCAGACCACGTAGCCTCCCGCTTCGCCGCCCTCGGCACTTACACCTTTCAAATCTCCCTCCTCGGCACCACAAACCTCATCACAGCCGACCCCCGCAATGTGCAAGCTCTCCTGGCAACCCAGTTCAACGACTTCGGCATGGGCCTCGCCCGGAGCACGAACCTGAAAACGGTTCTGGGGCGAAGCATCTTCGCCGCCGACGGCGCGGCCTGGCGGTCCGCTCGGGAGATGATGCGTCCGCTCTTCAGCCGCGACAACGTCTCCCGTCTGGACCTGCTCGAGGCGCACGTCCAAACACTCTTTCTCTGCATCGAGCGCGAAAACGCAGCATCGTCCGACGGCTGGACTTCCCCCGTCAGCCTGGCCTCCTTGCTCCCTTCTCTCACCCTCGACTCGGCGACGGAGCTGTTCCTGGGACAAAGCACGTCGACCCTCGAAGCCCGTCTCCGCGACGACCACTCCCACGCGGGGACGGCATTCCACCACGCCTTCGAGCGCATGCTCCACCTCCTGGGCGTCCGAATGCGCCTCCGCGGCTTCTACTGGCTCTACGGCACCGCAGAACTCCAGTCCTGCGTCCGCACGTTGCACTCCTTCGTCGACGACGCCATCGCGGCCTCCGACGAGGCGCGGAAGCGAGGCGACTCCGTCGCGCAGTACGACTTCCTCGACGTCCTCCGCGACCGCTGCGCCGGCGACACAAGCGAGGTCCGCGAACAAGTCCTGGGTCTTCTCGCCGCCGGTCGTGATACGACGGCCAGCCTCATGAGTTGGACGTGGTACTGCCTCCTCCGGTCCCCGCGTGTCTTCTCCAAGCTCCGCGGGAAAGTCCTCGATACGTTCGGGACGTATTCTCGGGATCCCGGCGAGAACGTGACCTTTGCGAGTCTGAAGCAGTGTACGTATCTCCAACACGTCCTCTCCGAGACTCTACGTCTTCACTCCGTCGTCCCCTTCAACTCGCGCCGCGCGCTGCGGGATACTACACTCCCGTCGGGCGGTGGGCCGGACGGGGCGTCGCCGGTCTTCGTGCCCGAGGGCATGGAGGTGAATTTCAGCACCCACGTGCTCCACCGTCGCAAGGACCTCTGGGGCGCTGACGCGGATGAGTTTGTGCCTGAGAGGTGGGAGGAGAAGAGGGGCGCCGCGAGCGCGGCGTGGCATTTCGTGCCGTTTAATGGCGGGCCGAGGATTTGTATCGGTCAGCAGCTTGCGTTGACGGAGGCTGGGTACGTGCTGGTGAGGATGATGCAGCGGTATGAGGCTGTTGAGGGGCTGGATGTGGATTGGACGAGGGATTGGCATAATTTTACTGTCGTGTGTAGTCCTGGGAGCCCGGTGGATCGGAACGAGGCTGTATTGTGTCGGTTAAAGGTCGCTCAAGAGTGAGTGGGATTCAGAGTTTATGGGTGGCACACCGAGTGGGTGTTTTAGAAAATAAGACGGACGAGTTAGGAGGTAGAAACTGTCTTATCTGTTCATTACTGATGAGGGATAGCCAGAGTGTGCTGCTATCTACGACATGAATATCCATGTTTGCTCCATGTTCCATCAATCAACTCGATCCAGCAAGACTATGTACTCTATGACCACCTCCAGCGCCAGATTGCGCAGCCATATTCATTTGGCCAATCCAAACACAAACTTTAAAAATTTTGCTCTTCCGAGGCCAAAGAGATGACCATTGATGAAGGAGTATCAGAGGGTATCATGAGTGAAAGCCAGAAGGTCCAAGTCCAAGTATGCCATTTGCGTGCACTTAGAAATGCTCCCTCGGGCACACTGGCAAGCCACCCAAGGTACTACCCGTACTGTCAATAGACATTGACCGATAACTTGCAGAGCTCTTGGTCATGGAAGCGCCCACAAGGCCGGTGGCGACGTCATGCCCCTCATTCATCTCCCAGCTGCCCTGTCGCGCATGCTTCACGCCCTGTCTGGATACGGACAGGTCAGGATCGCTGGCCCTCTTCTCAGCGGCCTTGAGACTGCCGAGGCCGGAAGCGTCGGCGCCGCCTTTGTTTCCGCCCTTGCGCTGACGCCGGATCCGGAAACCGCCAAGAACGGCTGCCAAGACAACCAGGCCGAGAACGGCAAGAATGATGGCTGCGCCGATGATTCCCGCAACAACGGGCTTCTTCACGGCCGATCGGATGGAGTCACCTCCTGCCGAGTTCTTTTCTCTCGACACTCCGCAGAAGGGCGAGTTGGCTTCACACATGGCGCACCACTCCGAGATGTCGACGCCGAACTTCAGCATTTCCTGCTTAAAGTAGCTGAACGTCACACGAGGCTCGGCAGCGGTCGAGCCGAAGAGCGCGTGCTCTTCAAAAGGGGTTTCGGGGTCGGCGTTCTTGCGATACATGAAACGGACGTAAAGATTTTCTTCTTTCGGGTATGAGTCGTAATTATTGGGCTCGTCGCCGATCAACTCGAAAACCATGGCGGCGCCGGGTTCTGGGACGTTCCAGAAGGGGCTGTCTGTCGGAACACCTTGCCTCTGGAGCTTGGCGAGAGTGAAAAACGACAAGAAGGGCTCCTGGGAGCTGAACATCAGCGTCATTTTGTGTGAGTACCCTTTAAAGTTGCCGTTGGCCGAGAGCATCTCTACCACGTTCCTCGCAAAGGTCCTGCCGGCGACTGTTCGGATCATGTCGCCTTCCTTCAGGCCGGACGACTGAGTGTCCGAGTATAAGGCCAGCTGCTGCTGTCTGCTATACAGCTGCAGAAACTGGCTGTCCTTATTATAGGTAGCCATCATAGCATCGTGTACAGCCTGTTCGTGCGTGTAGCGGTAGCGGACGTAATCCCAGATGTTGTACGCGTCCCAGAAGTTCGCGTGCGTCAAGGGGATAACACCATCATTTAAAGGAGATTTACTAAAAAGCGCCTGGTACGAGGATAAACTGCTATCGTAGAGCTTGCGTATGTCGGTATTTTGTGTCCTATCGTTCCGAGTCGAGACATCCCATTGAGTACACTCTGCGTTTCCGCGGAGGCTAGCATTGGGTGTTAGTCTGTTGAAATTCGCTGGTACTCAGAAGCTCAACTCACTATATCGACCTCTCGTCCAACAAGCCGACAGTCTGAATAACTGGATACTGGTAGCCGTCCAGGGGGTACTGAGTGAAGTTCTCAGAAATCGTCGAGTACGAGATATTTTTTCCGCCGGCGTCGTCGGAAAATGCCTGGGGGATCGGTGGATAGAGACCCTGCATGAAGGCGGCAGCGCTGGAGGAAATGTGCGCATCGGGGACGGACAGGATATGCAGCTGCGGGTGCTCGATGACATTTCGAGAGATGTCTCTAATCGGAGCACGGTACGTGATCTTGTCCTCGGTTTCATTGGTGAAGGTGGTGCCAGCTAGATATCGCGTCCTGAAGGCACTTCCCTGAGCGTAGAGCTGCTGAGCCCCGTACGGAGTGAGAGCGCCAGCGAGATTGCTGCGGAGAGGCGTGCGCTCGCCATGCATGATCATGGCAACTGAAGCCCATACTGACGGAGCTCCAGTTATATTGACTGAGGGGCTGCCTACTGGAGTGAAAGCTTGGCCCGTAACCGGCGCCAAGAGCGCGGAAATGGCTACAAGCGATAAAGCAGACATTTTCATGCTTCGATTGAGGCTATCGCAAGGTTCCCCTATGGAAAAAAACGAGATGGGGCAGACGATTGAAGGTGCAAAGCACGCTGGCTGAGACCAAGGAAAGATGATCTACGAGAATGGTAATGGGGGGCATAGTTCTGTATAAGCGTATATAAAAGATGGACATTTATCACGGCCTGGGCAGACAGCGGGAGAACAAAGCAGACATACTCGCATGCGGCAATGCGGCTTCAGGCTAAGATTGTTAGTCGGGCTGGTATCGTCCCAAGAGATCTGCAGTCCTCGCTGCCCTCTCAGTTCAGTAGCTTCAAACCATAACATTAGCACGCTTGTCTCCATCAGAGGAGTAGGGCACATGATGACATACCCATAAGCCAGCGCAATCGCCCGATTCATGGCATTTCTGGTCTTGGTTGATGACATGAAGAGTCTAGAACCGACAGCTGCTCGAAAGATGGTTTGAGATGCTGGACGGTGATGGAGGGCACCAACTTGAGGTGGAGAACACACATCGACAGTCTAAGGTGTTTACAGTAGGTGGAGTGGAGAACGTGGCAGGTGAAGACGGTTCAAGGCGGAACAAGCCGCCAATTAGGGTGATTTGAGGGTACTTGAAGAGACGGATTCTGAGGGATTCGGTGAACCGAAAAAGAAGCCCTTCGGCGGCGGGCCGAGTGTTTGGGTGTTGGGGCTAGAACGACAGAGTCAAAGACAGATACAGATGCGGGGTGGTGGGAGGCATGACGCGATAGAGTTTTGATGTTCACTACAAGCTCTTTCCGGTGGCTTCCGCTCAATTGAGATGTCAGCCATGCAGCCACGCGGCGCTGGAAGTGAGTGCGATAAATCGCTGCAGCCGGCTTGAACCACCAAAAGAAACCTCGTCACGGTCGTTGTCAGTCGCTAGTGTCGATCGGGTGGGAAAAAGGGGCGGCCTTGAAGTTGATTGCCCTCAATCTTGTCCGGTAAAATATCGAGATGACTCTGATGATCGGATCCCACCAGCTTTGGAGGATGTTTGTCGGTATGATAAAACCATCAGCGTCCACTCACATATTATATCCAGCGAGACTCGGAGCGCGCACCGAGAAGCAGGGCAGACGGGAACGGCGCACTAACTCACCCGGCCACACTGGGGTCGGCACTATCGGTAAACCCTGGTCAATCCTGTCCAATGGGCTTACATCAAACGGCTCACATGCCACTTTGACGAGAAACGGATAGTGGCGGTCTTGGTTTCAGCCAGTAAGCTTAAGCAGTTTAGTGTGCCTTGGGCGGGCGTCGTTCTCCGTTGGGATCCAGGCTTGGTGTATTGGCTAGATGACGGATTGGGGCGAGATCTGCGACACTGAAGTGGCTTGTGTCAAGTAGGATTCAAGGGTCTTTGGGCAATCATGGCTGAGTTTTTACCGAAGACGGTTGCAAGGAATGCCATTTTACTAAAGACAACCCGTAGTTGGCGGGTGGCTTAAAGCTAATTGCCGAGATGAAGATTGAAGATTCGACGGAGAGATACCCGCGGAGTTCTGTTGGCTGAGCCTTCGTTTCATTGGGAATAGCATCGTACGGCGATCGAACAACACAATTGGTGTGGTGGTGGCGATGTTGAATGCAAGTCAATCTTGTCTCTCCTCTAGGTTGTCCAGACAATTCAGATCGTACCGCAAATGATTCGGCGCCTACCGAACAATAAGAATTTTGACGTTGTATTCGAAATAAATCTAGAACTTGTCGTTTACTGTTTTGATGGTCGCTGTCCTGTCATAATTTTATTCATTTGTCGTTCGTATGGTATTCTTTGCAACCGGAGATGTGTTTAGATGATGTCTTGGGGGTTCAAATCCAGCTAGAATTCATCCTCGCCGAAATTCACAACGTTAGCAATGTTTATTGGTGTTTGTTCTTTCCCAAGTAGAAGCCACACCTGCCTTGGAATGATTGGGAGAGTAAGGGTTAGACAAACAATGGAAGGCACGAGTGACTATCCTTGGCACCTTCTTTTTCATGTCACGAGGCAGATAATAACAATGCTTATTAATATATCTTGATAAAGTAATAATTGCCATCATCATCGGCTTACAACGAACTCTCCAAGTTCACCAAGCTCTTCAACACAGCATCCTTATCACCTTCAAACTTGGCGCTCGCAACCAGACCAAGTGGCCGTCTGCTTCTTCCACCGCCATATCCGAAATATCTGTCCAAAGCGGCCTTGAGCCCGGCAACGCCCAACTGCACCAGAACCCAATCTGCTCTACTGAGTTGGGTCTGCAGCTCCTGCGCCTCCTTCAATTTTCCTTGGTCATAGAGCTCCAGCAGTTTGACGTGCACTTTGGGCGTGAAGTTGGCCGCAGCAGCAATGACTCCGTTTGAGCCCGCCACCAGGCCATGTAGGAAGAAGTCTGATTTGCCCGCAAATGCAGCAAACGGTTGAGGTATCTTTTCGTCGTGTGCGACGCGGTGAAGCTTGCCCAGGTTTCCGCAAGTCAACTTGCATCCGACAATCTTGTCGTTTGACGCCGCCAGTGTCGCGATGAGGTCTGAGTCGAGATCAATCCCGGACGTGACGGCCGGGAAATTATAGAGCAAAATCGGAATAGGCGAGGCCGTGGCTACATCATCGAAGAATTTCTGGATGACGGGCTTCTGCATCGCACCGGCTAGGAAAAAAACACCGAGTCAGCGAACCAGGATTCAATCACTGCAACTTTCATGCATGGTTTCCCCTCAATGCGCGACACCACGGCTCAGCTTCCGATTGACTTACTCCAGTAACTTGGCGACAGCACAAGCGCATAATCCGCCCCAGACTCCCTGGCCTCGATGCACAGCTGGATCGTCTCCCGCGTGCTCTGGGCTCCGCAGCCGGCGATTATGACGGCGTCCGTCCGGCCCTGCTCCTTGAGCACCGTGGCCGCGGTGCTGATGACCTGCTGCCTTTCCGAGTGGAGCAGATGCGGCGCCTCGCCGTTGGAGCCCTGGATAACAAGCCCGGCCACACCCGACTTTGCAAGGCGTTCAATGTGTGTTTTGAGGGCTTCGAGGTCGAGCGTCTCGTCTTCATGGAAGAAGGCGACGACCGGCGCGTAAATGCCGCGGGGAGGACAACGGGGTGCCATATTGAGTGTTCGTTTTACGTTTTACAGTGAGAATGGTACACTTGAATTACCACAAACTCTACTAGACTATAGGAAACACAGGCTCTCTTTATTTTCCTACTACGTGGCCCGCTGTGTATTGATTCGGGCACTTCGCCTTGGCCTTCGGAGCAATTGATAACACCTTCGTGGTTCACTCCATCAAAGTGGACAATGACCCCGCGAGCCCCTCATCTGGGATGGCGCAAACGCCGGTGCCGGCCCCATGACCGGCTTACGACTCCGAGTCGGCAGGGGTCCCGACATGGTAGGTCCTACACATCACAACCTTCATCTGTCGACCCCTTCCAGCCTCTGGATTAAGCTGGTGATTGAATCAAATCGAAATACTTTGCAACATTGTGAATCGCATCCAAAATGGGCTCAATCAAGCAGCAGACCTCGGCGTTTGGGAGATCAGAGTACATCCCCCCCGACGCCATCTTCGACGTCACAAGACGCTATCTCGCCGACACAGATGCCAACAAAGTCAACCTCGGCCAGGGCACATATCGCGACGAAAATGGCCAGCCGTGGATTCTGCCTTCGGTGCGACTAGCAGAGAAGTCCTTGGGAGAGCCCGGACACGAATATCTACCCATCGCAGGATTGAAGCAATTTCGCGATGAAGCCGTAAAGCTCGTTTTCAGTAGCACGAAAGCCTTTGCAGAGAATCGCGTAGGTTTTGATTGATACTAGCATCAGTTTTTGTTGTTCTAACTCAGAAGCCAGATTGCCTCTTGCCAGTCCTTGTCAGGAACTGGTGCACTCCTCCTCGCCGGACTGGCCCTGAAGAAGGCCGACACAGGCATCAAGACGATCTACATCACCGACCCGACCTGGTCCAACCACGACCTGCTCTTCAGCTCCATGGGATTCACAGTGAAGCAGCTGCCATATTACAAAGACCGCGCCTTTGACTTTGACGGCTATATCACAACCCTAAAGGCGGCCGAGCCTGGCTCCGCCGTCATCCTACACGCCTGCGCGCACAACCCCACGGGCTGCGACCCATCACAAGAGCAATGGAAGGAAATTGCATCCGTAATCATCGAGAAGAACGTCTTCCCCGTGTTCGACTCGGCGTACCTCGGCTTCAATTCCGGCTCCGTAGACGACGACGCCTGGGCGATCCGTTACTTTGTCGATGAGTTGGGCTTGGAGGCTGCTGTGTGCATGTCATTTGCAAAGAACATGGGCCTGTACGGAGAGCGCGTCGGCGCCGTGACATTCGTCGCCAACTCCGCCGAAACCACTCGGACGGTGAACTCCATCCTGGAGAACGTGCAGAGAGCGACGGTGTCGAACCCGCCCGCGTACGGCGCCCGCATTGCTGCCGCCGTCCTGAGCACTCCCTCGGCCAGAGAGCAATGGGCCCGTGACCTGCTTACCATGTCAGGCCGCATCCGCGCCATGAGACAAAAGGTTTACGATGAGTTGGTGCGGCTTCAAACTCCGGGCGACTGGTCGCATATTGTCAAGCAGAGCGGCATGTTCGGGTACACTGGAATCAGCAAGACACAAGTGCAACACCTCGAAGGTCAGTAGTCCCAACGCGAGATTTGATTATTGATATTAACGTGTTACACAGAGAAATACCACGTTTACATGGCCGATACATCTAGAATATCAATTGCTGGATTGAACGAGAAGAATGTGGAGTATTTTGCCAGGGCACTTGATGACACTGTTCGTAGCGTCAAATAGACATCTAGAAGGGTTGAATGGTGAATAGCCATATACAAAATCATAAAGCCTATCAATTGAAACTCTTCATTTTCTCAAATGGATAATTTTTTGTGAAATCTTGGCGAAACGAACATCTGTAAAGACGTATCATAGGGAAACAGCCTCCGAAGTGATGGCCTCTGAGCAAGCTACAACTAAAGGCCCCACTGAGCGGAGCTCCACCACAAGACCCCTTCGGGCACCCCTCCCGAAACTGATAAGCCGTCAACCCCGCCACCCTCGCCGAGGCATCTACACACTTATCGCTGTTCGGACGAAGATATTGGCTCTCACCTCCGCCTCCACCCCCTCTCAGCTAACAATGAACGCGTAGATCACACATTACCGGAGAGATGTCCATGGCTCCGAAAGCCCACCGATGGAGCTCCGAGGGGAGTTGACAAGCGACCTTCGGCTCATTGCCTGATTAGGCGATTGAGATGCTGCACCGCACTTGAGAGACTTGTATAATCATTGCGATATCCTACGTTGATCTGGTTACTATCATCTCTAAATCACTACTTTCATCTCTTGAATATCGCCTGGTGTCTATTCTCGAAGCACCATCTCCCATCTTTTACACATCCTATACCCCTCGATCAGTTTAACATCATGGGCTCGCTTCCAGGTCCGGTCGAGGGTATTAGGATATCCATTGACCGCGGTGGCACTTTCACTGATGTAAGTACGACTTGGTCTCATGTCTTTGGTCTTTTTCTGATCATCTAGTGTGTTGCATCTGTGCCCGGCCAAGATGACATCCTCGTCAAGCTGTTATCCGTCGACCCCAGCAACTACCCAGACGCCCCCGTGGAGGCCATCAGACGTGTTTTGGAAAAGGCGACAGGCAAGCAGTATCCCAAGGGCAAGAAGATCTCGCTAAGAGGAGTCGGTGAGTTTTCTCTCATAACCTTTGTGAACAGCTTGACTTATATACTGCAGAATCAATCAAGATGGGAACAACAGTCGCTACAAATGCGTTACTCGAGAGGAAAGGAGAGAAGACGGTGTTTGCCGTCACCAAGGGTCTCAAGGTAATTCCATGTCCACCAGATTGCGCACTTCACGGGTAGTAACACATAGAACAGGACCTACTTCACATTGGCAACCAGTCAAGACCAAAACTTTTCGACCTCGCCATCCGCAAGCCCGACGTCTTATACTCCAAAGTCATCGAGATCCCAGAGAGAGTGACCCTCGAGGCCTGGTCAGAAAACAATAAGCCCGAAGTCATTGACACATCCTCAGATCCGGCCCTCGTCACCGGTGTCACTGGGGAAGCAGTCCGGATCCTGGAGCCTCTTGGTAATTCATCATTTTGATTTACCCTTACTAAAAACTACTGACATGCCAAAAACCAGATCTACAAGCAGCCAGACAATCTCTGCAAGAAGCCTTCGATGAAGGCTACCGCTCCATCGCCGTCTGTCTCATGCACAGCTACACCTTCCGCGAACACGAAGATGCCATAGCCCAGCTCGCAGCTGACATTGGCTTCACCCACATCTCACCCAGCGCCGAGCTGTCTCCCGTCGTCAAGATCGTGCCGCGCGGTAACTCCTCGACGGCGGACGCGTACCTGACCCCAGAGATCAAGCGATACATTGCCGGTTTCGAGGCTGGCTTCGAGGACCTCGCTACGAGCGGGTGCCGGTGTGAGTTCATGCAGAGTGACGGCGGCCTAGTTGAGTTCTCGGGCTTGTCGGGACTAAGGGCAATTCTGTCTGGTCCTGCGGGAGGTGTTGTGGGGTACGCGAGGACGTGTTATGACCAGGTTGATAAGACGCCGGTTATTGGATTTGATATGGGCGGCACCAGTACTGACGTCTCGAGGTATACCATAATCCTCTGACATCTCCTAGAGCATGGCTGATTTGAAGGTTACAGATACGCCGGTGAACTCGAACAAGTATTCGAAACAACCACCGCCGGCGTCATGGTCCAGACTCCCCAGCTCGACATCAATACCGTCGCGGCCGGCGGTGGCAGCATTCTAAGTTGGCAGAGCGGCATGTTCAAAGTCGGCCCCGAGAGCGCATCCGCACACCCCGGCCCGGCATGCTATAGGAAAGGCGGACCCCTAACCGTCACGGACGCAAACCTCGTCCTCGGTCGTCTGCGCCCCGAGTTCTTTCCCAAGATCTTTGGCCCGAACGAGGACTTGCCCCTGGACGTCGACGCGAGTAGACATCTGTTTGAAGAGCTCACAGCGAGCATTAACAAGGACGAGGGCACCAACCTCAGCATCGAGGAAGTTGCGGCAGGGTAGGCGAGCTCTCCTGTACACATCTCTGATGGAAACTGACTGACAAAACTAGTTTCCTTGATGTTGCCAACGAATCCATGTGCCGTCCAATCCGCACTCTCACAGAAGCAAAAGGCTACGACGCGGGCCTCCACAACCTCGCATCCTTCGGCGGCGCCGGCGGCCAGCACGCCTGCGACATCGCAAAGACCCTAGGCATATCCCGCGTTCTGGTTCACAAGTACTCCTCCGTCCTCTCCGCCTATGGCATGGCCCTCGCCGACGTTGTGCACGAGGAACGCAGCCCCTGCGCTCTAACTTACACAGAGGCCAACCTCCCCATCTTCGCTTCGGAACTGGACAAGCTGACGGCGAAAGCCTCGGGTATGCTTCTTATGCAGCGCATCCCTGAAGAACGCATCGACGCCGAGAGGTACCTTAACATGCGTTTCCAGGGCAGCGACACACCGCTCATGATCCAGGAGACATCTGCCGGCGGGTCTTTGGAAGCTTTCAAGGCCGCGCACCAGAAGCAGTTCGGCTTCTTGCCTGTGGGAAGAGACGTGATTATCGACGACTACCGCGTTCGCGCCGTCGGCCGCACCACCGTCAAACTTCCTACACCATGGCCTGCAGAGCTCGCCTCTAAGAAAGCCACACCGGCACCCCCCGCTAAGACGACGAAGCAAGTTTACTTTAAGGGGTTGGGTTGGTCTGAGACGCCGGTATACGGTCTTTCTACTTTGGCGCCTCACTCTCGTGTCGCCGGCCCAGCGCTGATTATGGACGACAAGCAGACCATCGTCGTCATCCCCGACGCCGCGGCGACGGTGCTTTCTGATACCGTTGTGATTGACGTCAGTGTCGGAACGAAGGAGACCATGTCTGCGACGACGGTCGACCCGATCCAGTTGTCCATTTTCGGGCACCGGTTTATGGGCGTCGCGGAGCAGATGGGGCGGGCGCTGCAGAAGACGAGCGTGAGCACGAATATCAAGGAGCGGTTGGACTTTTCGTGTACTGTCTTTTCGCCGGACGGCGGTTTAGTGGCGAACGCACCGCATGTGCCTGCTATGGTATGCCTCCCCTCTTTCCCCCAAGCTAGATGGATGAAAACTGACTGGAAGCAGATTGGAAGCATGGCTTTCGCAGTGAGGTGGCAGATCGAGCACTGGGGCAACAATCTCAAGCCTGGAGATGTGATCCTTTCCAACGCGCCAGGTAGGCATTTCACTCAACATACTCACCAAAAATGACTAACACGGAGAACAGTCTGCGGCGGCACCCATCTTCCCGACCTAACTGTCATTACGCCCATCTTCGATGCCGAGGGCAAGGAAATCATCTTCTGGACCGCTTCGAGAGGCCATCATGCCGATGTAAGTTCACGCCTCGCCCTTCCTGAAGCAATCCTGACAGTCTCCCAGGTCGGCGGCATCCTCCCCGGCTCGATGCCGCCCAACTCGAAGGAACTCTGGGAAGAAGGCGCCGTGATCAAAGCCTTCAAAGTCGTCGAGGGCGGCGTCTTCGAAGAGAAGGAACTCACCGACCTTCTCATGGCGCCGGCACATTCACCAGGGTGTCAGGGAACCAGGTGTCTCCGCGACAACATCTCTGATATCAAAGCCCAAGCCGCGGCAAACCACCGCGGAAGCCAGCTCATCCACTCCCTGATCGAGGACTACGGCATTGACGTCGTCCAGTTCTACAGTAATACCCTCCTCCTCCTCACTCCTTACAACCCGGTAACTAATATTCTCAAAGTGGAAGAGATCCAAGGCGCGGCAGAACGCGCCGTCCGCGACATGCTCAAGACAATCTACAGCCGCACCGACGGCAAACCGCTCGAGGCGGTGGACTACATGGACGACGGCACGCCGATCCAGCTCAAGGTCACAATCGACCCGTCCACAGGCGGCGCCGTGTTCGACTTTGACGGAACCGGCCCCGAGGCCTACGGCAACTGGAACGCGCCCATCGCCATCTGCAACTCGGCCATCATCTTCGCGCTGCGGTGCATGGTCGACGCCGAGATCCCGCTCAACCAAGGCGCCATCCGGCCCATTGACGTGCGGGTCCCCGAGGCCTCCCTTCTGAGGCCTACGGAGCACGCGGCCGTGTGCGCGGGTAACGTGTTAACGTCCCAGCGCGTCGTGGATGTCATTTTCAAGGCGTTCCGTGCGGCTGCGGCCAGTCAGGGGTGCATGAACAACTTGACGTTCGGCACGGACGATCCCGAGACCGGGTTCGGGTATTACGAGACTATCTGCGGCGGCGCCGGCGGCGGGCCGAGCTGGGACGGCGTCAGCGGCGTTCACACCAACATGACCAACACGCGCATCACGGATCCGGAGTCGTTGGAGAGGCGGTACCCTGTCGTTCTCCGCCAGTTTTGTCTGCGGGAGGGCAGCGGCGGCAAGGGCGCGCACCCCGGTGGCGACGGGATCATCAGGGACATTGAGTTTGGTATCCCGATCAAGGTGAGTATTCTTAGCGAGAGGCGGTCCTTTGCGCCCTATGGGTTGAACGGGGGCGACGACGGACAGAGGGGCCGGAATGTGTGGATCAAGAAGAGCGGGAGGGTCGTGAACCTGGGCGGGAAGAACACTGCCATGATGGAGGCGGGCGACCGGATCGTCGTCATGTCGCCCGGCGGCGGTGGTTGGGGCAAGCCTGAGGATAGGGTTGAGGGGAAGAGGCAGGTCAATGGGTTTGTGGGCGTGGCGAACGGGACTGTTGATATGATTCAGAGCATGGGAGAATCCGCGTGATTCTAGGCGCGGGTAAAGCGTTATGATTACGGAGTTGGTTGTTTAATGCAATGGGACTTGTTCATGAGATTCATGGCCTCATGCTGCTGTTGCAAAGTTGGTAAACTTGTTAATGAGCATAGAGCTTGTCAAACAGCTTTACGGAGAATTTTAATCTCCAAATCTCCCAGATCATGGTTACTCTTTACAATAACATTACGTCTGCATTTCCGTCGCGATAGTTCGATCCAAAGGGACCACCCACCCGGCCCCATCGCCATCCACCACTGGTCCACAAACCCCCATCCCAACGCGCGATATAACCTCACCTCCACCCTCCGCATCTCAACAATCCCGGTGTAGATCATCAATCACCAGGATCACACAACCGCGCCGATGGTTTAGTGGTAAAATTCTCCGTTGCCATCAAGCAGCGTCGGGGAGCCGGGGGTTCGATTCCCCCTCGGCGCAATCTTTTTGCTGTCTCACTGTGGCTTTGGGCAGCCGATTTTTGGATCCCACTGTAGAGGCAAGTATGCAATGCAGCTTTTGTGAAATTTTTGAATATCAGCTGTGATTTACTGTGTTGGAGGGATATCAACTAGTCTTCCAGCTTAAATACTTCTAGACAGTGGTTTCATGGTAGGATGTAAGCTTTACAACAAACTGGTGATAACAAATAGTTTCTTGTCTTAATGTTAATTGTTCATACTGGGAAGTATATGTAGATGCAGTTGGTATAATTGGCTACAGCCATGTCAAATTGTTGACATTCTTATATACATTTACCTCTCCAGCAGTACAGGCTCATCAACAAATGCCCACGGAGCAACACTTGCTAGAGTCCGTAATGCTTCAGTAAAGAGATGACGCGGGTGCTTATAGCGGAAATGCTCATCCGCCCGTACAATGCCTAACAACTGAGCAAAGTATCTCTTTGAGTAGGCATCTGTAAGTCCTCACCCTTGGTCTGTTCTGACAGTCATGAATGAAAACTACCAGAGTTTGTCCACTGGAGCGAGGAATACATTCTATGCGAGCCGGTCCCGTTCAGCTTCTGCAGCTGATACCCCCACGTCCCATGCATACCGTACCGACCATCTCACACTCTCCGATCTGATGGGCGTGCCAATCTAGAACTCTTGTCTACGCCCGAGCCCGGCAGAAAGTCAAGATGCGGAACTCTCCGCACCCATCACCAAACAGCCACACAACCTGACCCCTAGGTTAAGCACATGACGGAACATCAAAACCAGCAAACAAGCTGTATATTCTGCATCTTGTAGCTGCCCCTCTCATTCATAACGAACCACCCTCCGCAGCCGCTACTTCTTCTGCCCCTGCTGTCCACCCTGTCCGCCCTGTCCGCTCTGCCCGCTCTGCTGTCCCCCGAGACCAGCGTTGACGTTCTTGTCCGCCGCAGATTGGGCCCGAGCAGCGAAGCCGCCGGAGCTCATGTCTTTGCCGCTCTTGTCCTACAATACGTGAGTCTACACCAGTATCGCCCTTCTTGGAAGGGCATTGTGTTCGAATCCACTCACCTGCGACGATTGAATGCGCGACTTGTCGCCCTGGCTCATTTTATGCGCCATTTCTTCAGTACTTTTTCTCGATTTTGCCAGGGAAATAAACATTCGTGATATAATAATGTGAGTTATCTTCCCGCTCAGACTGTCTAAACCGTCCAGACCCCATGATCAAGACGACGCAAGCCAGCTTCTTATAGCAGCATCCGGGCCTCACATCACATGCCAGAACACCACAAAAAAAAAAGCTTAGTAGTCCCCCCCCGAGAACCACCTCAGTCCAGACCATTCTAACCTTCTACAACAAACCTCCCGTCGGCGTCCATCATTGATAAAAACTAGGCGAGAGTTTGGTGGGCATCCGACATGTCAAACCTTTTCCCTCACGCAATCCAAAATTAACCCAGAAGCGAAAATTCACGAAGAAAAAGGGAGGGAGAGAGAGAGACGGAGGGGACTCGGGAATCACGGCATTGACAAAAAAAGTAACCCAACAAAAAATCCCAAATCTCGAGAAAACAATGTTCGTCAGAAAACCATGCATTCCTTTTTTTTTTTTTTCTGGTGTGTGGCTATTCTCATCATTGCACTCCGCTAATCGGGTCGTCCGTCCCCTTTTTTGCTTTCTACGTTTCTCAAAAAAAAACCAAAGGAAATAAAGGGAATCATCCATCCTCATATGCGTGTGCGTGTGCTCTCTCCCCTCTCAGTCAACCGCAGTCTCACAAAAAAAATAAAAGAACCCCGTCTCATGCAATGCGAGAAACAATGTCCTCCGTCTTCCCTGACATGTCTCTTCCCTTTCCTTCCCTTTGCGTCCCTGACAACCGGCAACGTTTTTCTTCTATAGGGCTCCCCAATAAAATAAAAAAATAGAACAAAACATCAAGAGACAAATCTGACGATGCAGTAAACCGAGATGCCAATCACCGAAAGCTATCAAGATTTGAATGTTACCTCCCGCCGACCAATAAGAAAAGAGAGAGAGAGAGAGAAAAGAAAGGGAAAAAAGCACACTCGGGCAAAATGTATGCCTCTTCTTGTTCTTGCTTTGCTTCCTGTGGCTCCGGCTCTACAACCCCCACCCCCGGAACAGCCGCTTATATGATTTCCTATGCTTGGTATGCTTTAAACTTTCAAATACTTCCTTCAGCTGCTCTCGGCAGCCTTGAGCTCCTCATCAACCTGCGCCCTGACAATCTCCCTGACCTTCTGCCAGTCGTTGACCACCTCCGTGACCCGCTTCTCCTTCTCCTCCAGGCCGACAAACTCGGTCGGCAGCACCTTCTCCTTGAAGTTGAATCCCTCCTCCTCCTTGAGCGCCAGGTCGACGGCGCCGGCGAACTTGGCGGGGTGGGCGGTGGAGAGAGAAATGTGCGGCACCTGGGCGTCGGCGCGCTCAATGGACCGCAGGGAGGCGGCGACACCGATGGCGGAGTGGGGGTCCAACACGTAGTCGATCTGGTTATAAATGTCCTTGATGGTCTCGATGGTCTGGGGGTCGCTGACGCGCTCGCTCTCAAAGTCGCGACGGGCAGAGTTGAGGACGTCCTTGTATACGGGGCCGAAACCGCCCTTGGTCTTCAGGTCGACGAGCCAAGACGAGACCTCCTGGCTGGCCTGCCTCTTGTTCCACTCGTCGTCCATGCCGGCGCTGGAGGCGAACTCGTAGGCGAGGAACCACAGGAGACGCTCAAAGTTACTCGAGACGAGAATGTCCATGGCGGGGCTAAGTGTCTCCTTGACTCCGTCCTCGTGCGCCTTCACGCCATCAACAGCAAGGCCACCGGTGGCTTCCGAAGGAGGCGCGGGCTGCTTCTCGTACTTGCCGGTCGTCCAGAACCTGTGCAGAATATCGTTCTCGTTGGTGGCGATGACAAGCTTGTCGACAGGAAGGCCCATGCGGAAGGCGAAGTAGCCGGCGAGGATGTCGCCAAAGTTACCGGTAGGCACGACGAAGCGAACCTTGTCGCCAAGCTTGAAGGAGTCGGAGGATTTGGCAAGGGAGAAGTAGGAGTGGAAGTAGTAGACAATCTGGGCAAGGATACGGGCCCAGTTGATGGAGTTGACGGCACCCAGGTTGTGGGTCGAGTTGATATCGGAGTCAGCGAAGAGGGCCTTGACGATGTCCTAAGGAAGAAAAAAAAAGACCTTTGTGTTAGCAGAGAGCAAATGTGGCATGTGATAGTCTTGCTTACTTGGCAGTCATCGAAGGTGCCGGTGACGGCGAGGTTGTGAACGTTCTTGTCCAGGACGGTCGTCATTTGAGCCTCCTGAATGGGGCTCACGCGGCCCTTGGGGTGGAGGATGAAGACGGAGACATCCTTCTTACCGCGCAGACCGTAAATGGCAGCGGATCCGGTGTCACCACTCGTGGCGCCGACAACAGTCAAGTGATGTCTGTCTGCACAAAACATGTTAGTCCGGGCATATATGCCCCATCATACAAGCTATACTCCGCGCGCGCGCGCGCGTGGGTCTGGTCTACGGGTGCATACCCTTTCCTGTCTTGCCCTCGTTCTTGCGCACCAGGAAGTATTCAAACAGGTTGCCGAGGAACTGCAGAGCGACATCCTTGAAGGCAAAGGTAGGGCCGTGGAAAAGCTCGAGGAGGTAGAGGTTGTCTTTGAGGTGACGGAGCGGTGTGGTCTCGGGGGCTCTAAAGGTGGCGTAGCTTCGGTTGATGATGCCCTTGAGGTCATCGGAGGGGATCTCGGAGGGGGAGATGTAGAGGGACAGAATCTCGTAAGCGAGCTCGGGGAAAGAGAGATCCTTCCAGGCCTGCCAGTTGTCGACCTGGGGAATGTGCTCGGGGATGAAAAGACCGCCGTCGCTGGCGAGGCCCTTGAGGACGGCCTCCTCGAAAGAGAACTAGAATGGCGATCAGCGGTTTCGCCCTTTCAGCGAAAGAGGGCGGCGGCCGATGACCAGCATAACCAAATGACGCAGATTGGGGGGAAGGGGCGAGAGAGAGAGAGAAGGGGGGGGAATGGGGAGAAACATACACCACTGTCCTCGCCGCGAGTGCTCAAATAGCGCTGCGACTGGGTGTGTGTGGTGCCGGTGCCGGTGCCGGTGTTGCCATTGATGGTGGTGTTGGTACCGTTAGTGGCCATGATGCCTTGTGCGGTAAGTAAAGGGGCGCGGGAAACGGGAGTGGAAGCCCAATTGAAAGGAAAAAAGGGGAGCGGGAAGTAAGGGGAAGATGCGCGAGACCTCGTCTCTGCGAAATGCAAGATCTCAAGGCTGAGGAAAAGCGGCGGCAGGATGGTGAGCAAATGGACAGAAGAGGAAAGAAAAAAAACGAGTCACACCAGCACGTCAAGCGGCCGAAGGTCGGTCATCCAGTCGGGAGTCGGGGTTGTAGCGGCGACTGTCCGCCCCGCCCCCCTCTCTCCTCCTCTCCCCTCTCTCTCTCTCTCTCTTTCTCTACTGTAGCACACTATCTGCGTCTGCTCCCCTCTTCTTCTTCTCACCCTCCCCACGCCAATCCAGTCGTGCAACTTTGCTAGCGTACTCGGTGACCGCAAATTTTGCCCCGCACTAGTGATCAATCGGGAAGCGGGACACAGGCGGCGGTGGACCACTTACGCTGGGAGGGGAAAAAAAAGGCGCCGCGGGGTTGGCCATGCCCGCTATAACGAATGCCATTCAGCGATGACGGGATGCCAAGTCTGCTAGGGTCCCAGGCTGGAGGTTCCCCAATATCGGCTCTCTGATTGGACATTGTGCAACCTGTCATCCCACTTGAGTCTCCCTCTTCAGTGTTATCCCAAAAATATAGACATACCTTACCTTGTAGCACTGTACACTGCTGATGCTCCCAAAAATGCCCCTCCAAAAATCACCAGAATTAACAGGCTGCAGCCGCGCGCGACCATGCCATTTGACGCCTGTTGCTACTACCCCTCCAGTCGATTATTTACCCCTCCAACCCCTCCATGCAGATCAGCTCTATTGGGCCTCAACATCAACCTCCTTGCTATTGTTGATACCTTTGCAACTAACTATTGACCCCGAGTTTGTTACGGACTGGTGACTGGTTTGTTTATACCCTTTGCATGTTCGACTCACTATTCACTAAATGGCAACTGTTCCTTTAAGCATTTCGCGGAGGCCTCCATTCACACACTAAGCTAGACACTACGTGTACTCTCCCGAAAAACCCCTCCCTCCCCTTCATCTTCTTCTACCATCACCATCAAAATGGCATGTCGGTTACGCGTACAAGTACCATAAAGCCTCGTGTAAATTCATCTCTCTCTTTTGCTGCAATGCCTGCCCGCTGTTCTTTCCTCAACGCCTGATCATGCCTCGGGTATCTTTGGAAAAAAAAAAAATAGAAAAGAAAAAAAAGAAATGCAACCACTGCCGCCGCCGCCGCCGTCAGCCATCCGTCCACTCCCTTAAAGCAACCCCCCTGTCGCATCTTGCATCAAAATGTGTCACTTTCGCACAATTTTGAGCAGTGGCGCGATCTTCGACTTCTTGCTGAGCCCCACCCGATAAAGAGGTTTTACCACTTGACACGATGCACCTATCCGTCCTCCCTGCTTCCCATCAGCTTTACCTTTGCCGACCAACTCCTTTTCCTCTTCGTCCTTCTTGCCTGTCGTGATACTTGCTGCTGTCGCCGCCACATTCCCTTCCGTCGCTGTCTTTTGCGGATCCGGCCCGTCGGATCCGGCCCTCACAACCCCGTTGTCATGCGTCGTTGCCTGCAAAGCCCTTGCTTCATCCATCTCATCTGTGCATCTCGACTTTTTCTCTCTGTCTCTATTTTTGGCCTTGGTGGCATGTTCAGCCTGCTCCGGCGGTCGTTCATCACATGCATGTTCTGAATCCATCGATGCGAGATTTTCCTTGGCCTGGTCGGCGGGTTCTGTGACTGCATGTTGCTCCTCGGATGCCTGCTGCACGCTATCCGTCAACATCTTGTCAGTTTTTCTTGGCCGCCCTCTCTTCTTCTTGGTTTGCTGTGTAACCGCTGTACTGGAGTCCGCTGCAGCCGGATTTTCGGCAAATTTATCCCCAACGTCGTCCCGTGGCCATGCCAAGCTGCTGTCAGTGGGCCCAGCAGTTACCGCAGCATCTGATTTCCTAGGACGTCCTCTTTTCTTCGCCTGTGTAGGATTAATTGGCGCAACTTCCTCCACGGTCCCTTGCGTAAATGGTCTCATATCAGCCACAGGTGCCTCGGTGCATGTTGCATTCTGAGCATCACTTTGCCGACTCGTATCGCTACCTCGACGTCGGCTAGAGCGGGGCTTGTACAATTCTTCGCCGTGAAATCCATCACTGTCCGATGGCCACTTCTCTGTGGTCTGTGATTCTGATACCCGAGGACATGAGTTTTGAGCCTTGCTCTTCTGCCTGCGCACCGGAGCTGCAGATATAATGTCTGGCGATGATTGCAGCTCAGCTGTTACCTTGAATGGCACGACCTCTTCAGGTATTTCTTGGTCTTGCTGGGAGTTACGTTCCGAATCAATGCTGTTAGAGAACGAATCCTGAAGCCCACCCCGCACTCGTGTCTGGCTTGGCGTAGAGTAGGCTATCGTCGTAGCGCCGCTAGAACGGGTTGTCATCTGTTGGGTCGTGAAATGACGAGAAGGTTCTGGCCTCAGATCGTCTGGAGACGGATTGACCGAATAATATTCATACTGCCGCTGCTGGCTAGCACTTAAACTTCGAGGCTCAATGTACAAAGACACTGGCTTTTGTCCCGAGACCGGTGCGTCCATTATTACCGAACTATTTTCCCGAGGAATGATCATATCGACATCGTCCTCCGCCGGTGCAGATGATACTAGTATATCAAGTTTCTGTTTTTTGGCCATTTCCATCAAGGCAAAGTTCCCTCTACCCGCCGGCGTAGTGTCGAAAGGCTGCGTCGAACCCTGTGACGGCATCGCAGTCGCCAACGGTGACGTGAACTCAACATTGTTTCCTCGCTTTCTCTTGCTGCTGCTGGGTGTTTTGTTTTTTGCCATAATCCCAACAGCCGCAGCCTCCTGCTCTATGGGGCTGCTGGGAACCTCCCACATATCCTTCGGCGTGTTGTTGGTACTCCTTCCCGGCGTTGTGACCTGCGTCAAGTCTACGGTCTCCAGCTTTCTGGGCTTCTTCGCAAGATTCGGTCCCATAGTAGGATCGGTGACGGATGTCAGCGATGAAATATTAACGATGTCTTGCTTGGTCTGAGTTAACACGCCTAGAGACCCAGAGTTAGGACCTGAATTATTCGGTTCTAAAGAGGAATCGGGGTGTGGCAAGCCTTCACTTGTGGCCACACGTCGTTGCTCGTTGTAAATCTCTTGGAAGACTTGGAGGTCCGTAGAGCTTGTTGCGGCACTCGCTGGATCAAATGACCGGCTTTCGGTGGGCAACTTGGATGTTGGATGTTTTGGGGGACTGTCCCCTAGGTCAAAGTCATCGTCGGAATCATCCGAATCTGCGATGATTCGGGTAGAAGCCATCATGGAGGAGTGGTGGTGGCAACCTGAAATCGCGAGGTGGGGAGTTTAAGGCGCGTGTTTAGCTTAGCGCAAGGCGAATTGAATACATCACTATCTAGGTATTCTGGGTTGCACAACAAGGTACCGTCCAAAGCGCGAGCCGCGAGTGGCGCGCTATCACGTGATCACAGATATGCATCTATCCGATGTTCATCCAATCTTTCTCTTAGACGACCTCGGTCCGGGCCGTAAATCATCTAAACTCAATGGGTATCGTAGCACTAGTCAACTGCTCTCAGTCCCAGATAGTATTACAATAAACCTAGGGCTTTTATTTTGGATAGTTGTCTGCTTCATTCGATTTCTTCTATTCTGGGCCGCTTGGTATTGACGAAAGGCAAAGATCGATCCTGGTCAATCGCTAAGCCCGCTAATCGGCCAATACTGGCTTCTGTGGCAGAGCTCTCCGAAGACGGTAACATGGTAGCAAGCTGCCAGTTCTCCAGGCTTTCTATCACATCTCGGGCATGCTGCTGGACCAGACCATCGTTATCCGTAACTGCGACATACCTCAGCGTTCTCATAATGTCTTCCCGGCTTTGATCAGTCAAACCAAACCCGAGTCGTCTTCCTGACTGCTTCGCGGCATCAAGGGCTCTGACAAACTCTAGAACTAGCAAGATGGCTGCTCGTCGTAAAATACCCTTCTCAGGTTCCCTTTCGAGGGCGAGAACGTTAATGCAGAGGTCAACTGCAATGGAAACCAGGTCGGGGCCAACTCCGGTGATGTTTGTCTCTATTCCGGAGGCGAAGATGGACAACGCAGATGTGCGCATACGAACGTCTTCACTGCCTCTTTTGCTTTCCCATCCTTCAACAATCTGCGTCAAAATCTCGTTCTTGGCTTGCTCTTCCTCAGTCACGTCGTCGCCGAGGTCAGGTACATCGCCTCCCCAGGCGTCTTCGGCCTGCTTCTTCTTTACATCTTGTAGACGTTTCTCCCGGGCCTGTTTAGCTTCAGTCTTTGGACGATACCCTCTTCTCCCAGCAATCGATAAAAGCGTCTCGGACACCCTTTTTGCAGCATCACCAGTAAACGTCTCGCCGAGGCGCTGAATAACTTGAAGCAAGGCCTCTCCAAAACGTAAACGGACATCATTCGTGGACGTTTCTTTTGCATCCAAGTAGTGCTCGAGAATCTCCTGTGTGGCTGCCTTGGGGTGTTTGTTTGCGAGTTGTGCAAAAAGCTTCATAACCCGCAGATTAATGAAATCTTCGCTGTCTTGTAGTAACGACGACAGGAGTACAAGTGTTGATTGAATATCCAATATCGAACTGTTCGAAGCCACCAATCTAGATATGAGATTAAGGCCCTCGGAACGGACCGGTGGAGGATTGTCAGCCTGAGTGATGTACTCCAAGGCAAGTTTGTATGTTTTTCTGTCTTCAACTTGCCTATCGGTGGGCACAAATGCATCTTCCTCCTCTGGGTCGATGGCATCGCGATACTGAAGTAGAAGGGCAAGGTTCTTCGCAGTCGGTGACACATCAGGACGTCCGGATTTACCGAGTTTGTCCAGAGATGACTCCAGTATCTGAGAGACTTCGGGCTTGAGATTTGACTTTTTAAAGCTTGATGCGGTAATTACCAGATTCAACAAGCTCAAAGCCACAGAGACAATCTCGTCCGGCTGGTCTTCGAGGCTTTCAGGGTCCAATATCTGGCACGCCAGTTCTAGAACCTGCGTCACGCGACTTATAAGTTTTTCCGGTATTTGCTCTAACATCCTCTGGAGAACAGTAATCTCCAGGAGCTTGGTAATCTCGTTTCGAGGCTCCTTTTCCTCTGAACGAAACAAGATGTTTGGCTTCTTGGCAATATTCGTTGACTGAAACCAGCCACCCAGTAGCTCCAAGAAAAACGAAGATATCTCTTCTGAGGTGCAGCTTGCAGTCATGAGACGAATGAGGGCTTCGGATCGCTTTTGGATTTCACTCCAATTCAGCTGGGGGATCTCCGAGGCCTGGCCTAGCGGGATCGCGCCTATTTGTAGGTCCCCGTCAGGTGTGGCCTGGTATTGCCATTGGACCTTATCTTTCGCTGATTCTCCATTGTAGACAAGGTTTTCAATGATTAGATGCAACTTGGTGATGGGAGCGCTCAGCTTCAGAAATGTGTGGAGCAGTGAACGGGCCGGTTTTGAGTATCGCTCCTCTGTTCTCGCACTTATATCCCCCCAGCAGGAAATGGACCATAGCTGAGGTAGCACAGGGTCAAGCATTCTCCTGGTTTGTGCTGGGTAAGGTGTCGAGTTGATTAGAGACGACAAACGTTTAAAGGTCACAAACAGATGTTCGGCAGTGACAAGAACACTTTTCCCACTCAGATCAACAACATCGACAGCTTCTTGTTTGATCACTGGTGTGGAAATACCCTTTCGGGATGGGTTCAAGTTACACAATAACGGCTCAACAAATACGTTCCAGCCAGGAGATCCTACATCGCGGTTAGCGAATGTCTCACTAGCTTATCAACGAAACTTACCGGGTGCGCCAAATTGCTTCCTTCCCAAGACGCCAAACATAATGATCTGAGCCGCGGCGGTAATAAGTTCTTGGCCCTCCTTTCCGTCTAATAGCACAGTGAGCTGGGGCTCAATTATCGAGAACCATTCTTCCGGCGGCACAGTGGTGGGAGGCGAAGTCAAAATTCGAGTAACAACAGCCATAGCTTCCTGCGTAATATTCGCGCCCCTTTTTTGAGGAGCTGCGGCCTCAGAGGCCTTGAGAGTGCTGCTAGGATGTACGGAAAAAATGAACTCCATCGTTCCTCGAACACCGTCAGGTCGTAAAGGAATCAGGGTCAAAATCTTCATCAGTTCGGGACGGAGCCATTGTGGCACAACGTTGGGCTTAATCAAGGCGTTCAAGACGAGCAGCAAATTCCAAGATCCATTCCTAGACCTTTTGTTAGAATTCTTTGCCTGTAATGGTAACAAGCCGCCTTCACCTACCCATCGATAAGTTGCTGGAACTCTCTTTGGGCGGCTTCCTTCGAAGCGGGGTCAGCAGAGGGGTCAAATGCCCGCTTCCCAGCGTCAAGAATACTGTCGGCGAGCTTTGAGCGGGGATCTTTTCCGGGGGTGTCCGTTTCCATGGCGGTTCGTTCGTGATGTTCAGGCAGGATATATTTCATCTTAGTAATTGAGCTTGACGTAACAGTGCTGGTGGTATGTGAAGGCCAGTGTGAAGTTATATACACTGTGTGGGGCTCATCACGTGGGTGCGCGCGTCTCAACGCGAAATCCGGAAGGCGTGCCTACAGCAGAATGATACTCTTTCCGTGTTATTCGGTCTTTGCAAACTCAATCTTACCTTCATCATATTACGCATCCACACTTTCCACAGTTCTCAATTGCAAGAGTCATTACTTGATACTCGGTCTTCGCCGGTACCCAAGTTTGTGATACGATGTTGAAGACCAGTTGGAAACGTTCAACGCGATCGAACTATAGGCTCTCTCTCATTCGCGTCCCCTTCGGGCGCGGCTATATTTTACACGACGCCTCCCCTTCAGTTCTCCGACTCTCATTTTCCTCACGGAATGTCTATCGAAGACCTCTCATCACAAGCTGGATGGCCACGATACGTCGCATCCGAGCCTGTATCAGGACCTCGAGCTTGCCGCGCTTGGATCTATCGTGGTCTATGGGCGTTCCTGCCCGACAATACAGTTTGGCTGAGAGAATGAGTTTCGGAACTTAACCCTAAGTTGCCCTTTGGTTCAAGTCTTGCGCCTGCAGTCGTCGACTCTGCCTTTTAAGTACGCGTGGCCTGCCCGCGATGCTGCGCCGCTGAAAAGCAAAGCAGACCGAGGCCTCTGTGGACGGACTGGCAGGGAACACAGTCCAGTCATCATCTGATGCGCGAAAGGGAGGTTACTATGAGTCGTTTAGGTAAGAGCCTCTGGTCTGAGGCCGCTCGTCAGGACCAACCCGCTGGAACCAGTACTCTGGCCGCGAATAGATCGCTTGGGTGCGATGGCAGACATGACTCGTGGGCTCGTGCAGGGAGCAACTTGTTTTCCCAACTAGTTGATATGCCCAAGCGGCGGCTATCTCCACGTACAAAGAGGGATGGAAAGAGCACAGCATTGGCCACAAGCAGTCAGAATCAGAGTTTCTTCACACCGTTGTGGTCTCACCTTGCCAGTCGCACTTTGGTGTTGCAAGTAGGCCATAGCTACCAACAGAAACTCTGGATCTGACATTCGAACTGCCGTGATGACAGCTTTCGGCACCCAAACCTCCCAGGTACGGCTTGGACTTACTCAGCAGACAAGCTCCCTGCATCAGATCTCATAGCCAGTCAGCGTCTCCCCGAGCCACACCACGGCAAATGCCATGGGTGTGACATGCCCGCATGTGATCTGGTCAGGCGCATTAGCCTTCAATCGTGGGTGTTGTCCCACGATATCGGAGGACGCCAAACCCTCGTTGCTCTCACTTGAGTGCAGCACATCCCTGTTGTCCCAGACATGGTTGACCAACAGATGAGAGCGCGGTTTTTTATGGATGTTTTTTGTCCGCGCGGAACGCCCTCATTTCTCGAGCTTTCCAGATTCGATTGAGAGGAAACAAAAACTTGTCCCAGGAGTCCGTGCAATACACACCGAGAGAGTCTTTCGATCGTCGAGGACGGCCCAATCTGCGATACAACTCGCACAACCCTGCTGGATTGAGTAAATGATGGTGGAGGCTCGTGAGCAGAGAGCAAAGCAAGCGACCCTTGCTGAGGTAGGTAGGAAGCCACTAGCTGGACAAATCCAGACAATTCTAGGACCCATCTCGTGTTGGAGTCAAAGCTTTGTGCTTGTCTAGGATCGTTGGGGAAATGAACTGGCGGGTGCTCCGAGCCACTCGGAGTGTGCGATTTTTTATTTTTTGAGCAAAAGGGCAGGCCATCGGGAGGTAGCCCTGGTTGCTATCCCTCCAGCAATGGCGGGATGGCAACCCCCTGCTGCTGGGGATAAGTCACACCGGTTCTGGAAACTCATATTTGTACAGGTGCTAACTCGTCGGGCAGGGCCGAGAACTGAGATTCGCGGACAGGGGGTTTCGGTACAGCTGGGGCTGAGAACAGGGAACTATTGGGTGTACTTGGACATGGTACGGCTGGGTTGTATGATCAGAAACAAAAGCATAGGGTTGCTTATTTTGAATTTGCCCAGTTGTTCACGGGCGACCCTTGAAACTCGCATTGGCATCGAAAACACTTTTCCATCATAGCTCCAGGAACATCCCATCAATCAACATTTGAAGTTGCCGCATGTCCGTAGTAATCAATTCAACCCTCAAAAGCCATTCGCTAGAGTGACAGCTGCCCCACAATGAAAGCTTGATTTGCTTCCCCAACATACATCTGAAACCCACTAAATGCTCAATCCCGGCCCCAAACCCCCCCCCCCCCCCCCCAGCCTTTGACGTCACAACTGCAACCATTCCAGGAAAGGCTTGGCTGGACCACGGGCCCTGTCTGCATTACAACCAACAAACAACATTAACTGCATGCTTCTCTCTTCCTCATCCGTCGCGCAGTACCTTTTCTTCCTTTGAGGTCCTTCCGAGTCTTCTAATTTGGTTGGGGTTAGTGCCGTCTTGGATCATTGCGTACATTACCTTCATCCGTCGCGTCTATTGTTCTCGTTTGAAGTTGACGTGGGCTGTCATCGTCGTCAAGCTCTTAATACGCATCATGGCTTTTCTTCGCGCGTCTCTGTTGCCTTTGGCGCTTCTTCCTGCAGTCCTTGCGGCCCCCGCCGACAAACCTCACCCGGTTGACGCGCGACACCCCATGATCACCCCTCCACCCACACGCGTCCGACGAAGCCCTGACCTCAGCGACGACATTGGCAACTACGTTCACAGTGTCTTGGGTGGCTTGGGAAGCGACATATCTTCATTTGTCGCGTCCGGTGTTCCGAACTTCTTTCAGGGCTTTCCTACCGGCACCCAGGTTCTCAGCTCCCTTGGAATCAACGATGGTGATCTTGCAGCCCAACCCACCCAAGTTTTGAACGTACCGTAAGTAGCCACAGCGTTTAATGATGACGCTTATGCAATTGGCTGATGACTAACATCCCTACAGGGCCTATGGCAATTGGACCGACGAAGGATGGAATGTCCGTGTTCACGGCAACGTCTTCAAGCAGCCTAACATCAGCCAATCCAAAGTTGACGACCTCGCCAATATCTTCCTCATTGACGTAGATGTTGATCAGCTGCCCCCGGACCAGCAAGCCCAAGCTCGCAATGTGACGAAGTCCATTTTTGTCGTCCAGCAAGATGACCAGAATGTCACCATAAACTTTGTCAACAACGTGGCTGTAAGGCCAGGTGCAAGCGGAGGAGCTGTCAATGCCCGTGGTGGTGCTCAAAGCATCAACATGCCGTATTTGACCACCGCTGAGGGTGATTTCGATGCCTTTGTGAAGCTGCGTAACACCACGGGAAGCAACGGCGGGCACATGATTCCAGGAAACGAAACAAACTCGATCCAAACACTCAACATGTATGCCAACGGCACGTTGACAGGTAATGCCACGGCGTACCTTGTCCCCCCACAGGGCACTACCATCATATCTGATATTGACGACATCCTGCGTGTTACCAAGATTTACCAGCCCAAGGAGGGCCTCCTCAACTCTTTCGCTCGTCCCTTCACACCTTGGGAAAACATGCCGGAAATTTATGCCAATTGGTCCGCGTCAATTCCGGACTTTCACTTTCATTACCTGACCACTACGCCAGAGCAGGTTACCCGGAATTACATGGAGTTCATCTACAAAACCTATCCTCTTGGCAGCTTTGACACGCGGCCTCTTAATTTCTCGGACGTGCAGGCCACGCTCTCTATTCGCCGGTTCCTTTTGGACAAGATCTTTCAGACCTTCCCCCAACGCAAGTTCATCTTGGTCGGAGACACGACGAACTCGGATGTAATGAAGGCGTATCCCGCCATGTTCAAGGACTACCCGAACCAGGTACTGTGTATTCTGCTACGGAACACCAGCGCCACCGACTCTGGTGACAAGTTCCCCTACAACACGGAGGGTTTCAAGGACATCCCGCAAAACAACTACATGTTCTTCAAGGTACCCGACGATCTCAGGAATCTGGATGTTGCAAGCGGGCAGTGCTGGAACCAGACAATTCCCCAGAACGTAACTTTTAAGACGCAAGGATTACCGTTTGGATTGGGAAATACGGCCGGCTCCAAGGCGCCGCCGACCACGTGGGCGTTGGCCGTTGGCCTGTTGTTGATGAGCATTGCGGTCTTGATGTGATAGCGGGCTGTAGTTGGCTTAGTGGAATGACTTAATGAGACTTTAATGGCGGCAAACCTGATTATATGATATCGACCGAGCTCCGCATGCATTGTGTTTCAGCGGGGTTCTGGTGAGCGACTAATCTGCGTTCTTCGGAGCAGGCTCCGTTAGTCGCAGCCGGGCGGAGATACGCTGTGGGATTAACCGAAACGGAGTAAAATTTCGTGTACAGCATCAAAGAAGCAGGTGGCCGATAGGCATGGCTTGGCGGAAACACGGAATCTTGCCCTCACCAAGCCGGTCATGGCATGACAGCCTGCAGCAGAGCGCTGCAGGCTGTCCTAGTATAACCACGAACATGTCCCATGTGCCAGTTGCTTCTTTCTCTTTCGCTTCGCGGCCCTCCTCTGGGGGTTCTTCTCCCTTGTTCCCTGCACAACAACTGTGGCGATGCTGCCAAAAGCTGCATGCGACTCTTTTCGATCTCCAATCTCGAAAGGGCTACCACTATTTACTTGAGGACTCAGCTGCAGGTGGAGGTAGGTGGGTAGGTACCGAAAATAGCGATACAATGGGACAAAGTCTTGGTCCTTGTGTCCTCTCCCTCTCTCTCCCCCGCATGTGAAGTAAGGCCGCCCATTGACGCGAGACATCTGACAGGGACATATCGACTTGTAGTAACAGGATAGAACTCCTCGGAGCTACAGGGGCTCTTTAGGGGTTGTTGCTTGCCCCGGGCCGGTCACAACCAATCGAGAACGTCGGATCGGGTAAGGAGGAAGGAGGCGCGCAGTTCCGAGCAGGGTGCCTCGCACGCACACAAACGGCAGGCGCGCACCTCACACGCTCGCTTCACCCGCCCCGACGGCAAGGAACCTTAGCTGGTAAAGGGGTGAGTGGCACCTTTACTGGACTAGTAGTCGAATGGTGGGGTTGACCAAGAGGCTCTGTTATTCAGACTAGTCTGATAGGGTTTGTGACTATTACGAGGTATTTACTGGTTACAGTCCACAGATGCGGAGGCAGGTCGAGCAAGTTCAGGTGGGTTGGGACGGGATAGGATGTCATAGGCCACAACGTGGTAGACATGGGCGAGATGCACAAAGGGATTGGCATTGGCTGAGTGGTGTGACCCTACTCGGTATGCGGTTATTCAGGTCAGGTGCCTTTTCCCAGGCGGACGGCTCAGTGGGTGATTGCATCGCGATCCAGAGTTCGCCTTCAGTGGGGGATTGGCAGAGCTGGCGCAAGTGATGGCGCAAAGAGTAGCCCATTGCTCCTGCTGCCGGTATTGTCAACCTTGTCAGCAATGTCGAGTCGTGTCGAGTCGTCACCCGCCTCGGATCACGCTCTATTGCGTCGCATCGCTTGTCGTCTCATCTACATCGCCTCCTTGCGCAACCGCATCACCACCTATCATGTCTGATGGCTCACCGTAAATCACCAAGTTGCCGTTGAAACACATTGACTTATCGTGGGCGATTTCCCGTGGGATCAATGAGGTACATGCGTGTGCCGTGTGCCATATGTGGCGCGCAGAGTGGGCGTGTATGCGGCCCCTATGTAGGGTCTTGGAGTTGTAGGGAGGGGGAGAATTCCATCACCCGTCTGGGTCGTTGCCTTGAAAGTCGTTTATGCGGGAAGAGGGGGACCCTGCTCCCCGCTGATCTGCCTTGGAACTTGCAGACTTATCATTGAACCCAGAATCGATATCGACTGTCCATGGTGTCTTCCACCATGTGGCCTCTAGCTAACCGAGGAGCGAAGGACAAGGGAAGGACATAATAATATCGAAAGAAAAAGCGAACGTGTGAGCCCGACCCCACTCAGCCGCATGAGGTTTCTGTCACCGCGACGTTCTCGTTGGCCATCATTCCGATGAGGGTTTCTTTTCCTACTCTTCTTCATGTTTTCTTCCCACACCCCCCAAAGCCATTTAAATGCCGATGTTGATGCTGGCGCGGCGATACCTGCAAAAGATGGCGGTGGCTATAGGACTCGTCATGCAGTGAGTAGTACTCACGCTTCTGCCTGGCGGGTAACGTACCGAATATGCTAGCTTTTGTGTCTCATTGCTTGGATCTGATGTCTCTTTCCTGTTTCCCATTTGCTTACCATCCAAACCCCATACTCATCCGACCACCTCGGTCGGATGCGTTGTTTGACGGGTCGTGGTGGCATGATTGTTGTCTTTGATTGGTGGGCTGGCGCTACTGTGGCGCTAAGGTTGGCGGCAACAGTCCCAGGCAGGTGCTACTCTTTCATGTCATTGCTTCATCTGGTCTTTCAACTTAATAACGTTGTATATGATTTGTCTTCTGTGTCTTACCTAATTCAACTTTACCTACTTCTCTCCTTAAACTGACATCATCGCCGCTCTGAGGAAGGTATCACGCGTCACTTGCCTCTAATGTCGCTTTCCTGCCTTCTTAGAAAAGGATCCAACTCCACTTTTCTTAATCATTGGAGAGCAGGCAATGTACGGTACCAGAGGTCGGTTAAGGCAAGCACGTGGATTGAAAGAGCCAACGCAGCAGGCAAGTGTACCTGCCTTGACGAAAAGTACAAGACACACATCTGGGAAAGAGCGTACTAGAATAGAAGTCCAAAACAAGTCCCACCCCGCCCAGGTATCCACCCTGGCTCACGATGCTGTACCTTCATTCCTCACTTCCTCATGACATGGCATTTTAGTAGTATACGTAGTATACGCGTGCAATGTATCATCTACAGGGATTGTTTACTGAGGTCAGGACTGGTCTATGCCAACATGGTCTGAGGTCGCAACGGCAGTAGTGAGCCAAGTATTTTCCATTCTAGGACATCCTTGTTGTCTTATTGCATCTCGGCAATTTGCCCTTCGGCTCCAGAACACCACCAATCACCAATATCGATGGCATGATCTCGGACGCCAGGCAAGGCCGTGTTGTTCTTTCTTCCCCATGGTCCAATTGCCGTTGCAATAGGCTCGTACCAGAGGAGGTTTTTTTTCTTTGACGTTATTTCTTATTTCTGCGTCTACCCTGACCTTGCTCCTGCTGCTGCTAAGCAGTCTTACCTGCTGGGCCCCCAAACAACAAGGCAGGCGACTTGTCACAAATAATGAGTTGTTCCGCCACCCAACATCCGCAACTTGGAGGCATCCTCGCATTTGCAGCGACTTGTGGCCATGGCCTCGCCAGCGCCAGCAAACCCGTCAGCACCAACAGGGAGAAGAAACAGAAACGGCCGCTAGGGGCGACAGCCGCATCATCACTGACCGCCTTCGTATGCAAAACGATGCAACGGCAGTCGCTCTAGGGGTTGGAGTTCTCCAATCACAAGTTGGCGATTGGGGTCATTCTACACCTGGTTACCACAAAGTACGATCCCCTCTTACTGCACAGTCTTTTCTCGTCCGTCTCTTCAGACCGCTGATGAGATGATCCAACCCAGCCAGGGTCATGTAGTACAAACTGGTCGAATTAGTCACCGCCGCCACCTCCATCTGCCTGCATGGAAGACGTCGTTTCTTGGCATCCCTTGATACAAATGCGAGGACCCCAGTCTACCGGCTTGCTGGCATGAGTCTCGAATCAGAATCGTCGTTTAGTGTTCGCGCCCTTTCTTCTCGACGAGTTGAATACCACATTGCTACCGTCCAGTTCGGTTCAATGCACTCGCTTTGATTGTGGCCGTCCTCATGACTTGACCAGCCGTCTTTTGTCTTCTACCGATACCGACTGATGGTTATCGCCGATCTAGATGACTCCTAACCCTGGAAATTCTCCGCTGACCGCCTCACGTGTACCTCTCTGCTCTGTCAAGGCCATTGTCACTTTCCATTCGGCCCAATCAGGCCATTGTCGATTACGATCTTAGTGCAGGGTCACATTTACAAATGATGTTCCACGACGCAAGATTAGGTCTCCTCATTGCACGCACTACCCCTGGGCTGGTAGCTTCTCGGTGGCGAGCCCGCGCTTGGGTCCGTCATGGGACGTGATCAGCCTCGTCGAACTTCTAGGGGAAGGCGCCGTAGTGTCGTTTGCGCCTGTTACGTCCTCTAGAGCAATTATCCGCACATCGAAGCAGTCATATCTGTCTACACTGGTAATTCTGATGTCAAAAATGCCGAATTAGAAGGGTGGGTCTATTCTGGTTTATGATTAACACCTCGCACCGCATGTGTAAGGCCTGTCGCCTCCGCCAGATTCTCAAACGATTCATAGATTCCGATGTCGATGGAGGGCCCGGTCCCAGTTGTATCGTTTTGCTCTTTTCTTGCGCAGCTTTTTCTGTCCACAATTCAACCATAGGGCGACGGGGCCCACAGAGTGTGACCACTTGCTTCGCTTTTTACCCTCGCAGGCTTATGGGTCTCTCGTAGCCTCGTCTCGGTTCGCTCTGATTTTGCCATGGCAGACAAGGCATTGGATTATTTCACCTCGAATCTCGCCACTTATCGGTTATACTGGGCTGCGTTAGCTTGGAAACGCCATGTCCATCCTCGCACTTTTACTCACAACCACACAGTCTTCGCAACGAGCACCATGGACATTGACCCAGCCCGGGCAATCAACGCCGTGCTTGTATCTGTTGATGCAGGGGTACCGGTCCATATTGTATGGTAGTTGATAATAATGATTACCAAAAAGTTCCAAGAATCGATGTTGGGCGATTGAACAGTTTACAGCGTAAAAGGCTGAAGACGTCCAGAGTCTTGTTTGGTTGCAAGAAGGCCAGGAGACGATTCATCAACAAAGTTGCAAGACGCCCGCTTTATACTCGAAGGTTCGGACTTCGGCTTCTGGCAACAAGCTGAGGTGAGAAATGTGCATCTGCTCATGCTTGACACGCCTGCAGCGCTATCTTCGCAAAGGAAAATGATGAAGTGGTTGCAGAAATGCATGCTGACTGCTAGCAGGCTGCTAATTGCGGCAAAATCTTAAGAAGGCAGCCAAAGATTTGTTAAATTTCCGCAGTTAAACCAACTTTACCCACATTGATACCATATGTCTCTTTGCATATCTGCACGATATGTGACATTGCTCAGGGCCCATCAATGACAGATAGACCCTTGGGATTGGCTTCCGCACTCAAACGTGGCTTGCACACATCAGCTGCAGTCCACAATATGAAAACTGATATATTAGTTACCATGTCAGTGAAACCACCCTTCTTACCCGGGTTTCCCGACAATCGGTGGTTGCGGCCCTCCTCGGCGCTCTACTAGCCCCTCAGCCCGTTCGAATGGATACGCCAAGTATCATTCTAAGGCGGCGAGTCGAGGAATGCCATAATACGCTACTTCGAGACGGTCCGGCGTTTATGGATCTCAGTTTTTGGCTTGCTGCAGGGCGCCGTCCCAGGCGGGCACCAGAAGGTTGTGCGACGCGAGGCACAGCTGGACGCCCATGAGGCTCAAGGGAGTGCAGTGATGGACATCACGATCTGCAGGAGCCCGCGACCTGGCAGGCGGGGAAGGACGGATGAGAATCCGCTGATGCCATCGAATTCTCTGATCTTATCAAACAGTGCTTTTTTGCCACCTATTAACGTCCCACAATGTCCAAAAACCTAAATTCCGGGCCTCACTGGGAACTGTACTGGGCAAGATCGAAGCATTTGGTTCCAACGCTCTTCAAGACTCGCTTGCGAGAGTGCCTTCTGCGGTACATTGCACAGACAAAACGACATGATGGGCGGAGGGGTACAGGTGCTGTACGTAGCGCTTGAAGTACATTAAAGTACCGTCGCCGTGGCACCACAACAGCTGCATGCCGGCCTTTTGAGTCTCGCTGACCTCCCACGTTTCCCAGCTAATGCAGCAGTATCCAGAAAGAGTTGAGGTCTCGAGGATCCTTCGCAATAGGAACCCGCACCATGCTGTACTATACTAGACGTCGTCGACATCTGCTCCCGCTCTACAACGTATCCAGTACATAAACGCATGAATTGTGACCTTGGAACTTGGAGCGGACTGAACCAAGCAATACGCGGTAGGATTATTTAGTTTTCAAGTTTTTTTTTTTTTTCTCTTTTCTTTTAATATGTTTTAATACACTTTTGAAGATATTCAGTATCTCAGCCACACGGGTTTTTCTACCAGACGCAACTTCGAGCTGTTGGCAGCCTTCATACTAGCACGGTACCCCCAGGATTTGCTATACAAGTAAGCAAGGCAGGAGATGCTCGGATACTTGGTCCAACAAGACCTGATGCGACATGCTGCTGCTTGAGCAGCAAAAGTCGCACTCTTTGGTATCTTTTCCAAGACCTCCACTTACGACTGCACTTGTCCGAACTTGGAAGTGCCCACGCATGGGCAGGCACCATGCAGCCGAAATCGAGGCACACGCTGACGAAGAGGACGGACGAGAAACTGTGGAACGTCCAGCCGCTGAGGCAGTATGTGTATAAACGCATTTGGCCACGACCTTTTGTATATCTCCGCATCACCCACATATCGGATAGGACGACTCAAGGGGCCTTTACAAAGGAGCAAGCTACCTAGGACTCTGCCTTGGTCACCCCTCTTCTTGGGGTACTCCCATGATGCGGTCCCTGCTCTACCCACAATGGAGACTCTCAGAGGAAGCTGGAAGCTAGCGGACCTCGCTTCAGATCTTTTTCTCTGGACCGACTACGTATTAACTACGACCGTTCGCGGGCAGCCTCCGAATTTCATAAGCTTTGTGCCGAGAGTGGCAAACCAACCTCGGCGAAAGGACATGGTGACTGTATGGGCATCGCTGGCCAGCTGGAGATAACATGATTTCAGTTTTTGGTTACCCGCATCATAAGGCAAGATGTGATGGCGTCCCTGTACTTTTGCTTGCAGATCGTCATTCAATGTCCATCCAGAAGCTTCCAGGGCATTGAACAGCTTGTTTCCACCGAAGAAGGACTGACTACTGCTCAGGACAAGGCTTTCAAGTGTTCTAGCCACTTGTTTGGCGCTGGCGGCATCGGAATGGATGCAGTCACCGGGCAGCAGAAACACTTCTATAATTAAAATTTTATCAGACCTTGTAGCTGGCTGTTATCATCAGAACCTTTTTCGTTTTCGGCCAGAGCGGATCATGGCCGCCCTTGGCCCTCAACGGCACGTTGGCGCATTGACGCAGTCCGGAACACGCCTAATGTGTGCGTCGCTCTAGGACGAAAGTTCTGGCATGTGTGGCGATGGAGGGGCAAGGCTGCATATGAGCAGGAAGAGCTCACTTTCAACAAGGTGAAATGCAATTTTTTCTCCGTTAGGAAAGAAACTGTGATCTACGACATTAACCAGCATGCAGAGCCAGTTTTAATGCCTTGGCTGACAGAAAGCCTGGCTGAGTTCTGCTCATGTTCTTGGGAACAGAAACGGCAGCATGCTAGCCGTTTGGCGAAGAGAAGGGCAGAAAGGTTCTCACTAGGTTCGATTTTATTTTTATCTCAAAGTTGATTCGTTATCACAGTTTCAACCCCTCTCAATTGCGATTGGCGCCTAATGGTTCCTGTACCTACCCAAGGTGCCATTTTGGCAAGGCCATATACTTTGGGAACGACTTGCAGAACCTCTCGCTGGCGCGTTGGATTCAAATCAACCTGCTGACACTGGTGGAAGTACTTCAGACCACTCTTTACTATGGACTGTGGAGGTCAAACAAAGCCAAACTGATAATATCTCCTTGGCAAGGTGACAAGCATGCATTGCAGACGGCCGTACCCGAGGCTGTGTTAGAGTACTTCTCTGGCGCTGACCAGGATATCGCAGAGGTAAGAATTGTTATGGGTCTAGGAATCACCAGCAGAGTCTCTCATCGTTTCGATAGAAGGCCGGTGGAGGACATTAGTCTTGCGGGTGAAAGCACGAGGGGATTCCACAGAACCTTTGGTGCAGTCGGACGGCGGAAGCGAGGCGCGGGGCATTGGGACTACATGCTGACTTGGCAGTTTCTGCTCTCGTTTCTAGAAAGCCTAGCTGACGTTACACATGCATTGGTGGTAACCTAGTCCGTACAGCCTGGCAAGTGGACGGTCAGGATGTCAGGATGGTGGCACTCTGTGCTTAGGACGAATATTGGAGCACAGGAGTATCATGTCGACAGTGTCCACAACCGGAATGATGTCCGTTGTCCGCCCTGAACTCACCTGCAAAAGGTTCCAATTCCCTCCTGGGTAAGCATTTTTCTCCTTGACAGCGGCATCCTGCATCAAGGGGCAAAAGCAGAGCAACACCAGAGTAAGAGTTTCTGTCCAATAGCGTATGCATACGCAAGAGAACTATTGGCATGGATATTAAGTACGGATCGAAAACATGAAGGGGGCGGGCAAAAGAGACTCTCACGCGCACTTTTCGATTCAATGGGGCATGCCTTTTGGGCAGCAGAAGGTACGCCTCAGGAAGAAGAGGGGCAGCCGGCGGTGCATGCTTTGTACTGCTTCGTGGGATTTTCTGGCGCAAAGACCCATGTATGGCAGAGAAGGCATGACTTTAGGTGTCCCATCGCCAGCCGAAAACCTCGCTGCAAGGGTGAGGCACTGCAGGCAATGGCGTTAAGAAAGGCGTACCCCCTCCCTCACCCCGCCAAGGAAGTGCCCGCTCATCCGACTTGACAGAGAGGCTCCCGGAGCTTCCCTTGGAGCCGGTATACATCAAGCAGAATACTCAGGTCACGAAGTGATGAGAGGCCAACAGGATACAAAAGACTAGTGTCTACTAGAGCGCGTCATCTTTGCAGGCCGCAGAGTATGTCAAGGTGCCGAAGTAACTTGGCCTGGCACGCCGACTTCTGCGAAAGGAGCCAGGATTGTTGGGCTGCTGCCCGCTTGTCTGACTTGCAGCCAAGGAGCAAAAGAAGCAGCAGAGGGGACCCATCGGTTGGACGACCCCGGGTCCCGGGGTTACGTGCCTTGTGGTGCGCTGTCATGTTGAATGGGACCAAAACTCCCCTCATACCTTAGCGGCCGCTGCAACTTGGCCAGGTTTTGGGTCAGCTAGGTATCATTACGGATCGGGGCGGACGACAGCAACGGACTCGAGGGGGGGAAGGGCCGCCGCACCTTTGATTGAGAGAAAGAAGCATTGGCGTAGTTGACGTGACTCTTGGCCGTTACTTCCGGACGGGCAAGGGTTTCTGTTTCTGAAGGTCTAGCCCTCCGATACATGTCGTTGAGGGGGGAAAAGTGACTACACCGTAACTCAACGAGCTGAGGCACACCAATGCGGCTTAAGCCGTCTGTTTCATGGATCACAAATTTCCGTTTGCTGCTGGCTGATACAGTATGTTTCTCAAAACGTTGCTCGACAGTTGTTTGGTGTGCATACGCGGCATTCCGGGCAAACTCAAAACCTTGTGGCTTACTTGAAGGAGAAGGGCCATCGAGATCCCCAGCGTGCATATACAGTGCTCCGCCGTCTGCAGGTTTTAACCGGCAGGAGAGGGGAGAAAGGACGATCTGCTACGTAGCAAGCAAAGGACGCGAGTAGACCTAGCGGTGCCTAGCCTGATGAGTCCTTTTTTTTCCCCTGCCCCCCGGGCGCTGCAAAGTCTCTCGGGTGGATTTTTCCACTTGGCCCGCCTCAAGTGCGATTTGTCCTGGCACCAGTTACTAGGTACCAAGCAAATATGGGTTGTTAACCGCACTATTACGCTGCTCGTTTCCTGGTATTTGCCACACGCTATTGTCTTTTTTCCACACTCTCGCTATCAGGTATGGCGGTTCCCAACCAGCATTAGGGATCGAGCTCCAGCCGGTACACGAGATGATAGAATGTCAACAGTGGTGGAAGTCTTTTACTGGGTTGACGCATGATACTATTCACGAGTCAGGGAAGCCGTCATGGGGCAGATGTTCTGCCTTGTTGGCGGGTGTGTTGAAATCCACAAGCTGATAACGAAGTGGGCTGTCACTGACCCTCCATTTTTGATTGTTCTCGTCACTGGACAGACAGCTTGTCCGATACCTAGGCCAGGGGTTTTCGGTAGACGGGCAGTGGTAATGCGAGGCGCGGATACAAAGACCAACGACAAGAACATGAAATCAATTGTCTTGTTCGCTTCAATATGATAGATCTCGCTCTAACGAGGCTTACTTCATTGTATATGCGATTACGCCACAACCCAAGGTGTCCTGGTCTAGTTGCAGCCTCAGTGTCAGCAGTTCTCAGTGTGGAAACACGATGAGTGGCTAATTGCTGTATGTGTGGACAAAGACGCTGAGTACGACAAAAAAAGAGGAACAGACTATGCGCCATATTATGCCAGCTAAGGGCAAGACGTTCTTTCGAGACCGATGCGGTGCAGGAATGATACAGCTGAGGCCACCCGAACAACCATACGGTTACAAGACGATTGTCTTTCGATACCTCGACCGCGTGATCCATTTGACGTCCATCATATCTTGAACAGACATACACCGCTATTCTTCTCAGTTCCTGATGAGTTGGTTACGTAAAACCCGGGGGGGGTGCGGTCTGGACACCACTTTGCCTGTATCCCATGTTGGAGATTGCTGAGCACGTCCAAACATCCATCACATGCTACGTTAGCTTCGGCGAGCTATTGAGCGGGCCCTTGAACTCTTTGGCGACAGACACGACAAGGACGACAAGGTCTTCAGATGCGATCAAAGTGCAGGAGTCGGCAAAGTCAGACGCCACTCATATCGAGGGGAGCATGCTCCGAGGACGGCGATTCGTCAGTTCTGTTATACCCAGGAAGAGGGCTCGCTGTACGTCAGCTGCATCGCAGACTTTGTCCCTTGGCCTAAAGGAAACGCAAGCGCGCAGCCACTGGTAGTCAAGCTGATCGACAGGGCTGCTCTTGACCTTCTGTTCTCTAACCGTTTCTTTTTTGGATCCGGGGCCTTTCTCGCTGCCATTCATCTGTTGCGAGTCAACGGTTTACCTAGGGAACAGAGTCAGTCGTTGTTGTTTTTAGTCAGCATGAATCGTCTCGCTCATCCCATCGCCAAATGACAACCTGGGTCAAGATGATAGGCCCATGCCATCGCGATCCAGACTACCCTGTCATCCTGCCATTCATACGGCCAATGCCATAAGCGCGCAGACGACAATCGTACCCCACGACCACCCATCTCGATTTTGCGCTAGGAGAAAGAGACAGCCTTGACGTTATTGGGAGCACAGTACCATTCTTAAAAGGCACGCGCTACCCGTTTCTGATACATGGTCCAGTAGTGCGCCAGCGCCAGAAGGGTAAGGTTCTTTACTAAGGGGGCTCTGCACCCCTCAAGGGGTCCAAAGTGTGAGACACTGCAGCGCCCTTTGGGTCTGGACTCGGCCATTTATGTCAACGAATTCGCCACCTCCATCAACCCTCCCCCGGGGCCGGCCGGACAAGACCCTGAACAATGGCATTGTCTGGCCAGGACACATACAGGTATATGTGCGAGGATAAAGGCGTATATGCCCCGGAGCAAGAATAGCTGAACTGCGGACCGGAAGGTTCCGCAAAGGAGAGGAAAAACTTGCGAAAGTACATTGGGGAGAAAGCTTCGTCTGCTTGAGAGCTGGGCTACCTACGAGAGGAAGGTTGCATGCAGCGAGCGAAGCGAAGGCCCCCCCCCCCCCGGCGAACACTGGTTTTTGCATATCATGGTTTTCACAATCGGTCAGCTGCGTTGCTGACTTTTCTTTCTCTCTCACTCTCTGGTATTCTGTTTTTCCCTCTTTTACTGGGGCCTCTCGCCGACGTTGCCTATTCTTTACATTGACTTGCATATCGGGGCACCACCCTTTTTACATGGGGTCCGCCGCAACTCTCACCTGAAGACCATCAGTTTGATGGTGTGTGCTTGTTGGCCGCCCATCCACACATGGAAGACTTGGACACATCCTCCACATGTCACATATACCATGTCCAGTACATAAAAGTACGTTCCAGGGAAAATACTGGGGAATTTTGTCGTGTTGGTGTTGTGGAGCTTGTCACCGACTCTGGTACTTACTTGCTGGTAACCATCCACGCGCATGACACGTGTGTGGAAATTTCGGCGAGATCCCCCGGGGGATGGGGTGAATGCAAGTGTAGCGACAACCCGTCCGGATGCGACTCTCGGCGCACGGACAAGACCTGTCAAAAAGACGGTAATGAGTAGAAGAAGGCGAAGAAGAAAATGAAGAGTCTTTCCAATTTTTGCCTTGGCTGCAGTGTCTTCCAGTTCCGGCGTGGGATATGCGGATATCTCACAACACCCCCCCCCCCCGGTTTTTTCACCTTTTTTTTTTTTTTTTTCTCAATATCCAGACGAGTCCGACTCGTTGATCCTTTCTTTCTTCTCTTCTATCTGTCCGACTTGGCCTCCCTTCGGATCCGATCTGCCTTGGCTGCCTCTTGGCCCCCGTATCGAGGGAATTGCCACTACTATCTCTCGCGTATCGCAACATGTCATTTCACCACGTCCAATGTCTACCCTACCACTTTTCCCCCCATGCGTTAGCCCCCCCTCCCCGATAGCCGGAATGACCCGTCATATCGGGAATCTGGCCGTCTTTTATCCTCCCCCTTTCTGCCCAGCGCATTTTACAATACCTTGCTGTATCAATGTTCGTGGTACGGTGTTTTTTTTTTTTTTTTGTCTTTATTTATTTATATTTTTCATGTCTGTTGGAACCAACCTTGTAAGATAGAACCCCCCCGCCATCTACCTTTACCCCACGGATACCGTTGGTGGGTTTTTTTTTAACTCATTCTAGTTGATGTTTCCCCCCCGCCTTAACTCAAGTTGAGAGCATAGGCTCCCTCCCATCCTATCTGCCCAGCCATTCTTTAAAATAATAGGATAAAAATAAAAATAACTGCTTGATATGATACCTCAGCTTTCTCTCTCTCCCTCCCTCTGATAGGCGTTTCATACATGTGTTTTGCCTTGTCTTTTTTTTTGTGCTTCTTCTATGTAGCGAGTAAACTACGTGAAAGAGAGAAAGGAGAAGGGGGGAAACATTAACGCCCCTCTCTTGGTCCAATCTATATCAAATAAAGAAAAAAAACACCAAAACCCCGGTTTCCGATGAAAACAATCCTCGCTGGGGAGTCCCGATCGCGAATTTTCCTTTCTTTTTCTTTTCTTTTCCTTTGATTTTCTTTTTCTTTCATTCCGTTTCTTCCCACCGCTACTTTCCCCATGTCTTGCCTCTCGCGCACGAGCGCCTGGTTTCGTTCATGATGAAGCCCTCTGGTCTTAGAGGGAAGGGAGGGGGGGGGGGTTTGTGTAAGAGATAGAGAGAGAGAGAGAGAGGTATACAGGGTCAAGTATACTATACTTTTGCGCTACGACGGAAAAGAAGGTCTGAATCACCGGCTGTTCTTCTTGGCCTCCTTGCGACGCTTCTTCTCGGTCGCCCGCAGGAGTGCCGTCTTGACTTCACCCTTTTCGAACGTGTCTAGATCGTAGTATACGGGCGCAATTTCCTGCACGAAAGGTAAAGAGTTCATTTGGTTAGCCCATCGGATCCTAGTCAAAATGCGGCGTGTCCGGCGCAATGGTTAGGCGGCAGGTAAGAGCCGCAGCATGCAAGCCAGGAAAAAAAAAAAAAAAAAAAACTGAGGAGAGACAGGGCAGGGTCGGGGGTGGAAAGGGGAGCGAGCGAGCAAGCGAGACGTCCCAAGAGGGTTGCATGGTAAGATAGATCTCGGCTTGGCACCAACAGCAGAAACAAATGAACCAAGCGACATGCACAAAGGGGGTAGCAAATCAAAGGGGGAAAGGTGTGCTTACCAGTAGCCATTCTGGCCTGATTCCGGTGCAGGTGCGGATGTACTGCTTGGAGGTGAGGACGAACTCGTTGTAGAGGACCCACTCGTAGTCGGTCTTGAGGACGGTGGAGGGGTGCATCATGACAGCCTGGTCGTCCTTGATGGTGCGGTAGACCTTGCCGGAGCTCTCCTTCATGGCGACCTGCATGAAGAAGCCCGAAAGCAGGGCGCGGCGGATGTTGGTGTAGTAGTTCTTGTCCTCGAACGGCGTCGACACAAGCTCGAGATCGTGCTTCTCCATAATGCGCTTCAGCTGCGACCGCACGTTGTCGGCGCTGCTGAGGTGACGGAACGACAGGAAGTGCTCGTGGCACCACTTCTTGGCATCCGACCCGGGCACGTTGGCCTGGCCCTTGAAGGCGTGGTACGCGTTGAGGAGCGTCAGGTGGTCACCCTCCGGGTGGGAGAAGTGCGCCTTCATCTCGTCGGCACGCTTGCGACTGGCGGCCGGCCGCACCCAGATCTGGGGCACAGAGAGGAGGGAGGTGATGGAGAGGATCTCGTTCGAGCAGTAGAACTCGGGCGACGAGATGAGCATGACGGCCAGCGCAGGGTCCAGCGGGAACTCCGACGCAAGACTGCCGAGCGTGGTGAGCTCGCCGTCGTCGTCGAGACATGCGAGGTAGTTTAGCTCCTCGAGCGCCCGCATCATGGTCTCCGGGGCGGGGGGGTCCATGAGGTCGAAGTGGACGAGATCCTCGACGCCGAGCTTCTTCAGCTCGAGGACCGTGTTGGCCAGGTTGGATCGCAGAATTTCGGGGTGCGTCTGCTCGATGAGCTCCTTCTTGAAGGCCTGCTCGGTGTACAGGCGGAAGCACTTTCCGGGCTTGGTACGACCGGCACGACCGGCACGCTGCTGCGCCGAGGCCTTGGAGATGGGAGAGACCAACAGGGACTCGACACGGATGCGCGGGTTGTAGATCTTCTGCTTACTGAAACCGGGGTCGACGACGTAGACGATTCCGTCAATGGTCAGCGACGTCTCGGCAATGTTGGTCGCCACAATGACCTTGCGACCCGGGCGGCCGCCCTTCTTGTAGGGCTCTGGTGCCTTGTCGAATATCCTCTGCTGCTGGTGCGGGGGGAGGGTACCGTAGAGCGGGTAGACGGCCAGGGGGCCGGCGTCGATCTCTCTGATCATCTCGTCCGCCTCGAGGTTGATCTTCCTGCAGGCGTCCTCAATCTCTTCTTCACCCGTCAGGAACACCAGCACATCTCCCTCGCCCTCGGAGGCGTGGATCTGCAGCACCGTCCGGATGGCCGCCTCGACGTAGTCTCTCTCGGGCTCAGGGGTGTAGAAGATCTCGACGGGATGGGTACGACCGGGGACGGCGAGGAGGGGTGCGTCGTTGAAGTAACGCTGGAACTTTTGGGCATCGAGGGTGGCGGACATGACAATGATCTTGAGGTCCGGACGGCGAGCAGCGATCTGCTTAAGCAGGGCCATGAGGATATCGGTGGCAAGTGTACGTTCGTGAGCCTCGTCAAGGATGATACAGCTGTAGCGCGACATCTCGTGGTCGTGGATGGCTTCTCTCAGAAGCATACCGTCCGTCATGTACTTGAGCATCGTCTTGGGGCCCGTCATGTCCTCGAAACGGATGCTGTAACCGACCTCCTCGCCGAGGTTGACGTCCATCTCGTCGGCGACACGCTGGGCAACGGACATGGCGGCGACACGACGGGGCTGGGTACAAGCGACCATCTTGCGGTTCAGCTGGGGGAGCTCATCGTAAACAACGTATTGGGGGATCTGGGTCGTCTTTCCGGAACCGGTCTCACCGACGAAGACGAGGATCTGGGTAGAGTGGTACTTGTCGAGGAATTCTTGCCTGCAGCGTATCAGTATGGGTAAGTACAGACGGAGCATGAAAGCGACAGGATGTACCTTTGCTTGTGGACGGGCAGGTCGCGACGGCTCTGCAAGATCTGGAAGTACTTTTGCGAATGGGGGCGTCCAGTGAAGGCGTTGGTGTCGAGGTCCTCAACCTTCTCGGCCTGCTTCGCGGTGGTGGAGCGCGGGGTAAAGTCGGCAAAGGCAGAGCTGGGGTCAATGCCCTCCTCAGACTTGACGCCGTTGTCCTCGTTCATGTGCGCAAGGTAGGGGTTGTACTTGGGCTCATCTTCGGAATCCTCCTTCTTGGCCTTCTTCCTAGAAGCTCCATCTCGATCGGCGCTGGAGCGCTTGCCGCCCTTGGAATCGAAGTCGGCCATCGTTTCTAACTTTGGTGGGATCTATTTCACCGCGGTAGTTAGGTTGCCGAAAGAAAAAGGGTCGTGGGAGGATGAGGATGCGGCCTGGGTTTCGACTGCGACGACGACAACAACTGCTCTCGAAGGCGCGGGTTCAGGCGAGGCTCCCAAGAAACTTTTTGTTGTCGCGGGAAAAATTTGGGTGGGTTCATGCACAGACCAATGAGATAGTGGGATGATAAGATAAGATATGCTCCAATACATGGGGATAACGTAGGAGGCACAGTCCACACTGTGAAAGCGAGTTGTAAATGTCTTGGAAGCTTTAATTTGATTCAGGTTAGAGTCTCTTGGTATGCTTATTTTCACCTGTGCTTGATATTAGATGTAAGTTTCCTCAGGATATTCTCATGTCCAGTAAGAATGTATGAGGTCTTGGTTACCAAACATGAAAACCACTTTAACCCTCTCAGTGACCATTATGAGACTCTCACCAAGTGTCTCCCGATAGCGGACACTGTCCCCTCTCTCTCTTTTTTCTTCAGGGTCCAGGCTCACCAAGTTCCACAGCATGCAAGTGCAACCAATAGCACAGGGCCACTACTCACAAAATCTGGCGCATTTTTGCCCTTTGGGGTGCCAGCAACAGCAGCAGCCTGACTTACCAGATTACACAACGTCTGGTTTGAGTAATCCAACAGTAGACGACGACTATTGTCTGTTGTTCTTTTTGCCGATTGTGGCCTTCATATCTCATCAAGCATGAATTGCTGACCTTTTCTTTTCCCTACCCTTTTCTTGCATTCTTCCCACTGAAGCGCCAGGGTTCGTTCTGTTCACCACGCTTTTTTTTTGAACATAACCGCCGTGATTTGTGCGCCGAGCAATTACACCATTCACAAATCGTACCAGCCAGGCAGCACAACAACCCCCCCCTCCCTCCAATACCCGCAGCCATGGACGCCGGCGCTTTCAACGGCCCTTTGAGGCCCATCTTCAGCCTCGGCCAGCATGATTCGAACAGAGACCAGCCTTTGGATGACCTCCAGTACGGCCAGCTCCTCAACGCTGGTGTAAGTCGTCCTGCAACCCTGGTTGCTTACCCTCACTAAGTCTTGGCTTAGATCAGCTTTGTCACCACTCCCATTACCAACAAGCATTTCCATGCCCGTGTGAAGGACCTCGTCTCTAGCCATCTTGCCAAGGCCAAGCAAGGTGGTGCCTCCTTGGCGGATGCTGTCGTCCCGCCGCTGACCCCCAAGGACACCTCGTTGTTCCCCAGCCAGGCGGTAACCACTTACATCGCCTACACCAGCCCTTGGATTGACCTTGCCTCAACGGACCCGGTCATTGCTAGCGTGTCGCGGCAGGTCCTGAATCTTGAGGTTGCCTACGCCAACTTCTGCGGCGTTCGAAGCATTATTGTACCGGGTCTGAGACGGGACGCTTCTAAGAATGGCGGCAACCAGGGTGTTTCTCAGTACGCCCGTGCCATTCATGAGGCTATGAACATTGCAAGTCGCCTCAACTTCATCATCCACATACCCATGTACCGCGAGCCGGGTCTGGATGAGTCGGTTGAGCTTCTATCGGCTCTTTCCACCGAGCCCCACGGTGACGACAACAGAAACATCGACATCTACAGCGCCTGGGACTCGTGGCACACAGTTAGAAGCGTCTGCGAGTACAGCACTCGCCTTTACGTTTGTAAGGAATATCGCGCTTGTATGTGAAGATAGAGTACTGATCAATGCGTACAGCCGTCAGAGTCCCCAAGGCCCTGCCTGAGAAGGAGCTCCAGGACAAGTGGTTCGCAGAACCCCTGCACTTCTTGTCTCTCGGCCCCAACGCCTTCCAGAAGAACAAGAGCGGCCATCCCGCTCTGCCTAGAGCGCACCAGGAAATGATCTTTACCCTCATGCGCCTCAAGAACGCTCCCTGGCTGCTGCTCAGCGACGTCGGTCCCGACCCGGCCTCGCTGACTGCCGAGGCCCAGCTCCAAGCCGTTTCTCTGGCTAACCAGGTTCCTACTGCCGCCGACTTCCCTAGCTTGGGCGAGGCTCACTCCGGACAACAAGGCACAGACACCCTGAAGACATTCAGGACTCACGTCGCCTACCTCAAGTGGCTTGAATCGCAGCAAAAACCCCTGTCTTATCTCGAACAGGCCCCTCTCACTGCCTTCCAGGACTGGCTTCAGTCGCCCCTCCAACCGCTGTCCGATAACCTCGAGTCAGCGACATACGAGGTCTTTGAGGGCGACCCGGTCAAGTACAACCAGTACGAGGCTGCCATCACGGAGGCCCTGGCCGAGTGGTCACAGCTGGGTAGAGCCACTTCGTCAAACAACGGCGCAGTCGTCATTGCTGTGGTGGGCTCTGGACGTGGACCTCTGGTGACCAGAGCTCTTAGGGCCAGCGAAGCCACGGGCGTCCCGGTGCAGGTCTGGGCCGTTGAGAAGAACCCCAACGCTTACGTCTATCTCCTTCGACAGAACGACATGATCTGGGGCGGAAAGGTCACGGTCGTCAAGACGGACATGCGCGCCTGGAAGGGTCCTCTCCTCTCTGGCACCGCCGAGAATAACCCGGTTTACGGCAAGGTCGACATTCTTGTGTCGGAGCTGCTTGGCTCCTTTGCCGACAACGAGCTTTCGCCCGAATGCTTGGACGGTGTCCAGCACGTCCTGGCCCCTCAGGGTATTTCCATTCCGGAGTCGTACACTGCGCACATGAGCCCGATTGCGACACCCCGCATCCACGCAGACCTCCTCACGAGATTGCCGACCGAGCCCAACGCTTTCGACACCCCGTGGGTCGTCCGTCTCTTTGCTATTGACTTTGCTGCCCAGCGCGTGCCTGGCCACCCCCGCTTCCAGCAGGCGTGGGAGTTTACGCACCCCGTACCTGAGGCCACGCTCAAGCAGATCGAGACCCGCCGCGCTGGCGGTGTCATGGGCGGCGGAGGTGGAAGCATGGCTGGTGCCGTCGGAGCCAACGACCACAACTCGCGCTTCTGCCACCTCACGTTCGTCTGCCGCACTAGGGGTGTCATCCACGGTCTGGCCGGCTACTTCGAGTCGGTTCTGTATGCGCCTCAGACCGGCAACAAGGAAAAGGTGGAGATTAGCACACATCCCGAGCTGATTGACCGCAAGAGCAAAGACATGATCTCGTGGTTCCCCATCTTCTTCCCTATCAAGGTAAAGCAAGCTTCATCCATCATATATCAGGGCACTTTAGCTAACAAAACATTCGTAGCAACCCATCTACTACCCTGCCGACACTGAGCTGGAGGTCACGATGTGGCGACAAACGGATGACTCGAGGGTGTGGTATGAGTGGCTCATCGAGGCGTACACTTGGGTCAGCGAAACACAGCGGATCAAGGTGGCGTCATCTGATCTATGCAGCAGTCGCAAGGTTGCTTGTCTTATGTAGTTTATCTGCGATATCAAAGGCACAGAGGGCGCCGTAGCGGGTGTTTCTTTCTCTATAGTTGCTGCGGGGGGTTTTCTTGTTTTGGTTATGGTTGTCGTCCCCGTTTGCGCAGCGCGGGTCGGGGGGGTATTCGTCTCGATGGAACAACGATTACGGTCGTCAGCTTTTTTTGGATCCTTCAAAACTTTTTTCTTTTCTTTCTTCAACCCATGCCCCGTCATTCATCCATGCCACCGCCCCTTTCCTCGCTCCTTTAATTCGTGTTCCCAGGCGTGTAAGATGCTTCCGCTCGTTCGGGTTGTGTCCTGGTTCAACCTTCCATCTTGACGTCGCCGTTCTCGCCTTGTTTCGCGCCGCGGATCCAGAGGACGTTGTTGCACCTGCGTTGTTGTTAGCGGAGCTGCCCAAAACGTCGCCGAAAAGATTGTGTGTGTATATGTGTGTGTCTTCCGTACCGAATCAGCACCTGGCCAAGAGCTCCAGTCATCTTCTGGTCAATGTACTCCTCGGCACCGCTGAGCTGAACGTTCATGTAGCTGTCGATGCTGACCAGCTTGCCCTTGTATTCGGTGTCGCCCCACTTGAGTCTGATGACGACGTCCTTGTCGACACTGCGATTGGAGAAAGAAATTAGCAAACTGTTCTGCCCTCGGCGATGCAGGAGGGAGCTGCGGTGCGCAGCAGGATAAAGGGAAAGCCGTACAGGTCTTGCAGCATAGGCCGCGGGTTAATCGGCACAAACTAATAGGAAAAAAAAAGAATGGTCAGCATCGGTTTTTATTTTCAGGACGCGGAAAGCGATGGATAGGGATTGTCTTACGCTCATGGTGGGCGGTTCGAGGGGGAGAAACGGCCCATGTAATGTGTGGATGGGGGAAAGATGGGTTTGCGCGGTCAAGGCTGCGATCGCGAGGCTCCTTGTTGACGTGCCTGACCAATTTTTAGGCGGTGGCACAGTGTACCTGAGGTTGGTTTACAGTGGGCGTGAGGCTGTCGGAAAATCATCGGATCCACTGTTAAGGTAGCCGCCCAGTGATGCAACTCAAAATCTGGGGGGGGGGGGGTTGCTGTGCCGCTCGCTTCCCGTTACGATCGTATCTTGAATGAGTGAGCTCTTGGCCAGGGCCAATGCGTATTTTTGGTGAAAGAAAAAGATACCACCGGGTCATCCATCCGAAGATTCATCTTCTTTTCGACATTTCCCGAGGCACTAACAGCGAATGCAACCATGCCGTAATGAAGCTCCAGTGAGCTGCCTGCTACGTTACCCAAGTTACCTAGATTAACACGGCCACAATCAAGCTTCAAGCTCAATCTGGAGGGGGGTCACACACAGCAAATGCAGAAAGTCGCCGGCACCCTGGTCTCGGAAACCACCCTCATTAAAAAGATTCAGCTCATGTGGCTAGCGAATTCCTAGCGCACACGCTCCAGCCACAGGCTGGCGGATTGTCCAATTGGCGACCGCAACGGCCGCCGTGGTGACATGGCTGCCGTCCCTGAAAGTCCCGCGATGACTCTTGTGCCGTCGCCGTGCCCGGCCACAGGGGCACGAAAACGTCTCGGGGGTAACCCACCTCCAGCCCACGATACTTTCCAGTTTGAGGCTCACGAGGCGTCTCGGGACTTTTAATGTCTTGGAGTAGAGGGGTTTTTGATTTCGCTTATAAGGGACGGAAATCCCAAGGTTGCGAGGCTGTTCCCGTTACTACTTTGCCTAGACATACACTAACTACAAAGCTTACTGTATTGACATTTCTGTTTGATACATCTCTTACCCTTGATTACATAGACATGGGCATCTTTGATTTTCGCTTGTCTTACCAGTGGCTCTACTGGACCGCGCCAACTGGAGAAGCCCCGGCGCCCCCCAAAGGTCTCACGCGACATTGGATTAATACACCATCAGGCAGGATCGAGGTCCTTTCAAATCAGGGCTCGAATCCGACGACGGGGAAAACGCCCATATTCTTTATCCATGGCGGCATGGGAAGCGCGTGGGTGTGGGCCGAGTACATGCAGTACTTCGCGAAGCACGACATCCCTTGTTACGCCGTCTCCATGCGCGGCCACGGCAACAGCTGGCACCCTTCGTATCTGAGGATGGTGTACTTCACCACGAGGAGAAACCTGACAGACGATGCCCTTGCTGCGCTTAAATGGGTGCAGGAGCGGCAGGGCAGCGAGGTTCTGCTCGTGGGACATTCGAGCGGTGGTGGTCTCAGCCAGGGTATACTGTCTGATGGGCAAGCCCACGTCAAGGGCCTTGCACTTCTTGGTGCCGTCCCAGGTTTTGGCTCGTGAGTTATCATGGGATACGATTATCGAATAACTGAGCTAAATACGTTGCAGATACGGAGTCTACGCGAACTGGGCAATGTTCGACCCTTGGTTCTCCGTTCGCATGCTGTTCCACGGATGGCACCCGAACTCGCCTCTCTCCCACCCCTTCCTGGTCAAACAAGCATTCTTTGGAGACCAGATGACGGAAGCTGGAGTTATCAACTTCCAAAAACATGTTAACCGTTATGAGTCATTCCTCTGGCCCATCAGCATGATGAAGCCCTTCACCAATGCCACCAACCTCATTGGCTCAGTTGGCGATTGGGGCAGCAGCGACCGCATCTTGATCCTGACTGGTGTGCAGGATAAGATGATGACTCACGGCGTTATGTCGAAGCTCGCTGCGACTTACAGAAATGCGGTTGCTGAGCAGGCAGGCAGCAAAAAGCTTGACGTCAAGGTACGCGAGGTTAAACCTCTTGCGGGCGAGGGCGACAAGGATGATGAGGGCAGTGGTGTGAGGTTGGCTTGGGTTCCCGGAGCCGGGCATCACTTGCAGAACGATGTGATGTGGGAGGTTGGAGCGAAGAAACTGCTTGAGTTCTATGAACAGCTGTAGATGAAGGCGTGTGGGGAGGCTCTACTCAATGATTTGCGTTTTTTGTATACCAATAAAGGATGAGACTAGGTAAGCGGGCGCGGTTTTGACTATACCCGGCATTAGATCAATGTAAGATTAGTATGACTCAAATTGTTTTTGAATTGGCCTCAAAAATACGTTGCGGGGGGTTTTCCTACTTTCGGATTTTAATATAAGTGGCATTATGTATAAAGATGATTCTCACATGTCCTACTCAGGCGTGATCTCATGGTCATGGCCATTGCATGAAAATTTGTCGGGAACAGCCGAGCCTCACCAAAGCTCCGCCTAACAACAAACCACCCAGATACCGCCACAAAATGGCCACGCAAATATTCGAAACAAACGGCGTCCGCGTCGCCGTTGAAGGCTGTGTAAAAATTCACCCGCCATTCTTGAAATTACCTAGTTGAATTCTCCGTTAACAAAAGCCAGGGTCATGGCAGCCTCCATGCAATCTACGCCGCCATCGCCGCCTCCTGCGATGCCCGCGGCTGGGATGGCGTCGACATCCTCATCATCGGCGGCGACTTCCAGGCCGCCCGCAACGCCGCCGACCTCTCCGTCATGTCCGTCCCCTTGAAGTACCGCGCACTAGGCGACTTCTGGGAGTACTACGCCGGCATCCGCGAGGCGCCCTACCTTACCGTCTTCGCTGCGGGCAACCACGAAGCCTCGGCGCACCTGTGGGAGCTCTACTACGGCGGCTGGGTGGCGCCCAACATTTACTATCTCGGCGCCGCCAACGTCGTACGGCTGGGACCGCTCCGCATCGCGGCGATGAGCGGCATTTGGAAGGGGTTCGACTACCGCAAGACGCACCATGAGAGGTTACCGATGGGCCATGACGAGATCAAGAGCTTTTACCACGTCAGAGAGGTGGACGTGCGAAAACTGCTGCTTTTGAGAGAGCAGGTTGACATCGGCCTCAGTCATGACTGGCCTAGGGCCATCGAGAAGTGGGGCAACCAGAAGGCTCTATGGGGGATGAAGCCTGCTTTCAAGAGGGAATCAGAGGAAGGTACCCTGGGGAATGTCGCCGCCGAGTATGTCTGTGACCGGTTGAGGCCGCCGTATTGGTTCTCGGCGCATATGCATTGCAAGTTTTCCGCGTTGAAGATTTACAAAGATGAGGATGGAGCAAAGGATGCGGGTGTGAAGGCTGAGCCCAGCACTGCTGCTCCGGCGCCTGAGCCTGTTGCTGCCCCAGAGGGAAACCCCGACGAGATTGACTTGGATGGTGACGAAGAGGTTACCGACGCCCCTCCTGCTGCTGCTGTTCAGACGAATCCAAACGAGATTAGTCTCGACGACGACGACGTCGAGCCAGCCGCCACGCAAACGACGACGTCGGAGTCTACGAACAAGAACACAGTCCCAGAAGAGTTGCGTGCCCAACTTCCCGCCTCGTTCGCCCGTCCTCAGCAGCAACCAAAGAGAACGCCAGGCCAGCCCGTCCCGTCCACCATCACAAACAAACAGGTCAACTTCCTGGCTCTGGACAAGTGCCTCCCAGGCCGCCACTTTCTCCAGCTTCTCGAAATCCAACCCCACAACGTCCTCCCAGCCGATCAACCCGCGCCGACGCGTCCGTTCCGCCTCCAGTACGACCCCGAATGGCTCGCCATCACGCGAGTCTTCCATCCCACCCTCAAGATCGGAGACCCGTCCGCGCAACCGCCGCCGGACCTGGGCGAGGAACACTATGTGCCGCTCATCGACGCCGAGCGCAAGTGGGTCGAGGAGAACGTCGTGGCAAAGGACAAATTGGACGTCCCGCTCAACTTTGAGATTACGGCACCTCCTTATGCGGAGGGCGGCCCCGTCTCAGTACCTGACCAGCCGTTCGAGTACACCAACCCGCAGACGGCGGCTCTCTGTGAGCTGCTCGAGATTGAAAACATTTGGGACGCAAGCGAAGAGGAGAGGCTGGAGAGGAAAGCCAGAGGACCGCCTGCTGGGAACTTTAGGGGAAACCGCGGCGGCGGTAGGGGCTTTCACAGAGGTGGGCGCGGCGGTCGAGGGGATAGAGGCGGCGGGAGGGGAGGTGGAAGAGGCAGAGGAAGAGGCTGGCACTAAGTCTACATGCATTCATACACTCGAGATTCATTACAGAGGTTCACAGAGGTTCACAAAAGACAGGGATGATTGAGAATGTCATATCTTGTTTGTATTATACCCGGCCAAGGGGAAAGCTATTGTGAATGCATGTATCCCAACAGAAAAAGCGTAGATCTCAATGGAAGAACCTGAGTCAAGCAGAGTGAGTGGAATTGATTCAATCTTCCACCTTTAATAGACGTTCAACCCACGGAAGAGTGAGAGAGAGGAACGCATATGCTAAGATGGGGGGTCTGTTGCATCCGTCACGAGTAGGAATGACGCGAGTTCGTCATCGAAAAGAGAAAGTATACCTTTTCTGGCATGAATTGGTCAAAATGGCGTAGCAATGGTGATAGTTCTTTACCAGCCTTGAATGTTCAACGCCCCAACTCCATAATAGCAAAGCCGTAATTCACATGTACATCATCAACGTCATCAGAGAGAGCCAGTGTTCTGTTCTGTTCAACGCGTCAGAATACAGACGAGGCGTTCGAGAAGAGGTTGGGTGTCTTACTGTCCAGGCCCAGGTAATCGGCGGCGACCAGAAGCTCTAGACAGAGCTCGACTGGAATGTCCATGTCTGGCACGTCTTCCCGGTCCCGGTAACGGTACCAATACTGAAAGTATTCGCAGACCTTTTCGAGGACAACGCCACTGCCGAGAAAAAAAAACACGGTCAGACTCTTCCAGAACATGAAAAAAGAAACATGTAGTTGTGCTGTGTGGCTGGGAAACCCAGAAAAGGAAAAAGAAATGACGGGTTGTTTCAGATCAAGTGTAGTTGACAATCAAGCAGACCAGCCGTTGCAGCAGCGGTCTGTCAGTAAGAACACAGCGAAATAATTTGTGATCATCATATGGGTGTGTTCTGGGCGGTGAGGAATGGAAAATGAGATGACGGGCTTACCTGATTTCTGAGAAGACGCAGCGTCCGGACGTCGCCTCACGAAACTGACTGCGGGGATCCAGCATGCCCTTGATCGCGGGGCTGATCATGGCAGCCTCGCGTAGGACGGCGAACTCGAAGCCATCACTCGAGACCAGAGTTATGTATTTGCTTTGGGCGTCCCCGTTGGCGTCCATGACTGCAGAGAAGAAGCTTCCCTTCGCTGGCAGATGGGAATGTCAATTGCTGCGGCAAAAGAACTTGCCCGACAGGTAAAAGAACGAGAGATCGTGCTTTCCTGTGTATGATGCAGCTTTTCCTCCAATTGCTAGTGGCAAATGGAAGCTTGGATGAAAATCAACGCGTTCTTTGCAAAGATGAAAAATTCACGTCGCGATTTTGAAGGAGGCGGTGGTGGGGTGAAGCTCGGGCCACATAGCCACCTCTCGGAACGGCCGTGACCGGAATATCTCTTGTTTTTCCGTTTTCTGTTTCCTTGACTGCTTGCCCAGTGCGTCAGCTTACAGGGGCAAACCAGGCTTGCCAGGGGTACAGGTTGATCCGCGTTAGCGCGGGTCCACCTTTCTCAGGCGTCGCTGTTGGCCCGTGGGTCCTGAATCAGGCTCTCAACGCCTAGCCGGTCGCAGCCCGCCTGCCGTCATCACCCCGGCAAGAAGTGGCTGGTTGCCCCGTCGACTTGTTTACACTTGCCCTCCTTGCTTCCCATCCCTTCTCCTCAAGAACACAGCACAACCCGCCCATCCACATCTCTCGCACACAAACCCACCCCCATACAATACACAATCCCAAGCAGATCAAGCACACTCCTCCAACATTCCTCATCTCCAACGCCGCACCGTCCCTTACCCGCAGCGCATGCCACGCATAAACCACATTTCAACGGCTTTCGATTGAGGCAAGCAGCAAATTAGCAGCAAAGACGACACGCCGAAGAAGGCAGCAACACCAGCATCCATCTACCATTGTATCAAGAAACCCATCTATACCAGACAACATCGCATAAGTCACAGCTCCCGTCCGTCTGCCCCAACAACCCCTACCCCCTCCCCTCAGGCGAACGACCGGCCCCCGGTACCCATCAACAACAAACTTGCAACAACGCACGAGGGGCCGCGCAGCGAACAGACTCGTCATTGCATAACACACACCAGGCAGACGCATTAAGTCTGTCGCATTATGGCGTCTTCATACCAACGTTCTTCACACCACTACTCCTCGTCCCAAACCTTCAGCGAAAAGTACGACGACGGCCTGGGACGCCCGACCACCTCCCGCCGCAACACGCGCATCAGGAGCAGCGACGGCACCGTCAGTACCACAATGAGTTCCTCCACAGGGCGTGAGAGCGCCGCAACCCACGTTACCGAGGGTCCTGCCTATTCAAAGAAGATTGTCGTCGTCGGTGATGGCGGCTGCGGCAAGACTTGTCTGCTCATTAGTTACAGCCAAGGCTATTTTCCAGAGGTAAGATTGGCACCAAAAAAAAAAAAAAAAAAAAAAAAAAAACCGTCCCATGTCCGCAATCGCAACGCACCCATCCCTGCGCGATGGTGATTTGGCAAGCCGGAAATGAATCAAAACAATGCTGACTGTGACGACACAGAAATACGTCCCCACCGTCTTCGAAAACTACATCACGTACCCGACGCACCCGCCGTCTGGTAAGACCGTGGAGCTGGCGCTGTGGGACACGGCCGGCCAAGAGGAGTACGACCGGCTACGGCCGCTCTCTTACCCCGAGACGGACCTGATATTCGTATGTTTTGCGATTGACTGTCCCAACTCGCTAGAAAACGTCATGGACAAGGTACGCCCCTCCGATAACGAGCCCCTCCATTTTCGGGGGAGACCCCCTTTTTTCCGCTAATGCTAATTTGCCCTCGACACAGTGGTACCCCGAAGTCCTCCACTTCTGCCCCTATACCCCTCTGGTCCTCGTGGGCCTCAAGTCAGACCTCCGCTTCAAGAAGACATGTATTGACATGCTCAAGACACAAGGCCTCACTCCCGTGACCCAGGAGCAGGGCCGCGCCGTCGCTCGCAAGATGGGTGCCCAGTACATGGAGTGCAGCAGCAAAGAGATGACGGGAGTCGACGAGATCTTTGAGCAGGCCATCCTGACGGTTGTCGCCAACGACCGGAAAAACCTCGAGGCTCAGGCCGCCGTCCCGTCGTCGTCGTCTGGTGCTCCGGGTAGCAGCGGCGGCATCCCTGGCGTGGGGCCTCTTAAGAAGAAGAAGAAGAGGAATTGCAAGATTCTCTAAGTCTCGAATGACTTGGAGGAGAGGTGTAACGGACAGGCATTTGGACAGGCGGAGGGCGTAATGAATGACTTTTGTTTTATCTGCATGATCTCGTCACGACCTGCTACTATTACGATCTGGAAAGCATGCGCCACCATTAGCGAAGGGGGCGTCTCCTGTCCTGGGGCTGGATGAACTCTAGACCGGGGGCGACTTTCCCTTCATCAGGGATGTGGGATGTGTTTTTTCATTGACTGTGGGAGAAGAACGGTATATAGGGGGGAAACCAGGGAGGGGGAGGTGAAATCGGGGTCGCAAAGACTCATCCATACCCTTTACACACGACACAAACGGAGCGGGTACGGGAAGAGAAAGAGAGACCTTTATCAGTTTCTGTATCCAACAGCACTTTCAACCAAGTGGGAACCTTTTCTATTTCCTACCTTTTTTTTTTTTCTTTCTTTTTTTCTTCTTGTAGCATCGGGTTTCTGTCTTGATAGGGCATTCCAGGGATAGGAAACATGAAATGTTAAAAAGCATCAAAATTCAATGGAGTTCCGTGATGTATCTCGTCTGTGATGTTTTTAGGTTCGTAGGTCCGGTGGTCACAGTACGACCATTGGAGAAAGGGTCCTGGGAAACCATATCGATAATGGGATTCCGAAAGAGGGGGAATTCTGAATTCCGATCCCAGGCAATCAATTAGACGCAAATAGAATACAAAAGTCTATGGTCGATCTTTTACGAATCATGGAGTATATCGCCCACGTTAACCACGCCGATCCCCCGCGCGATCCCGTCCCGATCACTTCAGATCTCCGTTCGTGAGTACCCGCCCCACCACCACACACCCCAATCGGTCCATGGCCAAATTCACGAATATGACCTCACTCATCGACCAGATGCGCCGCACTTGCGCCCGTTGTCCTGGATACGCTCCACAAAGAGCGCGATGCCCCCTTCCCGAGAACCTCGAGCAGGGGTTGTGGGGACGCCGTGACGGAGGCCGAGGGGGGTGGGGGGGGGGTATCTTGCCGGAATCGCGGAACACGACGAGGAAGTGCAGAACGTCGCGGGTTCGCGTTGCCTTTTGAGAGGCAACAAGGTTCTCTCGGCAGAGGTAAGGTTGTTGCGGAAACATGTGCTCGCTTTTGAAGGAGACGTTTGAGAGAGGGGGGGTCGGGAAACGGGTGCGAGGCGGCAGCAGGGATGGTTACTAAGGTCCGGAGCAGGGCCACGGTTCTGGGCGAAGAAGCCGACGGCCGGCCCCTGGCGAGACTATTTGTGACGTCAGGAAACAAGATACCATGTCGTTCTTGTGCGGGGCGACAAGCGTGTATTCCAAGGTTAGACGCGGAGATAAACTTGTTAAGATGCTCGTCGCGCAGGCGGTTGATACTGGGAACGCATTCTGGCGCAAATAGTGGGTGCTGCTGAGAGAGGTTAGTCTCAAAGAGAGGACTTTGAAAAGCATGGCGGAGAAGTGCGTGCGGGCTGCCACGCGTTTACGGGGCATTTCCGAGGAGGTTGGTCTCAGGGGTTTGGTCTCGGAGTTGAGGTATTGCGCAGATGAAGTAAAGACCGAGATGAAGTCGAAGACCGGAAAGGGTCGAGGGATTTATGTCTGAAATGGCCATCGGGAAAGCATAATATCGGGAGGGCTCAAAGCCGTAGGAAAACTAGCTCCCGTGTATCGAGGACAAGGCGGGACCATAAAGACAAAGCTTAGCCGACAAAAGTGCAATCAATTGACGCCGTATCATTATCATTCCGTTGTATGGGTATCATTCATGACGCTCCTCGCTCTTCGCCTCTCCCTCGCCGCTCCCCTCGCCCTCCTTGGGCTGCTCCGGCTCCTTGGCCATGACGTTCTCGAACTGCGACCACAACGCCTCAACCGAGGAGAATTCGTTTCCAACCTGTATGGCCTATGTCAGCAAGGTGTTTTCTCTTTTAGTACTCAAGGGAGCTATACCGTAATAACGGCCTCAAGCGAGCGGTTCAGCTTGTTGATATTGGCGAGGACATGTTCGAAGCTCTGTTTGTTTGTGTCAGCGCTTTGTTATGGAAAAGTCTGTGGACCGACTCTTACCATGGCAATTTCCCCAATGAGCTCCTCGCGCTGCTGCTCAAAGTACGTCTTTTCCCTCGTCCCGGATTGGGAGTGGGAAAACGACCGCTGGTGTGATGACATGTTTGCGTTGCTGCAGGGAAATCAGAGGGAAAGGTCGCGTCGGTGAGGCTCACGCGTCTTCAGGATGATGGCGGGGTTCATGGCGCTGTAGCGGTGGTGGGGTTCTACAGTGTAGAGTGCCGGCTTTCGAGGAATGCACGGTGTTTGTCACTGAACGTCACATAAATGGAAGAATAGGCCCACTAACACGATCTCTCCAGTGACTGGACACCACTCTCTCCTGAACGCTACAATGCCTGGTTATTGGTATTTCCTGGTGTATAAAGATAAGTTTCTCCATGCCAGACCTGGAAACACCCACTAGGGTTAAACTACGTCATCCAGCCTAGAATGGAAATCATGTACATGAAAAGCCTGAAATCCTCCAATGGTGCTGTCAGTCCAAAGCGTGTTCCAATGCCAATCTCCTCCAAGCTCTATCACCCCAGTTCCACCATTCATTACCATTTACCGCCATCATCATCGGTAGGGATAGCTGGATGTTAGCAATGATTTACTGCTTGGAACGTCTGTTAGGATCGTACGTGCCCACAGCATCGAAGCCTCGAGGGCAGAAGCGTACGGCATGGACCACATTGCACTTTTTGCAATTGCGGGTTGAAGTGCAAGCAGAGTCGACATGGTCAGGGAGGCCACAGATTCCACAGACTGTTTTCCATCCGTTCTTGCGGAAACAGGTGTCAATAACGGCTTGGCGGTCGGCATGGTAATTGTAATAGCTGATCATGTGGTTATGTCGGAAGGTGTTGGATGCTCGGCCCTTTCCCTTTTCCCAGTTCTTGGTGCTAAGAAGAGTAACCATTGATCCACGTGCGCGAGTGGTAGCAACCGCCATTCGCTGCGCGTTGGGAACGAAGCCTAGCTGGACAGTGCGGACAGTGTCGAAGATGACCACGTCTGCTTCGGCGCTCATTGAACCTTCTACAGTGCGGAAGAAGACACGAGATCTCATTGCATCGTTGACGTTGTAAGCCTTCCAGTCATTGATGTATTCATAGAGCTGGGCGGTATAAGGAACAATGACCATGACGGTGCCCTGCTGACAGAAGTCACGAGTAGAAGGGAACCCGGCGATGAACATCTTGAAGATAAGGCTAAAAGTGTAGTTGCGGTTCGCTTGATTCGTATAGCTAGTTCCCATTCGAATTTCTTCTCCTTCTCGGATGTCTATGATAAAAGAGTTCACGATGCTCTTGGCGCGAAGAATTCGGTTGAACTCATTCCGGAAAAGGTCAACGAGAGAGCCGCTTCCATGCGCGATGTTCATGTTTCCTGAGTAGATGTTCTTCTTGGCCCAATCTGCAATCCCTCCAATATTGCGACGATTGGTGTAGATGTGCGTAGCAAGAGCACCAGCTTTCTCCACGCGTCGGAGGAAAGACATCATCCGCTGGGGGCCAAAGGTAGAACGCCATTTAGCGCCATCCTGTCCACAGTTGTGGTTGTCGAAACTCTTGGACATGGGCTTGAAATAGCGAGTGTCGCCCGTCGCTACGACGAACTTCGCATCGAGAAAGGCAATAGGGATCCAGAATTGGGCTTCCGGCATGCGACCGATGTCGTCGGCGAAGATAGCTGTAGGTTGCCACTTGCCAACAGAGCTCCGTTTGAGAGCGATCTGTCCCAACGCAACAGGAGTGCCCACAATGACTGTGGCTTGTTTCAGTGCAAAATATAGGAGTCCGTAGCAAATATCAGTCAGGGTCTTTTCATCCTCCTTGCTCAAGGAAGCACGTTCACGCAGCCGAGTAAATCGACTGAAGGTAACCTGGTCATCCTGAGCGAGCGTCATGGCGCAAACAACCAGCGAGTCCGCACGGGTGAGCGGATGATCTTTTTCATCAGCAGCTCCCAGGGTGCGCACATGGTTAGCGACGGCAGTTGCGGCAGAGGACGACAACTGGTTCTGCGGGAGAGGGTTCGAGCCATGAATACGCGATTTACCCTTGAGCGCTACAAGCATGCGTTTTATAGGGTAGACACGGAAGACCTTCTTGCCAGTGCCTCTGAGAATCTCGTGAAGTTTGTCGCACGCGTCATCGCAAAGTTCGTTGCTGTGTACTGTCCAAGCAGCTCTGAAGTCGTCATCATTGACCAGGCACCGGACGAGGCTAAGTGCGAAGGTGGTCTTGCCGGAACCAGGACCACCTGAATACACCAACATGTTGGATGGGCACTTGGACATGGCATTTTGGAGTTGTTTGTAGGGTAAGCCCATATCGAAACCTTCCAGCTGAGGAAAGCGCTGAGTAAGGTCTGTCTCCAGACTAATGTCAAATCTTGCAGCGTAAGCCCATGCAGCACCCTTGGACGTATTTGGTGCAGAAGCAGCCAGAGCAGATACAGCTGCAAGCTCCAACTTTGCTGTCACGTCGCTGGGATAATGTACCATACGCAGTCCCACTGTATTCTCAGCGCTCTGTAGGGAATGCTCCAAAGACCCGACCAGCTTTGCACAGGGAATGCGGAAGGCCTTGGGCGGGGCGAGAAACCACTCAGGCCAGTCTTGCTCACATGGGGTATGGATGACAAGGTAGATGTACTGCGACGGCGTGTTGATGGGTGGCCTGGTGCGTACCGCAGACCAGGTCGTGGGCATTGAAGTGGTTGGCATGGTCAATCTGACTGAACCAAACGCTGCATGAAGATCGGCTGCCCATTCGTTATCATCGTCCGGCACAGGGAAGAATGAATCGATGTAGTTCAGTGCGATGAAGAGCTTTGCTTCATCCTCATCCAAGCCGTCTGGTATAATATAGTCCTTGATGGGCCAAGCAAGAGCGGATGCAATCAGACTGCACATTTCTGCGTTGCGGCGTACAGTGAAAACATCTTCAACCTGGGTCGATTCTGAATAACAAGCTTCATCGAGACGACTTGCTTCTTGGATAAGATGGCGGATGACCTTCAACTGGTAGCCCTCGTAATCTTCTTGCGCCAGTCCAGTTCGTCGAGATTCTGGGTCCTCAATGTCCAACGTGACGAAAAAAGATTGACCGATGTCTGGGAGAAGAAACATCTGATCCTCAGTCACATTGCGTATAACTGCGAGATACGTGCAAATGGTATCGTCAGGAGTGACACCATAAGAGAGGACTGAGCTGCTTGACCACTTAGAGGTAATGTCAGGCACCAAGACGGTGTCAAAACACACCTCACGCAGCTCGGTAGCGAGACATGATTCAAGCTCGTATTCCTCATATGATGAATGCTGGAACGCCAGCATGCGGGATTTGTCGTCGTGGAAGGCAATGATTGGGGCGCTGGGGTAGACGTGCCGTTCATGAACAGTTTTCATGTTAGTGTAGTTTAGTCGCTTCGGGTTCGCAGGATCACTGAAAAACGCATCCGCTTTGGACCAAATGTTGTCCATGGGATCTAAGTAACGTTTGTACTCAAGACCCACAAGGCGGAGGAACTCAGAAACATATATCTGGTCCGATGCCATGGTGATACTCATAGAGGTGGACCCCGAAGGTATGTTCTCAATGAAATCCTCAACGTACTTTTGGAGCTGAGGGTATCTGCGCGGGGGGGTTGTGACTTTGCGAACCCAGACATCTGACATGTCAAGTTCAAGCTGAAGGCGAACGCCACCGCGACATTTAAAGTCGGCATTGTCTGGCATAAGGTGCGCTCGAAGTTCAGCATCGTTCGTGACATGATGTGAGATTTTCGGCATTGAGATCAAGGCCTTAATGGGGATAGTCATGAGAACCGCAACGCCCCGTTTACCGAAGTGCTCGAAAACATGGCGGATACGAATCTCCGCGGGGAAGATATCAGCACGAACGATACTGAACTGGGTCACTGTATCCACTGAGCTGCTAGAGCCAAAACTGCTCAAGGCTTCCGCGGTGTATCCATTGACCTTTCCGTCGAAACCAATGATGCAGTTGGTTTTGTGGGATTCTAGGCTAGTAGTATTGGGGCGAGTGATCACCTTCTGCTGACCATCCTTAGTGGCCATGACTGTGCCAAAAGTATCAGAGACTGCAGCCTCTATGGTCTTGGGGCCGAACGGATCACCACGATCGTGATCAGATATTGTCGAGTTATGAACGAAAAGTGAAATGAGTAGATGGAAGTTGAGCAGTTGATGGGGAGAGTTTGTGGTGTTGATGAGAAGAGTTTGTGGGTTGTGGGAAAAAAAGAAGGAAAGAAAGTAAAAACTTTTATTTCGGTTTGTTGTGCGAGTATGGAAAGAACGCGTCAACGCGGGAGGAGTATTGGCGAAAGGGTAAGTGCGAGTGAGGTGAAATGGAAAGTTGGAAAGAGCAGTTACTGAGCCCAGAGCTGCCTGCGACTGACCGCTCTGAGTGGAAGAAAACGCGTTACCGAAGTAATACCAATATGCAGAAATAAACGTTGACTTCCTGCCCGCATTACATGTTTGTATGTCAACAATGACTTGATCGTCGCCTCATGCCTTTCGGTAGAGTGTGGAATAATGGTACCGTAGCAGCTGCGGTATGTTCCTTAATTGTCGTGGCGTTGCGCCATGGTGAGTATCCAAGCCATTCAATCTTGCAGTAGAGGCCGTTCTGTCTGATTTTGTGATATGTTGATGAGTCTGCACTTGTTTTGTGTGTCCAAGAGGTCAGACGTTCCTCGAGTGGCAGCGATCCCACCGATACACGTTTGACCGGTAGGTTGGGTGGAGGAAATTCGAGTTAGCTACTAACTCTGGTAGGTTACCGAGACCTAGCGAATCCCATGTTGAGGACGACAACGATGAGGCTGTATTCAACAGGAATAGGCTAGGCCAGGACTCTAGAAGGTGCTTCGGGATGTGACTCTTTCGAAGACGTGCCAATGTCTCGAAGTTAATCGACCGAAGGATCAACTGAATGGTAAAGGATATGTTGCCCTGTGAAGGATTGCGCCTTTGCCAGAAAAGAGACATAATAAACTGCCAAGCTGCTAGACGAAATTTGATTAGCAACATTTCGACGTGTGATCTATGGGAGCTACCTCGAGTGACGATCGCTCGTGATGGCTAGATTTGTGCAGGGTGCCGACATACCTGACAAGTTTAGCTCCGTGCATCGATTCGAATATTGTGGCATTTGATGTATGTGCTCGACTTAGTGTTTTGAAGAACTTGATTTTGTAGCTGACTAGAAAGAGGAATGTGGCAAAGAGTTGATTTTGAAAGAAGGTCAACTGTGAGAAGACCGGAGCCAAAAGGCGCCTAGGATTGACCCTTTAGGCTGAGGAGAGCGCGTTGCCAAAGGCAAAGATATGGAATATCGCTATAGGCGTCAACCTCCGACGACACAGTACCTCGCGCCGCCATATCTATATCTTGAGTGAAAACCAACGCACGCGACTGCGTAATGCGAGGTTGCGCACCTTGCGCGGTGCGTCATATGTGGCGGCGGTTGCCAAGCGCCAAGTCGGTGATGTGATGGAGGTTGAAACTGTGGTCTTCGAAAAATAATTCCAAGTGTGAGATGCGAGAATGTAGTGTAGAGCGGTTTGAAAGATTGGTTGTTGGAGGGAAGAGATGAGGAATAAGAGAAAATGAGAGGGAAAAAGACTTGTGTGGAGGTTGGAAGTAAAAATTCAGTTGCGGGTGAATAGTGGTCGTGTTTGTTGTGGGTGAGGTGAGAGTACGCGGTAGGTAATGTGGATGAGATTATTTGCGAAGAAAGAAAGAAGAAGACAAGTGATATTTGTTTTTCGCAGGAGTAGGTAACGTGAGCTGTTTCCTCATGTCAGAAAGCCATTTCGTTTCTCAAGAGAGTAGTGCTGAAAGTAAGATCGCATTGGTGATATAGACCAGACTTTGGCAAGAGACAAATTTGGGGGATTGCTGATTGAGGTAAAGAAAGAGTAAGCTCAAGTTCCATTGAAGAAGGCACCTGGATTCGGGCTGTCAATCTCAGATCGTAATCAGATGGAAGGGCGACCAAGTCTGTTATTGACGTGTTGAAATGGAGCCTGGCTTTTCTGACGGCTTCATAAACTACAAACGGTGAGAATTTGTGGGCAAACCCACATTGCCGATGTGCATTGTATTTGCAGAATACATATTGAACACGGCTTACAATCGCAAACTTTGTTCTCGCCTCCCAATCAAGGAAGTGATGTCGAAGTGGCATCAGTCATACCCCCTACGGCGCCGCCCGGAAAAGTAGAGTATACACAACCACACGTCCCCGCTCCGGGAACATACAGTAAGCGGTGGCCCGGAGCTCCGACAACCATCATCTTCATACAAATACAAGACGCGGAACATTGTAAGAGATGGGTCATTCAACGTGGTGTCACAAAGATGCATATTCCATGCACAATAAGCATGCGAAAGTATTTTTTTCCTTCCTTCCATCTCATCATAGCTTAGAACAGAGCCCTATCCAAATGGAAGTCCATCGATTTGTTCCAAGTAGTTTGCTATAACAGCCTCACCGGATTCACGACACGTATGACTCATTTTGCCCTTTTACACATCAGATCCAAGCCTAAAAACTACAGATTTATGTGCCGCCATTGCGATCTGCGTTTCCCGTTGGCAAGCTGGTGACTGAGTATGAGTATTACTGACAAGAAAGTATCTTAAACAGAGTAAGAAGATTCAAACGAAGAGAAACACAACTTTGAGGTCCTGCTGTTATTAGCACTCAATTGGACGACTGCGGGTCGAGTGATCGTGTTTGTCGTTGTGTTGCCTGTCTAAATACATTTCAAAGGGCCCCGGTACGAAGTAATATTATGCGTCATGTTGTGGGAGATGTACAACATGTGGTTCGTAAGAATCTGGGATTTGTTTTGTGGATGGAAGGAGGTTTGAAGAGACTTCCTGTCCTGTCGAAATGATGACCTGACATAGATTTTTCTCATGCATCCCAGCGATTGCTTGCCATGTAGGACCTTCTTCTATCGCAGAGTTAGTTCACTCAAGTCAAAAAACAAACTACACAGCATATCATATCAAACGGAAGTCAGCTGGCGCAATGCTGTGCCACTTTTCACATGAATGCAGCATTTGGATTGACGCACAGCTATGTTCGGACACCGGCAGCATGAGCTTGTGAAGAAGACAAGGCTCTCCAAAGTTAGTTTGCCCTCCACAGCATCTATCCTCTCAGATTTGCTATGAGCCCCAAATGTTTGCTTAGGATGTAACAGCAGGGGGGGGCGTGGTGTGCGACGGATTGGTAAGAGGGAGGAAAATATCAGACACAAGGCGCAATTTTGTGATCTTCCTGTTTGAAAAAACGCCAGTACGGTTAAACCTGTCATCTGCATTGATTTCAGCATTTAATTTCCAGTTTAGTAACCAGCTTCCCGTCTGAGTATCCTCAAAATATATATTCAGTGGTTTCTTCCGGTCCTCTTCTCAACCTCTTCACAATTTACACCCATCCTTACTCTCTCTGGGCATCTTTTTCTTACTGCTATTCGATCTCGATGGCAGTTTTAACAAACGAACCGACCGTTGGTGGATGCCAATTCCCTCCAGGCTGCAGTGGTCAATTCTGATGAGCTGTTACGTCGGCTGGCGCCTGTTGGCCACAAGTCCCATCCATTCACAATCGGTGAAATTTGGCACACTCAACTATTTGTATTTTCTGTGACACAGATTAGCGATAGGCAGGTTTCAATCCGTCTGTATGGATGGGAGAGAAGCGCGAAAAATACCCACCGGAAACCGGAGACCGACATGCGTCAAGCCGTCAGTGAGCCATCGACCCCGTTTTTGATTTTCCTTGAAGAACATGAAATTTACCAAGAAATGATGTTAGATTCGGATCCTGCTATCGCAAAACTTCAATCCTCGGTCCTTACTGCCATCAGCATCTCTCGGTCTTCTTTCATCTCTATGATTTCACCTCAAAGCCTTTTCAATAGCACGACCAACCAGCCAATCCGATACCATTACGAAGTGTGACATGGGCATGGATGACAGGTCTGAGGGCTTTTTGGCTTCCTGCCTCCAAATGCGGTGATGGCCGACAATCCGGTAAGTAATCTGCGTTTGGCCCTGTAAAACTACAGCTCACTAACCATCAATACCTTGGTAACAGGACCCTCAATCAATATGCTTTGTGCCATTACATCACTTCACAACTAGATCTCAGCCCAAAATGCTCATTACCCTCTCGTTAAACAAGATCTTGGAAGGACCCCAATACAAAATATGCTGTCAATGAGCATGTTGCTCGCGTTACTGAAGTAGCGTTCGGGGATTTCAGTATGCGAGCCAACAGCGATTGAACAGAAAAACACAACCACACCCACAGCTCGATCCAGAGGCCTTCTAATCAGAGGGTTGACACGTACTTCTGGAGGTCGCAAAGTGGACTACTCCAGGAGACACTCGGTCTGATTAGAGGGGAAGAAGCCCTGGTGCCTTAGAGTTCTTAGCGCGCTGCTGGTGTTCTCGCTCCTCTGATCAGGGGGCCATGTGTTACGACACTGCTTGAACCAAAAGGAATAAGAGACGCTGAGCCGACGCTCCGAGGAGCTTACCTTTTCCGAGCTTCCGTGTTAACACAGCAGCTCTCATGGCGATTACCGTCCGCACAGCTTCCAGCGCCACGACGGTCGATGGTTTAATAGCCGCTGTAAGAACTGCTGCGATAACCATTACTTCCAGTGCCGTTATGTCGACGTTGACCTTCTCGACTGATTCAGATACAAATCTGGAAGAAAAAAACCGAAATTACCCCAGAAAACTCGGGCCCGCAGGTGGAGGACCTACGCAGTCTGCCTCGCTCATAAACAGCGAGACAAAACTCAGATAGAACCTCTCTATCAAGAAGTCTATACACCTGGGCATTAAAAGAATGCTTGGATTATCTCCTACGCACGCAAAAGTTTACGCATGGTATGTATTACGGACGGCAATTTATACAAGTGGCGTACTTTATCTTGCCTCTGAGCTTTTCTTCTCATTTTAACGGCTCTTGCACGGCATTCTGAACATCTTCTCTGCTCCTTCGTTAATCAGATGGATTGTCTCCTCCTCAGTTGATACCGAGATCTCCGCCTACGAATGACGCAAAAATTGGTCTCCGCTACGAGATCAAATAGCTTAGATGCCCTCAACAAACCTGACACCACGCCACGATGGTTGAAGAACACGTACCAGAACTGGTTCGGCACTGTTATGCAACACCCCGCTGAAGGTGCGAGGTGACGGTTTAAGCCGTGGGCTGCATACAAGTATGTTATGCGTCCAGAATTGTAACGTCTATTTCCACATACAACTGGTATTACTTCGGTAGCGCGTTTTCTTCCACTCGGATCGGTTAGTCGCGGGCAGCTCTGGGTCGGGTCACTGATACCCTCGATATGAACTCCTGCTCCTTTCGACCTCCCTTCCGAATATGATCTTGAGAAAGTGTTTCGCTGTTCTCCTTCTCTTCTTCCCTCAGTACCACAGATTCGTTCTGATTCCTCATTCTGACCGCGGCTATCAATACGAATGCGTTTTCGTTGGTCACCCGCCATACTGCTACTCGATTGGAATCCCCAAAAGCCAACTGCATCGTTGACTTTGACGGAAATGTCTCTGGATACTCAGAGGCAGCCTTGCGTACTCTCGGACGTGACTCCAAAATATTGGAGACACGGTGACCCAGTTCACGATCGTTGGCGCCGGTATTTTGCCCGCGGAGATTCGTATCCGTCACCTCTCCCAGCACCAGGGCAAACGGGGCGTGGCGGTTCTCATTACAGTCCCCATCAAGGCCTTGATCTATCTCCAGCCGAAAGTCTCACATCATGCCTGATAAGCAGCGTTCTTATCACAATGTTCCGCCTCGCATCAAGAGCATCCTTAATAGCGCTCTCTTCGACCCCAAAGTCTACGTTAGTTAGGGCTATTTCTCATCTGCTGCGCCTGTTCTCATGGTTAATGGATTATTTCGGCTAAGTAATTGGTTTTGTAATTGATTTTCGATGCGTTAAAAATTTCTGTTTTTGATGTTGTTGATGTCTGAAATGCGAGCGCATGTCATGCCAGGCAATACCGACTTTGAATGTAACGATGGCGTTCGTATTCAACTCGAACTCAATATGTTAGAAGTCTGGGTTCGCAAATTCTCAACGCCTTCGCGTATATACCATCAGCTCCAACAGTATGTTGAGGATTTAGTAACTAAATTCTTCATCGCGACGGGTGACACGCGTCAGTTTAAACCTATGTCAAAGAGTCTCGATAATACGACTGTGGGCAGAAGGGCGCTAAATAGCTCTTTGACTTTGGCACACCGCGCATGATGTGTATAATCCGACGCGTGGAAAGGATCGGCCCTCTTGCTAGCCACATCTACATCAATCGTGATACACAATCATTCAAAAGTCGGCAATGTGATCACTCCGCTTATCGTGATCTGCGGGACAAAATCCCTACACCAGAAGCTCGAGATTTGAACGCAGATGTCATCAGTCAATATTATGGAGGGTACTGAATCGTCGGTCGGCGCCTCTTATGGTAAAACTGCCAACCGCAATTACATATTTCACCTCCTATTCCAACTGTTCCAGATTGGTTTCCCGTCCACAGAAGACGTTACTAAGCAAGTTAACATAATGGTTATCTGCGGATCCTCTGGACAATTGGCACTCTATCAAATGGAATGGGCGAAATTCAAGGCCAACAAGCTTATCAAAGCTAATGTCTGCTTCCGAACTATCGACAATTCAATGAGCGCTGAGATTGGCTGCATGCCGGAAGCCCAGTTCTGGAGTCCTATTGCTCTCTTCGACGCGGAACTCGCCGTCGCAACGGGCGATACGCGTCAATTCAAGCCCACGTCCCAGAGTCTCGACAACTACAACCGTGGACCGAATGGTGCTAAATGGCACTCTACCTTTGGCTTCCAGCGTGTGATGTCTTTTCTCCGACGCATGGAAAAAACTTGTTCCGGGACAAGTTCAAATCGGATCCTCCGCGCTAAGAGCATATGAACTCTTTCGTGATTAACACATCCGCGAGGGACAAGAACTGCAGTTTGGAACTAGCTATACAAATCAGGCGAACCGAAACTATACTTTGAATCTTCAAGACATTTATCGTCGGATTCTCTTCTACTCTGGACGTCTGCCAGCAGGGTAACATCATGGTTATCACTCCTTAAGCCGCGCAACTCCACGAATACATTAAGGAATAGAAGTCCTACGAAGTCAGTGATGACATCATGAGCTATCGTGTCTCCTTCCAGACTAGAGACAGTTAAAGGGGTGCCGAAGCAGACGTGATGATTTTTGATACTGTCCACACCGTCAATCTGGGCTTCATTCCCAACACTCAGCGAATAGTGGTTGCTACTACTCGCGCCCGCGGAGGCATGGTCATTCTGCTTAGTACCAAGAACTGGTAAAAGCGAAAAATTTAAACATCAAGCAACCTCTGCCACAACCAAATGATCAGTTATTATGGTCATCGCTTCAAATTCAAAGGCATTGTCGACACTGGCTTCCGCAAGAACGGATGGACAATCCTCTGCAGGATCTGCGGCCTACCTGACCATCTCGATACTGCCTGCACTTCAACACGCAATTGCAAGAAGTGCAACAAGATACATGCAATCCTCTTCTGCCCTAAAGGCTTCGATGCTGTCAGCGTCTAAAGCCCTAAACAGCAGCACGAGTAGGATACTAGATTCGGAGCTTAGGCCGAATGAATTCAAGGTAATAAAACACTCCTCAGAGGAACGTACGTGCGGGCTAGGGCTCCTAGTGTACTCTAGATGCAGTCATCCATAGATAGCCAGTCTTATACATGGAGGAATAAACGAGACAGTTGGTTTTACTCTGTAACGGTTTGCTTCTCCATAAGTAAAATTCGAGCGAAAGGCTATAATTTTTATGCATAAGTGCGTGAACCTATGAAGCCCTTAGTAGATTCTGTGTGGCGTCTCTGAAGCTTTTTGATTTTGATAGTGCTGGAAACCCACAGTTTGAGAATGAAACTATTGTGTTATCCTTGTTTCGTGAAAACCGATATCTTCCGAAACCTTCGCACTTTATGCCTAAGGTGACCGGCATTGCGCTTGAGCTAGACTTCGCCATGCTGTCTTGGGGATTTCTTTTTAAGTTCCTATTGAACATCATTGCCAAAAAGAGGATCACTTGGCCTTAGGCGTGGGCAGGAGCAGTGGAGCAGACTGTACCTGCAGGTCTCCGCCACTGTCGCAGTGTCACAAGAAAGTCTTCAGGCTACTCCAGCACACTTCAAAAAATGGTGGGTGCTTGTGGACAGGCAGGGTGCCGATATGTAATGCATGTGTTGAATAGACGTTGAACATATCGTGTAGCCTGGAATGTTGTTCGCGCCTTTCAATTAAAGGAAGCGACGATGATGAAGCGACTTCAGTCATGCCCCTAACGGCGCCGCCCGGGAAAAGTGGGGATATATACACGACCGCTCCGCTCCGGGTGCCGAAACGGCGGCCCGGAACTCCGACCACAGTCACCTTAACATGGCCACCCACAAGACACAGAACAGAGTAATTACTTGGTCATTCAACGTGGTATTGCAGAATTACATAATTCATATACAAGTATGCGCCAAAATATCGCTTTTTTTCATTTCATTTCATCCCAGCTTAGAACAGAGCACCGCCCAAACGGATGGCAACCGACTTGTTCTGAGTGTAGTTTGCCAGAGCAGCCTCACCAAGTTCACGACCGATTCCGCTCGACTTGTATCCGCCAAATGGAAGCTGCCATGAGAGCATGTTATAGCAATTCACCCAGACGGTACCGGCCTTGAGCGTGTTGCTGACGCGAATGGCAGTGTTGAGGTCCTTGGTGTGGACGGCAGCGGCGAGACCGTACTCGGTGTCGTGGGCGAGCTTGATAACCTCCTCCTCGTCCTTGAACTTGGCAATGGCGCAGACGGGGCCGAAGATCTCCTCCTGCATGATCTTCATCTTGGGGGTGACGTTGCTGAAGATGGTGGGCTGGATGAAGTAACCCTTGTCGCCGTGTCTGGCACCACCGGTCTCGACGGTGGCACCTTCCTCCTTACCGGCCTGGATGTAGCCCATGATGCGGTCAAACTGCAGCTGGGAAACCTGGGGGCCCTGGAAGGTCTCGGGGTGGAACGGGTCACCGACCTTGTTCTCCTGGGCGCGCTTCTTGAACGCCGCAAGGAACTTGTCGTAGATGCCCTCCTGGACGTAGATTCTGGTACCGGCACAGCAGCACTGGCCGTGGTTGTAGTAGATACCGAAGTTGACCCAGGAGATGGCCTGCTCGATATCGGCGTCGTTGAAGACGATGTTGGGGGACTTGCCACCGAGCTCGAGGGTGACCTTCTTGAGGTTGGAGCTGGCAGCGGCCTTCATGATCTGGCGACCGACGAGAGTGGAACCAGTGAAGGCGACCTTGTCGATGTCCATGTGGGAAGAGATGGCGGCACCGGCGACCTTGCCGAAACCGTTGATGAGGTTGAAGACACCAGCGGGGAAGCCAGCCTCCTTGATGAGGTTGGCGAAGACCAGGGCGGACAGGGGAGTCTGCTCAGCAGTCTTCATGACGATGGTGTTACCCGTGGCGAGGGCGGGGGCGATCTTCCAAGAAAGCATGAGCAGGGGGAAGTTCCAGGGGATGATCTGACCGCAGACACCAATCTATGACATTTTTTGTTAGTTGAAAAAGCCTTAACAATGACAAAATGGGATGCTGCTTACGGGCTCCTGGCGGGTGTAGTGGAACATGTCAGGGGAAATGTCGATGGTCTTGCCCTCGATCTTGTCGGCCCAGCCACCATAGTATCTCAGGCAGCCAATGACGGCACCAACATCGCCCTTGGCCATGGTGATGGACTTTCCGTTGTCGAGAGACTCGACGGCGGCAAGAAGATCAGTGTTCTTCTCAGCGAGATCGGCAAGCTTCAGGAGCAGAATGGAGCGCTGGGTAGGGGTGGTCTCCTTCCAGACGCCCTCGAAGGCCTTGCGGGCGGCGGCGACGGCAATGTCGACATCCTTCTCAGTGGCCTCGTGAACGGAGCAGATAACCTCCTCGGTGGTGGGGTTGATAACCTCGAAGGTCTGCTTGTCGACACCCTCAACCCACTCGTTGTTGATGAACCTGGTAAAATAACACTGTTTAGTTCGAAGCCTCCTTGGGAGGGTTTGCGGGGTTTGTTGCTTACAGTCCAGTGGGCTGGTTGTAGGCGCCAGTCACCGGGGTCTTGAGCTCAACGGACAAACCCATTTTGATAGATGTAAACACAGACGAAACAAGAGAGGTATTGGTATCAAGGTATCACGAAAAAAAGAAAAAAGACGTTCGTATGGATGGGGTTTGAGAGTTGGGAGTTTGTAAGAAAGTGAGAGAGAGAGAAATTGAGACCCGAGATAGCTGGGGATGACAGGACTGTATATAAAGCGGGGTATGGGAACAGCTAGGGGAGGAAAGATGTCCGAGTGAGTGACGCCGACGGGGTTCAGTGTCGCGAAGCCAGACATCAATGTCGGAGGCGAAGGTAGAGTGGATGGAACTTAGCGTAGGGGGGTAGGGTGTACGGATGGGGGGGGGGGGGGGGGGGGGGGGGGGGGGGGTGGTGGTCTAGAGTGTGAGGAGGGGGGGAACTGTGTATTCCGAGGCGCGGTCTGCGGAATCACGAATGGGAAACGGGACAGAAACGCACATCCATGGATCGGGACAACGCAAAGCAAAGATTCTCAGTGGACATGAGCTCCCCACATGGGAGCCAGAGACGCATCTGCATGCTGCGTTTGAATGGAGTACAGAAATGATACTAGGGGCGTGCTTTGGGCTTTGGCATGTGTACAGCCATGGACAAGACAGAAAACACACAGACCTAGCAGGGCGGGCGACCGGGGTCGATGGAGGGGGCAAAAAATGCCAGGCTCAGAGACTGAGTGTGCGCCTCGCATGCAAGGGAGGGCCAGCTAAACGGGGGGGATAGGTGGGCGCCGCTTCGGGCCAACGCCTGTTCCTCTCGGTCACCTCGAGACGAGTCCCCAGACCGTCCCCCTACACCCAGCAAAAGAAGCTGAGTGAAATTCCGTGTTTCCAGCACCAGCAGCCGAGCGAGCAGTCAATCTTGTCTCCTGTGCCCCGCGAGCGCCCCGACAAAGACGGCGCTAAGCCATTGAAACGCACAGTCTTTTTCGGCGTTAAACTGATAGACGACCATATTGTCTCGGTCGATGGGGAACCTTACATGAGAGCTTGTGTTTGGGTGATGCCTGTTGATTCGGCTCAAGTCTGTCGAGAATGCCACCCCATAGATGGCCTAGCGGTTTGACTTGCCCGTTCCCCGGAGTCTGCAGCAAGCAAACAAAAACCATAACCGCATGTTAGGTACAGGGGAGATGAGACGGGATTGAATACTGAATCCAGACTGATAAAGCCTCTGCTGGTGCTGCTGGCGCCCGGTGTGCTCTCTTCTCTGTGTGAGAGAGAGCGTGTGTGTGTGTGAGCTTGGCCACATACACGCATCTCCAGACCCCTCTCCGCTTTCCCCCTCTTCGCGGCGGTTTTCACCCCGCATTTCTCCATCATAAGTTGCATCGTCCAGCTGGCAAACGCCCAATCACAACCGATGAATTTGGTGGCCTGGCTGGATGCAGCAGCCACACCCGCTTCAAAGCGGTTCATCTGGCACTCCAAGTGCATACATATGTATAATATGTTGAGTAGAACCCCCGGAGAGACCTACTATTACTGGCCAAGGGCCAATTTTTATTTTACGATTTTTTTTCGTTTGACAATACCTCCTGTCCGAGGCAGCGCTATGACAAATGCGCCGCCCTTGTGCATCTTTCAACAATCACCTAGGAAACAGACTGGGGTGGAGGTCGCGCTGATCTTACACACAAAAGACCAACAGCAAGCAAAGCAAAGCACATTGTTGGCCACCATCATCTCCAATAGTAAAGTGCATTGGTGGTGGCGGGGTTCTTCATGACACGGCCACAGTCCACTGATGTGAAGCCGTCATCTTAGCATAGGCACTAACTGCTAATCTGGGCTTCGCCCCCATATTCTTCGGCAATAAGCCACGCTCTAGTGAATGGGCTTGTCAAAACAAGAATGCCAGCAGGACAAATCGATGGATGTGCAGATGGATGGATGGATGGGCGGAAGGTTACCGTTCCGTTTAGTTTAGCAAGCAGCTCGCGGTTCCCGACAAAGAACCCCTCTCTCGCCTTACGCTGATACCCCTTCTTCGAGTCAGAAAACACACAGCTCGGCATATGGGACGAAGTTGTCCCCCCCCGTCCAGTCCCCCAAATCCCGCGCCAAACCCCAATGGTGTGCACCACCGCCCCAAAACGAAAGCTCTGGGGGACGTTGCTAGGCCACAGTTCTGTAGGCCCACCTCTTTCTGTCCACCTTGACGACACGTTGGTAACTGTATCCGTAACTGATGGGCTCTCTGCCACGCTTGCATGCTGTAATGCACCGCCGTACACCTTGAAGGTCACCACCGTTGAGATTACCTACTGAAGCGGAGGAATGACCGAATGTGATCCACTTGTGCCTCCAGGTTCTTCGGTTTCCCTTTGGTTCCTTAGCTTAACGCCGCAGGATGTGTAGGAGATAAGCAAGAGAAAAGAGCTCAACGATTAAATCGTTTGATCTTGTGAACTTCGGGCGAAATCACGGTGCTTTATGCCACGAGGGCGAGGTTATTGCCCCTCTTCCAATTCGCTCCTCTCGGGTTGTCATTGCTGCTGTTTCCCGGGGCTTCTAGCTCGGCGTAAAGCCCAGCGAAGGCCCTCGAGTGCTCCTCTGGTCTTGAGTTCCCCCCGCACAAAAACTTTGAGCTGGGAATGGAGGGGGATGATTTGCGGGGTGTGACATTAAGCATCGGGGGGTGTCGGTATATAGCCTTGCAAACGCCGGCCGCCCTCCTTTTTTTGCCCAGCACTTTACCATGTACCGCCCCGATCCCGGATACCCCTGCACATTCCTTCCTTGTCCCCGACATCATTCGACAGCGACGAACCCTCTTGGCCGAAGCTGTTGGGGAATCTGTGGGGAAGTGCTCGGCCTGATGGCAGTTTCACGGCTACACGGAGGTCCAGCCTCTTTGCTCTGCTGGCAGAAAGACGGCTCGCGTGGCCAACGGAGAGGATCCGACTAAGAATCGTACTATAGTAGACGCAAATAGCATCAATCTTGAAACTTTACTCGTCGTGTCAAGCAGTGCCATTCACACAATGGTTCGCATGAGAGGGGGGGTATGTTTGTGTAGAGTGGTGTGTGGGTGTGCCTCCTTTTGGCGATGCTAACCGCGCGTGACCGCTCGGGCTCCAACTGGAGCTGTTTGCTTCCGACGAATTGCCCGGTTCCGAGTGACAAACGCCGTCGTCATGCTCGATTCCGGCCTTTGATGATGGCGGTTCCGATCTGCTTGCTAATCCCACGACTTGGCCGTTTCCACTGCGGAAGCCTGAATGAGGGGGGATCTGCGGGCGAAGGTGCCGGGAACGGTAAGGGCAAAAGAGCCAAGACGTTCCAACGGTTCTTCGTTGCGGATCATGGACATTACGAGGCTTCTGAGGACACCTCTTTCGGCCAATAGCCTGATGTGGTGCTGCTGCTGGGGCGTCGTGTTGGCCCAATCGTCGGCGTGCGATCTTGTTGGAATCGATCACTTCAGATGTCGACCTGGTTAGGAGTAATCCCAGTTGATCCCCATATCCCCGCATTTGCGGCTTATTCGAACGAACCGCTTCTAACATTTCATTGTCGTGGAGTAGTATCGTCAGCTCAGTCTCTGGGCGTCGTCTGACCGCTACCTAATCCCTGTTGGGCAAAGCTTGGTTGAGACACTTCGAAGCCCATTCCTGTGATCATTCTCAAGCTAGTAAGAAAGCCAATGGAGTACACCTGAAGCACCAGCCGTGCTAGCTGTCTTCATACATAACCTAGAAGATGGGGTTTTCCTAAATAATTAAGACATTGGGGTAGTTGTTGCGCTTCCCACGTGGAAACCGCGCCTTTTGGGACTAGAGCGCATACGAAGCATATTCATGCTTCTAGCGAGCGTTTGTAATGTCGACATTCTACGCCGCTGGTGGACTGATAGCGTGTTCAACGAACACGCCAAGAATCAGTACCAGCCAAACCGGAGTCTGCTCCGTTGTTGTCTCATCTTTTGGGGTTGTCGTCTAGAATAACACCACAGTGTACGTGCTGCAAAACAAGGGCCTAGGCCCCGACGTCTGGCACTTCGACAAGGGTTAGATGCAGTCGATACTGCCATGACAGTGTAAGAAACTAAGCCAGACGCTTGGGTTCATTGTGCTTATGGCGAATCAGAGGGTTGGCATTTTGCGCCATGGCTCCGGCAGAAGGGCAAGCCCACAGGCATGCCGTTCGGCCTACGGGATCAACCCCTTCCCCGGACTTTGGTATGCACCATTTAGTGACTATATTCAAATTGCTCAGATTGTGTGTCGTCTCGCAGTAAATTGGACTGGCTAACATCTGGTCTTATGTTTGGCACGTAGAAGCGAGTTGTCTAGTCATTCGTTTTCAGATGTTCACGTTACTAAATGTTAGGTTACGAAAAACGAAGCTTATGCCATTCATCTTATTGGAATAACCCATTTGAAATCTGTTTAACACTGGTTTGGCTTATACGGATGCTCCAATGCTACCCCAATCAACGTTGATGGCAAGCTTTGTTATTGGCCGCAGGTAAATCACGATGCAACACTGTTTTCAGAGAAGACCCTAGAACACTTTTTGTTTCATCAGTAGTAGGCTAGTGACTCTCGTTAATGTTATCGTATGACTGGAGATACTGTCACACGTCGTACGAACACGGTTCAAGCAGACAGATGACGTGTTTCAATCCTTGAATCTTCATTGTTTCTGGTAGCATTTGGTGTAACCGACATCGCCCAAGATATCTCATCTATTTTGAGCGGAGAGATTATTTTATACCAGTGTTTAACTGGGATTGATACTTAGGTACTACTTTAATCATCCTTCATGTCCTTGCTCACATGCGTAGCGGCCGACGCCCGCGTCGTCGTCGTTCCCGTCCTGCTTGTCGCCCTCGCCCTCGCCGTCTCCGAGCGTTTTCCATGTTTGCGCTTCACGGCAATGATGCTCGGGCTGAATAACTCGCCGTCGCTGTCGATCAAGTCATGGCGGCTGGGGTGGACTTGGAAGGATCTGGGCTCGATGGCGCTGGCCTCTCCGAGTCCGATGATCACAAATTACCATAGCTAAGATGTCTTCAATTGAAACAGAATCAACCCTTACGGGTCTTTTAGAAAGCCATCTGAATGCCTAACTGCACCTAGAAATGAAATGTGTAGTGGTTATCGTTACTTCCCTTCGGCGAATCCCCTCATTAACACCGGCAGATCCATTCTAGGGCCAATACTGAGGTGATGAAAGAACATCTCACCGGGTTAGTCTCCCCCTTTCTCATAAATCCCCTTTCAGACATTACAGAAACCGTGATCTCAAGCTCTTTTTTGACACAAGTTCAGCTGTACTTACTGTTAAACAAAAGGACACGGAGGCATGATGGCTGATGCTCGATAACAGGACACACTCTACAATGGCCCCGATCATATGGCAATCACAACTTCAAAGTCACATGACAAATACGAACAGGTAATCTCAGCTATCTTACTCCGTTGGATGCAGAAACTGTGCTTAAATCTGGGATTGGCAGGTTTTGCTATTATCCGGGAATCAATGGCTCAAGCAGAGCAGTTGATGTGTCAGAAAGACAGATGGATGACACAACGGGCAGCCACTTTTGAAAGATTGTTAATTTACCTTAGCTGGGGACTCATATCAGATTTGTTTAGACATGATTAAAAAAAAAAGATCGTATTGGCATTACTAACAACATTATTGACCTGATCACGCCATTGGCTTAGATCTCCCAATCCTTTAAGGCAATAGTCGGGACCCCACTTACATCTTCTGTGTTCTGAAAGTGAGTTGGTAAGATACTCGGTGATTTTCAATGCTGTCTCACTTAGAATGAGCGGGTTTTGAGTCTCTGAGAAGAGAATATCATCAGATTCACTCGCAGCTTAAAAATTATGAACGGTGTTAGCGATATAGTCTAGTGCATCTAAAGCATAGTTCCAAAGCATCGGGATTTTTCTTGATGACAGTAATACCGGCATGATATGGTTTGAGCTTTTGAGAACCCCTCTTTCATGCTCAGTGAATGATTGCTTCTGAGTTTCCAGGCAGTGACACCAGTCCGTCAGAGCTATCAAGCGGCGTTCTTTCATAGTCTCCGATACTGATAAACTCTCTGAGCTACCAAGCGCCGTTCTTTCATAATCCCCGACACCGATAAACTATCTGAGCTACAAAGTGAAAACGAGGTTGAATGTTCGCAATTACGGTTGCCTTCTCACATGTAAAACATGTGATTGCAAATGGAAGGAGCGAACCGGTGAGCTACCCATTGGCTGAGGGTACCAAGATGAAAATACCTTCACTCCACATTTATACTTATGGTTCACCAAGCGAGACCAATACGTACTAAAACTCAATAGCTGGGGAATGAGCATATGAAACACATGGCTGTACAGAAGCTCTTGCACTATCTGACTCCTTCTTACTGTGCCCCTGACTTACAAGCATGTGGGGATCCTTCAGAAATGGGTGCACGGAAGCATCGGCGCTATTGTAGGCTGCAGCCACGCGCTTAGACGGTCAGACTATGATTACAATGCAATTGAGAAGGTCGCTCTGTCAAAAGCTATTAGTCTTTTGTTCCCCAGACCACTGCCAAGGATGCAGTTCCCCATGTTGCTGGCGGTCTCGACTGGCAGAAACCGGCTAGTAAGCGGTCAACTTGATTCGTCGTCTTTAGAGCTGCGACAATACATGTGACTGGGCTGGGATCTGCAACTCCCAAGAGCTGGCAAAGTAAAGTGAAGAATGACGTCACAGTAACTGAACATGCTTAAGAGCGGTACGGAGTGGTCTGGTTGATAACTGTTATCTGGAAGCTAAAGGAACAGCATCAGCTTGATCTCTCTAGTCCCCCAAACATCACATGCAGCTAGTGTCCGGAAAGGAATAGCCACTAAGATTTGCCATGCGGTACCTGAGGCTGCATTTACTAGAGTCGTATCAGAGAGAAAAAAAAAAAGGAAAAAAAAAAAAAAAAAAAAGGCTAGGACGGAAAAACCTCGAAAAGGAGGGGCTGGGACAGTGCTTTAGAGTCGGTGGGATGGTGAATGCGGTTCCGAGGGGTTGACGGGAAGGGAAAAAAAAAATTGTTGCGATAAGTGACAAGAGCGGGACCAATGCACGGACCATACCTCGTTTCCCCTCATTTGACCAATCAAAACACTCATTTCCCCACTGACAAGCGGTGAATTTTCTTAGAAAATGGCAGGATCTTGTGTATCGGGAGTGACATCTTCTTTGGGGCAGATTATAAGGGCATCGGCGCTCGGATTTTCTTCCAAAAAGTTTTTCCGCCCATCCTGCAAGAACCGCAAAGATCGCGATCCCACCCGCTATCGAGTTGCACGGCCTCAAATCTGCCCGAAAAAGCTGTCACCGTGCTTCTAGATGCTCATGGAGGGCATTGAAGCTATTGCCGAGTCGGCTCAGCCTGCAAAGGCTGAGGCGCACTCGCCGACAGGTTCGGCTTGGCCTCTGACCTTACCAGCCGACCTCGATCTTCACCACCTTCAAAGCCCTCCAACACCCCCGGAAAACCCAGCAGAGACCTCGCAGAAGGGTCCGACACCGACAGCAGGTCCCGAGATGAAGCAGGAATCCCCTAGTCTTGCTGCTGACCTGGGCGAGGCCCCCCAATTTCCACTCAAGCGACCCCGCGATTCGAGCGCTGACGACCCAGACGCCGAGTCCAAAAGGTTAAAGGTTGACGATGAGGGCCCGGCTCTGGATCTCAGCTTCGACATGGACGCCATGATTCAGGGTGTAATGATGGACATCAGCAACGAGATGGGCAAGGTGGACGGCCTCGACTCCGTCGGCGACGTGGACATGTCAACGGATCCCCTTGCCTCAGTGTCGCAAGAACCACCGCCATCTACCGAGTCCCATACGCCCGTTCTCTCTGAGCCGCTGGCCCTTATGAGACGGACAACTACCTCCTGTTTGTCAAACTTTGTACGTGGCGTTCTCGTCAATTAAACTGGCACCGCTGACCTTTTCTTCCAACTCGCAGGCTCTGCAATTACTTGTGATCCTGTCGCAACATGTCTTCGACGACGTATACAGGCAATTACAAGAAAAGGACTCCGAGGTTTCCAAATCCTTTGCCACGATCAAGGCTCTGTTTCAGCAGACGCGTGCGATTTACTCGACTACCGACCTTATCCTGGATCCTGCTACGCTGGATCTGACTTTGCCGGATAACCTGACCGATGTTCAGGTAGCAAACCTAGCAAGTTTTTGCTGCGCACTCTTCTCGTTCGACGGGCACCACGATTCCACGTCGAAGGAATTGCTCGCTCTCCAAGACAAATTTTTCTCCGTTTTCTTGCCTGGCGGCGAGAACGACACCGTAACGCACGAAATTTCCGAACTTTTCGTCGCAGTAAAGACGCATCTCGTTATTGATGCGGTTACAACAGCAGACCAGTCCGCGCCGGTCGACCAGCTGATTGCCGACGCTTTTTCGGCCGATTTAGAGGACCAACTGCGTGTTAGACATGGGGGTTCGGAACTGACGGCTGAGGAACAGGGGCTGGTTACCGCTGTCCAGGAACGAAAGGCGGCCCTGATTTCTTACGCCTCGGGCCTCCCAGATACTGGTAGGTTATTAAGCATGGGTTATCCGAGGCCGAGGCTGACGGTTTGTTCACAGTTCTTCTCAAGATTGGCTATCCCGATGAAGACCTCTTCCGCTTGCTGAATCTATACCTGCGCCGCAAACTGCAATCCCTAGCGGGACTTGCTGCAAGGCATGGCATCGAACTCCCTCAAACCGTGGCGAATGGCGAGCTGGATACATCGGTATCTCATGATCTGGACGATCTAGGCATTTCCTCTCTCTTGGAGGCGACAGATGGTCTTGTTGCGCAGTATCTCCCGAGCGAGGCCATTGACGGCTTGCCCAATGACCAACCCCCCGTTCCGTCCACCGAGAATAGCGCCCCGCCAGCAGAGCCTGCCCCAGCCGCACCCGAAGCCACACCGGCCGCACCGACGACGAACGGCACAACGACCGAAGTTCAAGACTCCAACGATATCCTTGCCCTCGTCGCACAGAGCACGCAAGAGTACGTTCGAACGACTCTCAACAACTTGTCGCCAGCACCGTACCAGCCCACCGTGCCTACCCCTACAGGAGCCGCTCCTGTTACGCAGACGACATACCTATCACATCTGCAACAAACCCAGGCCCAATCGCCGTACTATGGATATCCGCCGCAGGTCGAACAACCGCCTCAGCCTGCAGCACATGAGAGCGCCGAGAAGCTTCCTCCGAGCCAGACATTACCCAGTGCAGTGTTGTACGACAGAGCTAGACAAGCTGCGTTGAGCAAGACCAACAACCAGCAAAGACGAGAAGGCACGACGTCAACAAGACGTCCTTGGACACAGGAGGAGGAGAAGGCCCTGATGACGGGCTTGGACATGGTACAGGGTCCACACTGGAGTCAGATATTGTCCCTCTTCGGAGCCGAGGGTACTCTTTCAAACATACTAAAAGATCGGACTCAAGTGCAGCTCAAGGATAAGGCACGCAACCTGAAGCTCTTCTTCCTGAAGACAAACTCGGAGATGCCATACTACCTCCAGGCTGTCACTGGTGAGCTCAAGACTCGTGCGCCAACGCAGGCGGCTCGCAAGGAGGCCGAAGAGCGGGCTCGCATGAACTCGGAGGAAGAACAAGCGCGCGTGCAGGGCATAATGACCCTTGCTGGCGGTCTGCAACACCCCCAACAAAACCGGGCGAGCGTGACACCTGCTACTGCACCAAGCACGCCCTCACAATCTGCGGCCCAAATCCCGCACCACCTCTCTCATGTCACCACACCGACTCATGCCGCCATGTCTGGACCGCCAGCGACGCCTGCTACTGTTACACCCACTCACCCTAGAGTGCCGCCAGCGTCGTCGCCCTATGCAGCGACGGCAGCCCAACTTTCTCAGACCTCTCACGCCTTATCCCACACTCAACCTCATACCCCGACGCACCCCCACATCCAACATCACTCTCAACCCGGAACGCCACAGCCACAACACCATCAACAACTACAGCAACCTCAGCAGGAGCATGTTCAGCCACAGGTTTCGCAGCCGTCAGAGGCTACGCAGCAATACTCGACTGATGCGTCTGCGCCTGTTTATAGCCAGGAGAATGACGATCTCAAGGAGGCCGCGCTCATGCAAAGTCTGCGCGAACTCGAGGCGTACAGCGGCAGTGCCAGCATGTCCTAGAGCGATAGTGAACTCACCGCTTCGTACCATAACCAACCCAACGTCCACCTCAACGATACAAACAACATCGTAGCCGGAGCTATGCTGCCAGTGACACCACGACCGACGTTTACTCGGGAGAATGGGAACAGCAATGGCACTTGTACCAGTGTCTAAGCAGCTGTTTGACCTAACAGCAGATGTGTTTCCAGCACTGAGCCGTCGTGGATAATATGGTGATCTTGAGTTGGCCCCAAAAGCAGGGTATCGATCTCGTGTAAAACACATTATACATCACTATACGTGTTTGGATTGATGCGTCGATACAGACGCGAGGCAAGCGCCGCCGCCGCCGCAGCAGCAGCAGTTATTTCTGAAGAGCAAGTGTTCTTAAATTAGATTTACTTTTGGCGAGGTATTCACTTATGTGGACATTTTAGGCGACGAGGATTGGAGAGAGGGAACCAAAAAAAAAGTTTTAAGAAGGCAAAAACGGGCGGCACCAAAAGCGATTTTCTTGTTTGCTCATGATACCACGAATGACAGAGAAGGCGACGATGGAGAAGCGCCTCTGGTAAGGGACGGAAAGATTATTGCATAGCGATACGGAACGAATATATTAGCAGTTACTGCGTGATGCGCTGTGTTTACTACGTGAGAGCAAGGTGTCTCCCATAAGGGACAACCCATATATGTGAAATGTTTATACTGAGACGCATTGTAGCGGTGTCGTTTAATTGTTTTCCGGTTGTAGGGGTAAGATGGACGGGAGGATATGGGCAGGCTGCTACATCCAGTCCAGTCTCTTTATTCCTCTGCCACCCGCTCAGCTCATGCTGAGATGGCACATTTCCATGGTGAGATTACTGAAACCCAGTTGGGGACTCTCAGATTGACTCCAAACTTACTGTAACTAGTTTTAGATACCCCAGGTTCCAATACGTGATCCCTGTTTCGCTGTCTATTTATTCATGTTTAGTAAGTCGGCTTCGTCTGTCCTGAGTTTGCAGAGGTACTTTTATTCCTCGCCAACATAATATACTAGCCTGTGAGAATAGAACATGAAAAGAAGGGAGTTTCTTCATCTACCCACAGCGGCAATCATCCAACTCCAATGGTTTCCCATAGCAACTTCCTTCTCAACGTGTTTAGATAATCATGTACGATGTTTGTAGACTTACTGCTGAGGGCTCTAACTGAAAGGGTTTCTGTTCCCAGAACCGCCACCAGCATCGACCATTTCAACATTTACACAAGACATCATCATCACCGCATTCTGTCGAGCAAACTGCTTACATTGCATCATTCCTCCGAACTACATCATTGTCGGACTAGACGGGTATCAGCATACCCGTACAACACGCATGAGGCACACCGCTCGTCAGCAGCCAAACACACAAACCTCGCCCAGGAAGCCTCGTGTTTCCTCGAAGGGATTTGGTTAATATGCGTTTGTCATCACGAGGTCGACCTTTGATGGAGCGAAGCATCCCATCGCTTTCTTACGGACCCTCACATGAGCGACACCGCCCTCGTGTTCCCACTGAAGCTGCCTTACCACGTCACTCAAGTTGCCTCTCGCCAGATTCACGAATTCATGTCTCTATCCAGAGAGTAGCGTATGCCTCGCGGGCTACCGCACACCGACTTTTCTCAAGATGCGAAGAGCATCTAGGTTTTAAAGCCTAACCGCAGACTCCCATTTGATATTCAACAAATTCAACCAGAGGCAAACCTTATGCCTTTGACCAACTCCACACTCTAAATCAACCCATTCGGCTCAGACTTCGACATCAAGATGGCGTTCGGAAAGAAGAGACGGTTGAGTCCTCAAGAGCTCGCCAGGCTCTGCAGCTACGCGACGCCCATGGGCCGCTGCCCCTATGCAAAAGTCACGCTGACCAAGGACGGCGCCCGCTTCTCTTCCCCCTATTGCAAGATACACTGCTGCAAGAAGATAGACAACAACGCCGCGTGTCTGCATCTGAGGACTAACAACCGCGGATACTGCAATCAACGTACGGTCCCAGCTCTGTTACCATACAACCCTTCTTTCGATGTTCCTTCATCTTATCCTCCATCCCCATGCAACATCTGAACCTACATACTCACTCAAAACCAAATCTAACCATCAACAGACCTGATGTGTACAGGTACAATCAACGGCCAACGCTGCACAAACTACATCAAATCCTACGACCCCAAAGATTTCAAGTTCTGCTCCCAATTCCGTAAGTCTTACACACCATCCTCCTGCTCCTCCACTCTCCTTCTAACAAGCAAGACAACTGCCTCCAACCAGACTGCGCAAACGAACGCACTCACCAAAACGACACCACCGACCTGCGATACTGCCCAGACCACCGGTGCACCCGCGCAGACTGCTCATCCCCTCGCGCAGCAGGCGGCAGCACCCAGTGCGCATCCCACACCTGCGCCTCGCAAAACTGCCTGGCCTCGTGTCCCGGCGCGACGGGCGACGACAACGCCGCCGACCCGTCCCGCTTCTGCGACAGACACCGCGTCTGCGCGACGGCCGACTGCCGCCGTTTCGCGCACCTCCGCGAGAACGGCGTGCCGTCGAAGCACTGCGGCGCGCACTTTTGCAGGTGGGAAGCCGAGGGCGGCTGCGACGCCGAGCGGGACCGGGCGACGGCGGCGGCGGACGGCGTCTGCGCCGCGCACACCTGCGTCGAGCCCGGCTGCCTGCGCGCCAGGGACCACAAGACCGACGGCGCGCAGTGGTGCAAGGACCACGAGTGCACCATGCGGGACTGCCGCTGGCGGCGCTGGCTGGGGGAGTTCTGCCCGGAGCACCAGTGCGGACGGCCGGGGTGCGGGAGAAAAGGGGAACACAACCACTACTGCGACAGGCACCGATCGTGTTCTTTCTCGGGGTGTGATAGGTACAGGTTAGTCGACGGGGAGAATATCAAGGAATTCTGCGAGGAGCGTAAGTGTTTTCTGTTTCTTTTCCCTCTTTCCCTCCCTTTATCCACGAAGCAGCAGTCTGACGCAGATGGAATACATATAGATTCAATCACACGATGTAGCAAACTGAACTGCGACGCGAGAGTAGTCGACAACACCCCGCTCTGCGAGAACCACCTCTGCAGCTGGCGGCCCTGCACCAACGAGCGGGCGCAGTACAGCAGCGGTCTCTGCGCAGCGCACAAGTGCGCCGTGATGGCGTGCCCGCATCGCAGAACGCACATGAACTTCTCCCACATGGCCGCCATGCTCGGCGGCATCGGCGGCAGGGGCGACTTTGAGTGGCCTCTGTCGGCGTATTGTAACGGTCACGCGTGTAAGCACGAGCAGTGTCCCGCGCAGGCGGCGGAGGATACGCATTATTGCCGGAGTCATACGCGGTGTCGTCAGCCCGGGTGTCCTAGGGTCGTTGATGTCGACGGGCAGGATCCGACGTGTTGTGCGGAGCATACGCGGCTGGGGGCCGGCATGGGACGGCGCGGGGTGATGGGTGGTGGTGGTGGTGATCCGTTTGGTTACGGAGGCGGCGGATGGCCGGGAGTTGGAGCTTGGGGCGTGAATGCCACTTTATGAGTGTTGTGTTGGTTATCTTCTGCTATGCTTTTAGAGATATATCATAAATCACTGGAGACAGACAAAGTGCATATGACACATCACAAGAGTTGATACAAGTAAGACGGGGTCATGGCAGTCCATTCGTGTCAAACTCTATACGAGGAAAACCTCCCCAACAGACTATCGAATGTTACCATGCCTGATATCGCAAGGGCATGTTTAAGCCCCTTGCCCCCTCTGTACGTTGAAAGCCGGTGCCAAATCCTCAAACCGGCTGAATGCCTTGTTTCCACAAACGCTACGCCATGCAAGTTTACCGTGCTGTGAACCGAAAGTTTTTGTCTAGGAAGAGTCACCTTCCGATGTCTCCTCTAGTGCGTCGTCCTTCGAGGCCTGGGACCCCTCCGTGGTGGTGAGTCCCTTTCTGATGGCGAGCACGTTGTCTACAATAACTGCATCTATACCCTCCTTCACTTGGCGCTGCAGAACTATTAGCATTGGTCTGGCTGGGGGATGAAGATAATGTACTTACTTGAACCATAATGGGATTGTTGTTCAGCGCTCCGTAACTGACACAGAGGAGACCACTCTCCTTGACGACTCTAACTAATCTGGGGCTGTTGATGAGCGGCTCCGCGGCGCTGACGATACCAATCAGGTTCCAGCGGCTGGCGAAACGAATGGCCTCCTGGAGGGAGGACGCTCGAATGTCGCCGACGGGAGAAGTGCCCGCGTCCGTCAGGAACATAATGGGGATAGACGGCTGCTTGAAGCTGAGACACAGGCAGATATCAGGGTTGAAGGAGCTGAAGATGATGTGTCTGTTGCCAGCGAGGTCGTAGACCTTGGACAGCACGGTGTCGCAGAAAGAGTTGAGCTCGACAGCATAGGTGTCCATCTCCTGCTCCTCGCTCTCGTGGAGCATGGGGTACTTCATTTCGATATTGAAGCCGATATGCTCGGGGAGCTGGCGGAACAGGTCCTCGAGGGTGGCAAAGGGAGCCTGGATGAAGTTGCCGCGTGAGTTGGCCTTGTAGCCCTTGCTCTTGAAGTCGCGCGTATGCTTCATGCGCTCGTCGAGGTCACCGTTGAGGAGTGAGTCACCCGCATACCCCATAGACAAAGACCGTTGTCTGGGGCCCGGAGCATTGTTGCGAACCCTCTCGATTTGATCATTGACGGCATTCACGCCGTTCGTGCGCTTTGAGTCAGGATTGATGTGCAAAAATTGCTCGAGTGTGAGCGTGTGAACTGGTGCGTCGATACCTGTCTCGCTGACGAGGAAGTCGTGATAAATAACCGGGACGTGGTCCTTGGTGAGCTGGACATCAAACTCGACGTATTGGGCGCCCAGGTTGGCAGCTGCAATGAAAGAAGGCACCGTGTTCTCTCCTAGCTGGAGAGACTTGTTGCTCGTCAGGTTCTTACCCATGCCGCGGTGGCCAATGACCATTGTTGTAGCCAGTTTCTTCCAGTAAGTCTGCTGAGAGTTGATCTCCATGTTGGGGTGGGAGAATGGTGTGACTACTAGGAAGTTGAAGTTGACGGTGCCAATGACGTCCAAGTTACTGGCCAGAATGGGCACGCAGACATCACCCTGAAGGTTCATCCGCTTGGCACCAATTGTGGGCTTGATGGATGAGAGGAGGGCCACACCACGTCCGATCTTGTTCTTCTCGTTTCCAGAGTAAGTAGGAACAATGTCGAACATGATCTTCACCTGCGAAGGGTCTGCAGCGGTGAACACAATTGGCTCGGTCGAGACGTTCTCGTGGACAGGCAGATCAACGATGGTGGGCTCACCCTGAGCACCAGTAGCCGAGACCACAATAGACAGAGCCGTGTCGAGCTCCGTCAAGTGGGCCTCTGTCAGGGGCACGCGGTCAAGCTTGACTGCCTCAATGTTCTTCCGCATGTCCATCGATCCAAGACTAACCAAAACCATGCTCTTGTCGGTAAGGTAGCGATGTCCAAAGGTCTTGACGGGTTCGAGAGGGCGAGCTGCGCCGTTCGATTTGCGGCCATCGAGGGAGGTGTTGTTCTCGGGGGATGAAGAACGAGAGCTTTCGCCAGAAACCTTGAGGTCCTTTGTGGTCCGAGCAAGGTCGGCATCTGGCTGGGCAGCAAGAAGCCTGGCAATATCCAAGTGACCACGCAGAGCAGCGTGCTCTTTGGCAGTCCAGCCAGATGAATCGGCCTTGGCTACTTCGGCTCCAGCATCAACGAGGAGCTGAGCCACGGAAAGGTGGCCGTCGACAGCCGCAACGTGAAGAGGGGTCCACGCATATGAGTTCTCGGTGATCTCCAGGTCGGCCTTCTGCTCGTCGGTGCCCTTCAACAGCACCTTGGCAATCTCATCGTGGCCGAAGCGTGCGGCGAGATGCAGAGCGGTTTCGCCCGTTTTATCTTGCCAGTTGATATCCACACCAGCCTGAACAAGCATCTCTACGATGACCTTGTAGTTGGACTTGGTGGCCATGGCAAGAACAGCACCAGACTTTGACACCGTTCTCCTCATTTCGGCCTTCTTGACGCTGACACCCTGCCAGTTCTCACCCTGAAGCAGAGCCTGGGTAGTCAAGGGGTGACCGCCCACAACACTCAAGTGCAGCGGAGCATAGCCGTCGTTGTCCTGCCACTCGGGGGCGTCAATGCCGTTCTCGACATTGAACTGACCCCACTCTTGCATCTTGGCCATGATAATCTGGCAGACAACGACGAAGCCGAAGCGAGCTGCATAGTGCAGCGGCAGTCGGCCGAAGGAGTCTCTGCTGCTGAGCGCCTCTCTCTGTTCAGGCTTCAGGGAGTCGAGCAAATACATTAGAATCTGAACCGCCTCATCGTCCTTCCCGAGAAGCTTAGTCTCGTTCTCATTGAGTGCACGAGGGGTGACTGCCTGTGAGACGGCAGGCTGAAGGTCGTGAGATGTGAACTGAGTACCGATAGGGAAGGGGTACGACCTTGGCTCATTGTCAGGCCCGTTGGACTTGGTACGGCCGATGTGGATGACCAGTCGATGAATGCAGTTGCGCTCGTTGATGTCGTCGGGCTCATTAATCGAAGGTAACTGATCCAGAAGATAGGCAATGCTGGCCTTGGATCGGGCGGCGATGGAACGCTGCAACAAGTTCAGGAGCAAGCTGTGAGAGGTCTGTTCACCAGTTACATTGCCCTCCTGCAAACCAGCCTTCAAGGACTCGACATTGTCGTTGCGAATGGCTTGGTCCAGAGTGTCGAGTAAGTTTTGCGATAGGGTTAACATGGCCTTGGAGGAGGCGCGACCAAGCGACCGCACTGACCTGTCAGACCTGGAGTCATCAACATTCCGGGCGTCGCCCAGAGCGGAAATCCATTTGTTAATCTCGGTGAGGAGGCGTGTGCTCGTCGTGTCTTTGGCGAAGGGCAGAGGGTCGACCTTTGTCGAGATGTAGCGGTGCTGGGAGGCGGTCTCGGGGAGCTTCTTATCGAGCTTCTTGGTGATCTTTACGAAGCCCCGACGGTTGATCTCGGCGAACCAGTTGAGATTGCGCAGCTGCACGCGCATCTCATACAAGGCGCCCATGAGCTCCTCAATCTCATCCTCGTCAAGGTTGGAGACGACGTCGGGGAAGCGGCCATAGCGGTCGCGCAGCAAACTGAGACGGCGGACGGTCTCGCTGAGCTTGCGGTTGTAAAAGGAGTCGACATCTTCGAGGTTACGATCCAAGGCGAAGAAGAATTCTGCAAAAGGATTACAGTCAGGGGATGGGCTGCGCCCTCACAGCGAATCCGGTCCAGTTCCGCCCACCTGCTAAGTCCACCTTCTCTCCATTCTTGGCCGATTGCGCCGCGGCCTTGATCAGCTTCTTGAGGCCCTTGTAGTTGATGTAAAAGGCCGCCCACTCGGGGACTTGGTTGCGGGGTAGACTGCGACCGTGTAAGCTTCTGTGTTCACGAATTTGGGGAAATAAAACCAAATTGATTCAATTTTGTCTTATCAAGGGGTATATCTCACTTTCTGCCAAACTTCATGGCGAATGAGGTCTAATGTCGGTTATCAAGGCAGGTGACGAGTGTGGCGTTCTGTGTTATCAATGCTGTGAGGCGATATAGCCGAGAGGCTGCTGTTTGGTATAAGAGGTAGAAAAAACAAAAAACAAAGTGATGATGAAATAACGACGCGATCGAGGGAATGAACGGGGGAGGAGCTGCTTAGAGGCAGATGGTCTTGAGGCTGTAAATGTTCATTATTCTTTAGCAGTCGTCTTTGTTATTCGAGGTTAGTTAAGACCACTGAGTTTTGTAGTACGGTGGGTATGGAGCGTTTGAAAAAAATAACGACAAAAAAAGGCCGAACAGCTCTGTAGTTCGGTGTTGTTTTGAGGTGTAGGTTGAGTGGTGCCTCTGCAATAACTTTCAGCGTTCAGGATGCAAGTCACGAGAATCCCGTCGGTTTTTCAAGGACGAAAGAGCTCCACATCCAGCTCGCCATTGATTGAATATGACGGAAGTGATCTCAATAAGCAGACAGCAGACAGAAGGAGAAAGCTATATCTGGGTCCAGGGAGCTCGGTCGGTGGGTTGGAGGGGGATTATGAACGAACCAGGCCCCAGACCGACCCGGACGTGGATTGAAAAGTGACGGAAGCATGCAAAGAGAAAAGAAGGAGAGAGGTGTGAGCTCATCTCACATCTCACCCCCGACAGGAAAAAGTTACTGGGCCCGGGCACGGAAGTATCGTGGAACAGGTGACTGAGTACCTTTTCTGCGACATGACGCAGAAGAGTAACTACCGAGTCCCCGGAATGACACTGAAGGCGATACGGCGGGGTACATGGGTTCCGTCGTTATGGCACCTTCTTTCTCTCTCTCTCTACTATGTACGTAGTGCATGGTACCGTAGGCAGGAGCGAGCGCTGCAACGTACGTACCTACTTTTAGCGACTACACACAGCAACAGTGACCGCTACGCCAGCCCAGCACCAGTCCCTTCCGAACGTGACTTGGGGCCATTTAGAAAACCAGAAAAAAAACCAAAAACAGCTTGGGGTGTGGCGTTATCTGGGTCGGTGAGACGAGCCACTGAGGAGCCACCGTTGGCCGCCCGTGGAGCACGGCCGACTCGTGATTCGTAGGGTCACGGGACTAGAGCCCCACTATGGCTTCAGCTAGTGGGCTCATCCATGATCACCCCGCCGTTTGTGTAGCACAAATCGCCAGCCATCCCATACTTGGCCCTTTCTCCCCGTGTCTCTGTCTGTCTCTCTTTGGCGTCTTTTTTGACTGTTGGTGTGTGTGCCATTTTTTTTTCTCTTTCTTTTGTGTTTTTGAACTGGCTCTTCTCTGGTACGTGGTCTCTACCCCATTTCATTCTCACTGGCGTATCACGCTTGTCGTACCGTAGCAGTCTTCCACCGGTCCCCACACCTTTCTTAACAGAGATAGTACCTCATCAAAGCCCTTGGGGTCCGGGTCCCGGAATCCAATGATGAGAAGGGTGGAAATATGAAAATTCCAGACCGCCTCGGGGCTTGTCAGGTCAACCGTCCTCATGACCTCGCCGGGGCGGGAAGGACCCTGAAACCGACATCGGTCGCCGTCCGTCCTGGCACTCTTTCAGCGTCCTGCTGGTGCTGGATATGTAACACCTTGTCCCCTTTTTGACGGCCTACACGTACATGACATTCATCCTTTTTCCCGCTTGGAAAAAAAAAAAGGGCCACAAGGCAGGGCATGTCTCCACTCGGATCTGGTTCCCTCGATGCATGTTCCAAGTTTTAAAATTTAGGGGTCCAGTGACCTGGTCAAAGCAGGAAACCTCGGCATCCCGGCTTTGGGGGAGGCGGCGGCGGCGGCGACGACGGTGTATACAGATGGTGCAGTTGGATGGCGTTAGGGACCGGGAAGGACTAGTCTACGGAATATGCGGCAACCCCTTTTTAAACAAAGCACTGCTGACTTGTCATTGTCCATAGTGCTGACTGAGTGGTAGTGGTTCACGATGGGCTTGATGGAAGGATGGCTGGTCGATGCGGTGGGCCTAGCAAAACCTGGATGGAACACGAGTGACGATATTGTCAATCCAGCCGATGCACCATGTGGGAGTTTAGTGGCCCCAGTCAACTCGCAGAGAGAGGCAAAAAAATATCCAGAAAGTATGCTTGCGTAAACCAGACATTCGGAGCAAGAAATAAAATAAAATAGAGTAATAGGCTTTAATAGCCACACAGGGTCCAGTTTCTCCTGGTTAACACTGTCGAGTTTCTGTCAAGGAACTAAAAAAAATTCCAGACTTGCGGCTCATGACATTGTCTGCCGTGTTGGAAAGCAGCATAGTTTGGGTAGCCAAGTTTTGAGCTAAACCTCTGCCCCCCCATTACGCAAGACCGGTTCTATTTAGAAAGGCTGAACGGTCCCATCGGGCCAATTCCCGGCCCAGAACTCCGACATGGCCACCCCTTTCAATCATCCCAATCTAAACTCTGACTGACTCTTTACCCTTTCGCTGTTGTCTCTTTCTCACATATCACTTTTCTGCCCGTCAGCTGTCAACAAAAGTCATACAGTGTTTTTTATCCCCCCTGGTTAACTTTGAGAATAGATTGTTCAATGATATCACACGCAACCCTCCCTCACACCAACCAACATAGTTGATCCCTGCGGGCGGAACACCAGAAACTACATAGTACTACTCTGGGTGTGGTGGCATCTTAGCACGCTTTTGGCATGTGCCTTGGCAGATCCCAGGCACCGCCGACGCGCAGGGTGGTTATTAGTCGTTTGAGCCAAGCAAATCGCCCCAAACCATGCTGTCCATCCAAAGTGTGCTTCCCCCCCCCCCCCTTCATTTCTCTTTATTCTAGACCACTCTCGACGTGAGTCCCCTGCAAAAAAAAAAAAAAAAAAAAAAAAAAGATCACGCCGTGACCTAACGCCCGGCCCCGGTGCCTCCGCCCACGTCCGGGAGCAGTAGTTGAACGTAAGCAGCGCTTCCTCCCGTGAACCCGTCATGTGTGAAAACTGCAGCTCATTTCAAAGGCCTCAGGGCTCAGAATGTGAGGCCGTATGTGATGATTACCTTCCGCAACGGACACGACCATTGTCCGGATCTGCCTCTTGAGCATATGCGTGAGCGGGACGGCTAGGACCATGTGCGGCGCGCTCATGTCTTCAAATTCGTGGTCCTTCTTCCCTGAGACGACAGCTCATCATTTGATAAAGTCAAGCCGTACGCCTCCTATTCGTGGCTCAGCCTTAGGAGCAAGTGCGACGTGATGTTCCTGATGCTCATGTTATCCCCCCGACACAGCCGCAGCAGATCAAGATGATGTCCCTCATCTTTTCCCGGCTGCCACAGACGGTTCACTCTAGGGAAAGCATCATAGTAGTTTTCCTCGTCATCTGATACGAGAACTTGCCGCCGGGCTATGTGCCAAGGGAAGAAGGGGAAAAAGTGCCGAAACACAGGAGACATGCAACGTGAGTGAACGAGTGTGCTGTCTTAATGTACGTGTGGAGACACCAATCAGGTCCAGCTCTGGTGTCTATCCAAAGGCTAAACGAACAGCAAAGTAAACGAGACGTCTGTCGACATGCAGGTACGGTGGCTGAGGGTGAATCACCAAATAACCACGAAACGGGATTATCTACCCAGGGCGGCAATGAAAAACAATGTGTTGTGTGTACATAATCGTATTCTAAATGTCTAATAGTAACAGGCCTCCGGATCGGCGTCTCTCGCCTTGTCAGTGGGGTTGTCCCGAGCATATGCTCATCATCTTGCGTACCGCTAAAGATGGTATACTACAAATACACTTGTATCCCGCTCCTCTCAAAAAGAACTCGCAGCCATCAGCTCTCCTCTCCGGACCACAGGTTGGCCTACACGGAGGCTATGCCACACGTCGCTGTTCACAGTTGCGGGCCTTCCGCGCTTTTGCGCATCAGTTGCCGCCTCTAGGTGATCCCACGCTGTTAGTTTTGGCGTTTCCTCAATTAAATTGGGCGCCGCAAACTCTTGTCGCCGACGTTGTGCTGGTTGCTGTGCTTTCTTGTAGCTTGAACGGGTAGCCTGCTTGCGGGTTTCTAACGGAGCAACGCCGGCTTGAAGAAGCTTCAAGTCCCATTGGTACTTTTTAATCTTCTTCTGGGCTCTGTGGGCTTGGTGGATGATGCTGACGATGCGCATGCCGCGCCTCTGTGCCTCAGATGGTAGCTTGGACTCCGAGACCTGTAACCATGGGGCCACAGAAAAGGGCGTCTGGTCGAGGTGGCAGATGTCTATCAAGTTCTGGATGCGGCCTGCTAGGTATTGCTGATCCTTTTCTTGTCTGAAGGTTGCTCTGATAAGTCTAGGCTTCATCTGGAACGCGTCTAAAATCTGCTGCGCAGCCTTGGTGTCCAAGGTATATATGCACTGCTCGAGCAAATTTGATGTTGTTTGGACGTCGAACGTGATACCGTATTTAAGAGCAATGGAAAAGGTTGCCGCCGCATGCCTCACAAAGTTGAAGTTCAGCATGCCTTGGATAATGGCCGTGAAAATGTCGACATCAAACCATGCCCGCTCGACGACATATTTGTTGCCGATAGCGACATTCTTCACTGCCGCCCATAGGAAGAGTTGCTCGTGCGTGAGGACATCCTCAATCTCTTTCCTGCGGATCTTGATACCCCGAGCATCTTTGCCTGTCATTCGCTGGATGACGTTAAAGAACCTTTGTTCTTCACCACTCTCTCTGAAGTGGTTCAGTAGGCAGGCCATGGTCTTCCTCGTCGGTTCGACCTTGGATTTGAAAAAAGCGCCCACGACACCCTGGGCCAGTGAGTGAAGCCCTGAGCGGTTAAGGCCTAGAATAAGCGTATTGTATGTAAATATGGTTGGTGGTTGCGGCGATACGAGAAGGTTGTGACACATTTTGCTGATCTTTTTACGCTGGTCGTAAGACTCGTTGGCGAAGATGGCGCCGAGGGAGGTGTTCAGCTTCGCGCTGCACGCTTTTACGGTCGCTGTGTCAGAGTCCTCTCGGTAACGAGGCATATTATCGTTCCTTAGTAGTGCGACTTCGTTCTGAAGCGCTTCCCAATCACTGGCTTGAAGGATCTTCTTGGAGTCCCTGACCATGCGGTCTACCAAGTCTGCCATGCCGAGCTCAGCCATCTCCAATTGTTGGAGTGTTTTCGGCATGCGATGCGCCATATCCGGGCCCTGTCTGTTCTCCTCCTCCATCAATCGGTTGTCACAATCCGCGTAATTGATCGCTTTGAGCCTCGCAAGGGAGTCTTTCGTCGTGATGAATCCGCACTCCTCCCAGTACCTATTCACCTCGCCGGACCTGGGCAGTGGTTTCGCCCAGCTGTCCAGGTGACTAAGAGAGTCTAGAAATTCGGATATCTCGCCCTTCTGTCTCTTATGCTCCCATAATGAGCCCTGATATCGGTTCTCGACGCTTCCCGGGGGTGCTGAATCGTCGTCGTACTGTCGCGGCCTCCGCTTTTTTAAAGTGTCAAGCTCCGCCCTAGCCTCCTCGAGTTGCCGGTCCAGTTCCAACCGGCGTTTGTCCTTGGCCTTTGCATCAATCACGGCGGCGGTGGCCATGATTCCCGTGTAGCAGGCTGTAAATATCTCGCTGAAGGTCGGTTTACGGGGCGTCACCCGCGTCGCTGACTGCCGTATCATGCCACCGGCGGCATTGAAGCAGGCCTTGCATCCGCAATGATGCGCCTGGCCCGCTCTGGACCATAGTGCCTGCATTCTAACGGCATGCCGGCTGCGTTGGCAGCCCCAATTGAGTCCAATTGATCGTTTATGGCGGGTTGGCGGTTTGGGCGTTTGGGCGTCGGAAGGTCGTCGGCGTTGGAAATTATGGTCTGATGCGAAATATTGACGTTCTGGGACCGACTCGCCGGATCCAATTGACCGGGGCATTAGAGAGTGGATATATGCAATTATACATTTATGGATATAAAGATGTTATCGGATTATAGAAGTGACGCAACTGCCCCTCCAACCCCACCATGGCTCGCTCACTGAGAGCTCTGAAGCGTGCAGCATCAAGTGACAATTTAACCCGTCAGATTTTTGTGAGATCTAAGACGATAAATCAAGTCACTTCAAGATGTTCGCCCTCACTCTTTCTGCAGAGCTCAACGGGTATGTCTTCTCTTAGAAAATCTCAGATTTGGATCCCGCTAATATCAGTAGAGTCACGAACCTCCGCCCTGACGATAGCGAAGCCAACCCTTTCTGGTACACTTTCAAGGTCCAGTGCACCTCATGCCGTGAAGTCCATGACAAGACTGTCGGCGTCAACCGCTTTGTGCGTGCATAATTTCAATCATGAGATAGTATGGTTTTGCTAACAAGCGCCTAGGAAGACAATGAGATGAGCGGCAGCCGAGGCGAGGCCAACTTCGTCTGGAAGTGCAAGAACTGTAAGCGCGAGTCGTCGGCCACCATTAAAACCGCTCCCGCTTCATACGAGCAGACCGAGCCACCCAAGCAGCAAAAAATTCTCGAGTTCGACTGCCGAGGTCTGGAGTTTACTGAATTCATTCCTGAAGGGGAGTGGCTTGCAGAGGGCACGGATTCGGGCACTAAGTTCACCGGCATCGAACTCACCGATGGAGAATGGTTCGACTACGACGAAAAGGCCAACGACGAGGTCTCTATCAAAGACTTGAAGTGGGAGATCAAGCGTGCTTAAGGGGTTTGAAAGAGTTTTTTAAGGAAAGTGATACCGAGTGGCGTCTGGTGTGAGGGAGGGTTGAGGTTGGTGGTTGAGAAAAGAAAAGCGAATTCATTATGTTTTGATCCTTCCGTTGCCGTGAGATTTTCAAGATGCTTGGTACGTTTAAATCATCGCTGAATGGTCACTGCAAAGCAATTGGTATTCCTCAATCCAGCATGTATCGGGTATTTAACCTCTAAACCTAACCTAATTCTACAAGAAGGTCTCTCCCGCTCCCTTGACCCATGCATTCATCGTCATATGCGTTGCAAAGCCCGATAATCCATCCTCCACCTCCCCTTCTATGTAGTAAAGCGAGCCGTCTTAAGGCTCGCGCCCAGCTTTCCTTGTTTTGTCGGAGCATCAAAAAGGTGAATAATTTTCTCGAGGAATGATGGCAAACTAGGTCGGCCGTAGTCTCAGAGACGACGTATCACCTACTGTGCCTGAAAAATGAATAATGAGTATAACCCTCTCATCGGGTTAATCCAAGTCTAGTGGACTCGTGTGCAAGACCATTTATTGTGTATTTGCAAGCCGTGATAAAAAGGCTCTTGGGCTCGCAAACTTGACAAGAGCCGTCTCTCATCTCAAGTTGTATCATGGTACAACTTCTGTTGTCCCTTCCTTGTTCGGAAGGTGATGAGAAAAGATAATTTGTTTACTCTGACAGTGTGAGGCTCGACGACATTCAACGAATTCGTCATTACGCATATTGCCGTTGTGGGAAACGCAAGTGGTATCAGAATCTTTGGAAGTCATGGACACAGGTTCCATATCCCATTCGTGAGTCTGGCGAAATCGTAAAAGCGTTTCCAATCGTCATAACAGCAAAAAAAAAAAAAGTTCATAGGAAGTAGTCACCAGGACCGCGGCGGTTGGCAGGAACGTGGCGTTGGTCATCGGGAACGGCGGAGAAGATGCTGAACTTGGGGTTCATGTCCTTGTCCACGGTCATGATAGATGCAACGTTGCCACAGCGGTAGCAATAGTTGGGCGCAGACCAGACGGTGACGACCGAGTTCTGGGGAAAGTGGTACTAGACACGGATTAGTACTGTTATGACATCAGAACATTGGTAACATACCTTGTATCCCTCGTTAACCAGTTGATGAGCTCTGGCAATGAGCTTAAGACCGTTCACATGGTTAAACTCAGTGGCAACCTTGTCACCAAATAGCCAGCCCGCGCCACGAGGGCTGATAGCCCAAGTCTCGACATCTTCAGGATCTGACCAAACAAGATCGCAGAATGCACCCTCGTGAGGAATCTCCTGGGCACGAGCAACGACACGAATCTGGTCAATAGTGCGGATCTCGGGGCTAAGACCTCCGTGGACACACAGAAGCTCGCCGTCAACAATAGCGGCCAGCACAAGGAAGTCAAAGACGTGGCAGCAAGCCTTCCAAACCGAGGCGTTGCCGTACTTTTGCTGACACTCCTCGTAGAATCCGTAGACCTGGGTGATCTGACGAGACTCGTGATTACCACGGACGAGGACAATTCTATCAGGGTACCTGACAACTTCATTAGCACATGAAGACGTTCCAGTTTCGAGCAGCACATACTTGGCCTTGAGGCACATTAGCAGAGTAAAGGTCTCCAGACTGAAGTAGCCACGATCAACGAAATCGCCGAGGAAGACGAATCTGGTGTCGGCAGACTGAGAGGTCGCGCTGACCTCAACGGCGGAATCGGGCCGGGACATCGCGCTTGAGTCGGCAGCGGCAGCTTCATCGTCCTCTTCGTCATCAGCGGCAGGACTGCCGGCGTTCTTGACCTTCTTCTTCAGCTTGGGGTTAGTGATCTCGGTGGGCGGCTCAATATCTTCGGGACTGATGACCGTGGTAGCTGTCTTGGGTGCTTCAACTCGAGATTCGCCTGGCATTCCACCCGCAACGCGGAACAGCTCTAGCAGATCGTAGAACTGGCCATGGATATCGCCGCAGACCGTAACGGGTGTGCAGACAGGCTGAATGTTTGACTCTAGAGCCGGCAAGTCAGTGAAATGAATCAGCAGCTCGAGATCTAGCACCCTTACCCTCCATGAGAACCTCCTTAACCAACTCGCACAGCTCCTTCATCGCACGCTCAGGCAGATAATGGCACTGCTTGGCCTCCTCCAACCACTCATCCAATCCTGCATTCGGCGAGAGCTGGGCAGGGCCCGGACGGGGAATATGGCTTGCCATCTTGTTCAAAACTTGTTTGTAAACCTGGGACTGTGCCTCGATTTCGTGGGGGTTGAAATCTTCCGATATGTTGGGGTTGAACTCGTCGTTCAACTCGACCAAATCGTCTTCGAGGTCGTCGGACTCGTAGTAGCTGGGGTCGAATTCCTCGGGGAAATCTTCGATCTCAAGACTTCCACCACGAAGCCGTATGTCGGATGAGTCGTCTGTAGTGGGGTCGTTGTGCGGTCGAACAATGCGACCGATTTGTGCAGTGTGTATCTCTGGGTCTTCCGAATACTCGAAATCGTCGTCTTCTATAGGGGCCTCCTCAGGGATAGTTTCGGGTATAGGATGATTATCAATCGTTCTACGAAAGTCGGCAGGAGCTGCGGTTGGGGGAATTGATACCGAAGAAGACCGCGGACGGCGACGTGGGAGCGTGAGGGTAGAGTCTTGGTGGCTCGAAGCGACCGGATTTGATCGCAGAGGGTGTGGTGGATCGGCGGGCTGAGCGGGGAGAGGGGCCTGAAGAGCACTATTGGGTGCGACAACGGGCAGCGGGGTGTTGCCAGGGGGTAGCTCTGGAAGTGGTCGAGACCGCTGAGCAGCACGTCTTGGAGGACTGCTGTAGGATTCGAGAGTACGTCTATCTTCTATTTCGCGACGCGCGACTCTCTGGAGATGATCGTGGTAAGGGTTGTCAAAGCCTCCAACAACGATAGGTCGGCTGAAGTTGGTGGCACGCGGGCGTATCAGCTGCGAAGTGCGGTTGGCGGCAGGTAATGTGGGGATGTAGGCCGCCCTACCATGGACGGATATGCCTCGACCACGAGTTGAACCTGACGCAAGTGGTGGAAGGGAGCTGGTGGTGGGTGCCTGAGGAAGAGCAGACGGCGGCTGTGGCTCTAATCGGGGCCCAGGATTTCTGAAGGGAAGGTTGAAGGATACTTCGGCTGAGCGATTGCGTGCACGGCCAGCACCAGGAGGCCCGCGTCGTGGGACGTTTGTAAGCGGGTTGTTGAAGGCAAGATTCGCGCGGCGGATAGCAGCTTGAATTTGTTCTTCGGTCGGCGGCTGGTAACCAGACTGCGTCGCGTCTCTCTGGACACAAGTTTCCGCCGTTGTAGTTGGCGCACCCTGAGTGATGCTGTTTATATCGAAATTCGGAAAAGCCTCCGAGAAACAGTCAATATTCGGAGGCTCTTTGTCCTCGGTGGAGGACTCGGATTCCCTGACCATGGCGCCACAGTAGGGTGGGTGAACTTCGGCTAATTGATTCTCGGAAAATTGTGAAGCCGAGATGGAGGGGTAAGTGAAAAGGTTTTTCCGAAGTTTTGCCAAAAGCTCTGCTGGGGGGAAAATTTGATCCCCCACCGATATGGAGCTATCCAAAATGGGCTAGTCCATGCTTATCAGATAAGGCCCACATCAGGCGGTTTGTGGCTCTGTGCGCCATTCTTTCAGATCTGAGGGTCAATGTGAACTAGGCGCCCCGCGTCGCTACCCTGGCGTCACATATCGACAACATTCACAAGGCCACGGGTGTGCCCCTTGTGTCCAGGGCACGGAGGCAAACAACAAGCCACTTTGGCTTAGCATTTCTTCACTGTTCTACACATTGCTTGCATCAAGCCCCCGACACAACAAGTCAAAATTCAGAAAAAGTCGCGCACCATTTGTTGGAGTTGGGCGCCAACAGCACTACAAACACATTGACTCGGGTTGATTACAAGGCCTTGTAAATTGTGATGGCGACCTCAGGCTCCCACGGCGCATCGCGAAAGACCAACGGAGCTCCTTCGTCCTCTGGCCAGCAAGCCACCGCCGATGCGCCGAAGTCGAGTAAGAGCCGCGCTCCCGTTGAAGGCGACAAAGTGGTTATAAGGAGACTGCCCCCCGGCCTGACCGAGGAGGAGCTATGGAAGAACCTAGGAGATGAGTGGAAGGCCGGACAGGGTCTTGTCAGCTGGCACAATTTTGAGCCCGGCAAGATCTCACAAGAGTAGGTACTGGTCAGCTTGTGCACACTGAACTCGGGACTGACAGTGGGTTGGCACAGCCCTGCGAAGCCGTCGAGGCCGGCGAGAGTCTACCTCCATGTCTTGAAGCGCGAGAATTTGAACACGCTCTCCAGTCTGATCCTAGCGAAATCATGGGAGGACGCCAAGATGACGTCCAACAGTCCCTCTCTTGTCGGTCCCCCGGTTCTCGAATTTGCCTCTTACAATAAGATTCCAAGCGGCAAGAAACGCACCGATCCGAGACAAGGGACGATTGACCAAGATCCTGAGTTCATGGCCTTCCTCTTGTCTCTCACCAACCCCGACCAGGACAAGGAAGCGGAGAGTAACGAAAACAAGGATGCAGAAGAGCCAAAGCCGGAGACCAAGGTTACAACAACACCTTTGATCGAGTACCTGAAGGAAAAGAAGGCCAACAAGGCAAAGGAGGCAGCCGCCGCCAAGAGCGCGAAGCAGTCTCGGCAGGAATCTCAAAGCACCAAGGGCAAGGCATCGGGATCGACGGCGGAGGAGGTCAAGAGGGGTAAGAAGGATTCCAAGGCGGACAAGTCAGCGGATAAGCCCAAGGAGACGGTCAAGATCCTCACCAAGAAGGCAACCGCGGATGCCGCCAAAGCGGCGGAAACCGTTGCCAGAGAGACCACTCAAAGCTCGGCGGCCGCCCAGGAGGCACCCAAGAGTCGGCGAGCCGGCATCGCAGCCGCTGCACGTATCCTGCAGCGCGACCTCGGCATTAGCCCCGGAAGCGCTCATAGAAGGGCTCGTCTGGACGCTGCAAAGGCTGAGGCGGAAGCAAAAGCTGCGACCGCGAAAGAGCCAGCTCAGCCTGCGGTCGAGGCTCCAGCCGCCGCCGCACCTCCCGCTCCGCCGGCGCAATCATCGAACGCTTCGCAAACCTCAGAGCGCAATGCAGCGCCTTCCGCCACAAAATCGGGACGCTCTCGTAGAGGCGGAGGTGGCAAGAATGCTGCCGCCAATGAAGCAAAGGGCAAATCCAACGACGGTGGTGGTTCTTCCAACAACCCAGCCCCGACCAAGGCACCTGTTGTGCTCCTCAAGAAGAAGGATGAGGAAAAACACAAGGAGAAGGCCGAGAAGGCCGAGAGGGCCGATAAAGCTGAAAGAGAGACTTCTGGCTCTGCGCAGTCGGCCCCAGCCAAGTCCAATCCGCCCAGCGGTCCCAAGGGCTCAGGAAAGGGCAACAACTCGAAGAAAGGCGGTGGTAGCGGTGGTGGTGGAGGTGGTGGTGGCGGCGGCGGCGGTGCATCCGCGTCAGTCACGCCGGGCGTTACCCGCGGTTTTGTGAAGCACGCCAACCCATCCCAGGGCGTTACGGAAAACCTCCTCAAGCAAGCCATGGAGGCCTTCGGCACGGTCACGTTTGTCGAGATCGACAAGCGCAAGGGTTTCGCATACGTCGATTTCTCAAACCACGAAGGCCTCGTCAAGGCCGTCGCTGCGAGCCCCGTCACCGTCGCTCAAGGCACTGTCCAGGTTCTCGAGCGCAAGGAGAAGAAGCCGGCTGCCAGCAACGCCAACGCCAACTCCGGCGGCGGCGGCTCCTCCAACGCTCCCGCATCATCATCAAACTCCGGAGCGAACAAGGAGAAGGAGAAGGAAAAGGACAATAACAACAGCAGCAACGCCACGCCATCCGACAAGCCTGAAGAACAGCGCCACAAGCGCACCAGACGCGGTCGCGGCGGCGGCAAAGCGGCTGCCAACAAGGACGCGCAACAGCAGCAGCAGCAACAGTCCACCGAGAAAGCAGCGGGCGCAGGATGATTCAGTAGTCACCGGCAAAAAAAAAAAAAAAAAAAAAAAAAAACCTGACGGTTTTTCTTGATAACGGGCATTGCTTTGGTACCTCACATGGATATGCCAACCCCAACTACGTATGTGTATATTGCATGCGCACACAGCACATGCGCAACCTAGCGGCGTGGGCGCGGACAGGCGGGAGGTTACAAACGACCGCGCCCATGCCGTGCCGTACCGTACCTGCGTTTCTGCCCGGAATAAGGGGGGGGAAGGATCGGTTGGGCTGGGAGAAACCGAGCAGATGACCATTTGGGAAGGAGGGTGTAAGTGTGTGTGTGTGTGTGTGTTTGTGTTTGTGCAAAGCCCACGCGCACCATACGCGGTTCCAAACCAATCCTATCCATTCGCTCCCTCGCACCCCCCCGGCAGCCACCACTGTTTTATTTTACTTTTTTGAAACGTCGAACCGCTCGGAGACATTATACATAGCCTATAAATACTCCTTGTAAGGCGAGACGATCAGCGCGGATGAGATGGATGCGCGAGGACGGGAGCGGGGACGGTATGCGAGCAAGGCCCGATGCGTTTTCGTTGGGCTTCGGGAACGAAGGACAGGGGGGAGGGGCCTTATGTGATCATCATCAACATCATCATCATAATCATCAGCCTGGGCTATATGATTGGTGGTGGTGGTGGGACCAAGTCAAATTGGAATCAATCAAACACACTGAAGAATCAATCATCACTGGGTCTTAGAAAAAAAAACAACACCAGACAAGATTTAGTAGTCTTCTTTTATTTCAAACATCAAGTTTGACTGATAACTCGGGCTTCGGGGATACAATCTTCTAAAGGTATCCATCCGTCTTCCAGCTTACAACAAAAGAGCCCTGCCTTTTCCCTTTTCCCTCCCTTCCCAATGAAACATTCCATAGGTAGTCGTTCCTGATAGGCCCCGGTCACTTGCTACTTCGGCGAAAAATGAAAAAAAATGAACAAAAGAAAAAAAGAGAAAAGTATGAAAAGCCCAAGTCTATCTAAAGCCCGTCCGTAACTCCTATACAAATGATACAAACAACTTGGAGAACAAAACTCGATCGGGTTTCTTTACAGTTTTAAACAGACCCAGAGCCTACAATCATTTGACCAAAGCAGAAACACCGTAGATAATGAGGGCGATGAAGAGGCCCAAGAGGATGCCGTGGGTCTCCCGCGCCGCGCGGGTGGCTCTGACCTTGGCGTCCGTCAACCAGAACACCTCCCCTGCGGCCTTCCGTGCGGCTTTGAGCCCCGGGAGGCCGTCGAGAGAGGTGAGATTGGTCTCAAGCTGGTACTTGTGGATGGTGTTGTTGTCGGCGCGTTTCTTCCAGTAATTGTCAAGGGTAGGACGCTCTTCAAAGACAGATAACTCATCCGCAGGGGTCCCCTGACCCTCGGCCTTTTCTAGGGTGCCATCTTGAGAAGCTACGTCAGGGGCGTAGAGCTCCTTCCTGACCATGGGCACGCCAAATCCGCAGCTCGTCTGGACCTCCCATACCTCGCCGAGAACGACAGCTCTGGCGCCGTCGTAAGGGTTCTTGCCGGTCTCTCCCTGAGGGATAATGCGCTTCATCCACGAGTCAAACTCCGGATGGTCCCACTCCACGATCCTGCTTCTGCAGAAGAGGCGGAGGATGCGAGGTGCAGAACCAAAGGACATGAACATGATCGTCAGACGACCATTCTCGTAGCTGTGAGCGATGGTCTCACAGCCGGAACCGGTGCGGTCAATGTAACCGACCAGGTTGGGTGAGAGTACGGCAAAGTGGGCGGAGAGACCCTTCGGGGAGACGTTAATATGCGGGAGGTGGGTCGGAGCGGAGGCCGTAAAGAAGACGGGTTGGCGGGAGGCCCATTCCGCTAGGTCGGAGCTAAGGGATGGGTAAAGCTTCATCGTTGTTTTGGGTTATCGTCCTTTTTATTTTTTTTTCAAAAGTGTTTGTTTAGTTGTTCTCCTTGTTTGCAGCTGAAAGTTGATTGAACAATGTGAAATCGGATTGAACCAAGAATGTCTGTCGTCTCAAACGCATAAGGGTATTGGGTATCGCAATGTTGGTGAAATGAAACTTGTACAATGTCTGATACAAGAAAATGAAAAAGAAGAAGAAGAAAAAAATCGGAGTAGGCGTTCGGCTGAAATAGCCAACGGCAGACCCAAAATGGCGACTGAACTCGTGAGGATGAGTCAACAACCTATTGCGTCTCATCCCATGTTGAGGCCTTTTGGTGCGGGGTGTCACTCGCAGGGCGCTCCCGCGAGCGATGTTCTAGCGGGCCCCACACCGCTTATCGGCGGGATGCGTGCCAGGGATGTGAAGAATTTCGGTGTGACTGGGTGATGCAGGATATCATAACGTATTTTCTCGTTAAAACAAAAAATTGCCGGAATTGGTGCGTCGCACAGGGCTTGTTTTTATATATTTCTTTTTTCGTTTTTGCGCATCGTTTGGTATTTTTTTACCATCGCGACCTTCCGCGGGAGGAAGCGTCGGGATCCAATGGGTAAGCGTGGTAATTGCCGTCCTCGCCGAGGTATTGTTCGTCCTCGTCGAAGGGGCTCTCATATTCGGATCGAGGAAGATCCGAGTATACGGGCTCGGAGATGGTTGTAGTCGTGTAAACCTGGGGTCTTATCTGGTGCGAGTAGACAGAGTCGGAACGCTTCGTACGGGGGCGCTCCGCGACGGAGGCGTTGGATCGGGGAGCAGAGGGGCCGTAAGGCTCGACGTAGCTTTCGCGCTGGCTACGAGACGAGCTGCCACTGGAGGAGACACTTTTGTCATCCTTGTCCTTGTGATCGAAACGGCTCTTGAGGCGTTTCTTGTCTTCCTCACAGCGCTTCTCGTGCTCCTTATCTTCGGTCTTTCTTGAACTGCGAACCTTGCTCTCGCTACGACGCTTGCTCTCGCTACGGCGGGGCGGCTTTTCCTTTGGTGACGGGGGTTGAGTGGGTAAGGCACCCGACATTTTGGCTTCGCGCTCCTTGGGCTGGGAGCGGGCCTTGCGATCCTCACGGAGTTTCTCGTTCTCGTCTTTGAGCGTGCGCTTCTCGCGCATCAGTTTCTTGTTGGTGTCCTCGAGAACTTCGACACTGTTCTGCAAGGCACGAAGGCGGGCATTGAGTTCGCGGTATTCCTCCTTGAGTTTCGCATGCTCATCCTTCAAGGCGATATGGTCTTTGTGTAATTCGAAGTAGGCGGCCTGCGCAGAGCGATCAGGGCTTGCGCCGTAGCTATCTTGGTCAGAGCCAACGCCCGAATCGCTCGCCTGCTGACGGTGACCTCTGACTGACACGCTGGGTTCAAAAGAGACGTTCCGGCTGGAACGGTGTTCCTTCCTGTTGGCCGACATGGTCTTTGTGTGTGTGCTGGGCTTTGTAGTCGATCAGATGTGTTGAATCGAAGGACCAGGCCGAGGCAAATATAATATATATATGCCTAGTACCGCCGCAGCTGGTTCGAATAGCAAGTTACTAGATTCGTATATAGGTTGCGTCCTATTCGGGCAAGGTAGGGTTTTCAAAATTGTATGCAAATGTTTGTGGTGGTTGGCTCTCGGGTTAAGACAAGTCGAGCGTGTGAGTCAAGTATAAAAGGGCGAATGAGGTGGCAGTGGATTTTGGTTGTTTTTTTTTTTCCCAAGGTTGGCGGGACTTGGGCAGCAATACTAAGCGAACCTAAGATGGATGGAAAGGGGGAGGGAAACAGGAAATGCGACACCATGGACTTTTTATTTATTCAGACACAGCCCATTGCAGCCTTCATGAACTGATAATAAAAAAAAATCGCAAGCCGGAAGAAGAGAGGGTGTGTATTGCACTGCTGCTGCCTCCGGGGCTAAGTTGCGACGGGATGAGAGGGAGGAACAGGGGAAAAGGACTAGATGACAACGAAAAGGGTACCTGCGACATGCCTCGGTGGCCTAAAGAGATTGCAACATTCCTAAGGTATCTCATGGGTAGTGGCCATGTAGGGCTGTGTTCCCTCTTGGCGAATCCACGACGAGGAGTCATCGCTTGAGGACGGGACGGAGTACGGGAACAGGATGTACCCTGCCATTCTATTCCCCTCTGCCAACCCTGGACCGTGGGCCTCGAACCCATGTCCAAGAGTCCGCCGTCCGTCCTGCCTAGTTGAACCGCTGTGTGTGTGGTGTGCAAGCGGGTTGGGGGGTGACGAGACTGGACTGACGAAGAGGAGGATTGTTTCGAAAGAGGACCCAGAACTCTGCTTCTAGTGCCGTGGTCAAGGGTGTGTGTAGGCGAGAAAGCAAAGTGGAAAAAAGGCGATTCTCCTCTGTACATGGATTCGACACCCATTTTTGCTACCGACCCGTTCACAATGCCATGTATCTCAAGGTCCCATCCCACAGCGGGGGGTGTGGTGGGAGGGAGGGGAGGCTTTGCTTCAATAATTCTCGGTGGTACTCGATGCGCTCATTGGTGCAGTCGAGGCGGTGCAGGCAGTCTGGCAAGGCAGAAATGCAAATTTCTGGTTGCCTTGTTTTTCGCTGAATTTTTCAGTGATCGCCTTATTTCGCCAGCTTTCAGTGTGTGGGAGGAATGGTTCGCCAATGCGGGTTAGGTATCCGGCAGATTGGTTCGCCTAGCAGAGGCAGGCTGGCAACAGCAGCAGCAGCAGCAGCAAGCACTTGCAGGGCCTGAGGGGAGGGAGTTTGACGCCAATACATGGTGAGAGGTGAGGTAAGGTAAGTGGTAAGTGACTGATGACTGATTGAGGGGCGCGGGCAACGAATGCCGGAGAGCGACACTGACAATGATGGAGACAGCAACGACGTGAAGGGGTTCGCTTGGCGCTGCGCAGTCCTTTTCTTGCAGCTATTCTCTGTCCCCTCTGACCAGTTCTGCCTCCCCGTTTCCCTCCAGGATGATGATGTGCGTTGCGTTCGTATCGATGTTCCGGCCAATGGTTTCCCACTGATCGCAAGCAAGATCGACCTGCAGCCTAGGAAAATAAGGCCGTTGCAAAGAAACACCGCGAGGGGGAGCAGGTGATGGGCGAACGAGTCGCGTCGTGAGTCACGCCTTTGCCGGCATCTGGTGTTTTTTGATTTTTTTTGGAACCCGCGACTTGCTGATGACGGTGATCAAGGTCTCCAGTCATTCGACTTCATGCATTCGATGCAAGCCCGGTGATGGTCCATCCAACACGTAGTCTATGGTGTAGGTGCACTTGCTTTCATTTGGTCGATCGAAGATTCTCGGATCATCCAACAGAGCCAATTGCGAATTCATTATGAGATCGGTCAATTTCGACATGATTCTTCCGTGGCTTCCGTCCACTGAGAGGAGCTTCGCGGGCCGCATGGCGATGTTGAGCAGGACAGGCTGAGGTGTGGTGGGTGGTGGTGTGGATGAAAGTGGTTGATACCTATTGAGGACCGCTGGGGCAAAGATGTCACTGGGAGTTCCGCTGGGGAAAGCAGCTAAGCACCGACTAGACAACACTGCCCCGCAGGCTAAAGTAGCAGGCATCCCCCTGTCACGGCTATCTTGACAGGCCCTGTCAAGCCTGTCAAAGCCTGGATCGCCAAACACGGACCCAGGTTTCGCTTGGTCTCTGCGAGTGAATGCTTACATTTTAGTTTGTTTGCTCAAGTTCAGCTGACTAACGCGATGCTACAATACATTGAGACATAGGTATGAAGTGTTCTTGTTACACAACTCGTCAATGGTCCTTTTAGAAAGCTGCAGCTTTTGGCCTCGGGTTAGCTCCGTTGAAGTGACTGCCTGGCTGCAGACTCGTTCCACTAGTTGCCATTGTCACCTCCAGTTCTATAGCCAAGCTTATGATTAAAGACCATCCTCGCAGGCAGGGTCTGAATCGTAGCCCATGATGTGCGTCGTGGCTTGCGTAATTCTAGGGTCTTGAGACAAGAAGATAGGCACTTGGGCGCTCTATTCGCGTGCCTTGACCGACCCGTTTTATCATCTGGCTTGAATCCTTCAGACGCACCTAGACCTTGTTTTAATGGGATACTTACCATGAGAATCGTTCTTTTTGCATCGGTAACGGAAGCAATGAGGTACCAGTGTTAAAATTCACTGAGGTACAAAGCGGCGAACTACAACTTCTATTTTAGGCATAGGAATGAAGAAATGTTCCTCAAAATGTCCTCATCCCAGTTCGTCCCCGGCGTATCGTGCCATTCCGTGCCATTCCTCAACCCCGAGAGAAAGGCGCTGAACCCCGAAGGCATCCATCTCCACCAGGTCTAATGTCTTCTCGGGGACCTTGCCCTAGGACGATGTCTGGAACGATTGTGGCGAGCCAACACAAAGACCGTCGGACTTCTGACAGTCTGCAAGCGCCCTGTGGGTTGACTATATGCCACGGGATCATGCTTGCTTCTTCGAATTCACCACTGCCACGACGAATTGACAAAAAGCAAGAGAATAGTTCTACCTTGAAGTACAATCCGTTACATCGTCATCCTGTATTCAGCAACTTTCTTCTACATGAATGCCCTTATCACTCAGTATAGTTCTGGTACCTTTCTATAAATGTGATATGTACGGCCAGCTCGATGTAGACTGGTAAACAGTTACGTATCATTCAAGAGCCACTCTGCTGGTGCAACGTCCCTTGGTGGACATGAACCAAGGCATTAGCTCGTCTGTACATCCGCCCTTTGAGATGCGCAGAAACAGCATCTGAGCATCAAAACAAACGTCATGGCATTGAAGCAGTGCCACGTCGTCCTTCGTGGGCCAGTGCGAGTACGAACATAATGTGTCTCAGAAGCTGCGGGAAAGAGGAGAAGAAGTCAACAAAAAGTCATCACTCGACTGTATGAACAGCAAATAAGCCGAAGCTGCCTATGCCATCGAGGCAAGTTAAAGTTCCTCACTTCCACTCGTCTCGTCGCCTCGGATACGGAAGGAGAAACAAACTCAAACACAGAAGGTGCAGCTGCCATCTGATGTGTCCGGAGGAAGGAAGTGGTCTAGTACCTTCCTGCTACGTACTACTAGTACTAGTTGTAGGGTTGTGACTTTCTTCTGAGAAGAAGAATAACGCAGCAGCCAAGTGCCGCGCTAGTCCAGGGTGAGTTAACACCATGACCCCGCCAGGCGTTCTTGCTCACCGCGCCTATCACCGCGCGCCTGCCACCGTTGCCAACGATGCCCCTCCCAGTCTAGGCTTGCTCGCCCTCCCCATCTGCTCTCAACAGCACGTCTCAAAACCAGGTCGGCGACCTCCAGATTCAGTAATGATTCGCCTACCTATCATTGCTGTGGGTGTAAGACTTTAGCCGCATCGCCGCGGCCAAGAAGCCAGGAATGCTTTGAGCTGCATTCTCTCAGAGTGCTTATCGCTAGGTCACTGTGCTCTGCTACCCGGTGTGAATGCCTCGCAATCGGTTGCCGAACTTCGGGTTTGCGGCTGTGTGGGGAGGAGTTGTTGGTCCGGAGTGCGAGTAAACGAATCGCCTCTCACCTCGGTGTCAGCACTCTAGCCAAGGTGTACGGAAAAAGACGTTCTTGGCTATTTCATGCAAGAGTGACGAAACCCTTGACGAGCTGATTGAACAAAAGCATCCCCTGTTGTTTCTCTGGGTATCGCCGAAGCGCGGGATCCTTCGAGCGAGGGTTTACGAGGAGGCGTTATGCGCACTTGCGCGCACACCTTGGACTGCGTGTGAAGTGAGGTACGGACACGTCCACGTAGGGAAAGTATTCTCATGTCTCAGCGGATCGCGATGGAAAGTGTATGCAGCCAGGAATGGGTCGCCTACCACTAGTGGAAGGAAGCTGCAGCCTTGAGCTGCACACCATTACTCCGTAAAGAGGACCCAAAAACCCTGGCGGTCTGGGGTGGGTGTTAGCTTGGTGGGATATGGGATGATGTAAGCATCAGGTTTACATAATGCGCTGGCAGGCGGCTCCCAATAGGTTCACGGGTACCCGTGCGTGTAAAATTTCACGGGTACCCGTGGAAATGACTAAGCAACTCTGATATGGGGCTCATGAGCCAATGAGAGGCACGGCCTGCATCAAACTTATCCGGAAAGTTTACGACTTTACTACGATGCACTCTTCGGGCTTACTACCAGCGTATAACGCCTCCTGCTCTGCCTTATCTTGCTCGACTCGTTTCCAGACTTCGCTCATACCTCTCTCACTGTTTTTAAAGGGGTTTTGTCTATCTTCCGCAATAATCAGCTCATCGACCCGTTTGTATTCAGCCCTATCCCAGTCCAGATAAGCCATCATCTCCTCCTTCGTCCAATCCCTTGACCCGTGTGAGGTAGTACAGCGTCCTTTCATCTGCTTATAGTCAAGACACTACTCATAACACTTTTTGTCATAACGTAGCGGAAGTCCTATTGCCCTTCGATACTCCTGGTTTGTTTTAACACTCCCACGAGGTTAAGCACCGTACCAGGCGCTTCTTGCTGCATAGTACCGTCCGTATATCGCCTAAGGTAAATCGTATCCTAGCAGCGAAGGTGAATGCGAATGCGCAAATGGTGATAATACCCGAGGTAGTGATATACTGGTCTCTACTACTATAGCAATAGTCGGTTAAACCAACTCTAGTACGTCCTACACGGCGTTTAAAAGAGGTTCTTATATATCTATCGTCGTCCCGGTAAATATCGCAGTTAATACTATAGCTAGATCTAGAGTAGGTATCGGTTCAGGCAATAAATGCGTATATCGCAGAGGGCACGCCTTTGAAGTCATAGTATGGCCAACTGTATGACACCTACTGCATTTGCTTGGGGCCCGTGAAGCAACTTCAACAACTTCGAACCCGCTAGGCTCTCGTCTAGTGCTTGATTTGGGAATACTGGGATTCTCTAATTGCAACCTGGGCTCTATGCGCTAGCAAGGCTCCAGCAATAGCTGCGGCGCTCTATCACGCCTTAAATGCTAATGTGCATGGAAGTGCTCACGTAGAAGAACAAGATTCTGTTCTTGTAAAGTCTTCAATTTGTGTAAGCATGGGAGACTATATACTTGAGAAAACGTCCCTATACAGGCTGTGGAAGGATTTGTGTCTTTCTTCGTGAGCAGCTTCCGTTGCTTTTCTACTTTGCGCAAGGCTTCATACGATACCTAGCCAAGCACTGCGCCGTACATTGACCCTGAAAGCTTAACTGGTATCCGTATTTGCTATTTAACTTGATTTGACTTTAGATCCGATAGCTGATTTAGTAAAGCATGCTTTATTGCTTGCTAAGCTTCAAAAAGGTCTAATATAGATCGTTTCAAGTGCGATTTAAGTAGTGTATAAATACCCTCAACTCGCGAAGTAGCTATATTGCCAAAATAGGTATGCTAATCGACCTAGGCTTTCACTAGCTTCTCCTTGTATAGTTTCAACCAAACGGACGTAACATAGCCGACTTCTTCGAGATGGTCCAGAAGATAGCGTTCCTTAAACTGGGAAACGCGCTCCTCAAAAACCACCTCAGATAGCAAGCTGATGATCGAATGCCAGGAGTTATAGAATTCTTCCCAGCTCTAAGTTGAAGGTTTGAGCGCTGCAGGATTGTTGACTGTCTTTGGCTTAGTAGAGTCAAAAGCTGGATTACAATGTTAAAGAACGGCCTTGTTCGCATGCCAGAGGCAAAGCAAAGATGTAGAAGAAGGGAAGATGGTTGTAACAGCGTTAATGCATGCTAAGCAGCGATCTGTGAGGATAACCGCAGGTAGGCTAGCGTTATACTGACTATACAAGGATTTGACCCGCTCTAAAGCCTAGGTATAGTCATCTTCTGCCTCGCCGCTAAGAAATGCAAACGCAATACAGAACGACCGTTAGCAAGCATCGACGCCAACTATATCAAGAAGTGGCATACTATACTTATTAGTCTTATAGGTATAGTCTAGTAACATGATGTCTGGGTAGGCTTGGAGAAGGGCTAAGGAATCTGGATGAGCGAACAAGACAGCCGTAACTCGGCCATCTAGTACAAACTGCATGCGACTCCAGAAGCCTTCCTCATCAAGTTGATTGGCAAGTGCATAGATCGAGGTCTGCCCTTCACGAACATCTCGTTTAGCAGCTGCAATATGATTATAGATATCCTGCTGGGTTGCTATAGAGTCTGTCGTTTGTCGTATGTATGTTCTGATGTCCCTGGGTACGACGCCAGCGTTTGAAAGACCGGCCACCTTGGCTTGATCCTCCTCAGATAGCTTGCGATGCGTTGGGTGAGCAGACGGATGTTGGCTTGGGGGATGATTATAAGAAGAAAAACGCTTATCGGGCCGGTGTCTCAAGCTCTATGTGCTCTTATCCAAAGATTCCTTAGCAAGGACGGAAAATTGACAACCAGTCCCCCTACTAGTAGTCTGCCTTTGCCGCGCTATTGATGTGCTTGGCGGATGACACGACCTATCGTATGAATATATAATCGTCCGTCGTCCGCTTTTCTCCTTTGTTGATCTCCCGGTAGTGAATACGTATCCCTTTGTCGCCGCCTAGTTGTTGATTGACATAAAAAGCTCATCGCGAGATTTATGATCGCTTTCAGGGGGGAGACTGTCGTCTGGGAATGTGAGTATTGAGTCTTTGAGAGCTATTTCCATTTTTAAGAATATATGACTGAAGTGCTGGATGCAAATAACGCGTGAAAGGTGTATGACACAAGACGCGTTCAACGTGGGCAGGTTGCTTAGTCATTTCCACGGGTACCCGTGAAATTTTACACGCACGGGTACCCGTGAACCTATTGGGAGCCCTGGCAGGCAGGTAGCTTACGTAACGCACATCAAGTCACGCTTCGTATGCCCCTCCTCTACATAGCGAGTCAAGTTGGTAAGAAGGATTTAGGAGTGAGGGGTGAGGTGGGGGGTGTTGAGAGGTTGAAGTGTGGGAGCCTTGGGATGTGGCGTCATGGGAACGGGATGTCTTGAAGTCGAGCGAATCTGGTGACGAGACCCGGTGCCGCAGTCGAGTCACTGACTGAGGCCTTCCATTTTTGGCATTTATGGCATTTACATACACTATGATATTAACACCAGGCATCGCCATGCCTGCATCACGTGAGTCTCGCCCAGCGAACAACAATGCCTGGCAAGCGCATCCTCTAGGCAAGAAGCGGCTGTTCGTGCCTATCCCGCCTTCCGATCCGCCGCCACAGGCCGGCCCGTCGCAGCCCCATTAGCCCAATGATTTGGCGAGATTGCAACCGGTGCCACCACCATCCAAGGTGGCTATGGCTACGTCGACAAGACCTCACTCCATGCGAAAGCTATTGGCGCCATCGTCTCGCGGAGGATGGTTGACCACTATTAGAGCCACGAGAAAACAGAGTAGAACGGGCGTAACGAACCTAGACAGCTCTGCCCGCTCCTCGATATTCTTGCCAACCTTAATGAAGTCGCATTCGATCTGTAAAAGATGCCCGTGGCCGAGTCCAAAAAGAGGGACTAGATGGTGGCTGGATGTCATTCCGGCCGTCTCTGTGATGTTTACATCCTCCTCATCGCTTGCATGACCTGTTTCCGCCAGCCGGTCCGGGAGATTGTTGTAAAAGTCTCCAACTTCACCATCGGCAGCCGTCTCCTCGAACTTAAACGCACCAATAGTACCACCATGGGTGTCGAATTTCCGCGCCAAGAGCCACCGACCCAGGTATCAATACGGTTCTCCTTTGAATTGATACCGCAGGAATTTCCCGCAAGAGGCCTAAGCTCACTTACGACCTGCGTGTAGCAAGCGAAGAGAGCCGTCGGTTACAAGCTCCCTCTGATGCCACCAGAGCTTCGTCCAGACAACCCTCCGCACCTCCTTCTTGGGCAGCTTCCGAGGTGCCTGACGACTCTGAAAACCGTCCAGCTACTCCACACAGTCAGCCACGTGTCGACACTAACGGCTTTGCAATCTCTGCCCTGCTGGCTGCTGATACCAAGACGCTCAATATGCTGACGGCGACTCGTTCATGAGAGGAGCTTTAGTGCTTCACGCTTCACGTCGTGACTTTCGCCACGCGGAGTCGCCTCACTGGTCTCAAAATACTGTTCTACTGCTTTGCTGTCGACGCGCACAAAATGTTGGGTGCCATGTCAATTCATTAGGGAACCTCTCTGGCCATAAAATCTCAAAACGCTATGCATCAAAAATCTCCCACGCGTCCGCTTCACTTTCAGGTAGACGTTCCTCGCCATATACTTCCCACTTTTGCCAGCTGCTTGTGTTCAGCTTTCAAGGCAGCTGGGTTTTGGGCCTCAAACCAGAAAGCCCAAGTACTCTTGGTGTTCAATTCTGTGTTGGTCCTGCTTGATACAAGCCCGACATGCTGCACAACCTGTGGCGCGAGCGCGTAGCGCTGAAGACTGGCGGCATCCGCGTAGTCCTCAATCAACGAGTCCGTCTGCCCTGCCTTGGTTGAAAGCATGTCAAGAAGTCCGTCGATTTGATTCCGAGGAAACACGAGTGCTTGAGTGCAGCAACCCCACTTGTCCATTTTCACCACACCATGCAGAGGCATAAGGTTGTATTTCCCGACCATGAACACCAATGCGGTGAAGGCAGGTATCGTAACCAGGACGAGAACGGCGATAGTTGTGTTGTCCATAACCCTTCGGAGACGTGACAGCCGACGTAGGACGAGGAGTACCAGCAGTCCTGACACCATGGCCAGGCCGAACGTCAGGGTCATGTGCCCGTACCAGAAATCGACGTTTTCCTCCCAGCCGAGGGAGGTCTCGGTATAGAAGAGGCGAAGGTATAGCCAGGATGTTTGGTCGCGTAGATCGGCTAGGCCCTGAAATGTCTTGGAGAGCCATCCATCCGCGAAAATGATGTCGTCCTCAAAGATGGCAATGTAGGGAGCCTCGGACAGCAGGCATTGCTGGATCATATAGACATAGTCCCTGGTACGCAAAGTCAGCGCGAGCAATCAAGATGACAAACGGGCATACTAACCAGACGCCCTTTGCGTAATAATCGGCTTTGTCCTCCCATTCCTGCAACTGCTTCAGTTGTTCCTTCGATACGTTGTAACCTGACCACTGGTCCACCAAACCCAACCACTGCTTGTTCCAATCGGGGTGCTTTTCTGGCTGTGCGTGGGTGAAAAGCACACGGACATCGAGCGCACTTCTCTCTTCCGGCGTCAGCCCCGCGAGCATGGAGCCGATGGTATCATTGAGATACTGCCTATCCCTTTTGAACGTGGTGATTCCAGCGCAGAGGACCGGAGCCGGCGAGCGAGATCTGTCCAAAGCCGCCGGCGGATGGCGCTCAGCTTCTGTGATTAACGACCGCCCTTCATCCTGTCGTATCAGACTATAGCCCAGATTGTATACCGTCTTGTCCTGGAAGAAAGCCGTATGCGGATCGCGCCAAAGCGTTTGTCGGAATGCCACGAATGCCGTCAGCCAGAGCAAAGCGCTCCCAGCTAACGTAATAATTGGGGCGGAATATTTGTGAAGTATGCTGAGGGCGAAGCGCCCTGGAGGAGCATGTAGCTGCATGCCGGCTTCGTCAAACGGGACGTGACGAGAACAGAACTCGCCTTACCCGTCGTGGTGGTGGTGGCAGTGGTGGTGATGAGATTGGGAAACAAAATCTCAACGGTTCAATCTGTCGGCTGCCAGCCGCTAGAACGAAAAAAGGTGCTTGGCGATCCCTGGCCATTTCATTGGACATGGAGGCGACATCCCGAGGACCGTTTGCATGGTCTCACTCCAAAGCGGAAGGCGCAAAGCTGGGCGACCCGCCGCAATCAGAGCCACGCGAGAACGGTGACAAGGGCGAATCGATCTGGCCAGCCGCACAACCGGACGCCCCCCCTTGCTTTGCATCGCATTCCATCGCATTGCCGTCCCCATTGCAAACACCTCCGCTCACCTTTGGCGGGGCCTTCACCACACGACTTTCACTACAGCGCCGTTCTGAGCATCTCCGCCGACTTTCTGCCGCCATCGCCTGCGCTGCCCGCAATGTAGCACGGTTTGCCCGACAAACTGATAGTGGCCCCCATGTCCATTTGATATTCGGTGGGCCTGTTAGTCTATGCTTACTTGAGGTGACAATGGGGCATTGTTGGGCTGATAATGGGTCTTCCCTAGATTTCCAGCCAATAGAAATAGACGTCTGTCTAGTTTGATTAGACTATTAAATACGTTTCTCCCCATTCCTTACCTAATGTCTTTAGCACTACGTTAAAGTTTTATTTAATTGTTATTCGCTAGGTATGTAGTAGTTTATTTTAACTAATCTCCCTTCATAGTTTTAAAGATTGAATTAAATCTACAACTTTAAGTGACATTATCACCTCCATCGCGGCCGCCAGTGTGATGGTGTCCGTGGAGCCCGGACCCTGCCCGGCTCGATCCGGTCTGGATTGACACGGACAAAAAACGTTGCATATGCTATAGTAGTAATAGTGGACGGACTGGTGGGAACGTGGCTGACATATACGTCCCTCGGGAGGTGCCCAAGTACGGCGTCGCATCGCCCATAAAAAGCTAGCGTCTTGGTAGCCTTTCATCAAGCATTTTCCTTCCTACGATAACTTAATTTTTTCCAGGGTCCGCATTCGATTTTCCCCACCGCCATTGAATTTACTGAGCAGTTCTCTCTCGGCGCGCTTGTACTATTCCGGCGAATGGAGAGAAGCCCCTCGTGGCGGTTGAGGTGCTTCTGCAAAGAGTTCCCGCCAAGAGGCTGCCTTCCTGGATCGATGGCTTATTTAATGTCGGAACATTATTCATCATAACGGCAGCATTGGTTTTATGGAGATATTCAATCAGAGGACGGATGTTCGATTCCAATAATTGCGATAAAAAAAACAAAGATGAAAATGAGAGATGCGTCTAACCAAATCCTAAACCAAGACAATGAATGATGTGAAAGAGAAACCACCTAATCTTACAGCCCTTCAATCTGAAGACATCGGCGGACAATTCATCCAAAGCATTCTGCGTGGAAGCATTAAATTCATGGAAGAAAGAAGAAAAAATTGCCCCGTGACAAATGAAAAGCGTCGTGAATGAAGGTATGACTGCGATAGCCCCTCATCGGCTTGATCCCTGCCTGCATGGTAGGTATCCAATGAAGCATCGCCAGTCGAATAGTCTGTTGAAACGAAAACCAATCATGATGAATTGCTGCAATCTCCAATGAAAACCTGCATTTCACCCCGGACGTTAGACTTCATATCTCGAACAGCAACTCAGGGGGGCCACTTACCACTCGGCTTTCTGAGTCGCGGATCCAGCAAGCTGACCCTTCCTGCCAAGGAAAGAAAACGTTCATTTCGTCCGCAGCGTGATATCAATGTCCCCCCGCGTGTGCAACCCCCTTCATAAGCCTGCGAAATTCAAACAGAACATATGCCCGTCCCCATCCGCCACCACGCTCAGTTGCACCTAATCAGACCATGGCGGCGCAGAATCCGCTCATAGACGCTGAGCCTCTCGTCCTGCTCCCGGATAATGCACCGCTGGTCCTCGATATCCCGTCTCAGACGCTTGTTGTGGTCGTCGACGACGTCAAACTTGCGCTCCAGAGTGATGATGATGCGTCTCAGGTCCTCCGCGCGGTCTGGCCCACAGTGCCGTGAGAGCTCCTTGACGCGGATAATTAGAGCATCGCGCTCTCTCTCAATCCTGTGCAGCTTGTGCCGCAGCCTCTCGACCTCGCGCTGGTATTTGCCTGCGTTGCCGCCTGCATTCTCGATCGAGCAGCGCAGCGCTGCGTTCTCCTCCTTGAGGGCCTTGTTCTGCGCGTGAATGACGGGCACGATACCCGCGAGCCTTCGGGCCTCGGTCTCGGCGGCCTGGAAGTCGCACTTTAGTTGGTTATTCTCGCGGGCTAGGCACTCGTTGTCCTCGCGGAGCTTGCGCTCTCGCTCCACCAGGTCGTTCCATTCGTCCTTGCCAATATGGCAGCAGTCGTCGCGGCAGCAGCGGTCGTAGTGGTGGCGGCCATGGCGATGGTGAGAGCGTGTGCGCTTCAGGTGGACATATTGGTGCCGAGGGTCCGACGACGCGTCGAAGTAGAAGCGTCGAGAAGTCATTTGAATGGCTCCTTATAGATAGTAGGGTAAGTTGGCTGTTTTTAGACTCGTTTTTCTCCTTGGGTGTTGGGAAAAAGGACCGCAGGAGTTTGCGATCTGACTGTTAGTTGTTGTTCTTGTTGTAAGATCTGTAGGTGAGATCAAAAGTCGTAACTGTATCGCTGGAGATGATCGTGTAGGTATGATTCAATAGTAGTCTTGAAGGAAAGACGAAAATGGGAGAAGATCAGATCGGTAACCTCCAAGGAAGGGAGAGATCAAGACTCTGATATGGGTAGGCACGAGTAAAGACAGTAGGCCACAAGGGCTAGAATGACGTGCAGGTGACTTGAGCAGAAGACTTGAGGTCTGAAGTGAGTGAAGAATGGTGAGACGTCCGCATGGCAGAAACGGGAGCGGCCATGTCGATTTAAAGACTTGTCTAAGGCAGGGCCCTGGCATAGGACTGAACCACCACACTGGGAAAGCCCTAGGGAAAGCCATCACGTCGGACTCGGAGCAAACGGCACCAAACAGGCGTCGAGTCATAGAAATGTGCTACTGGAAAAGAGGCAGAGAGCACGAGGCACAAGCGCGTGGGCCGGGGTGGGATGGGCGCTGGTTCGGTGGCCGGCGCGCAAGCAGGTGTGTGTGGAGGTGGGATTCGAACCCAGGCGTTGTGGCTTGATGGGAAGATAACTAGGTAGAGAAGACACTATCTCCTCTCTCTAGATTCTGCCCTTGCAGAAAGCCCGCCGACGGTAAAATGGCAGGTGTCGGGTGCCATGTCACTGCTCCCAAGGTAGTGTGAGATGAACGAGGACTAAGAACGTGGGTGTGGTGGTCATGTACACATCCTCACAAATTGTGTGTGGTAAGACTTATCACGTCGTTTGGCTGCGAGCGCATGAGGGGACTGTCTCATGCGTGGAGGGGTCATTCGGGACCAGCTCCGAGGCTGAGTGACGACTCGCTGGTCGCCCATCCCGGTCGGTCCCTGGGAGAGGGAAGGGTAAAAGAAGAGGCAGGGACCGCACTAACGCTTGGAAACGGAAAAACCTAGAAAACGGGGGAACCGAAACTTTTTTGGCTCGTTTCGTTTACTGCAGCCCTAAATTAGAGTGCATAATCATTCCTTGGGGTTGAGCATCGTCATATTCGACGAGTTGAGATGACAGACGAAGTGGATAGGTGGAGTTGGAGTTGGAGATGGGAGTTGGAGAATTTGAGGGTCCGATAACGATAAGGAATGGGCGATGATCAGTCAATCAAGCGAGCGCCTGAGGAAGCACGGTTCGGCCCCTGTCAATCATCGCGGCTGCGCTTGGGCTGCCTCCCCACCAAAGATGTCAATCAGAAGCCAGGGGTACGTACCTTTCCTTCGCCCTTCCTTCCCTTCCCGACTTACAACGGCTTCCTTTTTGCACCTCCGTCATCCCTTGGGTTGACAACATAGCCACGCTAAGGCCACCACGAACTAGGGCTTGGCACGACGTTCAAGTAGTCCGAAGAAAAATTTTCGCACTCATGCCCTCCAAAAGCTAGCCAGTCGTACTTTTACTTCCTCATCCTGGAACTTTTCGACCCGTCTCTTTTCTTAGCTAGGATCCCCCTGCAACTTGCGCCCTTACACTTGAGCCCAGGGCAGTCGTCATCACCAATGTCGCCTTTTCGAAAGGAGCCGGATACAACTATCAACATGCTTAATGCACATTTCCGTTTAGCTACTTGATGGCGCTCGTCGAAACTATGGTTGCTGCCTAACAAGAGTCCGCATGATCTGGGTTGCCTTATCCTGGTGGCAAACTTGAACTGGCATGAGATGGCATCTCAAACCGCCGCCCACTTAGTACGTCGACCAAATGGTGTAGTGAGGGCCACACCATCGCTTTCTACTCGGCCACGTGCTTCTTGCTTCTACCCCTACATTAGTGCGCCGGTATGCAAGTCAACTTTGCTGGTTCCCAGGGGTAGGAGGGGATGGGTTGCGTCATTGTGCTATGTGGAGTTCGCGATACCAAGTATGCGGTCCATTCCTCATAGCTCGTGGTTCGTCGTACCTTGAGCTGAGGCCAGTTGGCGACTTACTCCAAGGGAAGAAAACTCAAGCCCACGTTCAGGCCGGCTTCTCCGTCTCGATGGCGGCGCCACCATGCTCACCGCTACTTCAACCAACTAAGAAAGGACGTCGACTTCTTTTCTTGGCGACCAAACACGACAACAATGCTCTCTTTTCCTTGCCAATGTTTTGTCGTGCCCCTCTCGCCATCTGAGCAATTCAAAGCCGGTACCTTCCGAGGCGAATGAAGGGAGGCTGAACTAACAAGCAACTTGGGCGTCCCGCTTGAGATTGTCCCAAGACAACGATATTCCTTGGCTGGATTTCCAAAGGTCGGTATGAGCTCAATGTTCAGGATTGAGCTCAGGGCAAGACCCAACTGGTAGCACGCAGTACATTATCACTCACTCCTAGTGGCAACAATGATTAACCGATGGCTCCTCCTTTAACATCGTTAGAGGGAAACCGTTCACATTTTGTCTGCTAATATCATTCATAGGTGCTCCGAGGAAGCTGGAGACTGTTTGGACATGATTCCAGCGCGGCACCCGCCACTCAAAATCCAGAGATTCCACCTTGGGAAGCGAGATTTCATAACTTTGAACAGATCCACCTCACTTTGCGCTTTCTCAAGTTCCTCCTCAAAGGCCTTGATGTACTTCCTCGTACTGTTCAACATAGACTGTGCAATGGCCTCATTAGGTTCCACCGTAGGCTTGAATGTGTGTCCGGGAACAACAACCCTGGGTTTCAAAGCCTCAATCTGCGACAGAGCCTCTACCCATTTGTCTCTTTTTTCCTGCGTGCTCGCCTCGCCGAGCCACTGGTGACAGTCCCCGTTGTAGACAATGTCGCCGGCGACAACAAGTCCCAGGTCCGGAACGTGAATGAAAGAGCCGGCATGCGTGTCGCCATGTGGCACATCATGGAGCTTGACAAGATGTCCGTCCAGGATTATCTCGTTTGACGCGGGCAGGGCCACAAAATCAGTTTTCGTCTCAGGTACGCCAGTGCCTGCTTCACTGGGAGGAAAGGTAGCCTCCCAGAGTGCTTTGTAGGTCTCGGGGGAATACTGATGTGCTATCCCCTCAACAACACTCTCGGTGCTGGTAGGCGTGATACTTGGGAATGCGGCCTTCAAAATTGGGATGCCGAGGAAGTGGTCTCCATGGGCGTGCGATGCGATAAAGTACTTCAAAGTACACCCGGGCGGTAGAGTTGATTTGAGCCAAGATGCTAATTCATTTGTCGCGTTGACGCTCGCAGGGCAATCCACAAGAATTGCAGTGTTCGGGGTATAAATGAGTGTACAGCAGAGCGGTGACCAAAGCCCAGAGTCCTCAGATGACGGATCTGGTGAGACTGCTGCAGTCGGAATAGGATGGCACAAATAAACTGCCGTCTGAATAGCCATTTTTTTTTATTGTTCTAATGAATAAGGTAGTTCTGAGAAAGGAACATGGGAATTCAATTGAAAATGATCTTAAAAATTTCTGTCGTCGGGGTATACTAATACCATTGGGATCTTGTGCGCCGTAGTTGCGATTGGATGGCTCAGTACAAAGTATGAAGTCTATTAGTACCACAAACAGTCTTCAAGATTACTGAACAATAGATGCTGCAAGTAAGCTTTCGGGTACCACGAACATGCTACCGATTTGTCAGATATTCAACTGCAGGAAATCAATAGTATTGAGTGGTTCAAACGGCATGTTGACTGAGTAAGCAAGTGACATCTGGGCTGTATCATGTTCACTAATCGCGAAAACACCACGATCACTAATGCTGCTGACAACTTCCACGATGCTCTCAACGACATATACTTCGTTTCAAATATTCAATATAAATAGATAATGATAGCCTCTACCATAGATGTAATATTTCACACAAGAAAGTACCCTAACAACACTGTAATCCCCTAAAACACTTCCTCACCACAAAGAGTCCAATATGAGCTCGTCAAAAATCACCAATGTGTTAGTCGTCGGAGCCAATGGCAATGTCGGCAAATCAGCAATCAAAGCCCTGCTAGATGAGAAATTCAACGTCTCCGGATTGACCCGAGATTCCTCCACCGCAGTTCTACCAGAAGGCGTCAAACACCTCAAGACAGATTTCTCCGAAGAATCTCTGGTCGAAGCCTTCACCAACCAAGACGCCGTCATCAGCACAATCTCCGGTATCCAACCAGGCGGCTCCTTGACCATTCAAAACGTGCTCGTAGACGTAGCCATCAAGGCGGGCGTCAAGATCTTCGTGCCCTCCGAATACGGAATTGACACCTCGGACCCTTCGGCGTCAAAATTCATCCCGTTCCTCTCCGACAAGATCGAGACCCTCAACTACCTGAAGGAACGCGAGGACAAAATCTCCTGGACGGCACTGGTAACCGGCGCCATGTTCGACTGGGGCCTTAACATCCCTGGTTTCGGAGGCTGGAACGTGGCGGCGCGGACTGTGACCATCTTCGACGGCGGCGACACGCCCTATGAGGCGACGAACCTTGATCAGGTCGGCAGGGCTATCGCAAAGAGCTTGAAGAAGCCGGGGCTCACAAGGAACCAATATGTCTATGCCAACAGTTTCACGATTACCCAGAATGAGACCCTGAAGGCTCTTGAGAAGGCCACGGGTGATAAGTTTGCCGTGTCTCAAGGTACTGTTGATGAGCTGTGGCAGGAGGGCGCCTCGCAGGTTGAGAATGGTCAGCCCCTTGGTACGTTGGCCATGGTCGCCGGTGCGACTTATGGTAAAGGTGGATTGTCGCGTTTTTCGGTGACCAAAGGGTTATGGAATGAGAGGCTTGGCCTGCCTCAAGAGAATCTGGAGGAGTTCATCCGTGAATATGTAGCGGGAAAGAAATGAGTGACTGAAGATGTTAATATAATTTACTTGGAGTTTCTTGAATTATTATGCTACCTGTTACAAATCTGTTAGTATTGTTGCGATTTGGTATGTCCATGCTATTCAATGCCACCTCGACACTCGCTAGCTATGAAGCCGTTCTTAACAGTCTAGGCATCTAATGGCTTGAATATGCCATAGCAATACGCCAGTCAACTGTCCACTCTCACAGATTGAGTCAAAACACTCCTTAAGACAGCGCTATCAAACTCAGTTGTCGCTATAGTATAGAAGCCAACTATTTTGTGATTCGTGAGATCTGCATGCAGGGAGACTGTCAGCCTAACAACAAAGACTGTCCTCAGCAAAATGTATTTGGTTTTGATGTGTCAACTTTTCGACATCGAAGCTACATCACAGCGTTTTCCCCCAACTTGCGCCAAGTATTTATACGCATTGAGAACACCATGAAATGGGCGGAATAGGCTTTGTATAACAGCAATATAAGACAAAGATCACAGATATCGTACAAAAGATTTATATTCTCTCCAGCTGCGGCATGACTAAAGAAACATGAACATCAAGCTATGCAATAGGCTTTCCAAAACAGACACTATCAAAGTAAGGAGCAAGGGGAGAATGAGGATGTGTCACAGGCTTCTCAGTGTTTTATTATCCATGTCCTCTACTTCATGTCTCAACCCTATCCCTTTTATGCCCTGCTTCAACAGGTTCTGCCTACAGCCAATCTACAACACTGAGAGTCAAGACCAGGCCAAAGCACCCACATCAATTGCCATGGGATTCAATGACATCGTTGTTGGTTCGCATATCTCAGCATGAGATGCTTGAAATCGCGGCGTCTCGAAATAAGATGCTGGAGAGGTTGTTGACAAAGTAAGGGAGGGATTGATATGGTTAGAATTCCGCGTGACTGAATCAGTCGTCGCGGGCGAGTCTGTGTTTTTCCAGTTGTTCGTTTGGATATGAACTTGTGTAAGTGGCGTGGTGTACTCATCATCACCTTCGACAGATACTGTATCAGACTCGAGGACGTTGTTTTTTATGTCTTCTGGATCGTAGGAGACTAAAAGAGTGTTGTCTAGTCTCCTAGGGTCCATACATATCTGCCTACATTCGCGTGGGTACTGGCGAAAATTTGGGTTTTGCCAACAAAGATCGTCAGCAAAGATCCCTTCTGGAGGCAGACGGTCCTCTTCGGCGTCTGAAGAGCTGTTCTGTGGTTGGTTGATGTGACTTCCATGAAAAAGTCCAGGCAATAAGCAGGCATCTTCGTCGTTTGTGCGTCCGAGCCAACGATGACTGGTTAAATGACGACCATGATAGTTGAAATGTATGTGGAAACCGCGGGATCAAGATCCCGCGAGTTTCTACGTACAGAATAATATGTTGACTTGTTCTGAAACGAAAGCAAATTTTAGCAATACGAAGATAAACATTCATGTAGTCGCATTAGTGGCTTACTCTAAGTGAAGCAGGTAACCCAAAAATGTGTGTAGTATGAACTTGGACTGCTTGCTAGCAAAGATGGGACCTAGGAGAGCCGCTAAGCCCTACCAGGTCCTGACGAGTTTCAAAGGTCATTGATGCTGAGTTGTAAGTGCTAACTCGCTTCTCAGGGTGAAGGCTCAGTACCCTTTATACTGGTTTCGAGCCCAAGTGAGTCTGACAGCCTGATTGTCACCAAACGGGCCGTAAACCGCATTCCCACAAGCCTATTTGCTTGGCCTCAATTGTCCGCCTCATTATCGAGCACAGCTGCGATCCCTTGCATGTTCTTGTCAGATGTGGCAGCCAGTTATTGAATCGGGATGTTTCTTGCATATTGGAAGATGAGGCCAATCCAATCACAAGCGGCAGTGGACGTGGCGAGCAGGGCGCATGCATGTAGATCCGGCCAGGCTCCTGTTGCTTGCTATGCTGAATGATAAAAGAGTACTAGCATTTGCATCGTAAGGCAACTTTCCAAGAATTACAGAGTCTGGAAATGTGGTGCGCAATGAGGCAACCAGATGCCAGAAAAGTAACCGACATGTTCTTACATCAAACACGGCCGCATTCGAAACTAGCGCTGCTGTCAATGGCCATCAATAAAAATAAGAGCCGGTATTCATTTATCCTGATCAAAGTCATAGCTATTCCCGAATCCCCTGTTCAGATACGACCCCAAAGCCTCCGCTTTCCTCATCCAATCCACCGGGATCTCCAATTGCGACTCCAATCCCGCAAGGAGAGGCTTCATGTCCTCCCCAAACTGGAGCCTCATTGGGTTCCGATACCAAGGCGCAAAATGAATCATTGCAAGCATGACCCTCACATCTGAACTCATGTTCGGCATTCCAGCGTGCCACAACCTCAAGTCGCGGAGTATGATGCTCCCTTTCTTCACCTCAGGCTGCGCGGGGCCCCTCACGTCGCGCCTCTGAGCGAGCAGGTCCTCTCTGATGCGCCCACTAGCCCGCTCGCCATGCTTACCTTCCTGCGCCGAGACGTCTGCGGCGTGCGTGCCGAGCCAGACCTCCGTGGACCCATTCTCGGGCGTCATGGCTACAAGCGGGACGTTGACTACAAGTGCGAAGGGGTGCGACGGATGCGCGAAATCGGCGTCCGAGTGCACTGGTTGTCTCTGGGGCGAGGAGCCGGGGAGAGGAGGCATGGCTGAGTTGGCGGAGCAAAAGGTCCATTTTGGACGGGGACCAAGGACGTTGGAGGTGATTTGGGTCGCGATGGGGTCTGTTGTCTTGTCAGTTTACATGCACTTGAGTTGATGAGTGAGACCATACTGGCGAATATAGACTTGTAAAAGTAATCGGCCACCGGCGGAGGATCTTGTTGGAGGTTGCCTTGGTTGTAGTTGAACGGCCCTTTGTCGCCAAGCGATTGGAGATATCGCGCGTCTTTCACCATCTTTTCGTTCAGGGCATCAAGCTCGTCGTGAGGTACAACATTCTCAACAACGACAAGACCATCGGAGTGTAATTGTCGAACAGCGATCTCAAGGTTTCGTGGCGCTAGAAGGTTGTTGCGTACTTCGGCATCTGAGGGGCGGATGACAACAGGGTGGGTTGGCGGAGGTTGTCGTGTAAGTGACGCCAGGGTCCTCCGGCCTGTGAAGGAGAAAGCTGGCCGCTGGCGGAGCAGGGAACATGCTGTTTGTGAGAGCGTCTTCATTGTAATGAATCTGTTGAGTAGAAGAGGGCTTAGCGACACATCCCAAGACGCAACAGAGTGACACTCGTGCATATATACTTGGAGAGCGAGGTTGCGGTTACCCCAATCCCGAGCTCGGGTTTGGCCCCCAAGACCCGCCAAACCCGAGCTCGGGATATGTTTCCCTGCCTGGTCAATGGCTGACCCCAGACTGCAACTAAACTTCCCCAGACCTCCACAGATGGCTTACTATATCGTTTATAATTCGTTGATGCTTTAGGATGTTGCAGGGATTGATCCACTCCATTCAACTTGTAAGTCTGAAATGAGTCGCTGGACTGGCCACCCGATCGACCGCTTAGACCCCATGAGACGGCGTATTAGCTCTCGCTGGGAGGCTTCCCCACGGATGAATTTTGCGCCTGCTCTTATCGTTAGTGTTGATCAACTCAGAATTCTTCCACAAAGTTTACAAAATGCGATCGGGCCAAAAGAATTGACGAGAACCGAAGGCGTGTTGGCGGTAAATGCTATGCCGCAGACATCGTGGGCAACGCTTTCCAGGATATCTTCCCTCGTGTTGCCTGTCCCATGCGAGTCTCCCAACAAAGCCTTCAAGTCTAAAAGTTTCTCTGGTGTTGCCTGGGTGCAGATTATGGTTACGCAAACGAGTTGGTAGTGTAATGCCGCTGCTGAAAAACACTTAGCCTGGCATCTTCTGGCGCATCAACAACAGACCTACCATGACAGCCTTTGAGCATCCATATAGAAGGCAGGGTAAGGCCTAGTCCACGTTCTTCTCTTGAAAAAGGTCTGAACCGACTTGGCAGGCTCAAGGACCAGGTGCGAAGCATGTCGAAGAGGAGAGCCCAGTTCTGTTCGGTGATGGTGCTTGCAAAGCATGAGTTGATGATACGGCCGAGAATAAGCGACACTGTATTCAAATAACTGTGGTCGTTGTGATGATGATTCGGCAGGGGCATTTGATCCAAGTCTATTTTAAGAGGACATCGCTGGAATAGGCTGAAAGTAATGTCTTCGCGAAGATAATTCCAGAATCCCGCGGTTCTCATTCCAGATCCTAGGTAGTCTACGAGGGGGCTCCGGTAGGCTGCTAATGAATAGGCACCTTGAAGATGTCTATTAGGATCGACCTCTTCTATTTAACAGTCAGCTTCAGCCTCAACCTCAAAAATTCACAGGCATACCGCTGAGAATCTCATAAGAACGCAGAAGACACACAGAGGCGAGCGCTAACCCCTGGGTGTTTGCTTCATCATCCTCATCGTCTTTAAGCTCAATCAAAAGTCGTACGCAATGACCGTGGTAGAACTCAGCTGCTGCTCTGGCTGAAGGGGCAGTTGTCTGGCTGATGTGTACCGCAGAAAGGGCCAGAATGGCAGCGAAAGGTAGAGGGTTCTCTAATGCTGTTTCAGGAAGGTTCGTACCAAATAGCTGTAAGCTATCGCTGAGGTCGTACCACGGCGCGAGGTTGGTAATGTAGTGATAGAAGTAACGTGCCACCGAAGGGTTTTGCAGAGCACTGCGAGGGTCCTTTGGTGAAGGAAACGGCCCTGGAATTGCAGTTTCTATTACTCGATTAGTTGGGGTTTACACCAATAACTCACGACTCTTACTCGTACGCCCCGTCCCAGCTTCGTCTTCCTGGCTCCTGTTGTGGAACTGTGCGGGAGTCGGACTACGGTCGCAGTAGCGATTTGCCTTGGAACACCTTTGACAAATTGGAATCGCCTCATCGCCTGTCTTGTGTCAAATGAAAGTCCCACTTGGCCATGAACCTTACATTTGATTTTGCGGACACGGCAAGTGTTGCTACATTTACCAACTCAAGATATTAGAATGCTCGCAAACGGACGAGATGGCGCGGCCTGAACTACGTACCACGCTGTCCATTGTCAGTCTTCATCAACCACTTATAAGCTATTATGTTAAAACATGACCGAATGTCTTACCTGCTTGATTAAAAATACGAGGCATTATGGCCGTGTAGTGGCGATCAATTGGACACCAAAGTTCCGACAGTGTGGGGAATAGAACTTTGGTGATGACCGTGCCGCAGGCTCGTGAGCGAACTACTGGCTCGCGGGTGAAGTTAGTGGATGAGAAAGGTCAGATAATCTGAAAGGGGACATTTTCTGCCACCGGATGTCGGCGCTAAGAACCCGACCATGGGGAACCTTCGGCTGCCGCGCCCCGCCGCATCGGAGCAGCGGGGCCATGGCCTCAGATCGCCCGGGAAGTCTGGCCGGATTGCTTGCAGTCGTGCTTCCTCAGCACTAAGATCGCCTAGCCTCAAAATGAGCAGGATACGGTCTCGTGTCAGCCTTATATATTGCATTATAGCCCCTCGATCGCCCGACAACATACGAATGCGTGGTAGATATATTTACAGAATGGCTTGAAGGATCCGAGGTGAGGGCAACAACAAAGAACCAATTGAACCAGGGAAAACCCGTTATATTGTAAGGCAAAAATTCACAGGTTTTCTATTTAAGTTGAACAGAAATCCACGAAATATCGTTAAGGAGTTTTATCATCACGATATTCCTCAATCAAGACCCTTAAACTTTTCAACCGGCATCACCTTCAAAATGCTTATGCAAATTTTCATCAAGACCATCATCTGCGTCACAGCAGCAACGGCCACCAGTCTCCCTATTAAATCCAGAGCAATCACCAGCCCCTTCCGCCTTAGAGCCAACGTGAAAGGCTTCGACCTCACGCCCTCCCTCCAGGGCCAAGAGCTCTCTTACACCCCCAACGCCGACTGCATTGCGGATATCACCTTTGCTCCAGCAGGTCAGGGATCTTTGTTTTATACGACGGGAGACACCGTCAAGGTGTTTCACTTTTCCGACGACTCTTCGCCATCGGCCGGGCTGATCGTTACACCTGGAGGAACCGCGACGGTGCCGAGCCTGAATATCGTACAGCTGCAGTGCCAAGCGGGTACCACTGGCGTCACGGTTACCACGGAGGGACTGCAGTATCAAGGCGGCGCATGGATGGCGTGCTTTAGGGACGGCGCCATTGTATTGAGCTTCAAGCAGGCTGGTCAGAGAACGCTTCTCGGCTGTGCAGACGTCGAGGTCCTTCCTATCTGAGTTGACATTCAGATCGACATCAATAGCCCTCCAAGGACACTTTCCGGGGTTTACCAGAACTGCGATTAGCTCAAAAATATGCCTACATTGATAGAGACAAGGAAGCCAGGAAGATAGAAATGACAGTGTGATTTATTTAGAAGCACATTCGCCTCTTTCCGCATAACTTTTGACGTGTTTGTAACAGGTCGAACTTGGCTGATTTCCATGTTCCCTTTTTTCCCTTTTCCGGACCGCTGGTCTTCGGTTTTCCACTCTCAAACAACTCATCGCGTGCATAGATCCACAAAGTCGCCAATCTCCTTGTTAAACCGCTCCGGCTCTTCATAAAACAGCCAATGCCCCGACTCAAAAACAGACTCCTTCGCCAGTCCAGGCCTATTCTTCTCAACTCGTCTCACCGTCTCCAACATACCCTCCAGCGGGAAACACCCGGACCGCCGGCCCGCCATCACCAGCGTCGGCACGCTAATCATCTCAATCGCCTCGCGGTGATCATACCGCGTGTGGTCCGCCAGAAGCCTCGCCAGCCACGTCTGATCGCACAAAGCACTGATGCGAGTGAAGAACTCCTCGTCCTGCTTCCTCTTCTCCGGCGAGACGTCGTCCTTGGGGTCCGGCTTGGCGCGGTAACCGAGACACCCGTCAACAAGGTCGACGTGCGCGGCCTTGGAGTCGTTGATCCAGAACTTCTGCGCGCCGAGCATGCTCTTCTCGTCGAAGCAGCCCGTGTGCGCCTTGCTCTCGTCCCACCCGTCGAACTCGGAGCGGTCCTGCAGCGGCGCCTGGTCGACGAAGACGAAGCCGGAAAAGTCCGCGCACCCGAAGAGCTCGACGTACGTCCAGAGCACCGCGGCACCGATCGAGCATCCGACGGGCACGATGTGCGCTTGCGGCGCCGCGAGGCGGAGGTGAGCTACGAGGTTGTGCAGGTCCGCCGCCAAGCGGGCGACGTGGTAGCCGCCGCGAGTTCGGTCGGAGTCGCCGTGTCCGCGCATGTCGGGTGCCACGACCCAGAGGCCGCGGGAGATGAGCGGTTGGAAGTTGCGATGAAAGTACTCGCTGGAGCCGCTGAAGCCGTGCATGAGGAGCACGCACTGCGTCGCGGAGGTGGCTCCGCCGTCGGTGAGAGACAAGGAGGATTGGAAGGCGAGCTTGCAACCGTCATTGGCGCCGCAGTGGGCGTAGTGCATGCCCGTGGTCGCCATTTTTTTGAGGTGTATAAAATCGGTGAGAATGGGATGTGATGAAAGAGAATTGATGACTTTCGAGCATGGTTGATTATCGGGGGGTGAGAGGACGTCATGGCGACGGTGGGGGGACGTTTTCTGTTGGTGGGGCCGCTGCGGGTTGCGGGGGCGGAGGTGGCGGCGGCCCGTCACTAGCGGCGGCGATCGGGCCTGTCGCCGGTAGCTCTGAGGTTTGTGCTCATTACGAGGGAGGTGTCAAAGTCACGCCTTTTTCGTGTCTGGCAGTTCAGCCAACGTGGCGGTCGATTACGAAAAGCCGTCAGCCATGACGAGTCTGTTTCGGTTGAGGTTTCTCTGTTTGAGAAGAGTATTTACCTGAGACACGGCCTCACAATGAAGTGGGTAGCACTTTTGGAAAACCTGGTTCGAAAATACATCAAACGTTTCGGATGACTGTTGTCTCCTGGAACTCTTTGGCTTTTACAGCTTGTTGCTACATCTACCCACGCGTTTTTGAGCATTGACTATCATGCTAGCGGTAGTTGTGCACTCACATGCATCCCGTAAGCCTCATAACAAATGACCCTTGTTAGGCTTCAACAGATCGGATTATTGAGTTTACTAATTCATTTGAACATACGCACTGCGTATGTATTTGCAGTGATATGCAACTTGCCGTTGTGGAAAAGGGCCGTTTCAACCAGTAACACAGCGTGCCCGCGTTGTACAACACCGTTGTACGTCACATTCTCATGGTCCACAGAAGCTGTTATCGTGGTACAGTCAGCGATACCATTATAAATTCCCAGCGATCTCTATTAATTTATAATCCCCTCACGCGTCATCCTCAAGACCTACGAGCTTAAGACTTTCAACCCAAAGTTTCTTCTCCGTTGGCGGATCGAACGCAGGCGCAATGTATCCCGGTCCTCCAGGTCCGACATCCGGCGCGGCCTGCTCCGCAACTCCGACGTTCTCAAGATATTTGCCACCTAGGCCCTCCAGCTCCTTGGCAACCGCAGCCCAGACAGACGTAGCGGCGCCTTGGGAGGTGCTCTTAAGGAATAGCTGCACCTCGGGCCTCTCAATCATCTTCTGCAGCTCGGGAGCGTACCGTTGCAAGGGAGTTTTGATACCGCCCGGATTCAAACTAAAGGCGTGGATGCCTTTAGGGCCGTAGCGGCGGTCGATTTCATTAGCGAAAAGAATGTTGGCAAGCTTGGACTGGCCGTAGGCGGCCCAGGGCTGGTACTCGATTTTGCTGTCAAAGTTGAAGTCTTCAAACTGAATCTTGCCCTGACGATGGCCGGTGGAAGAGACGGAGACGACGCGAGAGTTAAACTCTGGTGTGGCGGCGGCGAGGAGGGCGGGTTTCAAAAGTTGGAAGAGAAGGAAGTGACCTGAGATTCTGTGTTAGTTGGTGATTTCATGATGCAAGTGTTGAAACATACCCAGATGGTTTGTGCCGAATTGTGTCTCAAAGCCATCAACTGTTTTCCCCTTGGGGCAAGCCATGACACCTGGAAATACTGTTAGCTCATGTGACGCTCGCCGAGTGGAGATACAGACCTGCATTGTTTACGAGCACGTTGAGCTTCTCGGATTTGCTCAGAAACTCCTTGGCACCTTGACGCACACTGTCGAGGGAGCCAAGGTCCAGCTTAATAACCTCTACCTTGCCAGGCTTGCCGTCTGACAGAATATCTTTGGCGACTTCTTCGCCTTTGGCCACATCACGTACTGTAATATAGACATCGGCACCAGTGACGTGCAGTGCTCTAGCTGTCTCGGGACCGAGGCCTCCAGGGGAGCAGCCTGTAACAAGAGCCACTTTGCCAGCCCATTTTCCTACAAGATCTTGGTCCTCGACGACCTGGATAGCTGAAGGGCGAGCGTCTCCGGGCCCTTCAAACTTCTTGTGTTGTTCTAGATAGGGCGTTAGGCGGGACATTGCGCTGGAATGGGTACGAAAGTGGTTAGATGAAGAGAGATTGTTATTATGGCTGGGTGTGAATTCGGGTCGAACTAGGAACCGAATTGCCGGAATTGATGCTCTATTTAGACTGAAAATGGAGGAGGCTCTCATGCTCTTTTAAAAAATCATATGGTATTGCGGGGAAGGGGCGAAGAATGGACTTGACAAGCGAAGAGGTGACCGAAGGCACTGCGCATATTAGTTGGTTTTCTATGCTCCCATATGCAGGGCTCATGGAAACAACGGAGTTAAGACGTCCTCCTAGGGGCCAGTTAAGCTGGGATATTTTGTTTAACCTTAAAGCTCGCGTGGGGTTAGATTGGTAAGGTAAGGTAGTAAGGAGCATCAATGATGTAAGTGGACCTCGATATCGCACGAAAACACGCCACAATAATCAGTGGTAAGGGTTGGCAGGAGGAGGGGTCTGTTTCCCTCGTAATAGCATTCTTTCATCCATGGACATCGTGGCCCATAGCAACAGACACCAATCAATAGCCAGGAGACTCTGGGACAAAGTGACAAGCCGTCTGAGTAAGCCCAGCATGTCGTCCCTGGCTCATAATGATGCTGCAGCATGGGGATGTATGGTCAACGCTACAGGCAGGGTTTACATAAGTTTTGCAGAAGTGTATGCGTCATAGAGAGAATGTTTAGAAGAAGAGGCTCAACCGGGGTACGACTGACTTTCCGTTTTGGAAGGTGCCAACTACAACAACGGATTTAGGCGATAATGCAAGAACATGCAGTAATCCGTAGTTTCCGTAGCGACTTGCATATCAATAATTGATTGCTGGTTGCCTGGCACGTGATGATAAGATCTCAGTGCTAGGTCTGGTGATCCGTGCACGTAAATACCCCACTATTCCAGATTCATCCGTCCGGTGACCGTCCCATGTGCTTTCGGACTGTTGCTGTCGCAGCTGTTGCCTTGTCGCCTGAGCCCTGAAGCCTTGACACCAGATTCGGTTCAGTACCGAAGCCAGTCAGTGCCTCTAAATGCCCCCCCCCCCCCCCAAGAAAAGAAAGGCTGGGAATCTCACCCCACATGGAATGCTGGCCGCCGTCCAGGATGCACAGGGCTGTGCAGGGCAAAGCTTCAGCGTTTCCAATTTCCAGGGACCATGGTTTGATTCCTAGGCACGGCGCGCTGTGGCTGGCCGTCTTCAGGGCGGTAGCCAGGGGGGTGAAGCCGCTGTCAGCAGGACGGACATGCCCCAAAATTCGACGCCAAACCTGCTACCCAACCATTCTTTTTTTATCTCTTTTTTCCAATACCCTTTTTCGGACCGGGTTGATGGCTTAAAGTACGTGCCTGGCGATGACGGAGGACTTGAAGCAAAAACGAGATGCGATGTGCGCCGCACCCGTTTGTTTGCGCGCAGCCGGTGCGACTCAATTCTTCAGACGTTGAAACACTACCGCGGCCGTTAATCTCCACGCTGATTCAAGTGCTTACCTGGGTCTTTGGTAGGTGCCTGCAAGGAATCACTTGTGGGTTGATTTGTCAGGCGGTCCTGCCTCCCGGAGCAGCCCAAGGGTATATGTCAGATCCCATCATGGCGAAATGCGGATATTACGCTTGGAAATGGAAGTGTTGACGACGAGCAAACTTAAATGGGGAAATATAGCATCGACAGAACACATCAGATGCCAGTTCAACCGCCATAACCCAAAATCCCATCTCTAATGCCCATGCTCCAGCGGCCTGCCAAAGTACCAAAGGTACCAACCTACTTGCTCTGTTTGCAACGGTACATGCCTCAAAGGTAGCTAAGGACGGATAATGTCTAACTTTTGGGTGTGTGGTAGGCTTCCCCGCAGCTCCCCTCCCTTCCAACCACCGCTATTCGTCCCAGCAATTCCTTGGGAGAGCTAAGCTGGCCCAGGTACTACGTAGTCTCTACTGTGTATGCTGCTCCCTGGTCCCGGACCACCACCCCATCCCAGCACCTCTTCCCGGTCGCGGCCGCTAATCCGAGTCAAATCAAAACAGAATCCAGAAACCAAGCTTCGTTGCGTTGTTGCTATCGCCCAGTATCCATATCCATGTCCACGTCCCATTCAGCGTTGGATACCTGTTGGTCCATTAACCAAAGCAAAAACTTCCTTGGAAGTGTTGCCCTTTCGCTCAGATACCGGTTATCCGACACGCAATCCATCACGATAGCCCCCATCAAAGTCGAGTGCTCAGCTCTGGCAGCTCTTCTTTTCTCTTCCCGAATGTCCTGAGTTCGGCGTAGACGAGGAGGCTGTACCTACTACCTTGTACCGATCCTCTCTCGCTAAACCCAGCAAGCCGATCCGCAGCTCAGCGGCTGAGTAGCAACCAAACCAATCACTGCCAACTTCGACACACCAAGAGGTGAAGCGGATCCCACACGGCGCAAACAAACAAATAGTCACCGTTGGTGGCCTTGTCTGCTGTATGCGTGTACGTGGTGTGGTGTGTACTGCGCTTCACAATACTGCACTGTTTGGCTCAGCACTACGGGCTATACTTGTCATCACCATCTTGTCGAATCTCCAGAAGCTGAGTGTGCGCCCACTACCGCAAGGAGAAAGAAAGAATCAGGGACAAGAAAGGCTACAAACAAGCGGCCAGATCAAGATCGATCAAGGGACCTGTGTATCCGAATCCCGCAATAAACACCCCCCCCCGGTCGGATTCGTACTTGTCCCCCCTTCCTACTACCTCCCGGTCAGGTCTAGGTCTCTCATCTCTCCACCGCACCCCTCAACCGCCAAGTCGTAAGTGCCACTTGCACGACTCCATTCGCAATCCACCTCTCGCATTCTCCTTCTCAAAGCTTCCCTGGCCTGATCTGACCGACGAGCCTTGCCCGCTCCTGCTGCTGAGTAGCGCCCTATTGTTGCTGCTGCTTATGGCCTTGGGAAGATCGATGCAGAAGCGAAAATAAGCTGCATCAGCCTGGACTGCAACCACTCAGAGCTACCCTGCCTCGCTCACGTTTTCCAGCTACACAAGACAACTTCTGCTACTTGGGGGCTGCTCGGCTACTCTCTTCTTCCATCCTCTGCCAAGCGTCTACCTACCCTCTCACACGCCCTCATCCAACGTTCACTTCGCGGCAGAGTACGACATCCCTCCATAATCACTTTCGACCTTTTTTTTTTGTTGCGCCCGTCCACCGTCGCTCTATTTTCTTGCCGGACTACGCACTACGTCGCCCATCCCCACAGCACCCGTCGTCCGCGGTACACAGGCCACAAACCGACTGCGAATCCGTCCATGTAATGCCGCCGCTTGGCCTCGCGCTCTGCTGCTCCTGCACGTCCCCGATAGCTTGGACATACTGCAACTGTCTCAACCCCCACCCACCAACAGGCGGCAACGCGCGCAGCGCCTAAGACGCACGACTGCCGCCCACGGCCACACATGAGAACCTCACCTCCATCATCCGCCAAACCTCTCCTCACCACTCCTCCGCCGAAAAGAGACACCCCGATTCAGATCTGGCGATTTAGCCAGCATGGCCGCCTTCGTGAGGGTTTCCGGTCCCCCCAACAGCAGCTTTCTTGTCGGTTACCCTGGCATTTCTGCGACGCTGGTACGTTTTGTCCCTCTCTTGCATGATGACGTCGGGAAGTTGGTGTCTGTGATCCTTTGCGCCTTGCTTACTGACACGAATTTCGTTCTCCATGTAGCCCCGAGTCGAAGGCAAAGTCGAAATCCGGCCCTCCCAGGGCTACTCCATGCCCGTTCCCATTTCGTTGGTGCGCATATGCCTACAGAGGAGAGAAACGATACACCCCGCCGCCGAGAATGTCGCAAAGAGACACCTGGGTACGCCGAGAAGGGAGACGACAGATGTGGTCGGTAAAGAGCTGTTGTTATTCAGATGCCAGTCAGGGAAAGAGGCCGAGAGCGTCATCGCGATGGACTTGCCCTTCGTCCTGTTTATACCGTTTGGGAGGGGCGGCGAGGAGACGAACCGACGAATACCCCCCGCATCACTACAACTACCAAGCCGAACGGCCGAAACATACTACGAGCTGGTCGTAACAGTGCAACAAGGCCACACGCTACAAAACAAATACTCTTTCCCCATACCGCTGCAGCGATACGACACCTTATCAACCTTTGGCATGTACAACAAGCCCGAATCGAGGCAAGTTAGCGACGCAAGCGTCGTAACGCTGGGCATCTCCGTTCCCAAGTGGAGCTATGGACCTCTCGACCCAATAACGGTTTATATTAAACTAGTACCAAACCCAGACTGGATGAAGAAAGCGTTAAAAGTCACGATTCAAAAGATCACCGTCGCCATCGAGGAAGAGATTACCTACAACCCGGAAGGCGACGAGCCGTCGAAGAAGGTTAACAAGATTGCGAAGAACCAACAAGTGGTAAATACGAGAATGCCCGAGGCTGGGTACGCTACAAACTTGGGACTAGTGTTCCCCTCCAAGGACTTGCGCGACCCGGATGGCATTATTCGCAGAGGGAAGCCAGCATTTCCGCTTTACGAAGTCACATCCTTCACGACGAGCTCAACATTATACAAAATTGAGTTCTTCTTGACTGTCAAGGTAAGGCATATCTGATTCGGCCGATACCGCTTGTATGCTCACCATATTCTAGGCGCAACTCAGCTCTACGAAGGATCTCACAGTTAGACAACCGTTGGTCATTTGCCCGATGGACCAGCAAGCATGCAAGGAGGAGATGGACGCCATTGAGCAGGCCGCGAAAGATGCGTCGCATGTTGACCCCAACAACCCCATGCTGCCGGCACGATTAATCGTCCTCTCAAATGATCGAGAATCATTAAAGACCCTGGGTTTGTGCTTGGTGGCAGGACAAAAGAAGCCGTTGATTGAGTGAAGGCGCTTGATAAATAAGGGCGAATGAACCGACTGTGTGGCGTGCATTCCGACGCCGGGCTGCGGGGTATGGGCCCAGCCGACCAGGAGCGGCCGCCATCTGCCCCGGCGGCGGCAAGCCACGGTCGGTTTGGCTGGTTGATGACATATCAGCCCCAGATTCAGCACCGGATTCGTAATGCCGCGGCCCGTGCAATAACAAACACGAGCAAGGCGTAACACGTACGCCTGGATGAAGAAGAACGCCGATGGAGAAGTAGAGTCTCGATGGTATAGGAATGCGGGTATTGAAAAAAAAAACACCGAATACCCTCGGCGGATGGTGTCTTGTTTTTAAGGAACCGAAGACTCTGTGCGCCGGCGCTTTCACAGCGCGGTTTAATCGGCAGGAACAGGTATCATCACGGCACGGCGTTGGCGGAGTGTTCCGGCTGAAGGATATTGGGAGACCAACGAGTAGGGGCCTTTCAGCATTTTGGCGGAGCGCGTTTGGACACGTTTTATGAGATGACGACCTGGCCGAAGCGGTTTGCGAGTTGCAATGGACGGAGGGGGATATTGTTTTACGTTGTATATATTACCTACGAATAGGAGTTGTAAAAGAGAAGCAACTCGGGGGTTAAACATAAATCCACACGAGCTACCCCATGTGCAACTTATGTGAGTTTTGAGCATATCCCTGGACTACCAGTTTATACCTACCATTATACCTTCCAGCCTAAATTAAATAACCCAAAGCTGATGACAAGAAGCTCTCTCAGTGACTTGAGTTTTGAGCCCCTGAAAGAGCCAGGCAAAAGTGAATAAACTCCCGAAGTGACACATGATCAAAAAGTTACTTGATGGAGACGAAATTCAAACTCTGGTGGATTTCCACCGCGTATTTGGGTATCAGAGACCTGAGGGCCGGCAGCCGGCAGCTGGGCGGCGAACGGGTCACTTGAAACAAGAATTCCGACTGTCCCAATAGGATGCTCTCGGCGGAGGTTTTTGATAAGAAACTGGCCCATTTTTTTTTTTTTTGAAATTGTTCTCTTGGAGACTGTAACCTCTGAAGTTGAGGTATCGAGCTCTGCATTGGTTGCGACTGAGGGTCAGGAACGGGACGGGGGGTGGTTCCTCTCACCTTCAAGACTATGTCTCAACTCGCGTACAAAGCAGGCATGCTGGTTTTGAGGACGTTACTATCGCTCAGCCTGTGAAGGTACATAATCAACTAGTTTGGCATAATCAGAGCTATGATATTCTCTTTTTCTTTCTGAATAGCCATTAAATTAGCTGTGTGATATTGTTTCTTCATTTTTGTTGTCGTCTGTAGAGTGTAAAAAAGATGTGAGGAGCCTTTGTTTCCCAGAGGCGACGGCTTGGTACGGGGTTGGGCATGGCTCGATGCGGTTTCGACCTTTAGGCCACATACTACCTTGTCGATGGTTTTCGTGGCAACACAATCATGCTTGTAAGGAAAAAGGTGCTTGCAAGGAGAGGGTGCTTCTGAGAATAAGGGCACTTGAACTCAAAAGAGTCAACCAGTATTGTGGCAGTCTGTGCATGCCTAGTACCCTGGAATTCGTATGCCGGCGAAGAACGTTTACCGCCAAAAGCGATTAAACTAGCCTCTCTTTGGCATTCTATGTTGATCAGCATACGTGACTGATGGTCCTTGTTCTGGTCTGTGTTCTTAAATGTTCGTGTTCGATAGATGTGTTGATTGAGGGCTCTTTCCTCTGCTTGTTGACAGAATAGCTGCGATCAGTATATTCTTATCAAAGTAAGACTATCGCAAATGTGACTATATACCATGCCTCGTTTCTTGATAAATCAGTCCCGACTGTATCGGTCGATACAGGTGAAGAGATGGTGCGAGGGAAGGAGAAAATATCAATCAGTCCTAGCTGTGTTAATCTGGGCGAAGAGATTGTGTAAGACTTCCTCTACGTATAGGCAGAAGAGGATGAATGATCTTTCCGAGTAGCGTTGTGAGATATCGGTGGCCAGGCGACATGGCATGCTTTTATATAACCATGTCGCCTGCTGCGTTGGCTTGACTTGAGAGGTTTTGGTTTGCCGCGGTGGTCAGTATGCCAAGCTAAAGCGCGCTATACCTACGATCAGCTTGTCGGTACCTAGCAAGGCATCCATCTAGATGACTAGTACCTTCTTTGTGAGCTTTGTTGGATGTAGTAACTAGGAGTGCATTTTTTTGTGATGAATCTCAGCCATGGCGTGGTTGTGGTTAAGCTTGACGGCTACTACTTATTATTGCAGGAGATTACTGTTGCTCATCTGAAGAAGCAACTAGCAAGCTGAGAGGCATGTAGGATGAGCTTTATCCTGTTGCGTAATAACAACCAGCAAGCGCGCGAGTACAAGTCCTAGTTGACTGAGTCAAACGGACACAGCACAACTTGACAAAAGTAAAGTTATCGGAAGGTGCCTTAGCTAAAAAGAACTTGAGAACTCTGATAGATGAAACATCCCCGTCCCAGACATGAGAGCGATAAACAACGATTAAAATAAAGAAAGAAAAAATGACAAAAATGATGGAGACGAGATTCGAACTCGCGCGGTTTCCCACAACGGTTTTGGGTACCAGTAAGATGGTTACCTAAACATTGCACCTTAACCACTCGGTCACTCCACCTTTTGTTGTAATACATTGTTTTGATCTAGATTATACAGGAAAAACCGAACCGTCGTCAGCGCTTTGCCTAGAAAGAGCCTGGAGGAACGAAGCGAATCCAGGGGCCGACTGCAGTCGCCGTACAGCCGGCGCAGAAAGTCTTGGCAGCCGCCGCCGCCGCCGCCGCCGCCGGGGCCCCTGCCCCTGGCGGCAGGCGGCTGCCGTTAGCCAAAACAGAAAACCAGACTATAATGAGGACTCGAACCCGCTGGAGCCCATCTTCCCAATTCCATAAAGTTTGCATTTTCTGTCCTAGAGCTCTTTTCCAATGGCATAATGGTCTAACACCGTCACCTGCCTATGGTGAAGTCTAGCTAGCTATGGCTAGATGGCAGAGGACCCTTGATGGGTACCCCCAGCCCTCCTCGCAGGGAATCACGTAAAGTAACAGCTCCCAGTCCAAAAGAAAGCAACATCCTCGTTGCATATCGATATCCTCCGATCCTGTGGTGCTTCGATAGCTACTCTGTCCTAGTATAAAGCATTACCCGTCGCAAATTAATCATATCCTAGCGCAAAACTAGCTCTGATTGTTCTAATTCCAGGTCGATCCTCATCCAAGATGAATCAACTATAAAGCTTTTACTCTCTAATTACCAACCCCCAGGAGTAACATCGTCACCGATGTCATCTCCAGAAATGTCATCTTCACCATTATCACTCTAATAGCCTGAGACTCGGGGACACGAAGATGAACGCTAGTAGGTTTGGATTTAAGAAGGCTATAGTTGGGCTAGACCGAGGCTAGGGCGGCTCGAGACGCTTTACGATTATTGTGGTTGGTGATGCGTGCCTCCGCAGCGACGAAAGGCTTAACGCTAGAGTATGGCTCGAGATTGTATGTAATCTCACGACGCTTATAGCGAGTACTGGCGACGACGTGGACGTTAGTAGGCGGTTCGATAGTGGCATCGGCAATCGGCAGTCTCGGTACTATTATCAGCATTAGTAGTTGCGATCGATCCTCTTAGACGAGACGGCTTAAAGGTCGTAGGGCTAACTAGCTTTAACTTATACTAGATATAATAGTAGGGTCCGTTATAGATCTTATAAAATCGAACTTATTAGACCTTATTATTCTTCCAGTTCTTCTAATCCTAAGTACTATATTCGTAATCTTCGTATCTATTTCTGCGGCCACATCCGCATCTGATCGCCGCTGGGCGGTCGCAACAGGGGCAGCAGTGTTGACCTTCTCTTAACTTCCCCCTGAAGCAAAGGATCTGCCCGAAGATTTGTGCCAGAGGTCTGAATTGGACCTGGTTATCTGTAAAGCAATAGGGATCTGCGCAGTATTAATATATCACGAGAAGTTAGCCCCATCCGATACAAATGGACCTGGGAGGTCTCGACGCAGACATGAGGAAGTAGGTTGATGTATGTGCGGGATCGACTGTGGGGCAGGATGAGGAGGAGTATTGGGCAGCTGATTAGCATTCAGCTTGGTGAATAGCTGACCATTAGGGGGGATATAAGAGGATTGTGCGGGTGACTGAATAGACTGCTGGGTAGCGGATGGCAAGATGGGAGATTGAACGGATTGATGGGCACCAGATGGCTTAGCAGAAAATTGACCTGGCTGCAAGTCATCAGATGGCTGAGCAGGATTCTGAGGTGCAATAGTCTGCTGAGCGTTGCGTTTTGCGAAATAACTGAATGCCATCGGGCTTTCGTAAGCGATCTACCCATCTTTTGAGCAAAAGATCTCATCAACACAATGTCTGTCAGGTTCCTCGCCTCTACCCATTGCCATAAACATCAGCTTCCTGTGGGACTGATTGAACATGTTTTCCAAAGGCGAATATTCAGGCAATGCCTCGGCACGAACAATAGATGCCCATAGCAAAGACTTCTCTACAGTCTTATTATCATGAAACCTTTTACTAATCCGCTTGTAGGGAGAAGCATTCGAGTTTGCAATAGTAGTTGAGTGCAGTTTCTCTCTCAGGATTTTCCGAATGGCATCCTTCATTCGAGGCGAGAAGTCACGATCAACAGGGCGGGCGAAAAGGGTCTCCACGTAATTGAGTATCTGCTGATGAGGTACAGGTCGGTCCGTCTCAGGGTCCCAAACCCCATAGGCATCTGCCCAGTCTGGCTTAGACTCATTAGGGACGGGAATAGCATCCTGATTGACTGGGGCTGGGGTCTGCGTGACACCGACTGCATCAGGAGCGGTTGCAATCGGCTGTTGAACAGTAGGATCGGGTGGTATCTGGATACCTAGGGCATCGACTGTAGGAGACTTGATAGAAGACGCAGACAAGTAGTTGACATCTGGCCTAGGCGTAACAGACTGGTGATGGATCGGGGATGAAGATATCTCAATGACATCGGGATGGCAACGTTGCGCCTTAGACCACTCGGCCACTCCACCTTGCTAATTGATATATCTCGTGGTTTACAAGTTGTCCTCATGCAGGGCGGTGCGGGTTGCGGGTTGAGCGGGGGTGAGGCAGAAGCGTATTTCGTACAGGCCCTTGATCGTAGTTTTACGAGGAAAGAGGGGGGGGGGGGGGGGGCGGAAAGGATGAGTTTGGTGTGGATATGGCCCGCTTCGACGCAGGTCCGGGCCTGCGCCGCAATTGCCCCGCTAAAGGGACGGGGGAACAGTTCGTATGGGCGACAATGAGGGATATGATGGTGCTGGTGTGTTTGAGACCCTGTTGTGTGAAATTGAAGTGTTCCGTTTAAGGGGGATAAGTGTAGCAAGAGCAACTGTCGTTTGGATATTGTTCGGATGTCGAGGTGATGAGGAGTTATAATTCTAGAGGGAATAATGCAAAGCCATTGCATCTTATGTCTACAGAGTATGATGAGTGTAAAACCTTCTTCAAGCTCGCGGGCTCATCGCGTGAATCTCTTCGTATTAGCATCTTCCCACCGCCTAGATCATGTCCATGGTAAATATGGTCTGGTATATTATGTGTAGTGTTCCTCCTAACCGTCTGCTTCCATGGCACTTTCGCCCTCCTTCTCCATCACATCGATGCGCCTGAGAATGTTCTCCTTCCATATCCTATACTCCCTCCGTTTCTTCTCGCTCAAGAAATCATACCGATCCTGGAACATCGTATCCGCCCGCCGGACAGGGGCCGCCTTATACGAAGCATCCGACTCACCAACCCGGCTGTCCGCTATTACGTTGCCCGCCTCAATCACGTCGCCCAAACTGCGGTACCAATCTGCCTCCAACCACCCGCGCTCTTCCACCTCCTTCAATACGGCGTCGAATTCCGCGGGCTTCACGGGCGTCCAGCCCTCCCACGCCTCGTCCTCGTCCAGACCCCTCACGTCAATCTCCTCCCTTGCCCTTTGCAGCAGACTGAGGATCTCTTTCCTAGACGAAACATGAGAGTCCGGGTCATCATCATCGCCTTTTGCCAGTTTCTTCACCTGCTGCGTGACAAAGAGGAACACTGCGCCGCATAGTGCTGTGAGATTCTCCCGAACCCAGCCGTCTCGCGTCCTCCTACCTCCCGGGACGACAATGTAGTCCATTCCCGCTAACATCGTCGGCGCAAGTTGGCTTTGTTTTGCTTCCTTACACATGAACCGTAAAGTTGGTTGGATCCAGAAGTGTAGACCCGACTTGTCGGCCGGGTACGCGACCTTGCCGGTTGACTTTGACGGCGTGACATTAGTGTTCCGCGCCGCGGGTGAGCGGAACTGCGACAGAGATCTCTCCTTGCTCGGCGTCGGACGATGCGGTGTGCGGACGGGTGAGTCGACTCCGTGGCGTTGTCTGTTGCGCGGCGTGCCATTCTTACCCGGTGTGCGGTTGAGGGCGGAGTTGGGGAGGATATTGTCGAGGTGGGCGTACAGACGCTTGTAGATTCGCGGAGGGATGGGGGGTCGTGGTTCGATTGGAGGAAGGTTAAGTGGAATTTTGAGTCTACAACGTTTGTCAATCACCCACGAACAAGGCTAAACCGCGTGGAAGCTCGCATACCTGTCGCAAGCGATATGGGCGCATGCGTACATCCGCCCAATCTCTTCATCTACCTTTAGCGTGCTTGCTCGATGTCGTGATTGCGCCAGCAAGGAGCCTGCTAGCTCGACTAACGACGGCGGCAGAGCTGAGCTATGTGTCGGCATCAACGAGAGGAGCGTCTGCTCCACGGATCTGTTCATCTTGGCTGGCTTCGGATCGTATGCGGCTCGGCTCGAGCTTGGTAGAGAGCTTTTGACGCGCGTGACGCGCCGAGAGATCGGCTCCTTTGTATCTTCGTCCCTCGCGACAATATCTCAGCCCAAGCGTCTGGATGATTGAAATGATTGCTCGATATCTTCGACGCGTACAACCGTAGACAATTGAGTGTAGTCTTGTCCATTCACACCACCGGACACTAAAAAAAAAGTTGACAAGGAACCAGTAGGTTTTTAGCGTCGTGAATAGGATTGTTGCGTCACCGAGGCTACCCATAGCTTAATTGCCTTGCCGGGCCGCCGCTGAGCTTACCACCCGCCCCCCCCTTAAATGCCCAGAAGGCCCAGAACGTTGGGCCACCGTGGAGCCCCTGTCAGTTGCCGATCCGTGCATCTCCCGGGTGCCCCAGAGCCCCCTAAATGGGCGGGAGTTTAGGTGCCATGACAGACGCCACCTGTTCCTCTGATTCTTTCATTTTCCCCATCCACCCCATTCCTTTTTATCCATCACGCCTCCGCGAAACGTACCCGGCCTTTTTTGGTATTTTTGTACAGATCTTAGATTTCTATTTAGGTTTGTTTTAGCCCATTTGGTTCGGCGGGATTACAGCCCCCCCTTCGTTGTGTATATTTGATTCTTCCCACCCATATCTCCTCCGCAACTCAAACATCCAACTGTGAAGCTCGGAATTGCTATCTGGCATCTCGTTACTCTATCGCAACGTCTTCCTAATGCATACCATCCACCTCGCGATCCTGGCGCTCGCTAGCCGTGCTCTAGCACATGGCGACCACGGTCAGAAGCCCATTGTGGACGAGACTGCCGACTGGATGACAAAACACATGGCTGGTAGGTGCAACTAGTGATGCTGCTGTCCCGTCCCATCGATGACGTTTGCTAATTATTCGTCTTCCAGAGGAACATCACATTGATGGCTGGGACTCTGCCTCTTTCTTTACACTGCACGACTACAACAGCGATGGCGTCTGGCAAGGCGACGAGATCCTCCGAACATACGGCCTCTTTGACGAGTCGAATCACCACGTTTCCGAGGAGACGCGCTTCAATATCCTGCACAAAGTGATGGAGCTACTTGATCACAACCATGATGGACACGTCAGCCGTGAGGAGTGGGAGGAATTCATCCACGCCGGCAAGACGCTTCCGGACGTTGGCATGGGACCGGGACACCACGGCGACGATGAGTACGAGTACGAGATTCACCATTGGGAAAAGTGAGTTTGCATTCCGCACCGTTGCTGGGTTGATGGAAGCGAGAGAAGACAGGACACTGACCAGGAGCCCGTCAGGTATCATGACGAAAACACAAAGCTCGAGGATCTTACCCATCCCGAGGATATTGAGCACTTCAAGAAGCACGAGCAGATGGAGGACGAGCAAGAGAGGTTAGAGCAGCTTGACCAGATGGCCGTTGTCGAGGAGAACATCCCGCACAAGTTCATGCGGTCATAGCGTTGCTTTGAGACAGCGAGAGGATGGTAGCGAGCGACAGGCGGGGAAGGTGATGAATGACGAAGAAGAGACCTTTTTTTTTTTTTTTTTTTGTGACGATGTCATGTATCACTATTAGATCTTGTAATATGTACATCAAAGACGCAGTGCCATACGTCAGGCGCATACGTTTTGACCAACTCGACATGCTCCACTGTCGCGGTTCGTCTGTTTTCCGAAGCAGCTGACCAACTGTTGTAAAGGCGCTGGATCTCTTCCCGCCGGGCTTCGATTTCGTGGATGCCAACATTTTCGTGCGGGTGCAGCCAGCAGTCTTCTTCGCATTCGGCCGTCATCTCCCACGATGGCCGCCAGGTCGGCTCGCTAGTCGGAAGCAGCCCGCCATTGACGTGAAGGATATTGACGGGTGTGCCTGACGCACGGAGATCTGCTATTCTGCTTACAGCTTCCTGGTTATCCTGCAAGAAGACGACAATCTGCTCATCTCCCGTTAGGAGTTGCGCAGCAGGCAGCTGCAGCTCGGCTCCCTGAACAACCTTCACCCGCCAGCCATTGGCGACAGCACCGCGGCGTAGAGCCTCGACGCTCCAAGGATTGAGCTCCCAGCACAACACCCTCATACCTAGCTTCGCGTAGGAGAAGGTAAAGTATCCGATCCCCGCATACAAGTCGACGGCCCAGTAATCCGCGAGGCTGGTTAGTGACCTGTGGCGGTGAGACATGGCCTCATTTGTGGAATGTGTGTGAAAATCGAGGAGGCGCGTTTTCTCCTTAATGTTACCTCGGCTGAACATTGTCCAGCGAGGGGCCCAGGTCTGTAGGATACCGTTCTGCTTGGTCGACACCCAGAACGCCGCCTCAAAGTCATCCGTCGAGGGCGTCACCGGGTTAACAGACGAGCCAAAGTCTCCATGGAGAATCTTGAGCCCGCTGGGAGTTCTGAGGATGTTCTCGCCCTTGTCACCAGCCTCATCACCCGATTTTGAATCCGTTTGGAGAGGGATCCCTTCGTTCACGGCGAGGTGCGTCAGGGTGCTTGAGCCCGTCTTGGAGATTTCATGAAGGATTCCTTCCCAGAGCTGGTGGGTTTGCTCGTCGCCGACGTCGGGGTGGCTGAGGAGCGAGGGCCAGAGCCCCTTGCTGAAACTCCCGCTGGGGAGCAGCACCATGGGTTCGTATGTTGTGAATCGCTTTGGTGTTTGCTGGTTGAGCAGAGTTTCCAACTCTCCCGAGTTGGTCCATAACTGAGCTTGAGTTGGCAGTGAGTTGAGCCACGACCTGGCAGCCGCGGATACTGGGTTTTCGGGCTTGGGTTTCTTGCCCCGCGGCTTATCCTTTGGAAAACTCATTATTAGAGGGTTTCTCTGGCTGAGGATTAGCTTTTTCTTGATACTAGCTGAGCTTCAACCTACAAGAGGTGTTAAATAATGTCCTTGATGAAGCTTTTAGCATAATATCGCAAGCAACAAATTGATAGTGAGTTTGGACGACAACTACAGGGATTGTAGCGGTCTAAACCCCTGTTTGACACCCTGAGGTCCGCTAACGTTGAGTGGGGCGCCATTAACGAACCGAAGTCAGTCTCATCAGGCATTCCATTCTCCCGCTGTTCTTCCTTTATTTCTTTCTTCTAAGACAACCAGACTAATCGGTCTGTTAAAGAGGGCGAAATGGACGCCTCAACTCTTCCAACGCATCTCAACTTTCTGAACGATGCTGCGCATCTACTTAGGGCAGCAGCCCCTGAGACTTCAGCCTACCTAATGGGGCACCATAACGAGCTCATGTTCCTCAACGACATTGAGCAATCCGACACTCGACGACAACATGTCTGCGGCGCGTGCGGCCACATAATGATTCCCGGGCAAGGCACGACACTAAAGATGGAAACAGAAAGGGCTCTGAAGAAGAAAAGACGTGGAGTCAAGACTGAAGGCTCCAAAGCCACAGAGCCTCAGCAACGGTCTGGGATGCGCAAGGTTTTCACCTGTGGAAACTGCACTCATACTACCAAGATCTCGTTCCCTCCTCCGCCACCAGCAGTAAGACGCCGCGTAAAGGCTGAAAGTCTCCCGTCAAAAATTCATCAAAATGTCGCGACCATCGAGCAAGCCAAGCTCCCGACAGCCAACTCAAGCAGCAAGAAGCGGGCAAAGAACAGAAAGGCCGGGTTGCAGGCTCTGCTTAGTCAATCCAAGACTTCATCCTCCGGGGGCAGGAGTCTAAGTCTTGCCGATTTTACAAGATGAAATCTCAATTTAAATCTCAAGGGTCAGCAACCAGCAGAAAACACTCTGAGTGAGTGCTTCTCAACCCTGCGACTCCGTGGCGTGCCGCGACGCCGGCCATTACACATCAGCCAGCGGACGCGGTGGCGGGCTATCCTCGGGAATATTCTCGAAGGTTTTATCAAGGCAGGGACCCGCACAATGACACACAGCGTGCAGGGTTGCAGCAGATTGCCCCTCCAAAAATTTCAAGACCCCGCCATCGCCATCCCACCGAGTCACCCTCTTTGCGACCGACAACAAAACGTTGCTAAAAAGGGTCCGTTGCGCAATACCAGAGATACCCTGATTTCACAAGAATCTTTGCGCAAACCTTTTTATTTTTTACTTTTATTTTTTTAAGACACAAATCAGTCAACATGGCTGCACAAGAGTCCACGACCTCGTCTGAGTTCTTCCAGGCCATCGGCGAGAAGGTCGACGGCAACGATGATCAGAAGGTTGTCGAGGAGATTGAGTCTCTCTGCATGAACTGCGGCAAGAATGTACGTTTGCGCAATGTGGCAATCATCATAGAATCCATAAGCTAACTCTTTACTAGGGCACCACCAGACTGCTCCTGACATCGATCCCCTACTTCCGCGAAATTATCCTCATGTCCTTCTCTTGCGAAGAGTGTGGCTTCTCCAACAGCGAGGTCCAACCTGCCGGCTCCATCCAGCCCAAGGGTACATACTACGAGCTCCGCCTGACGGCCCTCGAGGATTTCGGCCGCCAGGTCGTCAAGTCCGACACCGCGACTGTCAAGTTCATCGAGCTCGACCTCGAGGTGCCCCCCGGCAAGGGCCAGCTTACAAATGTGGAGGGTCTCCTCAGCACGATTATTAATGACCTTGAATTCGGCCAGGAGGCCCGCAAGGAGCAGATGCCCGAGGTGTACCCCAAGATCGCTGAGATTATTGAGAAGGGCCGCGCCATGCTGGACGGCAAGTCCTTCCCCTTCCGTGTCACCGTCGACGACCCCGCCGGCAACTCCTTCATCACTCCCGACCTCAAGGACGGTGTCGGCAAGTGGGAGAAGCACGAGTACATCCGTACCGCTGAGCAGAACGAGGCGCTCGGTATCTCTGCCGCCCAGGCCGATGCCGCCGCCGCCGCCGCCAACCCCGGCCTCACCGCTGACGGCGACATCATCCCCAACGAGGTCTACAGCTTCCCCGCCTCCTGCCCCGGCTGCATGCACCCCTGCACCACGCACATGAAGATGGTCGACATCCCGCACTTCAAGCAGGTCGTCCTCATGTCTACCGTCTGCGACGACTGCGGTTACCGCTCCAACGACGTCAAGACCGGTGGTGAGATCCCCGAGAAGGGCGAGAAGATCGTCATCAAGATCTCCAACGGCGCCATCGACCTGGCCCGTGACATTCTCAAGTCCGAGACGTGCGCTCTCGAGTGCCCTGAGCTCAACCTTGCCGTCAACCCCGGCACCCTCGGCGGTCGTTTCACCACCATTGAGGGTCTGCTGACCCAGGTCCGCGACGACCTGCGTGGTCAGATCTTCCAGGCCGACGCCAACGGCCACAGCACCGGCAGCGGTGACTCTCTGGTGCCCGAGGAGAAGGCCAAGTGGGACACCTTCTTCAGTGGCCTCGACGCCGCCATTGACGGCGAGCGCGAGTTCACCGTCATCCTCACCGACCCTCTCGCCAGCAGTTTCGTCCAGCCGCTCGTTGACCCCCCCGCCGCCGACCCCCAGATCACTCGCGAGTACTACGAGCGTACCGACGAGGAAGAGGAGGAGCTCGGTCTGCGCGACATGAAGGTCGAGGGCTACGAGGAGGACGCCGCCAAGGAGGCCGCCGAGGCCAAGGAGCTGACGGAGGAGGAGAAGAAGGGTGCCGAGTTTGACAAGATTCTCGACGCCAACATGGGAAGGTGACGGACGGGGTAAACCTCAATGTAACGTCTTGAATTTTCCGTTTTGAGAGTATAAGCGCAGGCAGGATGATGTGATGATGGGAGAAAGGGAGAGGCGAAAAAAAAAAAGTAAAAGAGTCACGTACATGATGATGATACCTACGCATAGAAAAAGGTTTTTTTTAAAATTGATTTGGGGTTGTTTTAAGGAATTATTCATGATTGATTGCCTTGTTTATTTTTCTTCCAAAACGTTGTGTTAAGTCTTGACTTTACACTTCATCCACCCACCACTCAAACAGTACGGTACAACTGCTAGTATCGTGAGTTGCACGAGTCAAGTTAGTTAGTTGGTTGGTTATGAGCAGGGGCCAACCACGTCTTTACGACTCAAGTCAACTTCAACCCCCCCGCCAGTCAAAGCTGTGCTGTACCGTACTTTTCGTCTACATCAATCACGGTGTCAAAAGTAGCAAGCATTTTAAAACATGATTTCAATACGAAATTCACTCAATTTGCCACATTTGCAAAAACTAACCACCGTTGCGAACCCTTCAGCCAGGTCCTCCCAGCGCGAAAGCCATTTCTTCTTCCCTTGCGAGTTTCGTGTACCTCCCTTCCACCCAAACCATAGACAAGAAAAAAGTCGCGGGGGGTGCATTGTTGACTCTCGCGGTCTCCGTTTCTTAACCCTTCCAAACGATTTGCATTCTGAAAAATTGATAACGTTAAAAAAAAAAAAAAAAAAGACCGATGGAAAAAGCAATGGAAAGAAAACCCATTAGTCCAGCTTCCTCCAAGTGGCGACGAAAGCAGACACAGTCTTTGCCCCCGAAACCAGACAACAGAAGACTGCGCTTATAAGAGCAGAATTAGGGATTCCGAAAAAAAGAAAGAAAGAAAAACAGAGAAAACGATAACAAAAGAAAAAGAAAACCGACTTCTGTTGGTATAGTAGCATCCCAGGCGAACCGTCCCCCTGGTAGAGCTGGCGCAAAGACAAAGGAGAAGGTAGGAAAACAGACTTTTTCACGCCATAGGAAACCAGACGAGTGTACACAAAAGCAACGAAAAGGCTTGGGTGCCATTCATTAGGGGAGAGAGAATAGTTGAGAAGGGGGTATAGTAGGAGAATCCCGTGGTCGCCCGAAACCTCGCTTCTTTTTGTTACGAGGAAAAATCACAAAGGAAAACCCCGAATAGCCATCCCAGAGCCCGTCAGGAAATAAAGGAATTCGTTTCCAATCTCGTCGAACCCAGGGGGCAAGCGAGTTGAACACGCTCATTAAATGCCAGCCAGCGGGAGGGGAGAAGGCTGAAACGGTAAAAGTGATAGATAGCGCAAGGATGAAGCGTCAAACCCTTCAAGGATAGGCGGCGCCGCTGTCTAGAAGAAACTAGGCTTCGTGAGGACGCGGTATTCGACATAATCTTCCCCATCAATGCTGATGATGGTGCCCTGCGAGACTAGCTTGCCGACAAAAGGACCGTTTTGCTTGCGCTCGTACTTGATGCCCCCATAGAACTTCGTTTCCTCGCCAGCGGCTCTGCTGCGGTGTTCCTCCTGGCTAACCCAAACCTTGTTCAGACGTTGCATTTCGTCGCGTTCGTGGAAGAGACCGCTCATGCGGGCACCATTACCGTTAGGAATGGGCATCTTGGGCATGGCCTGAGGCGGTAGCGGGGGAGGTGCGAGAACGGGATTGGCATTGGCCTGAGCGGCGGCGGCGGCGGCAGCAGCCTCGCGGTCGGCGGCGAAACGTTCGGTGCGCATCTGCGCTGCCTCTATCCGAGCGATCTCGCGGCGAGCGCTAGCATCGATCTTGTTCTGAGCAGCAACCGGTGTGCGCGATGACTGCCTAATCTCCAGGTCAGGGAGCGCGTGACGCATGCCACCAGTTCCGGTCCTACGGCTCTGGCGCAGTTCCTGGTTCACTTCGGGCTTTGTTTCTGGTGACCCGATGTCTTCTCCGGGTTGCGGGATTATGGGGGTCGGCACATTCTGCGCCAGGCCCGGCTTGAAGCCCTGGGCGACCCGTTGCTGGGCCTCGTACACCGCCTGTGTTTCGTTGGCGAGGCGATCATCAGGTAACTCGCCCTGGTCAATCTGATATTGACGAACACGGCAGTACTCCTTGACTTCAGCGCGAGACAGGCTTTTGAGGTGAGGTTCAAGCTCGACTTCTTCCCAGTGGATCCATAGGGCACCTGCTCCGACAGGGAAGTTGCCGTCCACGAAGCGCTTATCGCGGGTCTCGCGAGCAACCTTGACACGGAACATGTCATTTTGACCGAGAATGCCATAAACGGCGTGGCGGTTCAGCGGGTCCGGTTCGCTGGAACCCTTCCAGTAGCCCACGATGATGCGCGTAGGCCTGGTACCAGGGAGGGGGTCGAACTGAGGGGAGGGGATGATCTCTCGAGTCGGCTGGCTTTGAACAGGCCCTCCACTGATTGTGCCGATACCGCTGCCGGTGCGGCGACGTTTCGAGTCTGGTCGAGCTGGCATGGTGGCGTGGTCGGGAATTTCGGCGCCGTAGGCGATGGCAGGGGCAAGAACGTTCTCGGGTGGTGGGTTTTCTTCAACGCGCCGGATAGCGTCTTTCGCAGCCTGCTTCTCTGCAGCTTCTCTTGCCTGGTCGGATTCTTCAACGGCGTCGGTTCGAAGCTTGACGTACTCCTTTACTTGGTGGTGGTCCATACCGACGAGGTGATCGGCGAATACAACGCGCTCAAAAGTAACCCAACTTCCGCCAGGTCCAGGAGGGAGAGGGTACTCGATATTTGATACGGGTTCGCCAAAGCGAGTGTTTTGCTGGATACGAGTGCGAAGGCGGTCACGAACGTCGATAAATCCAATAACGGCGTGCTTGCCGTTTGGGTCGGGTACGGGAGAGTCTCTCCAGTAACCCAGAATAACACCTTTGACGCCACCCAGTCCGTGCCTACGAGGTTTGGCTGATGCGCGGGGCGTGCCTTCCTTCTCCGAGACGAGACTGTTCTCCATTTTGTCTTCACTTAGGTCGTTGAAGACAGATGCTCGCTTGCGCTTAGGGTAGTGTGAGGTGACAGGCTCGTCCTCGACATCGGCCATGTTCTCGTCCTCCTGGTCGGAAACCACACGGAGCGGTGATGACTTGCCTGCGCCATTACGGTTGCCGACGACAATTTCGTCTTCCAAAGCGCGGTCGTTGCCTCCTGAGACCGGGCTCATATTCTCAGGAGGGGGAGTCAGATCATCGTCGTTGGCGGTGTCGTCATCCTCTGGAGAAGGAGGCTTGACGCCATTTGTGCTTGGTCTGTATTCAATGTCAGCACGAGCTACGGGATTAAGTGATGCATATTCATGAGCACAACAATTCTGGGAGTCAAAGTGCAATATTTCAGTATTTAAAAGAAAAAGAAAAAGGGGGACCAAGATAGACCCAATGCAATCCAACAACCATACAAAGTTTAGTTCAATACGGGGAAATAGTGAGTTGGGAAGCACGCATCGGTGTAAGCCGCAGGTAATCACTGATGAGATCAGGCGGCAAACGCTTCAGATGAGGTGTGATCAGCACCGACGAGCATGGGGTGCCTCAAACTATTCATTGCTTGAGTCGGTTCTTGATGACTTGTCATGGCGCTCTTCTCTAGTAGAACGATCAACTCGATCGTCCATCTCTAAAAGAGGGATCCACCATCGTCGACTAGTTGGCATAACGAGCGACGCGCAGCTGAGTTTGACTAACCTCTCCTGCAGTCCTTTTGCTTGCTTGATGATGAGAGAAAAAAAGACTGGGGGTACCCTTGCGTCGAGTGGCCCGAGGTGACATTATACAAGGATCGTGTAGTGAGGAGGCATGTAACAAGGACGAAAGTGTGCCTTGAGGACGTAACGAGACAAAAGCGAGAAGCAGTAGCCTCTCTTCTCAAGAGAAACACACACTTGCGATGGGCTTGACAAGTTTGAAAGAGAGTGGCTCAGTTGAATGAAGGGGTTGTTGAAATAAGGGAGAGGGGTCGTGGCTCTGCCAGCGAAGCTGACATTTGGCAGGATTTGGCAGGCTAGCTTAGTAGTCGAAACTAAGAAGGACCAACTGGGTGAAGAGGCACACACACGCACGCACACACACAGGAGAGAGGTTGCTGCGTGAGCCACGACTTGAGCTAGGGAATGAGAGAGGTCCAACGAAAGGCCAATGATATTGCCAACCACAAGGCAAAAGTGCAGGTTGAGGCTGTGGACCAGTGTATGACTTCACATCTGGCCAAAGCGCACAACCGGGCTCTAAAGGGGGCAAAGAAGAAAGAGTAATGAGGGGGAATTGCTAGACAAGCAGGAACAGGGCGTGATATAATGGAAGCAGATGAAAAGAAAGGCAAAAAAACAAGAAAGAAAAGAAAAGTAGATGGCCAACTTACTCGGTTGTGGGAGTCTCGACAGCAGGAGTCTGTTGTTGATGTTCTGATGGTGCAACCGACGGCTGCTTCGTTTCGACCTCTGTGGCCTCCATTGCGATCGGCGCAGGAGGTTTGTGGTCGGGGGAGGGAGTGAGTTCAGCCAGAGTTGCGAATGTGTGGCGTGTATGCAGCCACAGTCAATTGCAATAGAGTCCAAGTTGATAGAGGATAAGCGATGAAAAGTCGCGGCTAAGCCCGTCTCTTTTGATGGAAAGGAGGGTTTTAAAGTGGTGAGAAATGGATGGGGGCGAGGCGGTTGTTGAGCTTGAGCTGTCAGGTGTGGTATGATGTGGTTTAGATTGTATTGGGTTGGGTTGTGTGTGTGGTGGGTGTGTGTGTGTGTGTGTGTGGTTGTGAAAAGGGCAGAAGCAGCTACCTTTAGGGGGAAATGGCTGGCAGTCGTAGATTTTTTGTTTAGTCAATGACGGTACGGTTAGGCTTCCCAGTTTGGGGGGGAGGGTCGCGGGTTCGTGTTTGAGGCCAAGATTGAATGTGACCGGGGGAAGTGGAGACTTTGGCGGCGTTATGTGTAATTGCAGCTAAGGTATTTTCACTTCAGGTCTATCGGCTATCGTATTATGTTCTGATTGAGAGCCAAGGCCCAGCCAATGCGAAAGTCCCAGTCAAGGAAAGGCGTAAAGCTCTAAACGTCGTGAGGTACCTCAGGCTTATGTCGCAAAGCACGGACACTTGCTGGCAATGGCGCCGCCTATCGGGGATCAAGAGCCTTGAGCGCTGGTTAAACGAGATTGAGGCTAGCTTCAGTAAGGGAACTGTCGTGTTTTGTCGACGGAACAGTCAGTTGGCGATGACGAGAATTGGCTTTTACGAGTTGACCAAGTTGGGATGTGAATATGTAAGAAGGAAGAAGAGATGGTAACGAAGGGGTGTGTGTGTGAAGGTCCGTGTTGACGATATTGTGGGTTGACTGGTTAAGTTGGTACGTGTATTGGTAAGAAGAAGTAGCCTAGCTAATGTCCAGTGGGCATAGAATGTACCTGTGCCGTGGTACCAGGTTGGGTTCCGTGTTGTTTGGAAAAATGGAGATGGTGGTCTTGGCAGGAAGGGATGGATGCAAAAGTCCAAAGGGGGGGCAAGAAAAGTGAAGGGAGAAGGGGGAAAACGGATTAGAGAGAGAGAGAGAGGAAGAAGAGAGATAGGCGATGGGGAAAGCCGGAAAGTTTACAGCGCAAATGGGGATGTGAACGTGGAGGAATTTTTCATCACCACCATCGGTCATAAGGTGGGTGGGCGCCATGGAAGAAGGATAATGTCAGGGTGAGAGACAGGTTTTAGTTTCCCAAGGGAGGAGAGACCAACCAGAGTTGCCATTGACATGACGCATTTCGGGTGTGGTTCCAGTTTAGTGAGTAGTGTCATTGTACTTGACGAGTGTACTTTGCTTTACGGCAAGACGTACCGACCAAGCACCTTACAACACAGTCACTCTAGTCATTACTCACCTCACCTACGGCTTCTCATAACACATTCGGTATAGCCACATGATTGCCAAGCCGAATCTCTCTCTTTCTTTCTCTCTCTCTCTCTCTCTCTCTCTCTCACTATCCTTCCTTCTCTCTTACTTTTAATGTATCGCCCGCATCGCCAGCAGGTCAGACATCCATCTGATGCTCAGACCAGTCGCAGATTCCAAATGCTAATTAACGATTGATCCCCCTTTCTCGCTCATTCACAATCTTTCCCTCTTAAAGTTGGTTACATAGTAAGCTGCGCCTGCACATGCACCACTGTACAACGCCCGTGTAAAACCCAATCAATCCCAGTCGGAGTTGCGACGTAGCGCCATATACTCGCTCATCCGACCCTCTGGTCAGGGGGGGGGGTCCCTGGCCAGTGGTGTACAGTCAGATAAACGCCCTGGTGTAAATCGGCTGTTTGGCAATTGGACGGAGAGATAAAGTCCACGTTCACGCGACGTGCCTCTTGAGTGTGTTTACGTTTGTGTAAGGCGCCCTCTCTCTCTCTCTCTATTATTAAGGGTCGAGGTACGGCTCTCATAGGTACATCCAGGGCTAGGAATACCGTCCATCTGTTCTCTTGCCCCTCGTCCCCTCTTCATTGTACTCTGTCTCCGTCGCGTTTGGGTTGCCTTGGCCTTTTGGTTGGGTTGGTCCGCATCCAGTCTATGAACAAAGTCCCAACTCAAAATCCACTGCCGTTGGTCTTTGCGAAGGTTGGGTACTCCGTACGTAAGGAAAGGTATCTTTTTCCTATGCATACATAGCATCCGTACTATGTTCGTACCCACCCCCCTCCCCTCTCTTTTGGTTCCACTTTCGACTTGAGGTAATTTAGGTATCTTTTGATTTTCCTTACCACCAGAGTCTCTCATTTGCTGTATCGGTCTCTTGGATGTACTTGCGTACCTCGACTTGAATGTACATAATTCGATATTATTACTGCAATAGCCTGGTCTAGCACTACCCAAGACAACCCGGGCGCCAGCCAACAATCGCATTTCTTGTCATGTCGGCCCACCCCTGCCTGTCTATGCCCTCTGCCTTGTCCATCTTCTTACCTCCCTACTCACACTCCGTCTTGTGCTTTTTGGTTTGGGATGACGATGCGAACCAAAAGCAGAGCGCAATTACCACCCTTGCAACACGCAATATGAGGCAAACCGACAGTTGCTTTACGCCGTCGGCGAAACAATCGAACACAACTTATAACCTATGTACTTTGATTATGCACTTTCAAACACACATGAGCAACTCCGTTCTTGAGACTGATTGACTGGCCTCCATGATCGTTTTCGCATCCGTTTTCAGCTGACGCCAACCCTGGCTTGGTTGGGCCACTAGTTATTACTAGATACAAAAGTCCATCCGGCTCCTCTCGTTATCGTCCGTTGATGCCGTGCAAAGGAAGAAAAAAAATTCGACCATTTGCCATGGATCATTGAGTTGGGACACTGGTATTACGATGACGACTCCACCTGGGTTTTTAGGCCCAGGCCCCATGTTCCCTGTATCGGTTGAACTAATGATATTGTGTTCATTACCTCAGCGGTGGATCTCCGACTTGACACGCCGCATCAGCGCATCTCATCGCATCATCGCCGGGTGCCCCAGTTGTCTTGAGTGTCTTGCCTTGCTCGTTTTCATTGTGTCCTCTCTGAAAATGCAACGCCAGCTTTTTAAACTTGCCGTTGCATCGCTAATAAACGCGCCACGCACGTCTCGTCTCTTTCGGCAGCCAGGTGCGACTATGTAGAGTTATCCAGTGTAACTCCCTGCGTTTGCTTGCTTCTTCCAAGCCGAACCTCCAACGCACCCAAAACAAAAAGACAAAAGGGGGCGGATCTTCCTTTCCCCCCTCCCACCTTTTTTTCCGCTCTTAGCTTTGCCGGGGTTTTATCAGAAAAGCACTGTCAGCAAACAACCGGATGTGCAATCCTAAACCCGAAACACTCCCAGTTGCCCTATCAAGCAACTCCGGAACCTGGAATATGTAATCTTGATGCGCAACCAAGAGTTGCGTGATTCCCTCTTGATTATGTTGGATCGCGGGGATGTTTCCTGTCAATAACAAAAAGGTTCAGTTACTGAGACCGACAAAAAAAAAAAAAAAACTAACATGTGCCGTGATTTGCAAAACCCCATTTCGCGCCAAGCCATACTGTTCCATCCTGAAGCTGTTTCTGCAAATTAATCAATACAGTGGTAGGCCATTTAGGTAATTATTCCGCTCTTTATTTTATTTTATTTTTTATTCCACTATCCATCTCCCCCGTGTCATCCGGTCGCCAGTATAGTGTTTACGATGGTCCGACTTTAGACTCTGTGGTGGCCAAAGTCTACTCAAAAAGTAGAGAGGATGCTTGTCTCACAGATGCCAAAGCTCTGGTTAACACCATGCTTTACTTTTTGGGAAATAAAATAAAAATAAAAAAAACGCTAAGGTGCTACTGCGGTGGTTTATGAGTTACGTACCCCCATGCTAATTTGCCATCCGCATTAGTCCACCTGCGTGCTCAACACCCCCGCCATTCCGCATCCGCATCAAGCCCTCACCCCCAACCCTGCCGATCGCCCACAACATGAAATATAATTCAATCTTTTCACAAGAAGGACATCTAAGGCAGCATGCCAGAGTGGTTAATGGGTGAGACTTGAATCTATTGAATTTAATCATTCTCTATCTCATGACTTCGGTCGCGCAGGTTCGAACCCTGCTGCTGTCGTAACTTTTTTGTGTTTTGGCGATTTTCGAAGTTTCTCAACCACATTTGCTTAATATCCTTTGGCTTTTAATTACATACATCTATCTCTTTTCACATCCGCAAAGAGAAATTGAATAGGCTATAGACAGGTTGACGTTGTGTTTGCCGATGATGCTTCGGCATCATATGCTGTCACCTGCAACTCGACCACTTTTTGGTACTTTGGCCCGTACCTCAACCAAGAGCTACATCAATAACATTATCTGCTGACAACATCACATCATGCCGTTGCTTGTCATTGCAGTAAGCAGTAGCAGGAGACTACCAGAGTGGACACAAGACAAAAAGCCATCGCACCAGACCAAGCTGCCTAAGAAACGTGGTGACAAGGGATAGGTGACCGTACCCGGCCCAGGCTCATTCGGTTAATCTTAATACGGCACAGCGCCTTTTTGTTTTTCGCCCTCTACACGCCAGGTTGCTTGTCCCCATGAACTAACTGACTTGCATATGCATGACCTTTGTAAGTAGGTACTTTGTACTCAATACCCGGACGATGTTCAGTGCCAACTAGTAGTAGTATGCCCAACCAAACTCAATACAAATCAATCAAAAAAAAAATCAAGAACCAAGGTTCGCCAGCCCTTGCAAAAAGAGCAAACACATACATACCATACACACAAGCCCCACGGCCCCCCCCCCAATCAGTGTTGTTGGTCAGGAAACTTCAAAGTATGAGGCTGCAAGCATTTTGGTATTGATATCATTACAAGCTTCGCGAGCGACGACCCTGGACAACTAGAGTTGTATAGTGATGAACTCAACAAATGGCCTTTTGCAAATGAAACCGCCAGAGTATATGTATACCAGTGGCAACACGAAAAAGTTTACGCTTGGGAATAGGATTTTTCCCCCCCCTCTTAGAAAGAAGAAAAAGTTCCTCCAATTTCTGTTCTCTCTCTCTCCCACACATGCACACGCACACGCACTTTTTGCCCTCTCTTCCCTTTCGCAATCCATCAGTCATGACCTGAACCCGGACGGTCGCTCAAAGCCCGCGCCTCGGTTGGTTGGTAACCTAAACCGAAAAGGATCCATTGCGTGCCTGACATACCCCTGCCCAGTCCAATTTTCCCTTTCAATATTCCCAATCCTCCCATTCCGTCGCGCCTTACTCAACATGTAATTTTTCATCAGCTCTTTTTTTTTTTTTTTTTTTTCAGTCTTTCATGTGATCGGGAGAGAAAAAAAAAAAAAAGCCCCTCACCCCTTGTCCACCCACCGCGTAACTGGTACTCGGTATCGACCGAAAAAGACTTACTCACCTAGGTGGGCACGCGCTGACTTTGCGGATAGCCCACCTGAATAGAGGGGACCGGTAATAATAATTCGTCCGCTTCAACCTATGCGGCAACTTCAATATAATACAAAACGCCGTCGGGAAAGTGCGTGCCCTTCGCGAACTTACTTACGTATGCCGCTCCTCCACCCACACCCCCATGTCCTCCCTGATTTGCGTATCTAGAGTACTTTCGTCATCCCTGCAACTCTGAGGGTTTCGGGTCTGGCGGTAGTTTGACCTCTTGAGGAAAGTGGGAAAACAGAGTCCGTATGCCGATGGGAGTGGGGGGGGAAGAGTCCTCCTTTCTGTCACGGAGTATCTATTATTTACATGCATTTCCTGTATTTGTCCGGGTTTAATCACGCAAGCACCGGGTTACTCCTCTTCGCCATACTGAGATAACACTCTAGCGTCGTCGACAGAGCCAACTTGCGCGCCGTGTAACCGTAACATGTACAGCTTGGGCCTGTACTCGCATAGGGGCGTATGAAGATAGTCTACAGGAAGGTTCTGCACTTATTGCTAAATTGTCCCACAGACGTCCGCAGTGTCTTAAAAGTACACATAGGTTGCGAGATGAGGCCAGATTGCGGAAAGAGCGAAGAGAAAAAAAGAAAAAAAAAAACAGAGAATCCCAAAGTGGCATGTCCAACGTCGCCGATGAGTCATGGCTTCGTTGTCATTCTGTCATTGCTCACTGACTTGTTGGTTACTGACTCTTAGCAGTTAGTCAATGTGGTGGAAAGGCAGGCTTGATTGGAAGGTGTTGAACCATGGCCATATAGGTCGATATTGGTCAGCGAAAACTCAGTAAACTAGATCATGTCGCGCAAAGTCACCACGGCGGCCAATGTTGGTCAAGGTATGCTTCAAGACGTAATGACATTTCGTAATGATTTCCGTTCGCGATGCTTGGTTGTTTCGCCAAAGCGCCAATCCCTGCTGCATCTCCGAAACTCCATCTATCAACTTCCCAAGCCGTGAGACCGTCTAAAAGTAGCACATAAATTCTACAGTAGTATGATGCTGGGTATCCATTTAATGCTGGCCGATGGTCCTTGCGGCCGCCGCCTCTCCGTCTCCGTTCCTGCTTGTTGCGAGCTCCGGTCCCGGGTTAGACTCGGGTCCTTTATCGTCCCCGTCCCCGACCTCGGCCCCGCCCGCGTCCCCGCCCACCACCGCGTCCGCCTCGTCCACCCTTTCCGCCGCGGAATGCGCCCCTATCAAACCGCTCATATAGCAATTCCTCCCCGAAAGCCGCCTGGCCGAACCTTATAAAGTTGACCAGACCGCGGTCGACAACCGCGATCAGCACGTTGCGGTATCCGTGCCTCAGCCGTTGGTAAAGCCGCCCGGGGCCGCCCATCGTGACCGGGTCAGGGGGTTCGTACGGCGAAGCGCCGAGGAGCGCCGAGACCTCTTCGAAAGAAGGCACGGCAGTGTCCCGCGCGTCAGCCACGGCGATGCGGATATCTGGCGGTGGCAGATCCGTTACGCGGATATTGGGATGCTTGGAAGGCTTCCAGACGTGCCAGAATACCTTGAATGGGTCTTCCGGCTCTGGTAATGTTGGGGGCGCTGTTGGTTTATAGCGGGAAATAAGCTCGAGCTGTTTGTAGACATGGGTGTATTGCCTGTAGATGCCTGGTCGGACCAGGGGGCCGTAAGGTGCTGGTTGGGTCGGGCGGTCTAGCAGAGAAACGAGCCATTGCCAGAGCGTTTTCCTCGGTGGCTCCGGTTGGGCCACTGGCTCGATAGAATCTCGAGGCGCGCGCTGGACGTGGTAGCCCTGCCGCTTCAGGTGAGAGTATACCTGGTACTTGGGCAGAGAAATCTTGCCTCTTTCTCCATCCAGGCCGATGAACAGGGAGTATGCGGCCTGTAAGCTGAGCGGCACGCCCGCATCAAACTCGTCATCCTCCTCCTCCTCCTCCTCCTCATCTCCCTTTTCAGCAGTCTTCTCGTCGTTCTCTTGCGCCACCTTGATCTCCGGGGGCGGCAAAATCTCTTTCAGCTCACGAAACGGCCACCACAGATCCAAGCTCCCCCTCTCGACAAGAAATAGCGCCTCCTCGGGCAATAGCCACAGCTTCCCGACCGCAGGCCGCGGCGCCTTCAAGCCCCTAACCACACGGCCCATGCTCTTCGCCTGCGGTCCCTTCAGGTCTTCCAGAACAACAACTCTCTCCTCGGCATTAATCGGTCTCGTTTCTGCGAGGAACTCTTGCAGGTACTCCGGCTTTGCTAGCCCAGAGGTATCCCCTTTCTCCATGATCCCTTCCAGCGCCTCGGGCCAGTAGTCAGGGAAGTACCATCCCTTACTCCATGCGTCGCGGTGCACGCGCGTGTATCCCAGCACCTCCTCGATGACCTGCCTGCTCATCTCGAGCTGGTTCTCTTGAGCCTTTGTGCCGTGCGACTCGAAATCCTTTTGACCCTTTCTCACGGCCTGAGTTGCAACGCCCTTCTTGTTGAACATTGAGGCGAATAGACGCATATCGAAGAGGCCCTCGTCTTCGGCCTCATCGCCAGCGCCGGAGTCGTCATTGGGCTGTGCGGCGGGGGCCACGGTGGGATTGTCATCGTCGTCGAGGGGCATGTTTGCGGTGTGGCAATATTTCGTCTGGGTTAAATCTTTTTCCTCGCAACAATGTGAGACGGGCGGAGCTAGCGCTTCAATCGAAAATTGGCGTTAAATCAAACTATGCGACATGTCGTGAAAAGTTGACGTTGCTTGCGCAGAAATGTGAGTCTTCGAAGATGAACCCCTCCAAAGAAAAAAAAATGGGCGAGGCTGACTGGCGTTCTGGGGAGCTACTGGGAGGCTTGAAGCTTCGGCCAATGAAAGTTGGCGGATAAGAGGGGACCGACCAGGCTGCAAGCTAGTGTGTGAGCTTGTGGGCGAAACCAGCACAGAACGCTCAGAATGGGAAAAGTGGTGTTGTTGGTTGGAAGAACTAACTAACTGGCTAGAGGGCTGTGGAGGCTGGCTAAGACCAGTGGTGGCGGCCGTCAGCCCACGTGACGGGCCGGCGAGGCCTGCCACCCACACCCCCTCTCAGACTCCTCAGCGAAAAAGCAGTAGAATAATAGGAAATACAGGAAAAGTCCCAAATCCTCCAAATCCGAGGAGTTCTCAACTATTAGAAAACTCGGTCAATTACCGGTTAAACCTGGCCAATAGGAGGTCGTGAAATCCTCCGAATCCCGAAGTCTCAATATCAATAGTCCCACAGTCTCAAAATCCCCCTCTCAATCCAATCCCTCCGCCATGCCCAACAAACGAACGAATTCCTTGTGTTTGACCGCAACCAGTGGCTTCGTGAGTCCATCGGCGGCCATATCAGCGCCCTTGATGAGTCGGAGTTCGATGCTTTTCGCAGTGTGAACCTCCTGTATGATCCATTTGTATCGGACGTCGATGTGGCGGGTTCGTTACGCTTGCTGTTGGAAAGGGAAGGTATTGAAGGGAAGGTATTGATGAGTAAATGGTACTGAAGAAGTATGAATGTTGTGTAGGAGGGAGAATCTTGCGTAAGAACACGAGAAATGGGTGGAATTGTGAGATCCGACCGTAGAAATACGGTGAATCGAAGGGAAGAATGAATACTCGTAGAAGATACGAGAAACTGATGGGCTGGTTCGAAAAACCGAAGCTGAAATGGTTGAATTCTCGTGAAAAACGAGGAATCGAAGTAAAAGTTGTAGTTGTGACTGAAAAGTCTGTTGTTGACCGTGGTGTTCGTGAAAACCAGTGGGTTGTGGTGGTCGGTCGCGTGCCACGTGATATTCGTGCGCGCCAGGCAGCCAATGTCGCGTCAGAAAGTGAAATTCGTCAGCGAAGAGGAAGGAAAGAAAGCGAGAAAATCGCACAGAAGGGTAAATAAAGCGAATAAAATCGCAAAAATTCGTGAATCAATAGAAAATTGACAGACGAGTAGAATAATGGGTAAAACGACGTTATTCCGAAAGAATAACGCTGGGCTCATAACCTGTGGGCGAAACCAGCACAGAACGCTCAGAATGGGAAAAGTGGTGTTGTTGGTTGGAAGAACTAACTAACTGGCTAGAGGGCTGTGGAGGCTGGCTAAGACCAGTGGTGGCGGCCGTCAGCCCACGTGACGGGCCGGCGAGGCCTGCCACCCACAGAGCTTGGTTGTCGATCCTGGGCATCTGTCAGGTCCTGTCAACTTGAGTCAAACAGACATGATGAGAGAAGCTAGGTTTGACGTGTAAAAGTTTTTGTCTTCTTTTTTTGTTACCCGTTATTATTAGTGCAAGCTTGTACTGGTGAGCTTATCTCATGTTGTTACCTAACTCAGAGACAGTTCTGAGCTAAGCTAACAATATCAGTTCGAGTTATTTGAAGCACCATATAACTTGAAAGGGTTTATAATTATTAGGATTTCTGTTTTGATCTATTCAGGAAATATGAATATTCGGCGACAGTCTCTGAAAAGTTCTCTCTCGCGCCGTCATAGGTTTTGTACCAAACAAACCTTCAAGGTACAGCAGTTCCTCAAGCGCGGTACTATTCATTGGAAAATCAACGCCGAAGACTGGATTAGGCTTCGTAGCAGTCGCAGACACTTTCTAAAATGGGCTTGGGGGGTGGGGGGAGGGGATATTCTTCACATTGCGTTTCCTCGACGGCTAGGCTTGCTCCTAATGACGCGGCTCTATGAGATCGTTGTCGGAACCTCGCGAGACCATCCCCTTCCCTGACCAGAAACGCTTATACCCGTCGGTCGCATTACCTTTTATCAATCACTTGACCCCGAAGGAGGAGGAAATGGAAGATCACTTGTTATGTTCACCGGTTGGCGGCGATAAAGTGGGCGATGGATAGACCATTTCCCGTCGAGAGAGCTGACAACTCGTAATCTCACAATTCCTGCATATTACAACGTCTGCCGGTGGCTGTGAGCCTCACAGTTTGGTTAGCTGAACAATCGCGATGCAGCTCGAGAGAGCATAACTCATCGGCGCTACTATGGTGCAGCCTCTTCCGGAGTTCAGCATCTTTAAGAGAAGCTGAAGTATCTATGAATGGCCCCAAAGGAAGGCATAGCTACATACAATATTCATGTACGCGGGCTTGCCTTTCAATTACTTCCAAACAAGACAAAGTTCCTGTTGCAACCAGCAGAACGGCAAAAGTCAAAAAGATTGCTGATGGAGACGAGATTCGAACTCGCGCGGTTTCCCACTGCGGATTTGGGTATCAGAATGTGATTACCTTCTCTGGAGTTTCAGTAACCTTTGTCGCCTTTAACATCTCGGATAAATCGTCGACTGCGTTGGGTTGTTCCTATTTAAGGTATTTCATAGCGGTAAGGGCTTGCTCCTCGTTGAAATGACCGTCGTCTAGTCGATCGAGCGCCTTGTACATGCCATCGAGCATCCGAACCGGCTGCGGCTCCTTGGTGAGATCAACTATCTCACGGTTGGTAGATCGTACCGATTTAGCGGAACCGCTATCTTGTAGCTTCTCTGGCGTGACTGGGCTCGAATTCGGAGGACGGGGGGCGAAACGGCCGTGACGGTTGCGGAGGCTCATCTCGTCTTCAGTCTCTTGGTCAGATAGAAAGTCTTCGTCTTCTTTGTCGCTAGAGATCACGTCTTCTTCTTCTGAATGGAGAACTGCGGCAGGCGTCCACGGCTGGGTGCAGACTGGCCAGTGGAATTGGTAGGGGAGTGTTCTGGCTTTAGCCGCGAATGGGGGCTGAGGATTCTCAAGGAAGGTCCGCTTCGCGAGTATATCGTCCTCAGTATATTCGAAGAATGGTTTGTCCCAGAAGATGGTTCGCTTGAGAGATTCGCTTGAAGGGCCGAAACCTTTGCTACGTGCCTCTCGGTGAAATCCGTTGATGAGCGCGAGGTTTCTCTGTCGCAAGGCAACGAACAAGTTCGCAACACTTTTGGTCTTCGCAAGCAGACGTTGTTCACCGCCGTAGATAGTAACTGCTCGGAAATATCCCTCGAAGCTTAAGGTTTCGCCGGAGCGTCCCTTGGAGAAGTGATGATAGAAGTCGTTGCGGAACATATGGTCTCTTGACGGGTGGCGGTCGGTGGTGTTTGGTACAAAAACTTACCGTGTCATGACGAAGAGAACGACGTGTTTGATCGGGATATGATCGTATAAGTAGGTAGAGTCGATTATGGGGAAGAAGTAATAAAAAGGAAGAATTTGTAATAGAATGAGGATGAATAGGTGATTGGGAGAGTGTGTGATGGTGGATGATGGGGAGTTTTGGGGAGAAGTAAACAGGTCTAGCTGTGAGTGAAATAAAAGCTTTTTTCTTCGCACCTTCCTCCTCTGCTGAGTCAACTATTTGCTTGTGAGGGCGTGTATCCCTTTATATGGCGACGACTTGTGCTATTGTCATAGTGAATTTTTTCTGGTGCTCATGCGACTGTTGCCTACGCGTGCAACTTCACCTTGTCGTTAGTTCTCTGCTGTTCTGCCTCAGCCACCTCGGCGCGACCTCCTTAGTCTTTCACCTAGAATTCTATTACTTCCGCCGCCTGATGAGTTTATGCTTTCTTCCTGATATATGGTCGGACTATTCTCTCCATGATGAAAGCGAATGTAAGCTTGCCTTGCCTGCATTCGTCAATTCGTCTGTAATTATCACGATCTTTTACCAAATCTTAAGGGGCGGTATTGTTCAGTTTGTAGTTCTCTTTCTTGCCTTGTGTATTGTCTTCTTTCTTCTAGGTCTTAGTGCTGACTTTCGAAATAGTCTTATTGGGTCGTTCGCCTCTGTCGCGTCCGCGTCTATCTAGATGTTATATACGCTCGTGTAACTTTTCTATTTAATAATGTACTGGATGCGCTCCATCGGTCTGTGGGTGTTATGCCGTGGAGAACCTGAGCTTGGTTCCCAGTTCCTCCTATAATGTCCTCTAAAAGTCTAAGAGGAACTTGGGGTCTCGGTCGCGTTCGAGGTGATTAATCCATCCAGCCAGGCGGATGAAACTATGCTGACAACCAGGGCAGCCGTTTCTCTTCTCCAGCTCATGGGCGAATCGCAGTTACTCGGCTCGTTTTTTGTCGACGTCTGCTCGCTTGATTCCATAACACTCGTCGCGTTCCAGGTGCTCGGGTTTAGTTGAAGTTTGCCACTTAGATGAGACTTCATCACCCGAAGTCTCTTGAACACATCATGAAGTTTTTGATCGGCTGTTATTGCCCATAAGGGAATCCCACACTCTGTGAAACATACAGTTAACTATCAGAGGAAAGAGCCCTCTTTCAAACCATCTACTGAGCACTGTATCCCGAAATTTGCAATCACAGACAGGGACAGGAGCAATCTCTATCCACCTATGTATTACAAGGTAGGAAATTCTTGGTCCGCAAGTTTGAATCATTCACTGAATCTCTTCCAGCCTCTGAGAGACAACAGCTGGTGTAGATGTCCACCTGGGCACAAGAATCGCCAAGTGGGAGCTCCACGAGAGCATCACTCATGGTTTTCCTCAAATTCTTTAACGAATATTCGGTTCCTGGGCTAAGTCACCTGGCATACAGGAGAACGGCATTAAAAAGATCAGTTTTCAGGAGCACTCTTGCACAGTGCCGGCTCTGGAGACCACGCTCCACTTTCTCTATATTGGAGGTACCATTTCCCACTACAGAGGCTTGATGCTTTCGAACTATGTTAATACATTGCAGATAAGGTTCCCTTTGTCGAAACCGATGTTCTCGAACTTTTGGTTATTTACAATGTTTCGGCATCGCTCAATATTCCAACATTAGGAAATATGGTGGCGTCTCGTATCGGCAACCGGATGGGAACCATACTCGTAACTCGGGTAGACCTTTTAGATGATGTTTTTACTGCGATTGAAATCATTACCTGCGAAGAGGGCAAATCTTAGAAGATAATTAACTAAGAGTTGCAAAAGCCTATCACACCTTACCTAAACATGCTATTGCAATTGCAATAGCTCATCAAGCTTATGAGAGAGCACTACCCTTTCTGCTTCCAAACTTTGGGAACCGCTGTTAAAGAAATACAAAAGCTTAAGGTCGATTTCACGAAAGTACAACCAGGAATTGATTTACTACTACCAGGAACACCCAAGACTTCCATGGGTGTCGACCTCACCTCGGCATGTTATTGCAACAGGGCCAATTTATCAATTTGTTGAAGGAGAATCACAAATCTTGTTAGAGCTCCACGAACACATCATCGTGGGAGCTCCATGAGAACAGCACTCGCGGGCGAAATGCCCAATTCGACTTGATCATCAGCCAAGCCAAGATCGTGCGTGTTTCCCCTCAAGCTCTTAGCGAAATCTTCGAAACTTGGGCTAAAGCGCGCAATATGTAAGAGAACGGCATCAAAAGATCAGTTTTAAGGAGCACTCCTACGCAGTACCAGCGATTCCACGTCTCGGGCTTAAACAATAGCCACGAGGAAGAGAATATAGCTGATCTATCCACTTCCGACGCTCCCAGATTTCACGTCGTGTTTGTTGATACAGACCTTCGATTGATATTGCCAACCAATCGCTAACGTGCTGGATATAAGAGGGTGGCGCGGTGAATCAAAACGCAGTCGCTTGCCGCAGTTGCCAAGAACTCTTCGATGACGAGCAAGGTCTTACACAAGCTTTGGGCGATGAAAATCAAAGGCACCCACGTTTACTGTACAGTTTGCACCATGGAATTCAAGAATCTGGAAGCTCAGCAGAAACACATGCTAGAGATCAGAGGATGGCAACGAAGAGTTTGTGTTATGCCATGTGTAGTATCTCATTTAAACGTTATCAAGAACTCTTCGATGACGAGCAGGGTCTCATGAAACACAAGCTTGGGCGACGGAAATCAAAGGCACTCGCGTTCACTACACAGTTTGCATCATGGAATTCAACGGGAACGCTGACTTCCATGGGCTATCAATTCAAGAGGTTGGTCATCGGAGCCTCGGGACGGACGTGGGTGGGCGCTCTAGTGGTTTCATTGGAATTTCCTACTTGGATATTAGTTCAGCTTCCGATAGGCGCACGCATGTGAAAAATAACATTGCCTGTCCTGGTTGCCAGCATCGTTTCATTCGCCTGGCTGGATGGATCAGGCGCCACGATCTACCCCACAGGCTGCGACACTCGGCCACTTGAATGGGTGGCCCGGCGAAGCCCAGCATAGCCCTAACACTGCCAGTGTAGCCCAGCGTAAGCGTGTGAAACGGGTATGTCTTGGCAAAGCCAGCGCTGCTTTGGAAAGTTGAATTGAATTGAACGACATCTTGTCTAGAGGTACGAAGTTCCGAAAGGTTCCAGTGTTTCCGCGAGAAACCGAAAACGTGTCTGTTCCCTTCAAAAATTTGCCCGCGGTGCTCGAGTTTGTCATTATGTCAACGGAAAGTAGCTTTCAGGACGGATGACACAAACTCTATGGAACAGTTGGCTTTGCAGCCTTTGAGAGCTCCATTCCGTTCCGACTGCCGCCTGCCGTCTGCCGTGGCTTTGCGCTAATTATGCCCGCTCGCGGGCACAAGCAGTGCCTGCAACAAGCCTATTTTCGCTTCGTACCTCGCTTGGCAAAGCGCCAAACGCACCGAATCCACATTCATTACCTATAGATATGAAAACTAACCTTCAATTTCCAACAACTACTACAAGGTGGAGTGGCCGAGTGGTCAGTATGTCGTTGTACCTGTCAGAGGACATAAAGCTGAATGAAGTGGTCGTTTGTTCAAGGGGGAAGAGCCACCGGCGTGACCACGAGGGGGGAATTCCAACCATCCGTGGTGGTGTGTTCCGAACCCCAATCCTGGACCAACAGGAACCTCAGTCCATGATCACAGCCGTAAGCGATGATTTAAGCGGGCCCGATATGACGAGATATGTACTCGAGGTACGTTTGCCTTACGAGTGGTACTGTGAAATCTGAACTGATCGTCCTTAGTGGTTTCGAGCCCATACAGACTCGGCTGTAGCTCAAGCGATGGCGGTCCTCTGATGGCGTGCGACTGGTGGATTGCAGAAAAAGTTGCTCTCTGTAATTGTGTTTGGTGGTTTTGATCAGGACAATATTTAGGCCACCATGGGACATATTTGGTAATTCCATGGCAAATCCGATATACACAACCAAGTTCGAGAGCCAACTACTCCCGATGAGTATACCCGTCCGCGGTTTAGCGTTCCTCAATGTTGACCAGGCCAGAGCAGCTGCGGCATCCTGATTGGTGCCTTGGGTAATGCCAGAGAATATATGAGAAGGGAGAGAATGTCGAAGAGGGAAGTGGCTATGAAGTAGTGACGTCTCTCGTGGCTCGACTGTTGAGAGGCTTCAAGTGCTCAAAAAGTCTCTTCGGTTGCTCCAATGTCTTTCCTCATCCTCTATCCATCACCCACCCTATCGCTGCCAACCGGTGAACGTAAGAAGTGGCCTTCTATTTCCTCCTCCTTCGAGGTCAAGTGATGAAAAAAAAAGGCAATGTGATTGACGGGTGTAAGGGTTTCTGTTCAGGGAAGGGACTGGTCTCGCGAGGTTCTCCGACAACGAACCCACAGAGACGTGTCATGAGGAGCAAGCCTCCAGCCGTCGATGAAACACGACGCGAACAATAACTACCCCCAATCCGCTTGATTAAGCCTCTGCGACTGCTACTAAACCCAATATAGGCTTTGACGTCGTCTTCCTAATGATTAGTACTGCGCAATGGCTCGAGTTCAATCTACGACGTCTACTTTGTACAAGAGACTTCAGGCTTGCGTCAGTACAAACCTTTCAGCTATAGTGAGGTGCTGGTCAGGGTTGGTTGAGATGTGTCGGCTTCTAAGTTGTCGAATATTGCCGGTAAATGAGATTGGCAAGAATCAGATTCTATGTAAGTCGCGGGCGCCGCAAGCAAAGCTCTGGAAATCTGGCCTTGGAGGAGGTGAGGTTCAAGTGATTGGAGCTCTTAGGTAGTTTTACTGTTTCGTTGTGAAGTGGACAGTGAGAAATAGCGGAATGGCTCATTGCTGGAGACTTCCTTCAAAACATTACTCCAGCGTCTGAAGACCGGCTACGGGCGCTTCCCTTGGGGTATCGTACAGTGCGAAGTAGTCTTGCGATTGTTTGCCATAGAAACCATGTTCACAAACATCTCAAGCACTTCGAGATCTTTCATTGCAGCACGCATAAGCTTATCGACAGCTGCAATGACTTTCATTCACATCGTTGATTGAGTTACTCTCGAGACCTGTCTTCAAAAACACGCCACCCTCAAGGATCGTATCGCTAACTTTAATTTTAAAGTTAACGGTGTGAAAACTAAATCAGGTCTTTTACTATTGAATAAATTGCAAGGATTAAGCAAATGCCAACCCCTGCAAGCGCTATGGCAAGGACCATACATTCAGCAACATTCAGCAAAGGCTTCATCGCTAATCTGAAGTCTATTTCAGCTGGCCTTCGCCACCGCCAGCACATTTTTGAGAAGGCTTTCTTAAACGCCTGCAATGGGTTGTGCCACGTGAATTATATATCCTATTCTGCTAATGACGGTCTGGTTTGAAATCAAGCAGTAATGAGTTAGGTCAGCCGTCCTACGTTGCTTGCGCGATTGAGATGGATGAGAACAGTCTCGTACATAGTATTTCATATACTAGCCGGCATGTTTTCTGCAGTCTGGTGGCAGGTGGTTGGTCGCCAAGCTGAAGAGCACGTTTTTGTCAATCCTGGGTCCCAATCAATCATACCTGCGTCGTTAACCAGTCGGCATTAGATAGTAGCAGCGAGAACCTTAGGACAAACTAACCATGGTGTAATGGGGTTTGTTTTTGCTTCACATGGGTACTGATTTGGTATGGTGCTAATCAGGTCACTGAGACTTCCGGCCAATACCATGACTAATGAGCGGAGTGGGGCCATAGACATGGACCCACTCCGGACATGCACGGCTGAGTGGGTCCATGTTGTGATTGGTCACATTGCTCAGGGAACCACGGAACACGGATCCGTGGCCGAAATGACACGCAACCATCACAATGAATGAGCAATATAATTACAAATTGATCGGAAACACTCAACAACCATTAGGTGGAGTGACCGAGTGGTTAAGGTGCTGTGTTTAGGTAATCAGATTCTGATACCCAGATCCGCAGTGGGAAACCGCGCGAGTTCGAATCTCGTCTCCATCATCTACCTTTTTTGACTTTCCCCGTTCTGCTAGTTGCAACATGGACTTTTTCTTGTTTGGAAGCAATTGAAAGGCAAGCCCGCGTACTTAACTATTGAATGCAACTGTGCCTTCCTTTTGGGCTGCTTTGAGATACTCCAGCTTCTCTTAAAGATCCTGAATTTCGGAAGGGGTTGCACCACAGCCTTCTGCTTCCGTAGCGCCGATGAGTTATGCTTAAACTGCATCACCATTGTTCAGCCGACCAAATTGTGAGGCTCACAGCCACCGGCAGACGTTGTGATACGCAAGAATAGTGAGGTTACCAGTTGTTCGTTCTTTTGACGGGAAATAGTGTGTGTTGATACCACCAAGCTAGCCACATCCCCGCCAAAATTGATAGATGGATAAAAACTCAACCATACATCAACTCCCTTAGCCCATTGCCGCCATGCGGTAGAATGTTAGCCTACTTCTTACCTTCCAGCCTGCCACTGGTTCTTTCCACAGGCGTCACTCATCTACTACTGTATTGGCATTCCTCACATTCTACTTACCCTACGGCGGCTACCAATGCTGCGGCTGATATGGCACCATACTAGTGATTGCAATAGCCGCTATCGCACCACGGCCAAACCCCATGTCGCAATCGATCTAGATTCCCTTCTTCCATCGAGCTGCTGCCGTTTTGGCTAAGCCATGGTGAAGTGTCTTTTCCGCCCAAGAATACAACAACATTTTCAAGCCCAGCATGTCTCGGTATCACACAGCCAACCCAATGGCTATCCGAGGCGCCGATCTGCCGAACACATTCATCATGGACTTTTGCAGGCTGAGCTATAGCAACGTCTCAAACTCCTAGCGTGTCTCAATATCACACAGCCAACTCTGCGGCTCTTCGTAGCTCTGATCATGCCGAATCCATTTATTACGGACCTTCGCAGGCCGAGGGATAGCATAAAAGCATGCCAAGTCGTCTGGCTACCATCATCTCACGATGCTACTCGGGAGGATCGCCCAACTCATCGCCTTCTGCACAGAAATCAGGACCCCTTATAGGTTCTCTTCGCTTTAGATTGATGCAGTTGGGGCTTGCCTTCTCTTCCTCACACCATCTCTTCACCTGGATTGACATAAAACTCATACCTCGGCAAGAGCTACAGTCGCTGTCGCTGTGGCTACATCATGGTAAAGTGCCTTTTCCGCCCGGACATGTAATAACGTCCTCAAAACCAGCATGCTAATATCTTACTACCTGTTAAAGATTCAAAGGCTTTCAACTTTCACTACAAAGAAGACAGGTATGCTGATCGATATAGAATGCGAAGGCGAGGTTAGTTCAACCGCTTTTGGAGGTGAGCGTTCTTCGCCGGCGGACGAATTCCACAGCACCAGGAATACACAGGCTGCAATAATACTGGTTGACTCTTTCGAGTTCAACTACCGAGCCCCTCTTCTTTTCTCCGCTGTTCAAAAGGGTAGATACCGAGTAAACTACTTTCGAGGGCTCCTACTTTCGAGGGCTCCTACTTTCGAGGGCTCCTACTTTCGAGGGCTCCTACTTTCGAGTTCAAGTACCCTCAATCAACCTATCTACCGAAAACGATACTGCTTTAAGAATACTCTTCGCCGGCGAACGGATTCCACAGTACCAGGCATGCACAGACTACAACAATACTGATTGACTCTTTCGAGTTGAACTACTGAGCCCCCCTTCTTTTCTCCGCTCTTCAAGAGGGCAAATGCCGAGCCAACTACTTTCGAGACCTACATTTAATTTCAACTGCCCTCAATTAATACATCTACCGAATACGACGCTCTAATACTACTGCGGCTACGCTATGGTAAAGTGCCTTTTCCGCCCAGTCATGCAGCAACGTCTTGATAACCAGCGTGTTTGTCGATTGTGTGAGCTAAGATATAACCTTGAAGGCGAGAGGAACCATCGCCTCTAGGAGAAACAAAAACTCCTCGCATCATTTCTACACTCCACGGACGTAAACAAAGCCAAGTCACCAATTCAGCGGTTATTCAAACAGACTTAGGGAATATCATAGCCCGGTTATGCTAAACCCGTTTATTGTGGGCGTAGCTCCCGACAGTCCCTACCGTCTTGCTGTACTAGACGAGCATCGCGCCCTCCCTGATTTAAAAGTCCCAATCTCCCTAGACCGGGAATATAATACTCTACGGATATCAGGCGAAGCTGCGCTCCTCGACGCAGTTGACAGGCTCAGAGAGTTGGAAGACAGGCTCGCCCAGCAGACCTTGGTAAGCTTCTTATTATCTCTCATTTGTAATCTCACATATACTTATCAATCGCTAGAAGATATCGACGTCTCAAAAGCTCAACGCGCCCAGCCTCATCAAGCCTAAGGTGTCTGTTCCTGCTAAGCGCAAGTCATGCGCCCCTGCCGAGCCCAGAAGACTACGCACTTTTCTCACTTCTTTAACGACAGATACCATTCAGTCTGATCAAGAGATATAGAATCTTATCACCTTTGAGTAGCTTGTTACTAGATTTACGGAAAACTGTTTTTCTGTCGAGCAGAAATAGCGAGGCGTCAACTGGAGGGAAAGAGGAGGGTTTATTCTTTTCTGTCACTACGGCATCTTTTCTACTCAGGTCCTATTGCGAAATCACCTTGATGAGGTGCCTTCGGTAACAAACTCACGATATCAATTTCAGAATGACACCGAAGCCGGCCATTACAAATTCGGGTGCCCCATACTCAGCTGCCTCCAAACGACAGAATCTGCATAAATGCACACTTCGACCTGGCCTACTCAGCGACGTAGAGGGCTGCGTGGATATATACAACGTGGCTGTTGCGTCCCATTCGCCCGTCGCCGACACTAACCCGGTTTCTTACTAACAATTTGAATCCATATTTAGCGCATGTAGCAAAAGAAGGATTCCATTTGTGGTTGCGGCAATGCAGAGGGCCGATTTGACTGAGGCGAATAACTGGCCGTCACTCGACGCCTACCGGCAATATATGAAGTGGAAGCAGACCCAACCCCAGGAAGACCAGCCTTCCGAAGCCACAATTTACGGCAATACAGAGGGGGGCTGACTACAGAGGGCTGCGCGGGGGAACATGGTCGCATCTCTTATCAGTCATCGGATCGAACCCATTCTCGCAACTCGGATAGACCAGCTGGTTGAAATTTTTTTCATAGCGACTGAAATCATTAGACGTAAAAATGGCGATTACAGAAATCAACCAAGAACTGCAAAAGGCCGTGGCCTCTCATCTTGTCATGTAATTAAAACAAGACAAGTTTATCAGTCTGTTGAAAGAATATCACAGGTTCTGTTTTCAAACCCTAGTAACCGTTGTTGAAGAAGCAAAACACCTGGGCTAGTATATTCTGTACTTGAAGCATACATTGATACCTTGTTAAATGAGGAGTTAGTAAGACCAAAGTCCCGGTGTGGCGGACACTGACAAGATTGCAATAACTGCGTTGTGCTGTGGTTGTCCTTCGATTGGCCATCGAGTGGCCATTACTCAACCGGGAGGGCTGACCACCACTTCCCCGAACAGAAACGCTTATATCGATCGGTCACATTGCCTTTTATTAGTCACATGGTCCCAAAGTAGGAATACAAGAAAAACATTATTACATTCACCGGTTGGCGGCAGGATGGTGCGCGCTTGCCTTCGCGATGTAGAGGCTCACGATAACTAGCGTCTGACTTCCTTCCTTCTTTACCCTCTCACTTCCCTCCTTCCTCCCTCTAACTGAAAGTTCTTGTAAACGGATAGCCCTAGGAGCCCACAGAGCGCAATCTCTACCTATTTTCTCTCTGCGACTGTCGCCCACCGTTGTGCACCGAAGCCTATGGTGCCTATCAAAGCTAGCATTGCCCATCGAAGTCACCCCATCGAAGCCCACCGAAGCCAGCCGAGCCAACCTAGCTACATGAAATCGAGCGTGTTTTTTACGATGCTGGTGACGAGTTGAAGCTGTTACTAGGTGCGAAGCCCCCCTTACAACCTGCAGCCTCTGGCGACTTCCGCTGCGTGGGGCCTCTTGCCTGCGGCGCCGCCACCACCACAGCTTATAACAACCACAACCACACGATGATACAATATCGTTACTATATATAGCTCTTAGTAAGGCTTAATTACTTCTTGAAATTCTTCTAATACCGATATATATCAGACGTCGTCATCACAATGCACTGCGGTCTTGCATCAGAACCCGCCCTGTCGAGGACACTCAAGCTCTGCCGACTTCGACGGCAGGTGGTAGTCAGCTTGGTCAAAATACGCAAGAAGAGATCATCATCTGGTTCTTGCCAGCTACAAACAATCCAGAAAAGTACTGTTCTGTCAGGCGGAAATGGCGAGACCCCAATAGGGGCGAGGGGCGTTATTTGTTGCATATGACAAAGGCCGACCTTGCTGAAGCCTTTCGAGGGGCCTGTCGAATAGCGAAGACGAACATTCAGAGCCCGAAGACTCGAGTTGTGTGGATGGGTCTCGGTCTGAGTTGTGGATAGCCCAGCAAGGCAGGTGCAGTCAGGACCAGAAGCCGAATCCGGCACCCATTTCAACCTCTCCCAGAGCGTTAGGGCAAGGTAAGTAAACCTCCTGTCCAATTCGCTTTTGATTTGCCTCTTTTCCCTCTGCAGAACATCTCTGATATATTACAAACCTTAGTATAGCGTGACAGTTCCCGCGATATCCCTTGAGGACTCCCACAATCTCGACTCTCTCTTCTGGAAAACAACCGCGCTATTTCTCCCCAAAATAGGGGAGGACTTTAGCAGCCGTTACGCCCTCCTGTCTTGCCTGGCTTATATCTGAGTCGTCTACTATACGCAAACCTAAGAAGAAGACAGACCCTAAACCAATTGACAGGTGAAGTTGGACAGAGAGAACGCAGATAGACGCTTCCTATAGGACCGACGTCACAGCCTTGACCCAGGCAATCAGTTTCTTCAGTCAGCCTCGTTCGGAAGAGGAGCTTGTCGACTTCTTGCAGAATGTCCCGGAACATTCAGGCTGGACCCACCCTCTCATCAAAGCCTTCAAACGTTACCAAGGGAAGCATGCTGTCCTGGTTATCCTCATGTGCCCCAAGAAACACCAACGCATGGACTTCGATATACCTCCCCCTGATGACACTCTGTTGCTATTCCAGGGCGTCGTTATCCTTATATACCTAAAGAAACAACAACGGATGAACTTCGACGTCCCTCCTCCTGATGACACTGCCTTTACCCATGCACTTCTGTTGCCATTCCAGGACTTCGTCAGAGACTCCACAGGACTGCTACTCATCGCAGTCAATTTTCGAAAGGAATGCCGTCAAAAGTACGAAAGATGCGCGCAGTTTCGTGATGATGAGTTCATTAGACTCGCCCCTGCTACCCAAGTTGAACTACTGATTGCTCGGAACGTTTTATCCAAAAGTGTGGGCAGTCCCTTTATCTTGGAACGCAACGGAGTTGTTGTTCTCAATGCGCATGACTGCTAATGTCTGTTTGAGCTTAGAAACTGAGAATGGTCATCCGGAGGAAATCGAGGCCTTGTATAAAACAGGCTGATTAAGATAAGAAAAAACATGTGTCGAACACGGGAAATGGCGAGACCTATCCCATACGGGGCATGGCAGGATTTTTTGTGTCATTTGGTATCTCAAAACATACTTGTCTGCATTGGCAACCCCCAACATACAGAGGAGAGAGCGCATACGTGTTTCTTCTATTGGATGAGTTGTTGGTTTCGGGGCTCATCTAGCTTTCAGTGGTAGGCTAATCGATAATTCTTCAGGTTAGAAGTGGCTTGGTACCTCTTGACACGTTGGGAATGGTCTGGCAGATTTCGCACGGATGCTTTTGACTCGATTGGAGTGGTGATTGTATACCAGGATGAAGTACCAGTCGTCTTGTTAGCATTTACTATGTTCAACCGTACATGGTCCATATCAACGCATCGGGTCTCCAGTTTGATGCATACCCCCCTACCAGTAGAAGTGAGACTTGACTTCGGTTCTTGAGTGATCATTCATGGCACTCAAGATGACTGATTAACCCCAACAGGATTGGACACATATTTTTGGCGATGTTTCTTCTGTCAATAGTGGCAACATTGTCCTTGTGTATACGTAAGATAATCACTAAAGGCGTAAGATGCTAGAAACATTGAGTTAACTAGAGATTAAGTTTCGATACCGAGAGCCCAGATAACGACAATGTTTTCTCATGATGTTCGAATAGCCATGATCAGTGACAGTCCCATGCCAATCCATTCGAGGGCATTGACGTGTTTGTGATAGCAGGAAAATCTATTGTTAATGATAAATAGTGCGGTCAATCATGGAATCTATCCACTTCAAACGCCGCGAGAAATATTGGGATTTGAAAGACCAACAGAAATCTCCGTGCCTCCAAGGGCCAACGTATTTATGAAGAGGCAGAGTCGACTTGAAGCCTGTTGATGTTAGAGATGATTGGAGATGACAGGTTGTTGGGCGTTCGAGCTTAATGACTGGGACGGATATATCTGTGTGTGTCGCCCATGTTGTGAGTTTCTGTGCTGATGTGAAGTAGTTAAGGCTCGCGCCAGACTCGAGGTGTTTTATAGATATAAATAGTTGAGTGGGAAGATTTTAGTCGAACTGTATAGAGATCTTGGTCTTCCGAGTATCCGTAAGTTGAAACTGTACGGAAAGTGTCTCCCTCCAAAACACCTCTCGTCGTGTAGTAATATCTAGCAAACCGACAAATATACACTTGTTTTTTGAACGGTGGCACTAGATCCACCCGATTGGCAGTCATCGCTCGTCGCCGCTCAACGTCGAGGCAAGTCATCTGAAAAATAACAAACAACCGAGTTTGGGCATTAGAGGACCTTGCGCATCCGTATAGGGGAAGTGTCATGTTATTCTACTAATATATCTTTGGTCGCTAAATGGGTCGCGGTTTGGCTGATAAGTCCATGAGTTTAATACCTGGGGAAGAAACGCAGCTGCTCCTAGGGGAAGTTAAAGACAAATTGATAAGCAAGAGCCGAGTTGTTATAGCTATTCTAGTAGTCCGTGCAAGTTGTCATCTAACATTTAATAGTACTGATCATCTTCTCATTATGTTCCTCCCCGTTGTGACAAGAATAACCCCCTTCCTCCCTCCCTCCAGTTGACGCCTCGCTATTTCTGCTCAACAGAAAAAGAGTTTTCTGTACATATGGTGGCGAACTACTCAAATGTGATGAGATCTTCCATCTCTTCATCAGACTGAATAGCATCTGTCGTCGAAGAAGAGACAAAAGGGCGTAGTGTTCTGGGCTCAGCAGGGGCGGATGACTTGCGCTTGGCAGGAACAGACATCTTAGGCTTGATAGGGCTGGGCGCGTTGGGATTTTGAGGCATCGGTATCTTCTAGCGATTGATGAGTACATGTGAGATTTCAAATGATGGATAATAAGAAGCTTACCAAGGCCTGCGGAGCCTGACTTGTCCCCAAAGACGGTAGAGCGTATCTGTCGTCGATGGAGCCGGGCTCCTGATGCAAAGTTGCAGTGGGCTGTAACGTTATCTGATACAGGTCAGCCTTGGAATGCATTGGAAGCAAGTGAGCGAGCCTTACCGAAGGTTGAGCATGGTAACCGTAATCCGCGTACAAGCCAATCATTGCCCATCGCGTTATGATCTCTGATGGGATGTTGATTTGACCAGGAATATCAGTCCGCCAAGACGCTGGTACTAACTCCGCCATGGCTTGCTGATTGATAGGGAGAGATAGTTGAAAAGTTGCCGCCTGTGAAGGCTCTGTACTCTTGTGCGGCTTCTTTTCGATAGGAGAGACCGTCTGCCACGTTGTATTAACGCCAGTTGTAGGAGTATCAAAGGGCTTGAATGGTTTGGGTGCGAGAAGTGCTTTGGGGTCGTTCAGGGACTTGTTCCAACTGCTGAACCTAGAGGGAAGCTGTGGAAGGGGACTTCGGTTACTGAATGTCTGATGAATCTGTGCCGGAGTGAGGAAGCACAAAGCTAAAAGGATTTCCAGCGTGAAACAAGCATCCATACCAGCGTTATGGGTGAGGCGTGTGCTGGTAGGGTTGTGATCGTTCGGAGTAATTTCGATAGGTATGCCCAGAGCTTCCGCCACACGGCCCACATCCCTGCCGTCTCTCGGATTCCCACTCGACGGAAAGCGAAGGTCTAGTTGGTGTGCCAACTGAAGATCCCATTTGATAACACTGGCGTCGTCCTTCGAAAACATATCAAGGCCGAGGAGCTCGAAAAGGCTCTCTTCTAGTCTAGAGTTCCACGTCAAGATGACCATCTTACGCAAGGTTCCAGCTTTTTTCTCTTCAGACGTTCGGTTGAGATTCCTGGCGGTGTCCTATCTCGCCTGAATAAGTTCACCAAGTCTTGCCAGGGCGACGAACTTGCTTCGACGGTGGGCTCCGGAGTATGGTGATGTCCCGTGCCTTTCTGCATTGCATCTGTGACCGTAATGATCGTTGAATTCGTCCACGATCCAATGATCCGTCCGGGCGCGCTTGGTCCAGTTGTAACCACGATCGCCAGGATTGTCGAGGCACGGGGCAAACGTGAAGTCGTCGGATCCTGATGATGCGGCTGGGGCTTGCCCAGCCGCTACACGGGCTGCCGACGAAGACGACGACGACGACGATGATGACTGCTTGAGAATACCGTTTTTGATATGTCTCATGTCCAAAAGGCAGATACCAAACTCGGTAGGGACAGGGTGCCTCATCCCAACATTGGGCCAGATCTTCTGCTTGCACAAGATCTCGAAGTCGATAGCGAAGAAAACATGATCACCTTGCATAACAAGTTGCTTCATCTCGTGTGGCTGCTCTGACCGGAGTGCCCTGGGGGCAAACTGTTGGCCATATCGATCACTGAGAGAGAGAAAGTCAGTGTATTTCTTGATAGTAAGATGGAGAGATTCTCACAGTGGCTGGGCCAAGAGACCAGGCTGCTGGTGCCAAGGTCCTTTGACATGGACGGGTGTGGCTTGGTTGAGCACAAGCTTCAGAGATTTCTGTTGACCGGCAGACGAGGGTTGGGGAGTGGAAGGAAGAGATCCGCCAGCAACTTTGCCTGCGTCACCAGACGGAAACTGCGAGGACCGACTCATGGTGCTTGCTATCGTGCAGTTAGCATCATTTCATGACGACACTGGCGAATAGCCTACCTACGAAATCTGAAATCGAGAAGTAATTGACTTGAGGAAGTTGACGCAGGTGGCAGTGTTGATGTCTGTCGATGATGGGGCTGGGTGAGGGATGGAAGGATGGAAGAGAAATCAAGCGGGTTGGGAGTCGCAGAGAGAAATGGTTGACGAGGGATATTTGAGAAGGAACAGTTGAGGAGGTGGCTTTCTATCCAGAGTGCCTTTTGTGGACTGCCTAGGGCTACCCGTTTACAGAGCCCTTCTTCAGTTAAAAGAAAGGATATTTAGGAAAGTAGGAGAGAAGTGAGAGAGGAGAGAAGGAAGGAAGGAAGGAAGGAAGGATGAAAGGGAGTCAAAACTAGCTATAATGAGCTTCTGCCCCCACGAAGGCAAGCGCGCACTCGCTCCTGCCGCCCAGGCGGTGGCAGTAAAGAGTATTCTTCTCCTTCCTCCTTCGGGACCAAGTGCTTGATGAAAGGCAATGTGACTGACGGCAAGTTCGACCATCGCGAGGGGGAGATGTCGAAGATTTAGTAATAGTGTGTTGCTCGACTTCGACCGAGGGCCGGATGAAATGGTCGAGCTTACGCTGGCTAGACTCGAATTGGGAAAGACGCTTTCTCTTGTTTCGACCCGAACCTCCAGAGGGACCAGAGACCGGCATGGTGGGAGACAGAAGACCAGACTAACAGAATCTTCATGACATGTATGAACAACACTTGATGATTGAAAACAGCGCACCGGGCACGCGGAGGGTAAGAGAGGGGTGGCGAGATTAGTTCCCATAAGATAAGCAAGGCGAGATACTACCACTTTCTCCACCGTTGAAACATGGAGAGAGAACGAAACGTCGTAAACTTAAGCGTGAATTCTAAAGCAGGTACCGTATATGATAATTTTAGTTAGCCATAGTCGTTCGTTTTATCGAAAGGATTGTGCTAAAGGATTAAGTATACCTATATAGGTCATAATAAGAAAGTGTCACAGTCCTACTGAACGGTCACCAGGGGCACGTGTTATCTTATGTGCCAGCCGTACCCGTATAAGAGACGCCCATGACAGCATCACAGCTAGGAGGTTCAGTCAATAAAAGAATCAACTGCTTATACCTACGTTTATCGATTTATCGTTATTTATTGCCTTGTGACCGTTTGTTTGACTTCAGTACTATTCTGTTTACGTCTCCGTTCTTATCACGGTTCCGACCTCTGCCTGTTGTTGCTACGTGCTAGCAGGAAGAACTGTGATAGAAAGTAAAGTAGTTATATCATTAGAATAAGATAAAATGTAAAGAAGACTCTTAGAAAATACCTAGTATTTATAACGTTTCCTCTCACTTTTTACCTGACGAAAATATCGTTGTCAAGGTCCTTTATTAGCCCCCAAAGATGATGTACGCAACAGCGTTGTTTACATCAATAAACACGTGGAGATCTCACCTCTGGCTCGCGCTGGTATGTTTATCTTACCAATGTTTCCGTTCATATGTCCTTCTATTTCCGCCCACACACTCTCGTGGACCTGGGTTGTTAGAAGCGAAACCAAGGCCTACCGGCCCAGTAACGTCAGTCCATACTGAGTCGTTAGTCATATCTGTAATCCCCTAAAGCAGACCGTCTACAAACCGAATAACACTTTAAGCAAACTGCTTCGCTAGTAACCGCTTCTTTCTTCTTCACAGTTGACACGATCCCGCATTCCTAGCACGTCGTCCATCTCCTCCCTCCTTCTATTAACATACTCGTCCTGCTTTCGCTTATCCTGCTGAATCTGGGCTTCGATACGTTCACCCTTGGAAGCCTGACGACGAGCATTCTTTTTCTCTCGTTAGACCATAGTATCTTTTCCAACCAAGCCTTTGAAGTATAAGAGTATTTCAGTCGCAGTGTTGTTCATGAGGAAGCCAACATCAAAGACCGGATTAGGCAGTATAGGAGGGACAGAGGCTACAGAAGGCGGACTGGGAGAGAGGCGTCCCTCACGCCTGTCCCCGTCCACAGAAGCTACAGGTTGAATATACTATCGACGGGGTTCCTCTAGACGACGTGTCTTTGTGGGTTGGCCGCAGGAGTCTCACGATACTTTGGAAGATACCAATGAGGCAAATGACCTGCTGTCGCAAAAGTCTCTGCGTAAAGAGAGTTGGTTAGGTGACTTCGGCGTATCGTAGGTCACTTGAATTCTTTATGCACACAAAATTCAAGAGGATCAATATTACTAACACCAAATTTTATTGGCAGATTCTCATACTTTTCTGCTATACTAAGTTCGATCGTTCCAAACATCCATCGCATGCGACCCCTGCCAATCACGTCAACTCCTTTACAACCCCTTAAGCCCAAGTCAACGTCTTCAAAGAGCACGGACACGGTTCGCAGCGGCGGCGGAAGTCACGGGGACGACCGACGTCGTAGGCCTAGGACCACCAGGACCACCGGGTCCGCCGGGGCCGCCACCCTGGCCGTCGCTCTGGTCGACACCACCACCCTCGTGCCAGTGAGCAGCCGCCCTGACATTGTCGTTCAAGTCCGCGGTCGTGTCGATGCCGATCGTGATCCAACCGAGAATGCCGTCCGACAGGTCGTCGCCGAGCTTGACGTACTTCACAAAGGGGTCGAACGCGGCAGTGGCCTCGTCGGCAGCGATGGAGTCTTGGAGGTTGGTGGTCAACGGTTGCTGGTTACTGGCGTAAGGGGCCAGCGCCTCAACCTCGGAGATGAGGCTTTGGTCGAAGAAGATCTGGCCAATGTTGCGGGCCGTGCCGCCCTCAAAGGTACCGTTGGGGAGAACCTCGGCACCGTCGGTAGCCATCAGGTGAATGTGAACCGCGCGGCCAGTGTAGTGGCCGGGGAAGATGGTGTCGAACTCGACGACACCGTCGTCGTTGCTCTGCTGCACACCACGGCCGTGGGTGGTGTTGAGTCCGCCCTGACCCTGTGCGGAGACGCCAGAGTACACTCCCGTGGCGTTGCAGTGCCAGATATCAATGAGCTGCTGAGGGACAGCGCCGCAGTTGTTGACGTCGACAAACTGCAGGTCCAGGTGGACGGGCACGCCACCCTGGCCGTCGGTGATGTCGGTGCGGATGAGCTCGCCCTCGACATAGTACGGTCCGATAGTGACCTCGGGGACGAGAGCGCAAGTGGCGTTAGAACCGAAGATCTCTTCCAGGGGTGTGTCGAGGTTGTAGCCCGCATCAGAGAGATGGTTGATGGCGGCCCACTTCTGGAGGTCGGCCTGGGAACGCTTGCGCATCTTCTGGCCACTGAGGCCACGGGCAGCACGAAGGCGCTCCGCGGTAGCCGCACGGCGGGCGAGGGCACGCTCCTTGAGGGCCAGGGCGGCTGGAGAGTTGGCGCAGGCGTCCAGAGCACGTTTGCCTTGGACCGTCACGATATCGCGGAGGGCGAGCTCGGCGGCGATCTCCTCAGCGGTAGTTCCATGGGCAGCGACGGTGCCCAGGAAGGGGGAGATGGCCAAGGCCGCGGTAAGAGCGGTGCGCAGAGCCATTGTAAGAACTGTCGAGTGAAGGGTATCACAAGCAACCAAAAACTGACTGTAAGTCAAGGGGTAAAGGGCTGGAGTTGAAGAGCCTGATGGGATGAGGAGTTCGTCTCATGAGAGCGCAACCCATCTCTTCTTATATCATTCATTTTCTTGGCATCTCGCGATTCGTGTTTTTCCCACTTTGGTCTAGCATCCGTTGGGTTATTTCGTCGACGTCTTGGCATCGCCGTGTTGTGCTTGGTAACAACCCCCAGCAGGGAAAAAGCAGAATGTGTTGCAAAAGCAACAACGTGCCGCAACCAAGTGACAGAGATACTGTCCCCACACTCCCGTAGACCGGTTCGCGAGACATCGTCGTCACCTTCCGTCTGGGTGTTTCGCCGGATTGCAAGATGACGAGGAAGGGGTGTTTTAGCCGCGGAAGGTAGCGTAGCATATCTTGGCGCCTCCGAAGTTTGATATGGGACTTGTATTCCGCTATCCCCCGGCGTCCGGGGTTCATCTCGTTCGGATGTGGCTAGTCGTGATATCCAATAAGCTTGAAGGCAATTGCAATTGCGTTGTTGCTGAATCAAATTGCTTCCGAGCGTGGAGAAGGGCGGTGTCATGTACGGGGACGGGGGCGGAAGGGGGTGTGGGGCACCGGGTGGTCGATCTGGTGCATCGGGATGTGGGAGAGGCTTGGTTACGCGGCCCGATCCAGGCCAGGAACGTGTAGGAAAGCAATGAAAAATAAGCAGGTGAAGAACCTGTGAAGAACGAAATTACGTGGACGGCGGGTTACAGTCCGTTTTGCCAAGAGATCTCGAGGGCTCTTATGGGTTGCTGTCATGGTAGATCTCTATTGCGTGAGTTTCATGTTCCAGGGGGGGAGGCTTTTTGGATTAGAAAGCCGTTGGAGAGAGGTCATCACCATGGGCCTAGATTGGCCGGCAGTTATGGTTGCGGGTACTCGGTGAGTGCTTCCGCAGCTGCAGGCAGCTTATGCTTGATTGTTGGTGCCCCCCGGCTGACCCCTTGGAATGTGTGATTCTAAATGGATGGGTGACGCGTCATGAGCGAATGAGGCAGACGTGAATGTAATCGACGATGCTCTATGGGGAAGGCGGACGTCTGGAAATAGGGGAAACATGGAGATATAGTTATTATGTTACCCACTAAAGAGGGCTCGGAGAGTATAGTCAAGGATGGAAAGTGGTAATGGCATCCAAAGTCGTTCAAGATTGTCGATGTTTCTAACGCAATCCTGGTTATCGAGGGGGCAATGCAACCGCCGTCTCCTCTTCTCCTCCCAAAGATGGGCTTTACCGGTCTTGTATGGAGTCAAGACAATGTCACCCCCATTTTGGCGTGCTAAGGAACAAATAGTCCGTCCTTTCAAATTCGGTAGCATTGTCGATATTTACCGCCCCCAAATCCCGCGGCCCACGGACGTCCATCTTCCCCTCCTCTATACTCCACACCATGATTCATGCAGGCACGATTCCCTCAAACTTGCCCTCGGTAGAGATGATGGATTGAAAGATGTGCCTGTGTAACACATAAGTACACAAACAAAATATGCCTTGACGCAATTTCTGCTCGGTTGCTCGTTTTATGCGAGCTTCCCAACAACGTACGGGTGTCCTGCACTCAGACCGCCGTCAACTGCCCACGCCTGACCGTTCACATAGCTGCTCTCGTCGCTTCCGAGGAAGAGGGCCACTCGCGCGATCTCGTCGGCGTGGCCGCCGCGCTTCATGGGGTTGATCTGGCCGATCCTGCCCTCGGTACCCCGCGCACGCGCCGTATCGTACATGAGCGCCGTCATGCCGGTCTCAATAAGGCCGGGGCAAATGGCGTTAACGCGCACATTGGTGCCGGCGAGCTGGTAGGCGGTTGTTTGCGCAACGGAGATGACTGCCGATTTCGCGGCGGAGTAAGGGGTTGTGCCAGCGTTGGAGCGGATGCCGGCGACAGATGCGGTGAGGATAATGCTTCCGCATGGTGTCTTTTTCTCAGCGGAGGTTTTCTGCATGGCTGGGGCGGCATGCTTTGCGGCAAGAAAGACGCTTGAACGACGGGTCAGTATGAGGAACGTGTAGGAAGACATATCAGCAACTAACCTCAATACATTTGTGCGTAGGTTCTGCATGAAGTCCTCCTCGGTAATATCGGTAAACATATTATGAGGGCCCGTGATGCCAGCATTCGCAAAGAAGATGTCTAGCCTGCCGTAAGTTGTAATCGCATGGGAAACAACCTCCTTGACGGCGCTCTCGTCAGCGGCGTCGAACTGGCGGGTATGAACCTCGACGTTGGGGTAGAGGCTGTTGATCTCGCGTTTATGGTTTTCGAGGTTCGTGTCGACGAAATCACAAATGTAGATAGCTCGAGCACTGTTCTCGGCGTACTGGTGGGCCGTGGCGCGACCGATACCCAGGAGTGAGTTGGCACCTACTCAGGTGTTAGGATACCTATTCTGGAAGAGCTCCAAGTTTTAAACTGACCTGTGATGATGATAACCTTGCCTTGGACGCGGGCCGCTGCGGAAGGACCGGCGACTTTGACGATGGGAACGGGGCCGTCCAGCTGCTTGCCGAGGGCCTGGAGTCTTTGCTGCGCTTTATCCGCCATGATGCTGAAAAATAATAGAATATATCAATCAATTGAGAGGCTTTTCTACATGACTTCAATGCGATGGTGCGCCGACTGTATGTTCGAGCCAGCAACGCTATGCAGTAAGTGACGTTGAGGGGATGGGGGAGGAGAGGCCGAGGATGGAGCTCTAGCTCACTGGGGAATTTGGGCCGAGGCTCACTGGGGCTCCGAGGCTTCACCACGTTAGGCAGGCGATGAGACGCTATTGGCGGGGTTACCCCAGATGTTAGTGCATTACCTCATCGGAAATCCTCCCCGAGAGGGGCGGCAAGCAAGAGTTTAATCAAGAAATCCCCCGGCCCAGGTTCTTGGTTAACTACTGCTCTTCCCAGTCTCAAACCCCTTCCAATCAGAGTCATCGCCTTAAATGTGAAGTTTGTTCGATTGTGGTACAAGCCTATCAACTCATATCAAAACGAGGCTGGTCGGCGCAACAGTGTCGGATCTTGCATTCTGTTACGGCCGAAGATGTGAGGCCTCATGCTTTGACCCGTCTTGGAACCCATTGGGTGCCTAATACAATCTCTTCACCGCCGGCGTTGACGATACCTCAAGGAATACATGTCCTCTTCATCACTCATACCTTCGCTCTTCTGAATTTTAGATCTCTAAATCTGCATTGAGAGAGGCATTCTGACCTGTGCCGCAAATGAATAGGATACACGTCCTGACCAGCGCTTCATGGCTGGTACAATTTGGGGGTGACTTCTGTGGCACCCTGAAGAAAGCATCACCTTGGTAATGCTCATAGATCGCCTTGTCTCCTTGACCAGAAGTCGATAATTTGACATATGGACTCGGTTTTGCCTTCGGCTACTCCCGACCACGGCAATGTTGAAATACCAGCTCTACATGTTTGTCGATCGGCCACCGCCAGCTGAAACAGCCATCCAATTGTACTTCTGTTTTTTTCTGTTCCTGCGTCAACCTGAAGCTATTGAACGCCCCCCACCTATGGTGGTCTTTGGAATTGCATACAGCAATAGCTCGTATTCAGAGGCCTCAAGGCATCTTCGGGCAGTCAGGCCAGAATTATCTAGGCATATTCTCCCCTGCCTAAGCGCCCAGCACAAATACCTATTACTGGCCAGCATGATATGCTCATTCTGGATACGAGACTTTCAGGTCGGCCTTTTTTGGCTAGCCATCAAGCGGCTAAGGCACATCTCAGCCTCACCATGATAGCATCCATGTGCTAAAAAGGGGTACATCTATGCCTTTCTCGAATCATAGTGGAAGTCATCCGATACTCCACGTGCATACGAGGCGGTTCGTCAGTTCTATGCAGCTCTCGGTCGTCGATCTTCAGCCATGATACGCCACGCCGATGGAGAAGCCCGGCAACATTGAAGCCCCATACCACGGGCACGTATGTACGAAAACCTTGCCACGTGGGTCGTACAGCCCTATCGTCACCGTTTTGTGGCGTACTCGAGTGTCTTCAAACTTGCGTATAATTGATTTTCCGAGATTTGGTAAACAGCTTTGCCGCTTCTGTATAGCTGGAGATGTAGAAGATTGATTACTCTAGTAATACATCTAAACTTACTGTGCTTCGGGAGTCTTATGACTTTTGTTAGAACATTATCGGCCAATAGCAATAATCAGGTTTGACATCACTTTTCAGAAGACGATCGCATCGAAAGGATCCAATGAAGCCAAATAATCGATGACGGGTAAGGACATGATGCGCTGCCTAAGCCCGAACGCCAACCTTTTTACCGCCGAAAGCCCAGAATTCTAGAAAATTAAAGACTCATTCAACCCCCATCCTTCCTTTCTTTTTCTCGGAAGCCACGGTCATTCACCTTCACACCACAAACACCCAGCAGGGATCGGGCATGCCACGACCCTGATTTCTACCCTACATTCGTATCTCACTCTTGCCGGCTTTGTTTCTGTACTGTAGCTATGAATCTGGGCATCACACCGCCTCGCAACACCATCTCTAAGCACCATCAAACTGATCAGCTTAGCCGGAAAGAGACTTAATTGCGAAACGAGTTGGACAACCAGCAAGACTGAAAAATACCCAAACTGGCTATCGGTGTTACCACACTAGCTCGAACCTGGCTGGGGTTCTACAGGCATCTCACAGTATCTGTGGTCCTTCGCGTAATGTGAAAATTCATTGGGCCAACACCACTCTGTGTTTCTTCATACTCTTCAACGTGCCGACACCTCGTGGTACCTGGCTATACTTGCCTATGCAACGAGTTAATCCCATATAAGCTTAGTGGCCGTCCTTAACGGGCCATTCTCTGAGACTATGCAGAAATACGCACACTTCAAAAGACTCTGTAGTATCTTGAGAGAACCTCCGAGTAGCTGGGCCTCGAAAAGGCCCCTTCCGCGGTGCGAAATTCCAGAGTTTGTGCGAAGTAAGGCCGTTCGTGGTACAATAGCCCGGAAGCAGATGCCGTATTGGATTTTACAAGGCATTACGACATGGAGCTTGAAATGGACTGATCAGCCCCCCTGCTGAGTTCCTCCTTAGATCACAGCTCTTCATGATACGAGCTGATTGTTGCCGCGGGCTGGCACTCTCACTCAAAGTTTCCTTCCTATTTTGCGCCATTGCCGATGATACAACTTATTCCTATTCTAGGGGCTGAGTCTTGAACGGCCACTGCCCCTTGAACTTCCCTGCAAACCAACGGGCGTCGACAAGGCTTCTACATACGGCGAACGCTTCTCCGAACACTTCTTTTCCATTTCCAAATCTATACTGGGTGGATCCCCTCGCTGCATGCATACTTCATGACCAGTCGGGTGCGTGCATACTTTTCTTGTCAACTATCTACGGGCTGTGCTACCAAGCTTCATACGAGGCCATTTTCGAACGGCAGCGGACAGATACTGCGCGATGCAACCCTCATCTTTTCTACCTGCTTTGCCACTATCCCTCCGTCCGCCTCACAATGTTACCATTCATCTAGTGTGAGACACCTTCGGCTCAATATTTTATATAGTATATAGTATGGAAGGAGTATTTGACAAAAAGGTTGTCTGCCAGGTGGTTTCTCTCTGGATCGCCCTACTCAGCCATCCACGGCTCCTCCATGCCAGCTGAGATTTATTACTGCCCAACCATACTCATTCTCACACGTCTAGTCGTTTATATAAAGGTCACTCATACAATGGGTCATCTTGTAATATAAGCACCGTAACCATCACCCAAGGGAAGCACCGAACAGCTTGTCCTACGTCGCCACCACTGATTTCGACCACCCTGTTAATCATGGCGACGGATGGTGAGACTTGCTACCCAGTCGCCGTGGGCGAAAAAGAGAACGGATGGGGAAAGGTCGCCTCCAATGTTCCAGATCCGCCAAAGTGCATCGCGAGTTGCCGTACCCGGTTCCTTAAGAGCGTGCTACAGGATTTCGATGAGTCAAGGTTCTCAGAGGTGTGTGGGGTTCTCTCAAAGGATGAGGGGGCTAATAAGAGGTTATGGGAGCTATATTGCTGCAACTCGACGGCTTGCGGAGTGACGCTCGCCACGGGGCAGGATCGTGAGCAGAACCGACCCAATAAGTAGTAAAGCTGAGATTGGAACTGACGGCCGACTAGCCGGGGTGAACCTGATTATCGGTACATGCCAAAAGTGAGTTGCCTCTCCAATATATAATTCACTCGTAGACTAACGACAGTGATGAACAGCATCGGCGTCCAGTCAGTTCAAGATCCAGGGTCGCCTCCTTTTGGATATTCTTGTCCGGCCATCGCCACCCCCGAAAACTGCCAAAAGCCCTTTCTCGTCAGCGATACAAGGCCTCGGCCAACTCTATCCACCACCACTACATCTTTCCCGATGACAACCACCTCGCTCCTAATGACTTCAACAACGCCCTTGACAGCGGTCGGATCCTCTACGTATTCTACTGACTCCGCTGTCGGAACTTTGGGGGCATCAAGTCCAACGCAGTCCCATGAGCAGCCGCGTAGTGGTGGTCTGTCCTTAGGAATCAGAATAGCCATCGGGGTATCTTGTACACTCGCCCTGGTCGCCATTTTGGCTGTGGCTACATGTATGTATCGCCGGCGGTCTCGCCGTGGGTATACGCAGAGCATCAGGAGTGAGATAAAGCACCAGCCTCTTCCAAAAGCCAGCTCACCCACGTCTCTAATTTCGCCAGCAAGCTCAACCTACGAGAGCAATCGCAGCCCAGTTACGCCACCTCTGCGTCTAAAGGAGCGCAGACTGCTTCCTACACTCTTTGATTCAACCTTAAGCCCAGCAGTACCAGACATAATCAACCCTTTCCCAGGGCCTCTCAGCATTAGCAGTCCAGGCGGGCTTTCACAGTCTTCCCCCTCCTCGTCATGGAACAGCAACTCCAATCCAAGTCACGGGCGGGCACCACGATCTCACATATATCCTTCGTCTAGCGGCTTCACAGGCAAGACATTTAAAACGGCAAGCATGAGAAGCGCAGCTAGTTCCTACACCACGAAAAACACCTCCCATGTCTCCAGCGCATTTCCTTATCCTCCTCCCTCTTCACCGTCAAGACCCCCTCGTCCGCACAACACACCGCTTCGCATCCCGGATCTGGTCTGTCCCGGTCCGCCGCCCACTCGCGCACTACCGCCTGCGCCACCAGTCACGCCCATCATATTAAACTCACCGTTGCGGTACCAATCGACTGATACCGGCCATAACATGGGCCTTGTTATGGCGGGTTTCGTACCACCGCGCAACCCTGCCCGTGGGGTCGTCCTGGGAAAGGAATCATGGGACCTCTGTGAGTTGACGGAGAGCTACGCGAGAGAGGTTAGGGATAGAGATAGTTGGGGAAGTTGGAGTATTGGCGGTGGTGGAACGGGTGTCGGGGCGAATTCGATCCAAAGAGGCGGAGATGGGAGGGTGAATAGCCCTGTGCTGGAGGAAGCAGATTTGGAGAGGATGGGAGGCAGTTATTGATGCTTTCTGTGGGCGAAACCAGCACAGAACGCTCAGAATGGGAAAAGTGGTGTTGTTGGTTGGAAGAACTAACTAACTGGCTAGAGGGCTGTGGAGGCTGGCTAAGACCAGTGGTGGCGGCCGTCAGCCCACGTGACGGGCCGGCGAGGCCTGCCACCCACACTTTCATAGTGTATATGTTTGTGAACTATGAGAATCGGATATGGTTTGAATACGTTCTTATAGTTGGAGTTTGATATAGCAATGGTGGTGTACTTTTTCCCTAGTTCTGGTTTGACAAGATAGCCCATCGAAAGGTTTCTTGGATCAGGATTACCATTGGGTCAGTATGGAAACCATTTCATCTATCTATCCTTTGGCTGGATGGTAGTACTTGAGGGTAGCGCGTTTTCCAAACAGAATGTCAGTGCATGAATCTTGACATAATGGGAAAATGGTCCTTTTTCTAAGATGCCACCTTTGTAGAGTTTTGTGAAGAATTTACTAATGCCACGTATTTCACCGTTCAAAGATAATTAATTCTAGTGAGTTTTGGATTTAATCTTTTAATATTTTAATTACTGTTTCGAGAGATGTGGCCATTGGTGCTGTGGGCAACTCGTGAAGTTACCAAACCATCCGAGAATCATCTATATGCATCTCCAACGCTGTCAACCAGCACATACGACCATACCCATTGGAAAACTCGGGATCCCGTCCGCTCTCCCATAGATAAGCCAATGAGGGCCGGATTAGTAGTTGGGTCGGTGACGACCAGCGAATACCTGGTGTTGTATGTTTTTTGGTGATAGTTTGCCTTCTCTTTGTGGGCCCAGAGGCATGACATGGAGGGTCACGATAGCTGTAACTTTGCGCGGGACTGCTTCTGACATTTTACCTTGCACTTAGGCAATATAGTAGACACTCTGTTTTATCATTGGCAATAATGGTCTTCTATCTCTTTCCTAATATTTTGCAGCTCTGACTGTCATCTCTTGCTGTTTCTCCCGGGAGGGATCAACAACCCCATTTCAGCCAACGGTTAACATTACATGAGCACGAACGCTTGAGGTGACTCTCACATGATGTATGGAATGGCTGTCCTTCAGCGCCAAACTCTACAAACTACAGCAGACAATGCCAACACCCATATCGTCCGTTCCGCATAATTGTACTGTTTCCGCACCTTCATATTACCTTTCTCATTAAGTTATTTATCAGTATGGATTTTCGAAGCACTGCTATACATGCCCATAGCCGGCATGCATGTTTTGAACAATGCTTGATCCCTCAAGCCCCGAGGTTCGCTGGCAGCCTAGTCACGGCCTTGCTACTTCCTCAAGCCTTCCAGTACATCATCGCTCCGTCATTCGTCGTTTCAAGGAGGGCAAGAACTAGCACGTGACCATATCCAGCTGCCGGCTTCTGCATTCGAGTGCGGGAAGGAGACACCGGAACTGCAGAAGACCTCACAGACACACACCTCTTCTCATTTAGCCTGTCTCGCTGCCACACATCTCCTCCTCAACAACCCCCTCATCTGTTTTGTTTTCTTCTCTCGTTACCAGAAATCGCTGCAACTAGAACGACTAGTTTCACCCTGAAGATGATGGATGACCTCGCCCAAAGGCCCACAACAAGAGTGACAAAGCGAACGCATCAACACCTCGAGGCCACCGTTGAACAAAGTAGAAGTACAAACAGCTACTTTCTCAACAGAGCAGAAACATCTCACATCCTGTCTTGCTTTTCTTATCAGCGCCTCACCTCGTTTTTCGTGCACACAGGAGAAAAACGACAGGTCAGTAGTTGAGAAGAGACAGAATTAAGACAAATCAACTAATACCTAGCGGTTCTTAAGGTCTAGCCCCGCGGGTGCAGAAAAGCAAATATGATCGAATGTATCCTGTGAATCGACACTGTGCCGCAACATGGGGATCGGGTGGTGTTTCCATGTTGCATATTTGCTTTTTCCACAAGACCAACCACCACCGGAACAAAAATCGGCCCCCGACCTGTCAAGTTCTCATAATACGATCGCCCGACACCAATCTGCTGGCAACGGTTCTCGCCTGAGTGAAACCACCCTTGCAAGAACTGTCCGGCCCTGTTCCCCGGTGCAATCCGACTCGCGGCGTTGGTGATACCGTCGGGATGACTGCTTGAGCCGCGTTTCGCCTGCGGGCAAGATCACTTCTCCCTTGCATCGGAACCCGTCAAACGTACCTTTCGGTGCACTGTCTTCCTGTTCCAAGACGGTGCGGTTGATCGACTAGCTTCATTGACCAGGGGTTCATGACAAGCAAACATGTCTATCACAGAATTCTATCATCTTGATAGAGTTCTTGTTTTTTCTCAGGCTAGAACCCACGAACCCGCATTTGGATGTACAACTAGCTGACACCACTTTAACGCAGATTCTCCCTTGGCTTATGCGGCACGATATTGATTGGCTTAGTCGTCAATCCGGGGACTCGTGAACGATGATCTAGCATGATTCCAGCTGCAAGGTGCCGCTGACATCCACCCCACCGCATTCACGTTAGGGATCTCATCCAAGGATCTGAAGAGACTATTATTGCTTTTTTCTCGGTTTAGCAGGCAAGCATATGTGGAAGCGAGGACACTAATTTGTTCGAAGTTTTGGTCATATATCATAATTTTTCGACTGCGTTCGACGTACAGACATACGAGCCCACATCGCTAGCGACAGAGGAGAGACAACAATCTAACATTTCTTCCTCTAATGACCTTTGGGATCCTGGGCAATGTGCCAACCACCGTAATTTAAACCTAGGCGACCTCGCCACCAAGGTAAAGCTTACCCACCTGACGATCTGGCAACCCAAAGGGGCAAGGAGGCGTCTGCAGCATACTCAAAGTGCCATATTGCTCTGCAAGATCCTGCACCAAGATCTGCTCTAGAATCCACAGCCCTGCAACATCATGGCAGTGCTTCTGGAAGACATTGCTTCTCCATGCAAGGAGTGGTCCATCGTTCGATATCGTCTCACCGCTCTGAGGCAAATGTCGACTGCAAACGAAAACCCATAAAATAGCGTCTAGAGCGCCCTGCGTTTACGTCACAAAGTCTGAATACGGAGGTATTGCTTTTCATCAAAATTCAAATAGACCCATGGAGTTGAGAAAGCTCCGCCAGTGCATATCAACGCCATTTTCAGTAAGCCGTGCAGGTAGGAGAGGACTTGGACGACGCCCTAGGCTCACTGAATAAGCATTCATTTGTGCTTTGAATATCACGAAACTATTCATAGGCATAATGCACATAAAATCGTGCCTTGTAATGCAAAGACAATCAAGACGTCAGTGTAGCTGCTTAGGGGGTATCTACCAACACTGAAGGATGATGCTTCATAGTATCATCATGGCACTATAGATTGTTCATTAATATTGCGTACTTTCACGCAAGCATCCTTTTCACCAGCAGCGTACTGTGTGATTGATACCAACTGCCGACGGCCTTGGCGAAAACCTGTAAATCCACTTCAGGTAACTGGCGGACATGCCGCATGACCGTCAAGGTTTCCCTCGGCCCCATACAATTAGACAACCATGCATGCCGAACATCATATGACTCCATCAAGAGATGTCGAGCGATCTCGGCAGTGTTGGCAGTGGATGCCGGTAGCTCCAGTGGTGAAGATCGGTATGCTCCGGCTCGGAAACACGGCGTGAGGTCGGTCTTGGCTCGACCCGCCCGGCCGAGCGAACCGGACCCCACCACAAAACAGCGATGTCCGGTGTTTGATGCCGCAGGACACATGCCTGCTCGCTATCCATCTGTGCTTTCGCAGCCCACATATTGCTCCCCATTTACAGAGGCCATCTGGTGGTCTAGTCTTCGGTGGATGGGATTCGGGAGATCGGAAACCCAGGCCTGAAGAACCCCCCGCTTCTTGGACTTGAGATGAAGCTGTCTCACGGTGCATCTCAGACCCGAATTGTTGCATTAAGGGAAAAATCAGCTTCGCCCGAATGGATCATCGGCTCAAACTAGATGACAAAACCGCCAAACAAGTTTGTTATGCACCGACAAGCTTCGGATATGGACACTACTGTGGGCCGAGTAAGATCCTCATACGGTTGGGGGGGTGTTTGCCAAGTGTTCGCAGCAGGATCATTAACCGTTCACTGGGTCGCAATCTTAATTGGCAACGTAGCTGAGGAACCAAAATTTAGCACCGGAAAGCATACTACCATAGAATACCCTCTAGGGCGTGCTCGACCTGAGACAATCCCGTCCGAAACGGCTAGCATCTTGTCGTCAACGGTGGCTGCACAATAACTTTGTCATGGTTTCCCATTTTGGCGGCTCCTTCGGTCATGGTCTGCGAATGCCTCAAATCAGCGTCAGAGCTAGCGTGGTAGCCACCCCTTACTGAGACTAGCGTATTGTTAGGATCATTGAGGCTGATAGTGATGTGCGAAGCTGGAGATGACACAGGATGCACCAGTCATTTGATGGTTATGCCATTGAACCGACGACTATGAAGGTTGCTAAGTTGCTTAGCAGATGTGCGGACAGAGTTCAGCATTCCCGTCATCTCTCATGGGATCCCCAGGTGGGTTTAGCCCCAGCGGGCTTACTATGTGTAGACCGACCTCAAATCAAGCGTGTGGAAGGCAGGATCTGCATCCAACGTTTAAGCTATCCGCCACAATGACTCGAAGGCCATCCAATACTCGGCCGAATAACGCCATCTATTGTTGGCAAGCTTTATCAACTACGGAGACCGGCCTCCTGTTAGGCTTGGCAGTGATATTGACTCTAGTGATGGTCTCCCCAATGCGACCCATTCGGGGGTTGGTCTTTTCAGTAATAGGTGCCGCTAAAAGATCTGCTTTTAGCACGTCGATCGTCTGCGGCCAGTGATGAGTGACTGTCACATCCCCTGCAAGGAGTACTACGGCAGGCGAAGGACTTCCGTTGGTTCAATTTCCGGACTCTGCGTGGCAAGGCGAGGGCATTGCAGTTGGGATGGTTTGGTGACCAGCTGGCA